GGATGAGGATGGAGGACAGTTGCCGATTGTGGTGCATGTTGTCGGGACAAAGAGCGATATTGTTGCCGATGACCCCGCGAAACGGAAAGTGCCGTTTGAGAGGACGATTGCGTATGTTGCTGAGCAGCTTTATCCGAGTCGGGCTTCGACGCCGCCGCCTACGGCGACTGTTTTTGGTGCTGGGTCTGGGGGGCGGTCGTCGAGTGCTACCCTGCCTGGTGGGATGGGGGTTGGGGTGGATAGCAAGCGAAGCAGTGGGTTCTGGGGACAGGATATTGGGTGGGATTGCTGCCATGAGATTAGCGCAAAAGACGGGGAGGGTGTCGAGGAGGTGTTCCGGGTGATTGCGAGGAAACTGGTGGAGCAGAGGACGAAGCGGGATGCGGAGGCCATGGCTGGGGCGATGTCACCGGGGGGTTCGTCGTCGGCGTTTGAGGGGCCGGCGGGGTCGAATTCTGGGGTTGGGATTGATGGAGGTGGGAGTTTCCGGCTGGGGATGAACGATAAGAGGCGGAGCTGGTTGATGTTTCCGCCGAGCAGTACTGGGGATGAGGGGGAAGCGATTGAGGCTGTGAAGAAGAAAGCGCGGTGTTGCTGATTACTGTCTCCGTTGTTTTTTCTTTTTCATTTTCATTTTTCTTTTCTGCTTGCATGACGCAGCGTTAGTTGGTTTGGCGTTGGCATATGATTTTGCATGGTTGATGGGTGCTGGCACTCACAAAGGACGGCGGTACATGACTGATGTATAAATGTTGGTATGGACACGATGGTTAGAATACCCAACAGAACCAGATTCTACATTTCGCAATTCCCCTTCGATATTACGATGTGAACTCCGGAGTAGACTCCGTCAAGACCCTGCAAGATCCAAACATCGAACATCCGAACTGACGAATCCAAGAATAGTTCATCCCTGCAGAGTGGTGTGTTCCACGCTAAACTGCGATCAAATATGATAGGAGCGGGTCCGACGATCCAGTCTGGCCAACGCAAAGCCCGTCGCAAATAAAATGAACGATGATGATCAGCATTAATTTTTACGGCCGCGCGTCTAGCCATGCAGCAAGAGAACAGGTGGTCAGCCATTCGGGGGTGTCAGTTTCAGCTGGATACGAGCGTGCTTTCGTATTTGTGCAACGATTCGGTGAGACTGAGGCTGAAGAATCTCATTGTCGGACAGGGATAGATGGAGACCGAGAACGGTCAATGGACCCTGGCGACAGAGTTCAGGGACTGGACCACCAGGGCTGGCTGGAACTCCATCGGGCGCGCGCCAGTGGATGATCGGCCGAGTGGACGGAGATTCTCCAGCGTTCAGTGCTCAATCTGAATCCGCGACTGCGGCTGCTCTATCCGGAAGTGTAACAGGAGCACCCGCAGCCAGCAAGGGCGAGGCTCGGCATTGCTGGATGGCGACACCGACACGTTGCAGGCGAAGTTTTCGGATATTTATTGAACACTGGCGAGGTGGTCCTCCGGACTGCTCGCTGGGAATTGGCTTACTGGAACCTCATCAGAAGTGCTGCTTGGAATCGACCAATCCGGCCGGTTCCCGTTCTGACCCCCCAACCCAACCGGCCACTCACGCGCTGCCCTCACCTCTTCCGCTGCTTCAATCTTTTTCTCCTTTTCCCCTCCACCTCGCCCTTCGTGACCCTGTCCGTGTCTCTCGTTTGTCTTCTCTCCATTCTTCCTTGATTCTATCGCTATTGAGGTTATGAAATGAGAGGGTCTCTGCGCATCGGGGCCGCCGCCCTCCTTACTGTCTCGCTTCTCTTCCTCCTGGGCCGCCTGTTCAACGTCGCTCCCCAGGTTCCACGCCCACAGGCCCGATGGATCTTCAATGTCGGTAGCAGGCCAGATCCCTCCGAGCTCAACTCCTGGAGATCGCGATGGTCGAAGAGCGAATCCGGCGTTGCTCCCAAGACCTACGACACGACTCCCATCACCGTCCCTAATGATCGCATAATCGTAATGGCCAAGCTGGCCGTGGAGGATACGAATTGGGTCGGCGCCGAGCTGGCAGAGTATGCGGCCATCCCTTTTTTCCTTTTTCCTACTTTTTATTTTTTTTTTCATCTGCCAAACCGAACTGACAATTATCTGAATTTAGGTGGCGAAGCTTCATCTACACGGTCGACGATCAAAACGCGGCGCGACACACTCCCATGAACAAGGGCCGCGAAGCTCTCGCCTACCTCCAGTACATCGTCGACCACTACGATGATCTCCCAGCGACGATTGTTTTCATCCACAGCCACCGTGACGGCTGGCCTGGTGCGTGGCACACCGACACTTTCGACTACAGCAACGTGGAATCGCTCCGGTCGCTGCAGATCGACTTTGTGCAGCAAAACGGTTACGCCAACCTCCGCTGCCAGGAAAGCCCCGGCTGCCCCGACGAAATCAGACCCTTCCGGAACCCGCCCCGACCGGGGAAGAACGCCGAGAAGATCTACGCTGATGCGTGGAAGGCGCTGTTCCTGAACGACGATGTCCCGGAAGTTGTCGCGGCCCCGTGCTGTTCGCAGTTCGCAGTCTCCCGAGAGCAGGTCCTCCAACGCCCGTTGAGCGACTACCAGCGATACTACAACTGGGTGCTCGGAACCGACCTTCCTGATGACCTGACCTCCCGTGTAATGGAATATACTTGGCATATTATTTTTGGACAAGACTCAGTCTAGTACGTTCCCGCCCTTAGTCGATCCAAGCCCCATTTGAAATGCTAACCCGTATCCAGCTGCCCCGACGTTTTCCAATGTTATCAAGACGTCTACGGTACCGCTTCTCTCTGGTAATTTTGGATAATTCTTGTATATATTAAAATAACCGATTTTCTGCACCCCCTGACGACGACATATGTGACAAACTTACTTTTCCCCCCTTCTTCTGCCAGGCCAGGCGCACGTTGTACATTAATCGGACTTTGCATTACGGGCATCTTATTATAGACTATTTAACCACTTTTCTTTGGGTTTCGGGGTCATGGCTATCAGATAAAAGTTATTTTAGTGATTATAGTGATTGGTTGAGTTCCTCCCTCTTCCGCACGCGGCGCTGTCCCATTGCGGATATCTCAGATCACGCGACGCCACGCCAAGCTCAGTTTTGGTAGCAAGGAATAAACATCCGACGGTGTAACGATCCACCACGTAAGGCTGACTGATGAAGTTCTCTTCTGGACGGCGCAAATCTAAATTTAATCCTGTCTCTAGTGTGAGTTCCTGAAGATCTAGGATGTTGGGGGTGGTGCTTGTTTCTCCAGCCAGCTCTTCGTGGTTCGTGCAAAGGCAGCTCTACTTCACAGGATCAAAATCCAAAACGCCAGGATTATTAGCACTGGCGAGGGTTGATACCAAGAGTGAGGTTGAGAACCCCAGAGGTTTGCAGGTCAAAGGAAACAACCCCTTTGTGGCTCGGTGCAGAGTGAGTAAACAAGGTGAGGAAAGAGGAGGAGCGTAAAAAAATCACTACTTGCTGAATGAAAGGGTGGCATACATATAGGAGTCTCTACTGCCAAGTGCGGCTATACACTTAACTAGCTAATTCTGGTAATGACTCATGCCGGGGTGCTATCTAATAAAAGGTAATTGATCAGTATTGCATAGAATAACAGCTTGTAGATAGCAAATAGTTCTCATATACATGACACATGCCCAACGCGAGTAGCCTTGACTATCAAGAAAGCGGCCGCGATAATAACACATAAAGCACAAACCAGAGTTTCAAAAATTTTAAGATCCAGGTTCAGTAGTTTGACATATCGCCATTACTATGGAGGTATGGGGCCCAAACATGATAGGCTAATGTTTCGAGAATACATCTGTGCCAGTGTGAGTGAGGTAACTAGTCAAGAGGTTATTAAGATCTTATCTTATATGTAATAGATAACATACGTATATCGGCAGTCTGGGTAGAGCCTGATCAGTTATTACAGAAGATCGCGAACCCCCGGCTTTTCTTCTCGCGTTCTTCCCGGGGGTGAATTTCCTTGGTCGGATATATAACGACGTACAGTCGAAGGTGTACCAGGCATCGTTGATTTTGTTGACAAGAGGATCCTTGCCACTGTAAGTCCCGTACCATTTGTCAAGTGCCTCTTTGTCTGCTGCCGCGAGAAGCAAACGGCCGCTCCCTTTGTTGAAGCCGAATTGCTATATAAAAATGGAGGTTAGCCATGTTTCGCTGAAGAAGCTACCTTGGGGGTTCCTGAACAGATAATACCTACGTTAAGGCCTATAACATATGTGTAAACGGGCGACGTCTGGTAATCTCTTCTGCGTCAGTTCGGATCTGGTGTATTGACGATCGCCCTATGGATACTGGTCTGAATTGAAAGATCAGAGACATTGACGGCCTCGATTAATGGCTCGGTGGGTCATCGCTGTGTCTCATCCCTTTTGCTGTTAAGGATTTTGAGAACTTAGGATGTTGTTTTTTCGCTGGGCTGGTGTTTACCGTGGTGTCTGCTTCTCACTTGCAATATCTTCAAATACAGCCATCTTTCCTTTCCATTTCCCATATCCCATCTTCAACTTCAGTTTCACTGTTCACCGTGACCGTGGCTAAATTTGTCCCATATTCTGCATACTCTTTTTATCCTTCGCTTCATTCTCAAACCATGGGTTCTCATATAGTGGACCTTGAACTCCATGCCTTATCTACGGATGGCCATCCCTCCGATTCCCAGACCCCCAGAACGCCAGCCAGTGACGACAACTCCTCGTCCATACCTACTACCGTTCCCCCGCTGCACCAGGCCCCTACCGCGCCCTGCTCTCCCCCTGCACCACTCTCGCCATCCGATCGCTGGGTAAGCTTGCGATATTCCTTTCCTATATTCAGATACTGACAAAGGCACTGAAGATCAGAAATACGCACATCGAGAACGTATTCATGACATCTGGGAACGCAGGAACTGGCCTTTATTCGTACTGTAAGAGGTTGGAAGCTAGGCTTGAATCTCCGGACTCTGTCTTGCGGGCTTGCTGGCTGGACGCATGGCCGGGAGTAGCACCGCTACCTTCTGGCAGTGGGTTGAAGCGCTGAATGGCGGGATCAAAGATATCCGAGTCGGAGGGAATGCGGAGACCACTTACAGGGACATTGTCCGTCATCTCTACCCAGCTGCTTCCCACACTACCGAAATCGGTGCGGTGTCCTACCTCATTTTCGCGACAATATGTTGCGTCACGGCCGTGGGCAGGCCCACGATAAATCCTCCTCCGAGCAACAACAGGGCCACAGCTCTGGGGATGCAAATCCATGGAGCGCAATTCCGGGTTCCTGTGGAGACATCTATTGACTCTCTCGTCAGCAATTCCTTCGTCGACTCGCAGAGGCTTACTCAGGCCGACCCCTGTCGAACGCCTGGCAACAACGCAGTCCACCCCGACAACTTGGATTTGAGTGTGGTAGAGTACGCGTCTTCCCACAAGGTAGGCCAGGGACTGAAGATAAAGTTTGTGCAAAACATGGTCGATTTATTTACGCTTCGACCCCACAGCTGGAGAACTTTCTATTTTCGCCTGGCCGTCTATCTGTCTGGCCACTCTGGCTGGCCGGGCTGAGAACGGGACCGGGGTGGCACTCGCCAGTCTGTATGATACTGCCCTCTTCCACTTTTACCGTTATGACTTTGACATCTAATCATTCGTTTCTTTACATGCAGGCTAGCTGAAAGGCTTCGAGGGTCGGCCTCCGACCCAACTATCTTCGAAGAAGTACTCTTGTCGATGCGGCTACTCTTTGCCAGATCGAAGAAGTCTCGAGACATGTTTTTGAAACGAGTAGGCCAGGAGGAGCAGCCTGTTGACCCCTTTTGGGGTGAATGCGTATCACCGATAAACGCAGGTAATGCTCAGACGTCTTCTCGCTCTCGTTTTCCACCCGTCTTTATTCGCTGCTCGGAGTCTATGAGGTACTTCAATAACGCCTATTTCGCAGACTATGCGCTGGACCCGGAGCTGTGGAATCGCCTACAAGACAGCAGAGCCTGCAGCGCAGCAGCAGTGTTCCCCGTATTCGCGGACCGCCTGACAACCCTGCAGGTCTTTATAAACCCGCAATCAGTTGACGGCTTCTGGGAACTCGTGAGGGGCCGTCGAAACTGGGCAGAAACCGTTAAGTTTCGAGTTTCTCTGGCTGCCATTGCTTTAACCGTGATTGAGATAGTGATACCGCTCGTTGTTACGAAGGCTACCAAGTGAGTCCGGCCCATTGGTGCTTCAGTTGGGTCGAGAGGCTCGGTTTTGTTTTCTTTCCTCTCTCTTTGTTGGATAGCCGTCAAGATCAGATCAACACTCAGATCGGGCCGGGAAGACCACCTAACCCAGATCGGAAGTTCTATGGTCGGCCCGGGCCCGCCTGGATCAGGTGCACTCCACAGTCCCCAGATCGACGGTTCTTTAAGATGGGAATCCAGTTGCGCGTTCCCAGCTTTAAGTTATTTCTGGGCATTACTCACTCTTGAGACCTGCTTCTGCAAATGAACCAGCCCTCCAACACCTTTAATTCTCTGTTTTTCGGGATATTCCAGCTATGAGATTTCGTCAATCGCCTCTGCTTTGTTCAGTACCTTTCTTGACTCTTTCTATTCTTCTCTAACTATTTTTAATAGTGCTATGGCTACCCATTATCTTTCGCCGGTTCACTTTGTGGGTTTTGATGTTGCTTATATGCATCCGGTACTTGCAGAGTAATATTTGGAGTGTTGACAAGAAAAATAAAGATTCCGTATGCCACCAACTCCTGTGATATTATTGTTTCAAACTATCAGATACTAATAAGTCAATTTGGAATACAGCAAATCCAATGACCGCATTCAAAGTCTGGTCAACTCTGGTGACTCTGGGGCTCTCGGCTTCGAGTGTCTCGTTTCCAGGTATACTTTCTGCATACCTTTTTCGCGTTGGTTGAACATTGCATACACCTTGTCGATATCCTCGAGCCGGAGTCGATGGCTGACCATATGGAGCGGGTCAATCTTTCCCTTCTGAACAAGCTCCATCAGTCCCTTCCAGTACTTATGCACCGGAGCCTGGCCATTCCCGATCAATCGGACACCGGTCTGCATAAGCGCTCCGATATTAAAGTGGTTCGTCTGCACGCATCAGCAATCATCCTCTGCGACAATGTCTGGGGCGGTACTCACAAATCCAGCGTAAACTCCCGTTAGTCCAACCCGTCCAAACGGCCTGACCGAGGTAATCATCTCATTCACGATCTCTGAGGTATCCGTCTCTGCCCCCATCATCTGCTCAAAGAAATGCACCCACCCCTTCGCATACTCGCCCCCAACACACTCCAAACAGGCATCCAAAGAATGTTCCGTCATCTGGTGCAGCTGGCTAGAAACCGACTCGCCCTTGGGCAATTTCGAAAAATCCAGCGTCTCAACCTTGGGCACCTTCGCCTTCACGAAATCCAGCCTCCACGCTCCATCCGCGCCATCAATCAAAATCACCCGACTTGCCCCATGATAGAACGCGAATTCCACACTCATCTGCCCAATTGGCCCAGCACCCCAAACAGCAACAACATCGCCCTCGTTGACCCCGGTATCAACAACACAGTGCCAGCTCGTTGCCACGACGTCACTCAAATACAACGCCCTTTCGTCCGGCACCGCATCGGGGATGGGTAGCAGATTGACATCCCCAAACGGTACGCGCACAAACTCGGCCTGTCCTCCGGCAAAGCCACCTGTAAAATGGCTATACCCGAAGATCCCAGCCGTGCGCTTCCCGTACATTGCGTTCGTGATGCTGTTCTCGTTGGTGTTTTCACACTGGCTGTACATTTCGGCTTTGCAGCGCCGGCAGGTCCCGCAGGCAATGGGGAAGGAGACAACGACGCGCTGGCCTGGCTTGTATTTTGTGACCCCTGGTCCGACGGAGTCGATTACTCCGCAGCATTCGTGGCCGAGGACGTCGCCTTTTTGGAGTTGGGGAATTACGGCTGTTGAAAACCCGTTAGGCTGTCACTAAAACAAGAGAATTCAAGGCACTTGGAGTCTGTTCATACTGGGTCACCATACCATGATATAAGTGCAGATCACTTCCACATATTGTACTCCCTGTTATTCTGACGATGGCGTCGGGGGCGTCCACGATGCGTGGTTTGGGCATTTCAACTGACATCCAACCAGTTAGATCGCCATCTGGGCCTTGTTATCCTGGGCGCACGAACCAATTCCAACCTCATTCTTTCCCTCCCAGACCGTCGCGCGGATCTTCTCGCCCGTCTCGACACCGTACTCATTGTTGTAATTGCTGATGTCAGTGGTGGTCGTTGCTGTGTCGCTGTGGCCAATGGCCTTCTCGACGAAATTTGCAGCCTGGGTTGCAGCCATATTAAGGACCCTGGGGGTTTAGCTTTTGTTTTAAGTCGTGTTATTGGTTGTTGGTATATATTTTCGGTGAAGGGTAGAAGATATCGATTTAGAATTTCACCACCGCTGCTATATTTTTAGTTGAATTTTATCAGATTAAGTATAAGTATAGCATTGCAGTGCTCTTTGAACGTCCGCTGACTCTCTCTTCTTTAATATCAAGATATCTTTTGCTCTCGTCGACGCGACATTTGCATCACGGTGACATCACATGATCATCTGGCTTCCCTGCCATGGACGCTGCTCTCACCATGGGCTGGCCCAGCCCTTGATCTCGAATCGCGTCAGGATGACACCTATGAGCGCGGGTTAACTCTAGGGACGTTCAGTTAAGCCTATCGACCCCTCGCGTGTGGCGTTCGGGCAGAGAAGAGGTAATTGCCGCTGGCTGTGCCCTAACTAACCAAACCCACCCTGCGTAGTATTCCAAGCCATAATACAGCAGCTCCACAACATTTAAATTCATAAACATCAAGTCTCAGTACGCACTGGCCTACCAAGGTTGCACCCCATCCCGATTGACCACCCTCCCAACATCCCCGTCACGCCTCCCCTCAAGTACATCCCGAAACAGTGCCCCTGCAACAGCCGGATCCCCGGCTCCCATCTTCTTCAAAATCTCCGGATTCCCACCTAAATTCGTCGCCAACAGCCCCGGGCTGATCGCAAACACCTTGACCCCATCCTTCGTCAGGATCCGATCCCACTCGCGCATCATCATATTCAGGCCCGTCTTGGCGCTGCGGTACGCAGCCACATTCATCATTGTCTTCGGCCACCCAGGCTCAGGGACCATCCGGTCAGCAGGTGTGGTCTTGGTCACAGTGCCTTCGAGCGTCGCTGTCCCAGATGTAACGAAGACTATACGCGGGTCGTCACTTTGCAGGAGCAAAGGGATGAACGTTGCTGTTACGATCTGGGTCCCTGTGACGTTGACGTCCCACGATTTATTCCAGGCTTCGCGCGTGGAGATCTCGCCACGGAGACCGCGCTGGTCGAATTGTGCTCCTGGGAGGTTGTTAGCATGCCTGAACACCTATACTACCGGAATGGTATGGTATGGTATTCCTACCAGCGTTATTAACAAGCGCATCCACCTTCCCAAATGTTCCCTTTACCTCGTCGTAGGCTTTCTCGATAGACTCGTCCGACTCGAGATCGAGAACCGCGGGTGTCAGCTTGCTCGATGAAGACGAGCACTCGCTCTGGATTTCGCTGATCGCGTCTTGCGCTTTGGATAGTGATCTCGCGGCAATGATAATGCTGTACGCCCTGTCGGCGCTGTATAAGGCCCTCGCGACGTGGAAGCCGATTCCGGTGTTGGCACCTGTGATGAGGATGACTTTTGCATCGGCCATGATATAAATCCCTTTTTGATTTCCTCGCGTTGCTTGCCATTCCGATGGCTCTCGATTTTGGGGCGTATAAGTAGTAGTAGGCTTAAATCCGGCGAAGGGGGGTATCTCCGCCGCGTGGGTTAAATCCACTGGTTAAATCCGAAAGTATTCTGCACTTTCAATGGGGATATTCTTGGTTGGCGAGTAGACGAGGGTGCATAGACCAAGTAAAGGGGCCAAAACAGCATGGCTGTGCGGCGTGAGTGCATGTCGACCCACCACTAAGTACAGTCCAGCGTGGGGTTGTTTGAAGCCTTGGATAAGAAGCTTGCTCTACGAGCTAATCGCAGGACCAATCGGCTGCATGATAAGCGCAATGGTCGAACGTGGGTTGTGAATAATATGTATAAATGGAGCATTAGATATGGAGGCTGATGGTGCCTCCGCATACTTTATATAACTGGGGATATATATTTCAAACCGGGCAACTGGCAATGAACAAATACTTTATTCTCATATAACCGTCAATAATTTCTTCAAATAACATATGACCAGTCCTATATCAGTGGTTCTGATTGGGATAGTATTCTTCATTATCGTACTCTTCACAGGGACTATATATACTATTCCATTCGCTTCATTATACGTGGAATGGCGAACCCAAGCCCAAATATTTTCTAGATTTAGAGACCTGACATTGTGCTTTCCGTTCTACTTCGTCGCTCATATGCCGAGTCTCACTACTTTGAGGAGTTTGCATTTGTTGTAAATTCTGATGTGAATGCGTCAACCATTTGGGATCAAATTTACAACCATCGCTACAAGGCATAATGCAGGGTTGAGCCTCGGCAGGAGCCAAAAAGGTCGTAGCGCATTCAGCATTGTTCTATACAGGGTAGAAAATAGGCAGCTTCAAAGAGAACAGTAAACTTACAGATAATCAGGTACGATTCGCGGCCTATTGCATGGAACTCTTCTTATTTCCACCCCACTCCAAGTCGTAAATACTCAACAAAGAGGCGGTGTTGTTGATGCGCCCTTCAACCACGCACTTCCATCCAAACAGCAACGCAGACTCAGTTATTATCTTGCGGGCGCATTTGCTTTTTGTACGGTGAAGAGTCCGACCAGGCTAGATGTGCATCATCGCGAATCCTGGCGAATCTCTTCAGTGCTTGGCCTCCGATCTTCACCTGAGTCGTTGTTCTTGCTCACTTTACCGAGATTCCATGCATGGCGACCCAAGCACGATATAGATTTACTGGGCCATCTGGTATTAATGTATTTTTCTCCTTGCTTGATTCTGGGGTATAAATTGGAAGCGGGACGGTGCCAGCAACGAGAACGTGGTTGCGCCTGGCGATGATTTGCCACATCGGAGTGCGCTGAGCATCGCCTGTCCTTCTCGCCTGCTTGCGGACATTCCCCATTGTCGATCATCACTTCGCGGCTTTTCCTTTCAAGCAGTCGAGAACCTGCCTGGCCCTCTTAATCATCGCTGCTTGGATTCCAGCCGGACCAGCTGCTGGAGATTTTCACATTGTTTGCGTCATTTGCCTCTCTTGGGCGTCCCCAACTCAATTCAATTGCCCCTTCGTCCACTTTCTTTCTGTCCGCATCGGTCGCGCCTCTTTGTCTAGCAATTTGTCGTGCTAGAAGTGTTTGCCGAGTTCTTTTTGAGAATCGCGGCCGTCGCTTGCACTCGAGTCGGCCTGGTTGCGGGCAGCTGTCGCTCTCAGCCAAACAACCCCTCAGCTTCCAAGTTCGCACAACCCAAGCCCAGCCTGAACCGCTCTCCAGTCTCCGCCGCCAACCTCCTCCGTCTTTTGCTCTCCCCTCCGCTGCGCTCTTGCCAGCCCAACAACTGCCCTTTATCTATCCCCCCCTCTCTCTTGCTCGCTCTTCCCTTTGCCCGGTCCCATGGAAGGCGTCGATCTCCAATCCGTCCTCAACAAAGGCAAGCAGATGGCCTCCAACGTCGCCTCCGCCACCAACGGCACCACCAATAAGAAGAGAAGAAAGGGCACCGACTTGAAGCCCATCGTCACCAACGATTCCGCGATGCCTCCTAGCGACCAAGCGGGTTCGACTGGCGACCCGTATGTTTTCCCACTTCATCCCTTCCGCCCCTCACTGTGGCGCTGCATCTGTATTTTCCCTGTGCTAACCCGCTTCCGATGATAGTGTCCCGCCATCACGGTCTGGCTCCTCGTCCTCCGAAGAAGAAGTCGAAACCACTGCCGAGGAGGAAGACTCAGAAGACTACTGCAAGGGTGGCTACCATCCCGTCCAGATCGGAGAGCTCTACAATAATGGCCGATATGTCGTCGTGCGCAAGTTGGGGTGGGGTCACTTCTCGACCGTCTGGTTATCCCGCGACACAACGACAGGGAAACACGTCGCCCTGAAAGTCGTCCGGTCGGCCGCTCATTATACCGAAACCGCCATCGACGAAATTAAATTATTAAATCGCATTGTCCAAGCCAAGCCTTCCCACCCTGGGCGCAAGCACGTCGTTAGCTTGCTTGACTCTTTCGAGCACAAGGGCCCGCACGGGGTCCATGTTTGCATGGTATTCGAAGTGCTGGGAGAGAACCTCCTCGGTTTGATTAAGAAATGGAACCACCGCGGTATTCCCATGCCGCTTGTGAAGCAGATTACGAAACAGGTGCTTCTAGGCCTTGATTATCTTCACCGGGAATGCGGGATTATTCATACCGACCTGAAACCCGAGAACGTCCTGATCGAGATCGGCGATGTTGAGCAAATCGTGAAGACATACGTTAAGGAGGAGGAAAAGAAGGCACAGAAGGAGAAGGAAGACAACCGTAACGGTCGGCGGAGGCGCAGGACATTGATCACTGGCAGCCAGCCGCTACCGAGTCCTCTGAACACCAGCTTCGATTTTAAACACAGCTCCCAAAATTCTCACAGCAGCCTCAGCCAGCTTGTCAATGAGTCGCCAGGTGCGGAGAGCCAATTGAAAGTATAATGTATTATCGCTGACAGAGACAGGTCCCGAAACCCCGTCGATGAAACAAATACTCGGCATCAAGGATGAGGATGAGCAGCACAAGCAGAGAGAAAAGACTGCGTACGTGGAGTGACCTGTTTTTAAGCAACCGTTTACTAACAACTGACAGCGACTTGCTGGAACGAGAGGTTTCTGGAATTTCACTTGATAAGTCATCCTCAAACGACGAAGAGGTTGATTGCGGCATTATCTCTGTGAAGATTGCCGACCTGGGCAATGCATGCTGGGTTGGCCACCATTTTACCAATGATATCCAGACACGCCAATACCGCTCGCCCGAGGTTATTCTGGGATCTAAATGGGGGGCGAGTACGGACATATGGAGTATGTCCTGCATGGTAAGCCTGCCATTGAATATTATCCCATGGTGGAGGGTTACGGAAGGTCTAACTTTCGCAGGTTTTCGAATTAATAACCGGCGACTACCTGTTCGATCCTCAGTCTGGTACTCGGTACGGCAAAGATGATGACCACATAGCGCAAGTTATCGAGCTGCTTGGTAACTTCCCGAAGTCGCTCTGCCTCTCAGGTCGCTGGTCGCAAGAGATATTCAACCGCAAGGGCGAACTACGCAATATCCACAGACTCCGCCATTGGTCGTTACCTGATGTGCTAAGAGAGAAATACCACTTCTCGCCCTCACAGGGTATGGCCATTAGCGACTTCCTCCTGCCGATGCTGGAGGTGCTGCCGGAAAAACGTGCCAATGCTGGTGGTATGGCATCACATGAATGGATGAAGGATACCCGGGGGATGCAAGAGGTCGACCTGGGTCTCGTTCCCGGCAGTAGAGGAGAAGGCATTGAGGGATGGGCCACAGAGGTAAAGCGGAGATGAGCGTGAAGCCCAAATTGATCCGATATAACGACAGTATATGTCTCGAGTGACGATTTTCCTTCATTTGTCATAATTTCCTTGCTGCGCATTTTCCACATCTTGGGCCGATGGCTAGTTGTTGGTTGTCCATGACCACTCCGTACATTCTAAACGTCCACCTACTCTCTCTCCCCCCTCCTCTCTCTTCCTCTCTTCATCCTCCTCTACTCATTCTTTACTATCATAGAGTCTGATTTTCTGTCTGATGTGTCCACTTTGCTACACCTCAACTTTACCTCTCCCCACTCCACCTCTATTTCTCCTGCCTTTAGACGCCCTACGGGGTATTGATGTCGGAGATGGATATATTACGGTGGTCGATTCTTGTCCTTGCCATTTTCCATTTACGGTCCGGGATATCTGATGTTTGCGATAGCAATTGTACGTATGGGTTCTGGGGTGTCTGAGATAGGACTATGCAATATGATCCCATCTCTTGTTAGAGATTGAACGAGAACTGCGTTTTGCCTGGCGTAGGCTATGTGCTATAACCCATTTCGCCTAAGCTCTTCGTCTTCGTCCGATTCTTCGCCTTCATCTGCATCAACCTCACTCGGTAACTCAACAGGAAACCACCCAACCCGCGCAAAGTCTACATAGAACTCACCCATACTATCGCTAGCAACCTCAACACCCTCCTCACGAAGAGCCTCTGCCTGTCTCGCTGCACTCCCAGGCCCGCTAACAGACACCCATCAGCTCGCAACTCTTCATTCCAATTATTGCACCCATAATACAAAACAAGACCACCAATGCATGGGACAAGCGGATAAGGAGCCTGGTAGCACTTACCGATGCGAAATCATCCCCTTGGAATTCACAACCCGCTGCCACGGCACATTCCCGCCGTTGAAATACTCCCCGCTCTCTGGACTCGGGAGGTGTTTTAAACAGATCCCAACCTGGCGAGGACGTTTTGCTGGGAAACCAAGTACTGTCAGCCTTACACTCTTGATATCGCGTCTGCGTAGACGAAATGAGCAGGCGAGAAACGCAAATGTGGGTATCATGGATGCTGGTGGGAAGGGGTATATGTAGCTAGCTATATATTGACAATATACTGTGTTTATTAGGGTGCAGTACGGACGTTCACCTAGTAAGAGAGCGATGTGCCCGTAGGAGGTTACCTTGCCCCGCGGGATCTCGCGCACGGCGGCGTAGACGGCGTTGAACCAGTGTTCTGCTTCCTCTGTTCGGGGCATTTCAATTTCGGCGTTGAGGTGTCTGTTCACCTATAAAGTAATTGAAGCACTGTATCCGAGTCTTGATAGCTTTGGATGTGGGTTGTTTGGCAGTTGGCTGTGTTGTACGCAGCGGAGTAGAGTACAGTAATACCATGGGATTTGCTCTTCGTCTGCCGAGCGAAGGGAGTACCACTTTGGCAATCAAAGAGACTTGGTTAAGTGTTGGAACTAGGTGCCTGCAATCTCTCATCAACAAAAAACGTCCAATATAAGAGAAGAAGATGACAATGCCCATGTCCCTCGTATCGCGCATACAAAAAGTACAGTATAGCATACCGGGAGAATAGATAGTCCGTTTCAACACAGACCGCCAAGCCCGCAGTCCAGCCCAACTCGCCGCCTTCACAGCTAAAAGTAAAAGTGAATGGAAGCTAAAGGCTGTCGAGCTCACGACCAACCAACAAACCAAGCACCCAAGTCATAAACAAATACAACAAAATAGACGACAATGCCCTCAAGCTCATTAGCCGAATACCTCGCAAAGAACTACCTCACCGCGGATCCAGCACCAGCAAACTCCGAACGGCCCAAGAAGAAGCGCAAGAAGACCAAGGCAGCAGAATCCGGCGCCGATGGCGGTGGTCTCATAATTGCAGACGATGATCCGCCCGATCTACGCAGTACGGCGGGGCTGTCGACGCGCGATAATGACGAGTACGGACCGGCTGTTGTGTCGGGCGGGCGGAGCGGGGAGTTTCGGCGCGCGAAGAAGAGTAATTGGAAGACGCTAGGATCAGGGACTACGGGCACGGATACAAATACGGGGGTTACGGGGAGTGAGCGCGATGCGGCAGATGCGATTCTAGCGGATGCGATGGCGGAGGAGAACGCGAGACGGGCTGGCGGTGATGAGGACCCGATGGTTGTTGATCAAGATGAAGATGATGATGGATTACGGATGGAATCTGGAGCTCGGGCGGGACTACAGACGGCGGAGCAGACGGCTGCGATGGTTGCTGCGCAGAAGAAGCGGAGGAAGGCGGAGGAGGCTCTGTATAAGGGGAAGAAACAAGGGGATGCGGCTGAGGAAGGGCAGGAGACGGTATACCGAGATGCGTCAGGGCGGATTATAAATGTTGCCATGAAGCGGGCAGAGGCGCGACGGGTAGAGGAGGACAAGAAGATCAAGGAGGCTGAGGCGAAGGAGGCGCTTATGGGGGATGTTCAAAGGCAGGAGAGAGAGGGGAGGAGGCAGGCTCTTGAGGAGGCAAAGGCGATGCCACTGGCACGCACGGCGGAGGATGAAGACCTGAATGACGAGTTGAAGGCGCAGAGCCGGTGGAATGACCCGGCGGCGCAGTTCTTGACCAAGGCCGCTGCGGGCGTCAGCAAGACGGGGAAGCCGTTGTACAAGGGGGCGTTTCAGCCGAATCGGTATGGAATTAGGCCAGGGCACCGGTGGGATGGCGTTGACCGGGCGAATGGGTTTGAAAAGGAGTGGTTTGCAGCCAGAAACCGCAAGGGCAGAATGGAGGCGTTGGAGTATGAGTGGCAGATGGATGAATAGTCTGTATCATTGTTGTACTATATTGCGGTGCTGGACACCGAGATGCATCTAATCTATGGCGATATTGAGATACAAGCACACAAACCAATCCAAACAGGCTAGTGCCGGCTACAGCCTCTGCTTTCGTCATCACAGCCTGGTCGTGATGTTTATTTTGGGAAGAATGCGAAACAGACTCCAAGCTTACTAACCAGGCCCCCGTCCAACCCCGAGACTCCAGCGCAGGTTTGCGTGGATGCAGCTGACAGGGACGCATGATAAGCCCAGCCGGAGAAAGGAGGAGATGCAAATCGCATCATCGCATGACATCACAGCAGGCAAGTGACCGCCCAGAACGGACAAGGTGCCTGAGGCTGTGGCCTGGGCGGTCGTTGGTCCGGCCATCTGCAGGAGAGCAGCAGCCTCGGGATCCTCGGTTGACGAAACTAGAGGACCATGGAAGATGGGTCTCGGCTGGATCGCAAGTGGCGCATCCCCAGAAAATGAGGGGAGGAGAAGGGGGTGCTTGATTGATAGGACCTCGTTATCAAGAGCTGCAGTGGTGTGAACGACCTGCACCTGCCGCAATCAGCATCGCCTCGCCCGGACCCCCCTGGAGGGCGCCTGATAAAGAAGCCCAGCCGTGACTCGATATCGCCAAACAAGGTCCCCGACTCGCCTTCCAAGGTTCTGATTCCTTTTGATCTCTTTGACCTCGAGTTTCTTGTTTGTCTGCCTCTGTTCTTACTCACTTTGCCGGTCTTTGATGACACAAAGCTGGTGACTGGTTTCCAGCCGAGCCTTGGTGACTCACTCGATCTATAAGTCCCCATTCCAAGCGCCCATATCGAGCACGAATCCGGGCGCATTACTCATTCATCTCCTGCATATCGCCTCCTACCCCCTGGTATATACCGCGCTGGCTCAACTGCTACCTAGTCCAGGCATACACTACAGACAACCTTACAAGAGCGCACTGCGTCTCATCTGATATACCTCCACCAGGCCGTCTACTATACTATAACCTCTCCACTCTACGCCATGTCTGTCTCTTTTGACAAGCCCGACCTGCGCCAGGCTGGCACCGCCGCCAAGCGGGTTTACGACAAGAAGGCCAAATGGGTGCACGGTGGCCGAACCTCTCGCCCCGGCGTTATTACCCTTGATGGTGTTCTCCCAATAACTCGTCCTGCAAAGCAAGAATCGCAAGTATATCCGGTTGACGGTATCGCAGATGCAGGGGCTGACTTTAATAGAACATCATGGAACAAGCGCCAACGCGAACGAGACGCACAGCGTGGCTCCACCACCAGAAAGATCGACTTCCACAACGACGTGCGAGAGGCTCTCGATGATGCGACCTCCGACTCATCCGCCGTTGAAGATCGGGGCGACCCTGTTGTCGCAACGACCGTCGCCGAAGTTTGCCACGGAGACGGCGTGGCCGATCCTTACGAGGTGTCGGGGCAGACGCTCTTCAACGACATGATCGATAAGGCGGTCGAGAAGTTCGAGAGAAAGGAGACGGAGAAGCTGGTCAAGGAGTACGAGTTCATTACTCGGGAGAGCGAGATCGCCACCGGGTATCTTGCCGACGAGGACGAGTTTGAGCTCGTTGACCATGTGAAACTGTGAAGACCTCTTGCCTTCTTTCCTTTTCTCACACGCACATTTATAATATGAGCGATCGGACCGGAGTTGGGCTAGAGCTTTTTGATTCCCATTAGATGATTTGATTTCGGAGTCTGTTGGCGCTTGAGTTATCGATGCGTGCTGCGTTTTTGATCTGGGACGGTTATTTGGCTGCGGCACCGACCTAGGATTCTTCTTTCGAGCCGACGGCGATGATGATATTGGTTATTGTTATTATAATCAGAATGGACATATATAAATAGCCCTGGGGTGTTTGTGAGGTGTTTACACCGTAGATGCAGTAGCGGCGCGCCTGGAGCGCAACCCGCAGTGAGGGGGAGCTTCGGCCAGCCGATCGTAGAGTGAACAAGATTAACTCATGATAAGGACAGGAATCAGGATGAAAAAAAAGAAAATTCCCATCTAGTTGAGGAGAGACTCGCTCGCATGTGAACTGAGGCTTATGAATGCGGTTGCTCCAGGCAGTGATTGTTTACCAAAACAAAAAGGGAAGCGGAAAAAGTCGAGATCCTTGGCCCAAAATCCTCCGCAGATCACCTCTTCCTCCGCACTTTCATCACCCACCCGTGCATTCATTCGCCTTTTCCATTTCCCTGATCAGTTCACCCAACTGCTCCAAAATGGATAAGAGAACAGCGGAGAGTCCGATGGACTTTGAGTGGCAGTCCAGGGCCCCGGGAGATGTCACCTCGCCATTTTATCAGCTCAGCATGCAACACGACAACCAGAAGAAGCGTGCGTCACAGCCGTGCTTTTACCAACACCTCCATGCTAACATGTCTCAGGATCCCATAATGTGTTCGACTCCCCGGAAAAGAAGCCCATCCCTGCCCTCCGTGAGCCCAACTCGCAACCATTCCTCTTCTCCCAGACGAAGCCCGCAGCCACGTCAAAATCGCCGTTTGCTCAACCCGCCTTCATGACACCCCGCAAATTCGATCTGGATTTTTCCTCAGGAGCCGAGAACATGTCGTCTCCAGAAAATGCCGACAACGACGAAACACCAGAGCAGTCCGCAAAGTCAGGTCATCGAAATTCGCTATTTGGGATGTACGGACGGTTCGCACCAAGCCCCGGTCGAGGCGAAATCCCACGGATGAATCACTACTCCAACGCAGCCGCGAGACGGGTTCAGAAGCGAAGATTACGAAACAGGACGCTAGACATGCGACTTCGGAAAGACGATAGTGACGATGAGAGCGATCGGCCGAGCAGCAGTGAAAGTCGGCAGGCCATCACGCAGAAGGGACAGAACCCTACAGATCAGCCGTCGCGAATGTCTACATTTTCCGACTTCTTTGCGCTGCTGGAGGCGCATCCGAATGTTCCAAATATCCTGTCCTGGTGGGCACAGCTCGTCGTCAACCTTTCGCTGTTTTCACTCGCGGTGTACGTCGTGTTTGGATTTGTATCGGCCATTCGTGCGGAGTTTGACCAAGCTGCCGAGGAAGTGTCTGATACGATATTGGCTGAGATGGCAGTTTGCGCAAAGAGCTATGTTGATAACCGGTGCGCGGGCGGAGATCGCCTGCCAGCCTTGGAAACTGTCTGTGAGAACTGGGAACGATGCATGAACCGTGATCCGGCCAAGGTTGGACGAGCCAAGGTGTCGGCACAGACCATGGCGATTATCATCAACAGCTTCATCGATCCGATCAGCTGGAAAGCAATTGTAAGTTATTGGCAACTCGCGCTTTGTTCTAAACTAACGGCTTTAGTTGTTTTTCCTTGTAACCATATCCACAGTCACTGTTGTCAGCAACTGGTCGTTCCGCTCATTCAGAAGTCGCTACAACCAGCATGACTATTCTCACCCGGCTCCTACGTATTCTCGACAATCATCTGCTCAACACCAGATGCACCCACAGCTGCCCGGACAGCATTCTGCATTTGGTTACCTGGGAACACAGCACCAGAACGATGCCGGCTTCGAGAAGCAAGACATGCCGCTAATGCTCGAGCACCAAAAGACTATGAACTTTACAGAGCGCAGTCGAGAGCGATCTAGAAACCCCCGCACCCCGAGCCCTGTGAAAAGGGGCAGGAAACTACTTTAACTTCTCTTGATTTCATTTTCAGCATCAGCGACTGGCTCTGGCGTTATATTTGCTGCCTTCGGTTCTTTTTTGTATTTCTTGGGCGATAGAGTTCGGTCTAGGAATTGGAGTGTTATTACATGGTGGCAGGAGTTCGATATCAGTTGTTTGTATATAATATACCACATTGAATTTGCCGAATTGTTTCTTCGGATAGCACTGTAACTCCTTTCTTTTGCGCAACACTAACCGTGGATGTTACCATACCCCTTGTCCATTGCCCTAGGGGCTCGGTTATATTACGAACTTTGATGGATTTCGGAAGGTACACAAGCGACTGCCGTGCCTAACCGACGATGCAGTCCAGTGCGATTGGAAAATAAACATACCGTGAGTTTGTCCCCTTTGATCCCTGCATCGTGACACCTTATCAGCTGAACAACAGTGGCCCCCTGGCCAGCCGACTCTATGCACCGAGTCTGCCAGGACAATGCTTAGACGGTAACGATTGAACAAAGAGGGGTAATATCGACATGCACATTGTCTCTTGTGTGATCGGGTGTTGTTACATGGCCAGAAGGCCAAGAAGCGCGGATCACCAGTCCAAGATCGCTCCAATGCCGCCGTCCAACCACACCCGCAGCCCTACTCTGCAGCGCTGTAACCCAAGCCCTGCACTGTCTTGCACTGTCTTCCCTCCGCCAATCATCCTCGCGATTTGAATTAAGTCTATCGGTGGCCAAGGACGAGCCTCTGTTATCTCCCCCGCCTGTGAGTGATATGTCCCAGATTGAATAACCTCCTTCCTATAAGGAAGTAGTAAGATAACAAAAATGCGGCTTGGCAGGACGGGCTTATGCCAGTTAGATGGTTTGCTCCAGGGGTGTTGGCAGTCTCCGAAACTTATATAAGGCTGGTGGAACTCGATGAGAGTCTCAGCTATCCTTTCCTCATCGATATTTCTGTTCTCCGCGTTCCTCAGTTCGCAATGAAGTTCGCACTCATCTCTATCCTATCCTTGGCCTGCGTGGCGTCGGCGTCACACCAAGGCGGGAGAACAATGGAGCACCTCATGTCGCTGAAGATGCAGTCTAGAGAACGCGCCCGGGCCCAAGGTCTGTTCAATCTGAACCGGTACCCCGACCAGGCAGACAAGAAATGCAGCCAGGGTAAAGCGGGAGAGTACTCATGCGAGAACGTCGACCTCCTGAGCTTTCTCAGCCACCAGGCTCTGGGCAGCGTGACCCGTGAGGGCAACGATCTTTGGGGTAAGGGTGCCGAATCTGTTGCAGTAGTGAGCTAATGAGTGTAGGCTGGACTTCTGCTGATGGGCGCGAGTTTGGCGTCGTTGGACAGACAGACGGAGTTGCGTTTGTTGAGGTCCTTGAGGACGGCAGTCTTGAATATGTCGGGCGTCTGGCGACTCAGACGGATCCCTCCGTTTGGCGTGACGTCAAGGTCATCGGTGACCATACGTACATCGGCTCTGAGGCGGAGGGCCATGGGCTGCAGATTTTCGATCTGAACAAGGTGCGTTAGCTTGCCGGACTTGATACAGATCTAGCTCACGTTCACAGTTGACTACAGCAACCGCCTCGGATCCGACAGAGTTCTCGCCATCGAAGGACTTGACGGCATGGTACAGCGAGTTCGGAAGCTCTCACAATATCGTCGCGCACGAAGAGACGAATATGATTTATGCGGTTGGAACGGGGAGAAACCTTACCTGCGCTGGGGGTCTGTGGATGGTCGATGTGTCCGACCCGGCCAAACCATTCTCGCCGGGTTGTGCTAATGAAGATGGCTATGTGCATGATGGTAGGAACCGAGCATTCTTCAAGACTTCGCACTCTAACATTTATTAGCCCAGTGCGTGATTTATAAGGGCCCAGATGAGAAATACATCGGCCAAGAAATCTGCTTCAACTATAACGAAGATACCTTGACCATCGTTGATGTGACCGACAAGGCAAAGCCTATCCAGATCTCGAAGACGCCCTATGTCGGTGCCAGCTACACCCACCAAGGCTGGCTCGCTGACCCAGAGGATCACTCATACCTGCTACTTGACGACGAGCTTGATGAAATGGACGGTACAGGTGCTGCCGCGAACGGCCACACAACAACCTATATTTTCGACATCAAGGATCTCTCCGCCCCCAAGCACACCGGTATCTACCAGTCCCCTGTGCGCTCAATCGACCACAACCAGTACGTCCTCGATGGCCTCTCATACCAGTCCAATTACGGCAGTGGTCTGCGCATTGTTGATGTAAGCTCGGTCTTTGAGGACCCGTCCGGCTCCGGATTCAAGGAGGTCGGCTCTTTCGACGTCCACCCCGAGGACGATGCCAAGGGAGGCGAGGTGGAATTTGTCGGAAGCTGGAGCGTGTACCCCTACTTCGCAAGCGGGCACATCCTGCTCAACAGTATCGAGCGGGGTATCTACTCGCTCAAGTATACGGGGCCAAGTGCCAGTCGGGGCTAGTTAGGTTTACTAGCAGGCTAGGGAGGTCATGCGGCCAAGTGCCGTCTCCGAAGATGAATGATCTGCTTGACCCCGCAGGAAAGGAAGGGAATGGAAGGCTAGTAGGCTGCTAGGCGATTACGGTGTAGAGATGGAGCTCCGCAGTCGATACGGATATTCTCCGGCCATGCATGGATAGAGCCAACCCCAAGACGGCCCAAGAAATTCCGAAACAATCCGGTCTCTCTGACAAGCCCCACGCATATAGTAATAGAACAAAATATGTTCCTCGGACGCGGCATCTCATAAAACAAGAAAAGAAAATATAGTTAGACATTCCGGGTCTTGGACACCTCGGTTTCACGGCAGTTAGTATTATGGCATTGCGGCAGTCACCCAGTACCTGTCCTTGTCTCCCAAGGTTTACCACTGAAGACGCTACTCAATAGCCTAATGGCTTAGGGCAGACTTAGCAATGTCACCCACCTCCTCACTGCTCAGTCTAGCATGTTCCTTCCTTAGCCTGAAACGAGTCGACTCCCGAACGCCCCGATCACACCCCTGTCGCTTCCCCGCAATCTTCATCTTCATGTAGTCGACGCTCGTGCCTGTCCAAGCAATTGTTGTAGGGCACATGCACGTACCTACATGAGGTTGGTGCCACCTCAAACAATGCTGTAACGTAGGGTCGGACTCGAGCTCGGTGGTAGAACTACAAAGAGGCAGATACCATGAGTCAGGGGCCAATTTCAGACACGTCTCCTACTCTGTGTCAAATCAGTTCGTTTTGTTTAGCGAATGAAACAGTGGAGGCGATGGTTTGATTTCATGCCGCCCAGAAACGTAAGGCAGTGTCGACTCGGACGCCCGTGTTTGATTTGCCTTTACCTGACTGCCTGCAGGTCCCTAGGGTGGTAGGCACGTACCGCACATCCCTAGGTTCGTTCCTCACGGCAGAGAAGCTTGGCTTAGTGGGATGAAGATGGAGATGGGGCAGCCTAGGTAGAAGGAAATGCCGTGTCGGTAGTTATCCTGCGGCAGCGGCGGCGGCCATGAGACAGAGGGACATGTTATAAATACCTGATGCCACACGGCCAATGTAGAAAGAAAAGTTATCAACCAACTCAAGCAGTCCAGCCAGCTCTATCACCAGCTCAAGTGCCTCTCCAGCTCAATCAGTCTTTGCTACCATCCTATCCACCATGACTATCAGTCTTCGTGCACTCCTCGTTGCGGCCCTGGTTACACTGGCTGTCGCAAACCCTGTACCCAATGCCAACCCCGAGGCAGACATAGCCCTCGAGCGCCGCCAAATCACCAACTCGAAGGACCTGGAGAACGGCGACTGCAAGCCCGTCGCGTTTATCTTTGCCCGTGGCTCCACCGAAACGGGCAACATGGTAAGTAACTATAGAACCGGCCCCCACGTCCCTTCCATAGGCTATGGAAACAAACCCGCACAAGCAATATTAATGTAACGCTACTAACGAACCGATTGTCGGAAAAAAAATATAGGGCTTCATAGTCGGCCCGCAAGTATGTAGCGGCCTAAAAGATAGACTCGGTGAAGATCAGGTTGCCTGCCAGGGCGTGGGCGGCGCCTACACAGCCGGCCTGATCCCCAACTTCTTACCGGAGAACACAAACCAGGAATCCATCGATGAGGCCGTGAACATGTTCAAGCTGGCCAAGGAATGCGGCGAAGAGACCCAGATCGTCGCAGCTGGGTACAGCCAGGGCTCGGCGGTGATTTCGGGAGCGGTGCAGGACATCGAGGACTCGCTCAGGGAGAAGGTGAAGGGTGTTGCGCTGTTTGGGTTCACGCGCAACAAGCAGGATGATGGACAGATTCCGGGATATCCGGAGGATCAGACAGAGGTTTATTGTGCTGCGGGTGATCTGGTTTGCGATGGCACGCTGATTATCACCCCGGCGCATTTGACGTATGGCCTTAATGCGGGAAGTGCGGCCGACTTTTTGGCAGGGACTGTTGATGCGTAGGCTTATTGCTCTTTGGAATCCAGTATGAGCTCTTTTGCTAAGCTGGGCTGGGCTGAGCTGGTGGTTGGTGACTTTGTATTCATTCTTGAGCTTCTAGGTAGCTGCCCGGGTCTGCTGTGTAGGTCCGATTATATAACTTATATAACGAGTTTTTCATTACCGTTTATCTCACCGGGGATTGAAAGTTTCTGCTGTGCAACTGACTGTAATTAATTTAGCTTCGTGTGCTTACCACGTTTGGTGTCTGTCGGGTTGATTGTTGCCTGTCAATGGCACGACAGAGCCGTCAGCGGATAGAAGGAGGATAGGTCGAGTATATTAAATGGCACACTCGGCAAGAAGCCAATAGACGGGATATTATCAGTCTTACCTTGGGTGTCGGTGGCACTGTCAAGAGTCCAGCCAAGACACGTTCACAGCCAAGATTCAGCCCGCGGAGTCTCTCCGTCTCTGCGCCTGAACAAACATCCAAACAAGAAGACACCGAGGACCAACCCCTCGAGCTGGATAGCTTCAATTGGTGCCAAGCTTCAAAGTTTACACTGCCACGTCAGGATTGACCCCAACAGGTCGAGACACGCCTCAGAGCCTCCATGTTCCATTCGCCGTATCCCCATCTTCAGGCCCCCAGCCGATGCTTCTAGGAACTGATCGTCGCTATAAGCTGAGGTGAGACTCTGCAAGTCCGCGGCTGATGTAGATCATGTACCGTGAAGAGACCATGAAGCCTTGGCGGCCAAGGTTATCATCCTTCTCTGGTGAGTGTTGGAGAGGGCCAGGGCATGATAGGTGCTGGGCTGGTCACGATGAGACATCACAGCCTCGCCGAAAGAGAGTAATATCTTTCTCCGGCAGACAGCTGCGAGGGGGCCGGCGAGGGTATAAATACCTGCTTCTTGCCTGCCTCATCCATCCTCATTATCGCATCATCCTCAGCCAATTCAAACAAAGAACCAATCTACTTTATCTACTACTCAAAATGCGCGTCGTTGCTGCCTTCGCTGCCCTCCTGGCTCTGGCCTACGCCTCCCCTACTCTGGAAGCTAGACAGCAGGGTGAGAACTGCGAGGTAAGTCTCTTATATGCTGCCCGCTGGTAACAGGAACTAATATCTGTCGACAGGAAATCTTCTTCCCTGACAGCTGTGATGCCCAGTAAGTACTTTCCAGTCAGAGTCCGGCAATCGTACTAACATATATGTCTCAGTGGCCTTGTTGAGTGTGATGGTGCTGCCTCAATCCGCATTTGCTGCGTATGTTCTCTCCAATATTGCTTCTGAAATTGCCCGTCTAACTGCGTATAGACCCGTTGCTTCTAAGAGATGGGTCCTTAGGAAAGGGATATGATGTGGCACGATACAAGTATAACATGTGTATATGTGGATAGTATATATTTCGGGAACTGTGCAGGCCATCCTAACAATGAAAGGATTTCTATCTATTTTTAAAATCCAATAATCCGGAGTAGCAGCATTATGTTGCCAGCCTTGCTGACACTTTGTACAAACACCAACGACACAAGTCATAGCCCAGAGAAGTCCAAACGCTTGGGAAACCATCTCAAAACGGGCTCCAGTACACAGCCTTCAATTTGTCTGGACCATGATTCCTGACGGTTAATCTTGCTTCATTCACTCCGAAACCCCCAACCACCGGCGAGAAGCTTTGGTACCGAGCATGACTATTGAAGGTAGCCCAGGCGGTTGCTTTACTTCCCAAATATACACGCTTTCTATGTGAGTGGGCTTCATCGATGACTTATAATATCCCAGCATAAGCGGTTTTTGGTTACTGCAGCAGAATCGGGGATTATAGTAGGCACTGACTATATATCCTTATCCTCTATTTATTCCTTGGAATATAGTGGTATATAGCGGACCACGGCTGTAATTTACATATAATCTATCTGTGCACCTACGAAGGCCTTCACTGCACCGGGATTGACATTTGGTATATCAAGAAAGATACCCTGGCTAGTAGAGTGTTTAAGCAATAGAGAAGTTGTTTATTATATTGTATACCTCTTTATGCTAACCCTGCCAAAGGCCCAGCTTGCTTATTGTTCTGAGCTGGATACATTCAAGCCTTAGGGCTGAAAGAGAGGCTTCTTCACTAACAATGAATATACTCGCTAGAAACAGGCAGACAATGCCTTCATTCACTAATCCTTAACATCTTTCTTGCACAGCCAAGTGAAGGAACCACACGCATATAATTCCCTATGACGCCTGTTACTCATTTTCCTTTATCTCAGCTATTGGCTTTCTGTCTCAATTCTTTGCAAACCCTCAACACCACCTCTCCTATTTCCACCACACAACACAATAACACCTACTAAGAATGTCATCACAAACACCTTATCCCTCCCCAGGGACACCCCCAAACACCTCCTTCACAATCGGCTGGATCTGCCTCCGGTCCCTCGACACCCTCCCCTCCCGCGAAATGCTCGACCAGACATACGGACGAAACCCAATAACACAACGACGCGACGACAAAAACGCCTACAACCTCGGCCGGATAGGACGAAATAACATCGTCATGGCCGTCCTCCCCGCCGACAAACCGGGCCGCAAACCCAGCATGGCCATGGCCGCGCAAATCGCCGCAGACATGAAAGCCACGTTCCCCAATCTCAAGCACGGGGTGCTGGTTACGACGGGGAGTGGCATTCCGTCGGAGCGTCAGGATGTTAGGCTTGGTGATGTTGTTGTTGGTACGCCGGACCGGAATTTCAGGGGCGTGGTGCGGTTTGAGGATGTTGGGGCCGAGGGTGTTGTGAATCAGGTTAAAATGGGGACGAGTACGCAATATTCAGGGCTGCTAGTCAACGTATCGAATCTGCTGGCCGCGGATCGGAAATTGGGCAAGGTGTGTAAGTTTCATGAGATTCTGCTGGCGCTGTTTCGGCATTGGTATCCGGAGAGAAAGGAAGAGCATTTGTATCAAGGCAGCTCCAATGATAGGCTCTTTGATGCAGGCTATAAACATGTCGATTCGAGAGACCAGAACTGCATGGCTTGTGACCTGAAAAGGACCATTAGCAGAGAAAAGAGAAAGGATACCTATCCGGCTGTTCACCTTGGGACGATTGCGTCTTCGGATTACCCTGTTACAGACCCAGCAGTGCGCCAGATTTTGGAGATGAAATTCGGCGCAAAGGCTATACAGGTCGGGGCTGCAGGGTTGGGTGATGAGTTTCCAACACTCATTATATGTGGTATTAAGGACTATGCGGACTCACATAGGAACGAGCACTGGGATAGGTATGCATCGGCTGCGGCGGCGGCGTATGCACGAGAGCTCTTGCTTCCTCTTGGGCAGCTCCACTAGGAATATATTAAGCTGGTAAATATCCTGGATGATAGACATGTTGGACACTGTATGCACATTATCTGATGTACGTATATGCAGTGAGCTGCCAAGGTAGCACAGAATGAGTCAGCGCGGGGCTCTCGTTAACTATAATGAAGCTGCATCAGCCTCACTTCCTGTCATCTATCTAAATAAAACAGAGTAATAATAATATATACAAAATGGCCTTCAACTTCCTCGATCTCCCCCCCGAAGTTCGCCTCCAGATCTACCCCTACCTCTTTAACCCCAGCAAATACAGCTCCAGCTACCGGCGCATCACAAGGCTCACAGAACAAGCCGAAGAGGAAGCCAAAAGCCACTGCGAGGACGACACCCAGCGCCGCTCTATCCCCGACGTATCACTACCCAGAATCTACCTCGACCGATCAACACCGCCCATCCTCCTCGTCAACCGGAAAATCACATCAGAGGCCCTCCCCGTCCTCTACGGCACAACGCTCACGGTGTCCAGCACGCCGACAACATACCTGGCGATGTGGCAGATGGACCTGGCCGAGTTTATCAGCGAGACACTGCTGCAGCGGATGCGGTCTGTGGTGCTGAAGCTGGCGTCTCCTGAAAAATACTTTGTGTTTGAGCTGTTGGAGATTTGGGGGGTGAGGAATGAGTTACAAAGGCTTGTGCTGCTTGTGCCGGTGGACAGGCCGTATTATGATATTACGAAGGGGCAGTGGGATCTTGTTGAGAGGCGGTTGAGGACGTTTGCAGAGAATAATGGGTTTGTGTTTGAGATGCAGTTTGAGCAGTCGAAACGTTGACGTTACGAGGGAAGACATGTTCAACGAACAGACCAGTTCAGCTTGGAAGATTGAAATGGTCAGTGTGCCCCAGCTACTATAGGAATGGATAGTAGGGACATAGATCAACCAGGACAATAGGGCTAATCCACAGCAGCCACAGCAGCCACAATAAGTATCACATCCGGTTTAAGTTCGCATAAACCAAGCCCAATGCAGTGGGGCAGATCGCAACGGCTAACAAATCCTCGTTCCATACTTGAACCAATCACGGAGATGTATATAGAATAACTGTGCAGTCTTGAGTATAGGCTGGGACGCAGGCTACTAGTAGTAGGAGTCCTCCCGAACAGGCAATCAAACACTCGCTTGAGCTTAAATGTCCCTGTGGAGAGACAGTGCCGCGTAATTGTGCTTTCAGTGCCTTCTGGGTCCGATCGCCACGGGATTTCTCGGAGCCGCAGATCGCATCGGATCCGATGGTTTCGCCACTGTTTCTTTTCTTGCTGCAGTGCTGTCTTTACATGGCTCAGTTACACCACTGTTGTATGCTGTAGGAGTCTCGGGCTGTTATCGTGGTTACCGTCGAGTATATCCCGGCAATGTCTCCAACGCGTGTCTCCAACGCGGGGCTCCAGCTTCTCGCAGAACTCCGAGGGTCTCCAGTCTGGCGCTCTGGACCGCCAAGTTGGTCCAGTCTGTTGATGGTGGAGCAGCAGTGGAACTTTAGACCGTTCGTCGATTGGACCCCAGTCCCTTTTGGCCTCGGACGCGGGGCGGCCATGGACTCTGATTACTGATGCAGTGGCATTCGTTCACGAATTCCTTTTGTCTGCGTTCATCGCTCATGCTGAGATAGCCAGATCATGCCTGCTCTCTCGGGTGGATGTGGCTTTTGCCTGTCCCATCACATCCGCTGTGACCTGCTCAACGGCAACTCGCCCTGTTTAACATGTCGCGACTACGGCATCAAGTGTCCCCCGGGGGACGAGACAGAGTGAGTCGTCGAGGATCTATCTGTCTGTCGCATTGCTAACGATTCAGTGACTCGGTCTCGATGACGGACGCTGGCGAGTCTCCCATGGAGGAGGTCATTCGTGAGTAACCCGCGGCAATAATGCGTACAAGCTACATGGTTAGATTAACATTGGTTAGATACGCCAGAAGCACACGAACAAGGTCGCTTCGACATCGAGCGCATCCACTGGATGGCTCCTCTCGATCACTACAAGAGCGTTGCCCACGACCTGCTTGGGTTCCCAGTCCCCGGCATCCCCGACATCCCCCAGCCGACAGAGAAAACTACGCTCCTCCCTCCGTTTATCCAGAAGCTGCCCAGTCTCGCCGATGAAGACGCCGACTATCTCAAAGCCAAAGGGGTCTTCTCCCTGCCAGACGAGCGGCTGCAGAACGAGCTGTTGCGGACATTCGTCCTCCACGTCCACCCCTACCTCCCCGTCCTCGACCTCCCTCCTTTCCTACAGGCCATCGCCGACAACAATGGCCATTCCTCCGTTAGTCTACTCTTAATGTACGCCGTGATGTTCTCGGCCATTGCATTCGTCGACCCAACACACATCCAGCGCGCGGGATACACATCCAGGAAGGCCGCACGCCAGGAATTCTTCCGCAAAGCACGAGTAAGATCTCCATATCCCACATAACTGTATGCTCACCACTCATACTCGCCTAGGTACTATACGACTTCGACGTCGAACGCGACCGCATCGTGCTCATCCAGACTGTGCTCCTCATGACCTACTGGCACGAGAACCAGGACGACCCCAAAGACTTCCGGCACTGGCTCGAGATCGCCCTGTCGCAAGCCGCCCTCGCCATGCCCATCAAGGAGCACGGACAGCGCACGCGCGCAAGCACATTCACCTCGCCAGGCCTCTGGAAGCGTCTCTGGTGGTGCATGTACACGCGCGACCGCCTCAACTCTCTGAATCTGCGGCGCAGCCCTGTCATCAAAGACGCAGAGTTCACCGTGCCCCTGCCTACGCTCTCCGACTTCGACATAGCCATATACCCGCCTTCTGTCCTCGCCATGCCGATCCTAGGAGCCTGCGAGGTCCTCCGGAACCCAACGCAGCAGCAGCACCTGGCAACCTTGTTCATCGAGAAGGCCAATCTCTGCTGCACAATCAGCGGGATTATCTTCCCCATCACCAACGCCGCGGTCTTTGCGCCCGCCGTGTTCACACATTACATCGCCGCCCTGGACGACTGGCATAAGAATCTACCCAAGGAGGTGCAATACCACCCACCCCCGTCACGCACAGCCCTCTCCGAAGGCGAGCGCGCCCTCTTCGCATACCGCGCCTGGCTGGAGATGATATACCTCGCCGCATCAGGCGCGCTGCACCGCCAGAACCAAGCACAGAGCCAAAAATCACTCCAGTCCGGCGACAGTAGCAGTGAACCCACCAATACATGCGCGGACGGGATTCGATCCGTCACGCAGTCCATTGCAGGGGTTGCGGATGGGCTGGACCAGCTGGACCTCGTGCACTGTCTGCCGACGACGACGGTGGGGTTACTCACGCCGGTGCTGGCGACGCATTTCATGAATATCCGGTCGGAGACGCCGGATCTGTGGCGCAATGCGTTCCAGTCGCTGTATCAGTGTCTCAAGGTGCTGGAGAAGCTGGGGGAGGTTTATGAGCTTGCGGAGAGCATGGCGGGATTCTTCCAGGCGACGATCTGTGGGGATGTCAATGCAAATACGAGCATGAGCACGAGCACGTCAGAGTCAGAGAATGGCGAAGGGAGGGAACGGGCGTTTCTGCAGCGGACGTTGACGGCGGAGGAACTGGATGGGTTTGCGCGGCTGGTGTGGGGGGGGGCGAACGGGCTTGCAGAGGTTGTAATAGAATAGAGAAAGAGTTGGTTAACTAGAATGAGTGACACATGCGATTGCAAATTCTCCAGAGACCATACTTGTCCATGATAGACGCTGCAGGAATATTATAGGCTGGCAGTGGTGCAACCCCCACTTGAAGCTATCACGACATCGCCCGCAAATCAGTGCAATCGCCAGCCAAGAATTTAAGAAATGTTTCCTCCCGGCAATTTCTTCCTCGAGGTAACCTGTCAACCGTAATTATGACTCCCTGGAAAGACCAGACCTCGCACGCAAACAATGAAGTCGAGGTCGAGTCCTCGCCGGGGACTGGGACTTCGCATGCCCACGACCCCTTGCATGCGCCGCTGCAGCGCAAGCTGCAGTCGCGCCACCTGCAGATGATTGCGATCGGGGGTGCGCTTAGCTACACTTATCTTTATCTTAATTCATCACTGACATGCTCTACAGGCATCATCGGACCGGGGCTACTCGTGGGCTCCGGCAAGGCCTTCCAGGAAGGCGGGCCCGCAGGCGTGCTGATAAGCTTTTCGCTGGTCGGGATTGTTGTTTATTTCGTTATGTATGCCCTCGATTTCTTGTTCAAGATGTCTAGTTGAGGAGAGCTAACACAGTCGGGTATAGGCAAGCCCTAGGCGAAATGGCCACTGCGATCCCCGTCACGGGCTCCTTCACCGAGTACGCCGGGCGCTTTGTCGACGACTCGCTTGCGTTTGGGCTAGGGTGGGCCTATTGGTATCTCTGGATTACGGTTTGTCTTCCATCTGCATGAATCCTGGTCATAGTCTGGCCATGGTCATAGTTACAAGCGGCTAACAGCACAGGTCCTCGCAAACGAATACAACGCCGTGTCGCTGGTCATAATGTACTGGACGGACGCCGTGCCGCAATGGGCCTGGATTCTGATCTTCTGGTTTCTGTTCCTGGGCCTGGCGAATTTCGGGGTGCGCGAGTATGGCGAGATGGAGTTTTGGCTGTCGTTGTATGTCACCACATTCATTCATAGCTATACGCAGTGGGATGGACCAGCTAATGCAGTGCAGAATCAAAGTCCTCGCCCTGATTGTATTCTTCATTCTCGCAATCTGCATCAGTACCGGCGGTATTGGCGGCCGGACGATCGGGTTCAAGTACTGGCATGATCCTGGGGCGTTTGCAGACTCGATTAACGGCGTTGCGAAGACGTTTGTTGTTGCCGGGACGCTGTATGCTGGGACAGAGATGTATGTTACCCTCTTTTTCCTAGAGCTGTCACTAATAGGAGAATAGGGTCGGCATCACAGCTGGAGAGTCTAGCAACCCGCAAAAGGCCGTCCCAATCGCCATCAAGCAGGTCTTCTGGCGTATCCTGGTCTTCTACATCGGTACTTGACCTTCTTTAATGAACCTATATGAAGGACGTATACTGACAATTCAGGAACAATGTTCTTCATTGGCATCCTGATGCCCTACACCGACAGCCGCCTCATAGGTGACAGCTCCTCCAGCGCCAGCTCCCCATTAACAATCGCCCTCTCCGACGCCGGAATCCTGCCCGCCGCACACCTCATCAACGGCCTGATCGTGATCAGCGTCATCTCCGCCGGAATCGGGTCCCTGTACGCCTCGTCACGCACAATCCTCTTCATGGCACGCACAGGGAAAGCACCCAAGATCCTAGGCCGCACAAACGCGCGCGGCGTGCCCTGGGCCGCCATCGTGTTCTCGAATATCTTCACCTGCATCGTCTTCCTCACCGTCGGGAATGAGGCGGGCAAGGTCTATAATGCGCTTATCACGCTTTCGGGGGTCTCGACATTCCTCGTCTGGAGCACCATCTGCGTAGCACACATCCGGTTCCGGCTCGCCCTGACCGCGCAGGGACAATCGCCCTCAGCGCTCCCCTTCCGTGCAGCGCTGTACCCCTGGGGCACGTATTTTGCCCTTGCCCTGACCGTCTTCCTGGTGTTTTTCCAGGGCTACACGGCGTTCTTGAATCCGTTTAGCGCGGACGATTTCGTGGTGAATTATATCCTCCTCCCTGTTTTTGCGCTGTTTGTGGGGGGGTGGAAGCTTTGGCATCGCACAAGGATTGTGTCCCTGGCGGAGATGGATATTTGGACGGGGAGGAGGGAGAGGGAAGTCGATGAGCAGGAGAGTGGGAAGGGGTGGAAGAGTGGTAGAGGGTGGAGGGGGAAGGTTTATAGGGGCGTTGTTGGGTGATTCCATATCGTGGTATAGACTGTTGTGTTTGAATTAATTAATGACTGCCTCGCGCAAATACATACATCCAGAACCATTGAAGTATCAAATGCAGAAATCATACCAGGCTGAAGATAAGCCTCGAGGAGCTGGGGTATTTATTGGACCCCTCCTAATACGGAGTATGCATGACTTAAAGCATGCTGGCCCTATCTCTGGCTCTGGGGCTATGCTAATCAAGGTATGCAAGGTACCGACATGGATAAGAGAAATAACTGCCCGATGTTTTGTCTCTATTAAATTGTATAGTGCGAGGAAGGCATGGTTACGGATATATATATTTTAGAATACCAAATCACAATAATAATTTACCCACTGATAAGAGAAAATATTTATACCATCACACATAATTTAAACAACTATAGAACGAGGTACTCTTTAAACGTTCAAATTTCACTGTACTAAATCTTGTCTTCTGCTCGGGTATATAGTGAAAATGCTATTACCTTGCCCAGCAAGGAGTTTAACAGGCATCTTAAAGAGGACTTTTACCGGGATGATATAACCACATATACAAATAATGCCATCTATGGAAGATGGAATAGTTTATTTAAGCAGTAAAATGAATTCTAAGCTTTGCCTAGCAAGGCATCTACGAACGGGCAACCGGGTCTTGGAGCGAACTAACCCTCACCCTAGATCTAACACGGAGCAGTGGTGGCAGGACTGGGCTATTCATATCGTGTTCAGAGAGTTGGGTTGTGTTTCCTGCTGTGTATGGGGAGATGGACTGAGCGGTATTGCATCCGGCCTGTCAAGCGCACAAGTATAACAAGACACTCGAGGGATTGAGGAAATTCCTCTACGTTGTAGATGAGAGTATCTCGAGATGCAGTATGAGTGGGAGACCAAAAGGGAGTGCATCATGCAGAGAGGCCAACAGGCCTTGGATCGGACGGGTTCGCCGGAGGAGGAGGCACAATTTCCTGGAGACGTGTCAATACATGAAAGCCACTACGTATGTTAGTACTCTTGATTCCATCGGGTTGTCGGCGAGTCAGGTGTGCAGAGGGGAGAGGTCTTGGAAGCAAAGCTCAGCGAGGACAAGGCATAAAGCGGGATGAGGTTATGCTGACGATACTGATCAGAAGATGCCGAATGAAACAGGTATGACACGGGCGTACGTGGAGGTTTGAAAAGGCATGAGAGGATTGGACGTGGTGGGCGTAGGGGTCAGAATGACGCTGTGGCTGGCCGAGTGAGGACAGGACTGCAATGACCTGCTTTGTGCAACGTTCACCATTACTTGCATTTCTTGCATGCGCAGTCCGTGCTTGAGTTGGAGGCTGGGCAAATGATGTCGAGCTTTTGCTGGTCAATGACAACTTGCGCACGCAAGGAGCAAGCCGCTGGACTGGCAGACAGATACAACGAAGGCGAAACGCCATAATATAAGATCCAAATGCCACTGGACCAAGGTACGGCTGAGGGTTTGGGCAGGGACGGGCAAGGGTATCTAACTAAGGAATCCTCCTTGGAGTTGACTGTGTTGACAGACGGAGAGTCAGCCAGAATGACGAGACATCGACGCCACCGGCCCGGCGAGATTGCGCAAGGAGGAGATCTCGGGCTCGACTCGACCATGTGACGGTTGGACATTAAAGAGCTTGTTTGGAGCCTTTAGCTTTCATCCTGGCCGCCAATTTCGCGACGTATTCCCGAACGGGCGTTGAGTGGTTGGGCTGAGACAAGGCCAATCCAGGGCTGCATGGGGCCGCGTAAGGAGGACCAGGATGAGGCAGCATGCCATTATGATGCCATTAAGCTAGTCCATGTGAAGTCGAGTATGAGCAGTTGGCAGCGGCACTGTTACTGTTGTGGTGATCGTTGCCCTATGTGCCGGTCTTTCTCCAGATTTGCTGATGCTCCGGTTACCCACCTGGATGAGACAGCTGGACAGATGAAGAGATGATAGATCTGTGTCGATCGGTCTGCTTCACACTGCACTGACTGTTTCATTGCAGAATCCTATTGCAACCGTGACTGCCCACGGTGCACGACAGATATCCGCAGAGTCGTCTCAAGAGCCTCCTATCCAGGCTGTAACCAGGAAAATCATCGAGCTCCAGATCTCCAGCTTAGCTTTGGTTCAGGAGAACCCTGTAGCTCATCTCCGAGGCTACCAAGCAGTTGCATGACCCCGTCCAGCTTCGAAGGAATCGCCACTGGTCTCCAAAAATTGGCGGATTTAGCCGCTTGGCAGCAGCAATGAACACTTGAGCAGTGAATCTGCCCCTCCCCCAGGTCGGATCTGGTCCATCCTTTCCTGTCAGGAACAGATTGGCATTCGTTGCAAGTCGACTTGTCTTCCGAGCATCCGAAAACAACCCCATTGCGCTGTTAGGGCTGGCTTCACTGGACTGGTCCATCACACTCGTTGCTAACTGCTCTCCACAAACTGCGGGTGCAGCCTTTCCACCCGAATAAACAGTTCAACGTAATTAATATGATTAATATGATTAATTGAAGGAATAAGCTGACGGGGATAGGACCAAAACCGGCGACGGCGACCTCGTCCGCCCAGACTCACCACCACAACTCCCACCACTCACCACCAACAAAGAGGCCGGTGCAGCGCTTTGTGTCCCAGCTGCGGGGGATTAACCATTCACAGCACGGCCTTTACTGCAGAGACCCCAGATTGTCTCACCCGGCATCGCGTTGGGGACTGCGACTGGCCGCCATCCCTGCGGTGGATCCGCCCAGCAGTCCTACCGGCATCGCTTGGAAAGAGAATCGAGAATCGCCTCGCATCTTCATTCTCCAGACAAGGACAAATGAGAATCCGGGGGCGGGCCGGCGAGAGACACGAGCGTTACATTTGCTGCCAGTCTCGCTTCCAGCGTCGAGTCGAGACACCCACTAACCAGCTAAATTCACACTAAATGGGCACTAGACACACGCTAATCCGAGCTAATTACAGGCGAGCTGTTTGGTCCCTGGCTTGTCTGTCTGGTTTCCTCCAATCACGCCCGCTCGCTGTCATTGTCCAGTCCAACCCCCCTCGCCTGCGTCTGTATAGCCAGCCGCTCTGTGACACACACCATCCTCGCCTTCACCCCGAGGCCGTGGTCCCAAGAAAGAGCGATGCGTCCAGCCGGGGCCAAACCCAACCCATGCCAACGCAATCTCCGGAGGCGACAAGCATCCATGGCGATCGCCGGTCGTTATGCCGCCACCAGCTCTGCAAAGCACCAGGAGGACCTGGATCCATGTCCCAAATGTCCTTGATCGCAATAACGCTAATTCTTGATCCAATCTTGCTAAGAATAACATGTCCAGGCCAGAGCTGCCCCTGATTCCTGATTCGTCTCGCCTCGGCCCCGTGTGTGCATGTGAGGTATTTCCTGCCCACCCGCCGGGGTTATATATAGGGCTTTCCTGCTCCTGCTCTGGCTGCTTCTCTCCAGTAGTCAACTCGAACTGGTCCTTTCGTTACACAGCTTCGGTCCCGGGCATTCGTTTATAACCCTTATTTAATAATCAACCACCTATTACAACAACCACAACCACCGGCACCATGAAGTTCTCCGGCCTTTTCACCCTGGCTCTTGCCACTGCTGCTATTGCTACCCCGGCCAAGCGTGCCGACTCTGCTGCCGACATCATCGACAACATCTCTGCTGAGGTCGACAAGTTCGATGCCGCTGTCAGCGCCTACAAGGGCGGCCCTGCCGATAAGACCCTCGCTGCCTCTGACGAGCTCATCAAGGTCATCAAGAGCTCCGTCGAGCAGGTCAACAGCGGCCCCGACCTCTCCAACTCCGACGCCCTGGCTCTCACCAGCCCCGTCCAGGACCTGACCGACAAGGTCGAGGGTGTCGTCGAGAAGGTCATCTCCGCCAAGTCCGAGGTCGTCAAGGCCGGTGACGGTGGCAAGGTCAAGCAGGCCCTTAGCGACCAGTATGACGCTGCCGCCTCGCTCGCCGAGGCCCTCTCCTCCAAGGTCCCTGAGGCTCTCTCCGACATTGCCGACGAGCTCTCTGCCGGTATCACCGATGCCATCCAGAAGGGTGTCGACGCCTACAAGGACGTCTCCGACTCCGACGGCGGCGACTCTACCTCTTCTTCTTCCTCTGCTGAGCCTACCGAGACCTCCACTGGCTCCTCCACCGAGACTGCCACTGACGAGCCCACTCCCACCTCTTCCACCCCTGTGATCCCCACCGGTGGCTCCGAGCCCACTGGCTCCAGCACCCCTACCAGCTCTCCCACCGGCTCTGCCACTCCCCCCGAGTTCACCGGCGCTGCCTCCAAGCAGAGCTTCTCCCTCGTCGGCGGTGCTCTTGCTGCCGTTGCCGTCGCTGTTGCCGTTTAAGCAACTGACCTAACGACTGCACGCATGTATGGCTGAGAATGAGAATGGGAATGGGAATCCGAAGGTATAGGACAAAAGCCATGTCTGACGCTTGACGATGGGATTTAATAATTGAATCAATTAAAGGCTTTCTTGCTTATACTTTATGCTATGTACATTTTACTTCTCTTCCTTGTCTGGTCCTTCTCCCTTCTTGGGGTTGGTCGGCATATATTGATTTCTTTTCCTGGATTGGATTGGATTGGATATACTATACATCCTAGTAATACTGTAGCAATGCCTGTATTGATATCGAATGAACTTGACTTGACGCCTTGATATTGCATGTCCGGTGTAGTTGACTCTTCTGTCGATCTGTGATCGTCGAGTTTGTTTCATGTCCCCACGGATCGACACGCCTCAATTTGCGTCAACAATCACAGATCCCCTGCAGTTTCACAGAGGCAGGTGGGCATCCACCGTAAGTCCAGTCAACAGAAGTATCCAATGTCCTTAATCCGATCAAGTTGTCGAAATATTGAACATTGAATGCTGCCCCCAATACCCGGGGAGACCCGACCCGAACTGAAACGCCAATATTTCGATTTGACCACCTGTTTGAGATATAAAGATCCAGCTGACCTTCTATTCAAGACAAGGTAAAACGCCGGCTTGACTAACTTTGTGAATCAGAGTTTACTTCTTACATTTGGCGGGTGATCTTAATTGCGAGTTTGTACAGAGTACCTCCAGTCGCCTATTGCGGCATATTCAGTTGGGCATGTTGGGCTCAATATAGCTAGGGCCTTTAAGTTGAGGTTTATTCATGTCGTCAGTCTTATACTCATATGTACGCAGTAATATAAGGGTGGTCTCTGCAGGACTAATCTTTAACTTGAATATAGGCTCGAAGGACGATAGTGCCACCAAGTACCTATGCTTGCACGTGCAATTAGCACAGCCCAAGACACCCAGAGAAAGGACAAATTGAGCCTCAGCATTCTTATAATACTTTCCAGCTGGTTATTTCAAGGAGTATAGGGTATTTTATCCCCTAGAATACAGTCAATGTCAAAATAAATGATGCTCTGCGCTCGTTGGTGTCTTCATAGGTTGACAACCCTTCCTCGCAGGAGAAACAAAACTAATATAAACCGACAACAAGTCTGACATAGGATATTCCCTCATGTAGCGTTCAATATCCATCAGCTTGTCCATCTCCACGCCCACTTCTTCAGGTTTCTTGACATTTGGATCGCCTCCTGCCCATCCGTACTTTGAGACATACAGCTTGCTCTCGTACATTTCTCGCGCCAACCAGTCAGGCGCTTCACCAGAATCGAACTCCTTGCCTACCTGGACGACAAGTTTAACTCCGTTGATGTCAGCCCACAGCTTCCAGTATTCCGCGTAACTCATAAGGCGGCTGCATCCTAAAATTGCAGTGCCGGGCGGAGCACGTATTAGAGCTTTAAACAGGTGTCCTGTATTGGTCTGGCATGGATCCAGGGAACTGGCTGGTCACCAAAGCCTGCTGTGACATGCAGGACAAAAGAACCATCAGGCTGTTTCTCCGGTCTCTGCATTGGGCTCCATGTCGGTGATGACAAGTGCTCTCCTTCCGCTCAAACTTTCGCATTTGCGTATTCTGCTGAACCGCCGTGTTCTAACTGTCTTCGACGCGGACTGCAATGCTCTTTGACGCAACAGAAAAAAGATGACGGAAAGCAGATTATGAATCTCAGTGGCTCGGAAGACACACCATCGTTGGCACCCCAGAGCCCTATCCATATAGCGAGTCGGTCCAAAACGGAAAGACACTATATTGCGGTTTATTTCAGGTTGCTTCACCCTTACTGGCCCTTCATCCATCAGGGTTCCTTCAAAGGATTAGACGAGTCACCCTTGCCTGTCCAGTCCATGGTTGTCATCGGTTTCTGGCTGAGCAACGAGGGAGGTGGGCAGTCGCGAGCTATGCTTGCCCGATACTGCCAGAATGACCTCCCTGCTTACGTCTGGGTAAGCATCGAGGAAATCAAACGATTCAACTTTGCTTTATATGAAGTTTGCACGGCATATAGCTGTGGCGTACCCAACAAAATTGCGGTATCAAAGAGGGGACTTCGGGCACAGGATTTAGAATTTCCATTACCAAGGAACACTCCATTATGGAACGCTACAAGCAAGGCGGAATGGGTATCTGCAGCGACAGAGGATGTGTACTGCCACAACTTCGATAGTATTTTGGAGAACGAATGGTTCTCCAAGTCAGCGCATGTCTTGGAGGCGCTGGATACGGCTTAGTCTGTTTATGGCGAAGTTCTTTCATAGCAGATTATCAGTATAGTTTTGACAGGAATAGATGACTGCGTGATCCTCGAACCACTTGCTTGTTATTCCCGCGCCAGTGTCGACAGTGCCAACCATTGTTGTCACTTGACTCACTCCCGAAAGCTGAGAGCAACCTGAGTCATTCAGGCGAAGATGGCGTGCTGGGCCAACCTGCCTGGCTTGTTCCTTACTTCGGATACTATGGAAGGTTCTGGCATTGTTCAACCTGACAGTTGTCGCAACGAGTTGGTTCATCTCGAGTTTTGGAGGACATGTGTTCAACAGCGCCCACCTAACACAACCTCCTTTACTGAACCGGTAGTCTCAGAAGGACAGAGAAAGGGGTCAGCTCTCCACGGACAGACAGGCAACAACTCCTAGTACAACAGAAAGGGATAGAGAGTGGCTCAGCCACCTTGAACACCACAGCCACTGGCGGCTCAACACGTGGCTTGAACGAGAAAATGCCGCAAGATGGAGTCCAACAGTTTGATGACTCTCCGTTTGTTCCCCGTTTGGTGTGGCTGACGATCAGACATCATGTGGCTAGTGAGGGGTAAGCTGCACCCGATTGGACGGCGGCCTGCGGACCGAGCCACAGCACCAGCCCCTGTGTGGCGCCAAGCGTGACATGTCACTGCCTCAGGCACTATTGTTTCAGTATAATCACCACCACCTTAGATGGAGCACTTCAGATGGAGTATATTGGCTGCCGTTGGAGCTGAAGTGGTTCTGTGTATTATCCACACTTCCACAGCAATATGTGATATCACCTTCAACAGTCCAGCCCCTACAGTTCGTGCCACAGGATCCAAGCCACAGGGGGGCTGTTGGCACCGTTTTATGCTGCTGCCTAGCTGTTCTGCAAGTGCACATCTCGATCAACACTCTCTAGCCACTGCGACTATTGACAGGACTCCATTCCATGGTGGATGTACCCGTCCTTAGCGCCGGGCTTGCATCCTGGCCGTCGCACCGCGCTGTTTCTCGGCGAATGATGCTGCTCGCCTTGTAAGGCCCGCTGGCTGGCTAATTTCGGCTCTGCGGGTTTGATAGCAGCCTGGACGACTGGAGCAATCACCATGGAAAGCGATGGATCAAGTGGATGATTCAATATGCGTGTCTGGCTCCGGGTGTCAGGGGTCTTCTGCCAGAACTAAAGGAGTGAGGCTGGTGGGTGCATATATGGGGCCTGAAATCAGAAATGCCCCTCTATCGCATATTCGCATTATTTAAAGCGCGTGGTCGTCCAACTTCAGCTCATCACTCATCTCATCAAACTTACCTTTCCACAATCCCCCCTATAACTCAGTCAACATGTCCTACTACGGAGAATCAAGCGGCTACTACGGCAGCGAGGGTCGCCCTCCATACAACCCCGGCTACGAACGCCCTCCATACGAAAGACCTCCATACGAGCGACCCCCTTACGAAGAACACCGCGGCTCCCCATACCAAAGACCACCATACGAAGAACACCGGGGCTCGCCGTACGAGCGCCCGCCCTACGAAGGGGAGCGCAGCGGTTCCTACGACCGCCCCTCTGCTCGCCCCCCACACTACCCCCCACCCCCTCTCCCCTACGGCTGGGTCCAGGAATGGGAACCCAGTGCGCGCCGCGCGTTCTTCGTTGAGACTGCCACTGGTCGGTCTGAGTGGACGCTTCCTGCCGAGGCTTCGTATGGCGAGCAGTCGCGTGGTGGTGGTGAACCCTATCCTCCTCCTGTGCCGGCTGGGTATTCGTCCCATGAAGGTGGATATCCACCTCAGTACCCGCCTCAGTATCCTCCCCAGGAGGGCTATGGTGGTGGTGAATACCCTGAGGAAAAGAAGAAGAAGAGCAGCGATGCAGGGAAGTATCTTGCTGCGGGTGCGGCTGGGTTAGCAATTGGTGCTGTTGGCGGGGCAGTTTTGGGTCATGAACTTGGTATGTCCTCTCTTCTTGATTAGATTTCGTTTGCTTGATGTCGGTGTGGTTATTGTATGGTGCTAACTGTGTAACAGCTGAGAACAGTGGAGACGAAGGCTCTGGCTCTGACCATGAAGAGGCACATTACTCTGACGATGGGTCTGACTAGGTGGGAGACTGCGGGACTTTTACTGGGGGTATAGGGTTTTGATATAGCGAGATATGCACTGTTCAGATAGGGATTTGTAGGAGCGTGGAGCATTATGGAGGACATCCCTGTCGATGTCTTTGTTTCTATCTACCATGTTAGTGGCTCAGTTTATACATGTAACTCACCCATCCATTCCAGTGTGGTGCCAAGCAACTAGGAACTCTCTTGTCCACTATCTGAGGATGCCCTATCCGAATCCACCACAGTAGGAGCCGTACGGTAATAGGTAGGCGTATTCGACCGACCCCCCCTCAGCACCTTCGCAATCCACTTCTACGGCCGAATTCTAAACTACAGCACCACAGCCTTGAGAGTCGTCTCGTTCTTTTCAAACGTCTGGTATTGAGAGCTGAAGTATTAATCGATCTTCAATACTTCCATATGGCTTTAGACAAACGTGGTATATACTAACATGCAAATAATATAAAAAGAAGATAGCAGACAACACCGTTCAAGCAGAGCCAAACACGAACGAGGGATACTTCGCATCAGCCTCCTCTACCAGTTTGGTCTTATAGTTCGACAAACCCCCCAGGAAGAACGCACTGTACTTCTTCTTCCCCTCAACATTGTTACTCTGGATCCACGACTTGACACTGTCAAACACCGTCTGCTTGGACACAGCCTGGACAGTCTCATCCCACTGCTCCTGCGGCTTTGGCTGTGCCTCAACGACAGTGCCGCCCCTCTTGACACTTTCCTCGACCAGCTCAGCAACAAAGTCTCCTTGAACTTCAATTGCCGGAGGGATATTCGCAAACGGACCCCCAGGGCCAGAAACGGTGAAGAGGTTCGGGAAGTCTGCCACACTGAGGCCGTAGAGAGCATTTGGTCCGTCCTTCCATGCGTCAGTCAACTTGCGTCCATTGCGGCCGGTGATATCAATCGTTCCATATGCGCCATCCACGGCGTCATACCCGGTGGCGTAGACAATAACGTCAAATTCCAGCTCCTGGCCGTCTTGGAGCTGAAGGCCGGTCTTGGTAAGTTTGGCAACGGGGTTACTGGCAATATCAACCAGCGCCACATTCGGCTGGTTAAATGCTTCATAGTATCCATGTGCGCAGAGTGGACGACCACCATATGCGCCTTCTGGCTGTAGAAGCTTTGCAGTCTTTGGATCTTTGACGATTTCTGCAATTTTACCACGGATAAAAGCCGCAGCAGTCTCATTCGCCTCAAAGTTGGTTCCGAGATCAGCAAAGGATTCAAAGAAGAAGCTGAATCCTCCGCCCTTATTCCAGAGCTGTTCGTATACTTCCTTCCGCTGTTCGGGCGTGGCTTCAAGAGCTGACTTCTGGCTCTCATTGTATCCCATAGCGTATAGGGACCCGAATACCGTTTCCCACAGGCTCTTGTGATTCGCCTGGATCTTCGCCTTTTCGTCATCTGGTATCGGCCGGTCGTTGACGGGTGTTATATACTGCGCCCGTTGCTGGAAGACGGTAAGCTGCTTGGCCTTTGAATGGATCGTAGCTGCAATCTGGCTCCCAGACGGGCCAGTCCCGATCACAGCAACACGTTTGCCCGTGATATCGAGATCCCTAGGCCAGCGCGATGAATGGAACGCCAGACCCTGGAAGGTATCCGCATCTGCAATGGCATATTTAGGCAGATTAGGCCGACTGAGAATCCCCAGCGCACCCACAAAATACGTCGCCGAGAACCTCAGCCCTTTATCAGTCGCGATATCCCACTTATTCCGCTCCGCATCATAATGCGCCGAGACGACATCATTCTCGAAGATGAAGCTATCGTAGATCCCCGTCCGCTGCGCCGTATCTTTAATCTGCGCTTGCACTTGCTTCGAGTTCAAGTAGCGGTTCGTCCACTTGGGTTCCCCGTTGTCGGAGAATGTATACACCCAGCTCTCGCTGTCGGATTGTGCGCCAGGGTACTGGTTCCAGAACCAGGTTCCGCCGATGTCGCTTCCCCTGTCGATGCCGACGACATTGGGGAGATTCAGTCTGTTCTTGAATAAGTGGGCGAGGCGCACGCCGGCGAAACCGCCTCCGACGACGACGGCGTCGACTTCTCTGATATCGATGGTCATGGCGGGTTGTAGTGGGATTCTGTTGAATTAATCCAATTCTATAGACACATCAAGCTCTAGATATAGCCCTTCAGAGCTCTCACCCTAGATCTCTCGCCCGAGAGCATGGACTGCTGCAAGCTACAGTGGGGGTGAATATCGCCATCGGGCCCGTCATTGGCATTATCCATGGTGCAATCAAGTCCTGCAGGAGAGGGATGTGAGAGCGAATGATGGCTAGGAATCAACTGGGAGGTTCGTCTGAAGTCCAGTCTAAAATTTAAGAACTCGTTCGCTCTTCAATAAAGCGAATTGCACCATCTTCACATGGAGCTATGGCCTTGTGTTGTTTAGATAGGGCAAGGAGCCCCGCGATCAAGAGGAGCAAGAGCAATATTGCGCAAATGGATAGGCAAATTACGGGAGATCCGCACCGGAGATTATTTAGTCATTTTATCTGAGGTAGCACGCTCAATGTTGAAATGGTAAGGTTCGTGGGCGATTGTTGATATCCGCCCTGGATGGTGTGATCTCTACCCCCGCAACACCAACAAAAACAACATCCAGACACTGGTTCTTACTGCTCAAGCATCCCATGCCCAGGATATTGCGTGCTGCGGCCTATGCAGTGAGCGTCTCGGCCGAACCCTTGATCTGATTCCATTGACGATTAACGCCTGTGGTATAGGTGACGTGTCATCTATGCTGGAGTAGCTTCTTAGCAGGTTCATTTCACTAATTAGCTAATAAGTGGTATATTCATCAAATATTTTAATTATACAGAGAGTGAATGGTTGTGTATGGTGTATAGTTGTCTGCCTGTTTATCACCTGATGACGTCATGCATACCCCGCCCTCCGTCAACTTCTTTCCAACACTCCAACAACACCACCAACAACAACAATAAACAACACCCAAAATGCCGAAATACGTATGCAAACCTAAAGCTTTTATCAACGATCTGCATTCTGACACCATCCAGACCGCAATCATCTCATACAACAGCCGCGAAGCCTACCAGCAGCACGGCAGCCAGATCGAGCAGATGTGGGAGCCCCCCTTTTCTTCCCTCCCCCACTGCATTCTTCAAATGAGTCAGTCTAATTAGTCTATCCAGAGCAAACGATCTGTTCAAAGCAAAGGGTGCTACCGAGCAGACCCCGTTCTTTTCCACCCGGAGCATTCCCCCTTCTCATAGGACCTCGTATGTCAAGCTTTTGAAGATGGTTCGAATTCTTACTGATGATTTTGCCAGGTTTGTTCTGCCTGATGGTGCATCCGCAGATGAGCTGAGGAGCGCTGCTCTGCCGGAGGGCGTGAGTTGTCAGATTAACGAGGCGTGAATCCTGGGTACATAGCTTATGTAGATACTACAATCTATTTCATTTCTCTACCGTGGTGGACTTGTAGGATGGTCCAGTATCGACCTGTGTATTGTAACTGCGTTTTCTTTGTAGCAATTGAATGGCCAATACTTACAGGAATACCGCGGTAATGGAAAGGATATTGAGTTCATGGTATTAAATACTTGATAATGTAATGATAGTTGAAACAGTGTCAGAGGCCAGTACTATCTGTCAAGTAATAGATGTAACAGCAAGATTCGATCCCGGTTTGCATAGAGTATCCATACAAAGACTATTCAAATGTAGTTGTTTCACTATGGAGTGAACCGTTGATTCCTTGCTTTTATATACTAGGTATTGTACTAACAAAGGCTACACTGCTTTACTCCTTGCTGGTACGAGATTCCTTATTCAAGAATTGTCCCAGTTACACATACATGAAAGAAACTATGGCCCGCTCACAGTCTACCAAGGAAAGTACTCAGAGATACATTATGTCAAAGCAAATAAAGAAAGTCAAACAGACCCTTTGCCCATTGAGCAGAGTATTAGAAGGCCACATCTAGCATCAAACCTCATCAATATCTCAAGCAGTCTCTCCCGACGTGCCGGGGTCTTAAGTACTATGTAATTCGACACCTACACTTTCCTAGCACAGTACAAAGCCGGGACAAGACACAAAGCATAAAGGCTCCACAATGGCATTGGGCTCGTACAAGCCCACCCAACAATGCGGGAACAGCTACTGCAAGAAGTACCTGCTACCACCAACCCACTACCCCCAGGTCTTCGGTACCTACTTCCCCTACCTCCCCGGGACAACCTTCACAATGCTAATCAGCGAGCTGCTATCAGAAGCCAGCATCGCAAACGTCTACTGGGGAACAGGGGCTTGGTTCGTCCTCGGCTTGCCCAAGGTAGGCGAGGACACGCAGTTCATTATCGCGGATGGATTGCTGGATGCTGCCGCCAGTACAATTACAGCGAAAGCTTATATCCCTGTCTGTCCGGCTGGACATGGCTGTCCCATCATGAAAGGCCGGAATGGCGCTGTGCCGGATTTGCATTTCCATATTAACCACTACGATGCGTGTCTCACGCTTGATCTGTTTGGCAAGTCGCGGTTGGTTCCGGCGTTGCCTGAGTTGAGGCTTGATGTGCCGGCTGTGGATGACCCGACTTTCACACTGGCTAGTAGTTTCCAGTGGGGGGTTAGAGAGAGAGGTACAGGGCGTGTGGCTGCGTCAGGGCCGGGGCGGTTTGGGACTCGCTGTACGCCGTTCTCTGAGGATGGGCCTGCAGTGCAGATACTTACCCCTGCGGCGGTGGTAGATGCGTTGGTTTATCTTTGCCTGCGGCATTTTGGGAAGGGGGCACATTGGATTACATGGGCAGATGGGCTGTTTGGGCTGGGAGTTCTCTATTCTGATGCTGCGGTGTGTGAACAGCCTGTGTCGAAAGATGTTAAGTCTGGATATAAACATGACCATGTCGTGGCTTACGCTGTAGCTAGTAATGGGATTCTTGTTGAAAAGTAATGATATTCTGTACTGATGTGTTTCGGCTGGTAGTACCTGATAAATAGTTGAACTGATATAAATAGCTGACAGAAGATATCAATGTAACCATTGCTACCTCCAACACAAAATCTGGCCATGCATCAGGCCAAACCAGCCATTCTCCTCCCTCACCCACTCCCTCCACCCCCTGGCAATACCCTCAAGATCCTCCTTCCTCGCAAACCCCCCATCCACAGCCCCCTCACTCAGCCCAGAACTCTCCATCCTCTTCGCCATCGACTCCCCCCAGTACTCTCTTTCCTCAGGGGTACTAAAACACCACGTCCCCGCACTCCTCTCAATCCTCTCTCTCTGAAACCCCGCCTCAACAGCCCAAACATGGATATACCGTCCAGGATGCGGATGCCCCCTTTTAGCTCTGCCCATTTTCCCCGTCAACTCAAGCCAGCCAGCTATCCCTGCATTCTCAGGATACCACGACATCGAATCCGACTCGCGCACAGAAACAACACCCCCCTTCTTCACAACCCGCCGCATCTCACGCAGCGCTTGCACGGGGTCCGCGATATGCTGTAGCACCTGATGCACATGCACAACATCAAAGGACTCATCATCGAATTCCAGCGCGTGCACATCTCCAACGCGGAAGTCCACATTCGCATCTAACCCTCTAGCCTTTGCAAGAGCGCGAGCCTCGTCCAGCGGGTCAGGTACATATTCAATACCAGTGACATGTCCGTTGGGATTACCGGCAACGAGTTGAGCGAGGTCAACTGTGATGCTTCCCGGCCCGCAACCCACGTCGAGGACTTTGAGGCCCGGCTTGAGGTGGGGAAGGAGATGGGGGGCGGAGTTTTGGGCGGTGCGCCAGCTGTGTGTTTTTAGGACGGAGGGGGCGTGGTTTGTTGTGTATGTAGTCATTTTATTTATTTTATCAAGGAGTTGTAGGTAGAAGGAAGAGTTATACATGGGCTGGGCTGTGCTTAACTTATAATTTATATGCGGCGGGGCGAGTCGGAGTTCCGACACTCAATACCCACAATTATATCAACCAAATACATCATGTCCTATGGCTATTTGTTTGATTTATGTTGATTTAACATCCATGCAAATGCACACAAACACTAAACAGAAACATCCCAAACTCATCGACACTGCCCACCCACCGCTCAACCCTGTCTCTTCGCGCCCTCGACCCCGTCTCCCCCGACCTCCACAGCTCCGAAATCTCCATCATCCCATCCTCCCACTCATGTAAATACTTATCATACTCTCTATCCCAGGATTCACGAGACCGCGCCTCCCAAACCCCCCGACCCTCAGGCAACAGAACACCGCGCAGCTCCTCCGCCACGAAATTCGGAAGCGAGTGCTCGGCATTGTACAAGCTGCTGAAGAGGTACATGACGTATATGGCACGGCGCTTTGTAGATGCCACGATCCAGGACTCCCAGGTTGGTCTTGAGCGGGATAGCTCCGAGCTGGAGAGGAGGCCGTGCCGGGCTGTGCGGAAAGCCAGTTCCATGAGTGTTATCATGGTCTTGTCTGTTACTAGACCTTGTCCTGGGGAGAAGTAGAGCAGCAGGGAGTAGATGAGGTAGGCTTGGAAGGTGGATAAGTGGGTTATATCAGGGAGGTTAGGGTCCTATATCAGTATTAACTATTAAACTATCGGTCACTGGTGTTGATTGGAGAGATACCTCAGACGCTAACCGGTCCATCTCTTTCTGCACCGTCTGTACAACTATCGCCTCGCTGCCTGGTGCAGCTTGCATCCACATCCGGACGAGCGTGAAGCAGTTCGCCAGTGCAAGAGGTGTCCTCTCCAAGGCTTGGGTGTGGTGGATTATCGGCGGGATATCACCGTCTCGGACCATGCGACGGGGGTAACTGCTCAGGACTCGGGAGATATACTGCAAGGTGAACGGATGATACAGCTTAGGCACCTCCTCTCCCAGCGGCGGGAGAATGTACGGTCGAAGCCAGCGGTCGCGGATCTCGTCTGCTGCATGATTCGGGACGAGGTCTGTGGCTGTAAAGTCGAGTTCAGGCTCATTATCCCGTTCTTGTCGGCTTGGAGTTGGTAGTGCAGTTCCAGTTCCAGTTTCAGGGCTAATTAGGGTATATGATTCAGCATGCAGACTGGGATCTCCCGGTGGACTGGATATAGAAGCAATAAAACTGTCCGGCTGTGGTATCGGGGTGGTGTACTCGCAGACCCGACCGAGCGAGTTGCACCGGGCGCAGACAGGCCGCTCAAGATTACATCGGACCTTTGATCTGGTGCAGCTCGTACAAGCCTTCTTCCGCGGTGGACGCTGTTGCTTTCGCTTCATGTTGCAGTCGGTGTTGCAGTGTCGGTGTTAAGAGATGGAGGTCGGAATTCCGACAGAATGTGGTCTGTGCATTCGCCACTTAAGATATCTGAATAATCTGGCATTATACATCAAGTAGGAACATGGAATGCATCAAACGGATAAAACGCCGATGAGTCCAGATCCAGCCAGTCTGTCGTTTGCCAGCCATCCAACATACTAGGCCCGGCCTGGAGGGCGAATTCTGCAGCTGGAATCGCCATTTGCTCCGAATAAAGGCCATTCTCATCAGGCTGGTATTCATTCTGCGGCCTGCTAGAAGACATACGACTGCAATTCCGTATACTCTGCTGCTGCGCCTCTGAGTGCAGTTCCTCGAGGATAATGCCATACCGGTGACTAGACGGTGCAGCTGAGTTCCCCTGCAGAAGGCGTAGTCGGCAGTTTTCAGCCAGCTCGTACAAGGACCTTGCTTCTTGGTCTTCCTGAGGCCTGGATAGACTGTGTGCATTCTGCTGGATCTCCCATACATAGACAACCGCCAGGGCACAGAACAGGACATACTGCGTCCACCAGAAGGAGTGGAACAGGTGGTCGTCGTTGGCCATATTAATCACCAGCTCCAGCGTCTTTCTCGCAGCGGACAGACACTCGTTGACTCTGTCCTTCACCTGCTGGTCGCTGAAAGTGTTTCCATCCCCTAGTAAGAAAGGCCGCGTCGCATGAATCACCGCATGCAGGTACGCAAGACTCAGCGCCGTAGCCTCGCGCCGGAAACTGGGGATTAGGGTCGAAGGCTTCACTGTGCCGAGATGGGGAGGCAGCTCTGAGTGCCAGGTATGTAGTTCTCGAACGAGACAGTGTGCTGCTGCTGCTCGCTGTGGGTTTTGCCCTTCATCGACGCGGTATACTTCGCGCGATATCCGTCCGATGATCTTTGCGACTCTAAACAATCAGCTGTTGTTCCAGTTCAAGCACCATAGAAGCATACTTAGCGTGAAATATCAACGAGATTATATGGCTTTCCTCATTTGCTTCAGTCGTGGAAGGACCATATGTTTCCATCTCCTCGTCGTTCACTGTATCTGGGAAGTCCTGGTCAATCTCATCATCATGCAGCAGACGCGGCCGCCCAAAGACCACGCTCAGGTATTTGTCAATCGCATACGCCGTCCAGAACACACGCTTCGCACACTGGTGGGTAATATAGTCCGACCGCTCCCCAAACGACGTACTCGGCTGTCTATGCTGCCTCCGGTGAAGGCCCAGCGACGAGATAATCTGATACGCATTCCCAAAGGTATACCACGCCTTATTCATGCGCGACGTCTGCAGCAGATACAGCACCTGGATAAGTCGAGCCTGGGCCGACTCAAGGCGAGGAAAGCCCATTTCCGAGTCCGTGAGGCCCATGGCAGCGCAGAACAGGGCGTCGCTTTCTCGAAACGCGCCGGGGTCGAGATCGTGCGAGCAGCCGTTTTCGATCTTGAGTTTGCGGAACCTTGCTATTGCGAAGATGGTGAATATTATCGCGGCTCGTGGGTTTCCAATCGATGTTGTTACTGCGTATTTGTGCGCGCTGTTCCTCAGCATCGTGGCTAGCCAGCTTTCTGCTGTCTGTCGGTGCAGCATGCGGTATGTCACGACGCAGGTGTCAAAGTAAAAAGCGAATAAACGGTGCGCGGTCTCTTCGTCAGGGAACACCTCATTGCATGTTATATGTCCCTCTGAGTAGAATGGTCTGTCCCCAGCAGACGCAACAAGCTGGTTCCGCTCGGCATCATTCGAGCCATAGCAGACAGAATTGCCCCGTTCGGCAGAGAGTTTGCTCCAAGCTCTATGCAGAAATGTCAAACCGGACGTGAGATCGAAGTACTGTCCTTCTATGACCAGTTCAGACGCTGCCCGCCGGTCGGACGCTTCATGCTCCGTGGTACCGGTAGGTTCCACAGAGTATGCAGAGAGCGACTTGCCAGTGGAGCTTTCGTCTGCTGCAGCATGCTGGCTCCCCGGCGTCAACGCCAGCGGCACACTCGAGGCTGGTGGAGTCGGGGGTCTGCCACGGCCATATCGACTTGCAAACGTGCAGGCCAGTCTGCGCCTAGCACAGGTGGTACATGGCAATGTCCCAGAACAGCGGATTTTCTTTGCCTTGCATGCGTCGCAGGCCCGGCTGACTTTGGGGTCTTTTCTCCGGTTGGATACGCCTTCGATATCTGGGGATGGATCGTATGACCGTTTGGGGGTGGACGGGGCAGCTGGGGAGTTCATGGCTGTTAAAATCCGGTGTATCCGGAGAAGTGGATTGGAATGAGGAGAATCAGCGGAAACCACGGAATTTCCCCTAATATATCATTGATATCAGGGATGATTTGCCCCAGTCCCCACTTCTTGGAGAACTGGACGGAGATTCTCCGTGGATATGGAGACCGGAATTTGGTGCTCTCGTTTGGAGATGTTTGTCTGAATAAAAGTCTATTGTCTATCATTCTTAAATATTGATTAAGCAACCTTGCTCAGCTGTGAAGCAGCAACAGCAGCATGGATCTCCTGCTCAGCGCCCTCCTCCAGAGGCAGCAGCGGCGAGCGCACTGTGGCGTGGGATAGGATACCCCGGGCCACCAGCGCATGCTTCAGCGCAACAGTGCCCTCCATATGCGAGCCACGGTGATAGACACTCTTCGTCACTGGCAGCAGTTGATCATGAACCGCCCTCGCCTTCTTATAATCCCTTTGCTTGCCCGCCTCAATCAACTGCAGCAGCAACTCCGGCGCAATATTGCCATACCCAACCAAGAACCCATCCACATCAAACGACGTATGCAGCAGATACTCATCATGACAACTCAGAATCTGCAAATCCGGCCTCTCGCGCCTAATCACCGGAATCTCCGTATCCCACCGCCTCATATTCCGCACCCCGTTCTTCATCGCAAACACCCCCGGCAGCGCCGCAATATCCAGCATCGTCGCCAGACTATACGTCGCCTTCGTGTTGTCTGGGTACTGGAACAGAATCAGCGGCAGCCCACTGACTTCATACACCCGCCGATACCGGTCCTGCGGCGCCCCGGGCTGGTATCCGAACCGCAGCCAGCCGTGCGATGGGTACAGCAGGCCTGCCTTGGCCCCGGCGTCTTTGGCACGCTTTGCTTCCAGGGCGGCGACTTCGGTCCCTTCGCCGGTGATCCCTGCGATGATGGGGATTTTGTCGTCGACGGAGGCAACGAAGGCTTTGATCACGGCGACTTGTTCAGCTTGCGTGAGGAAGGTGCCTTCGCCGGCGTGGCCGAGGACGACGAGTCCCTTCACGCCGGGGATGCTGCCTAGCCAGCTTCCTAGACGGTGGATTGCAGCGTAGTCGACCTCTCCGGTTTCAGTAAAGGGGGTAACGGGGGCGGGCGTGAGCCCGTGCATATCAAAGCCGACCATTTTGAGTAATTGAGACTGAGGAAGACACTTGTAATAATGGTTGAATTGTTGGTTGGGGGAAGGAGACCTCTGCGAGGTAACTGTTCTTATAGCTTTGTCAATGCAAGCACTGATGCTGGTTATAGACGACAAACACGGAAAACACGGATATCAGCAGAACAATTACTCCATAATCCATAGAGAATACTCCTAGTATAGGCCATTTACTCCATAATTCGTCTCCACATCTCCGGGTCGGATTCCACGGACTCAGCGGATTCCCCGGAGAACCCACAGGCGTTTAGCCGACAGCATCTGGTCCCTCGACGACATCTCTCACATCCTGCCCACGGGGTAATGAGTTGTCATTTCCGAAAGGCAAACGTGACGTACTCCGCGTTACCCCGGGATTGAGTCGGATATGACTATATAATCCCCACAATCAAGAGCTGTCACTCTCATACATCCGCACAGAGTTTTAAAATGCCCCGGAGTACAACCCCAGATACCGAGCATGGCTCTCCTGAGAAAGAGGCAGCCATGCACCTGGAACGTCGACCGGCAAATGGCTTGTCATTTGAAGACGAGGAGTTTCTAGCGAACTTCTCGGATGACGAGAGGAAGGCAGTTCTCAAAAAGGTGTGCACTAACTAACCATCCTATCCTGCTGTACTCATACTGACTTCTCTGCAGGTCGATGTACGAGCAATAATATCATACAGTCAAGGTCTCCGCTAATTCTTCAGTGGCGGCTTGTGCCCATGCTGGTGCTCTTGTATCTCGTGGCGTATATTGACAAGACGAATATCGGTGAGTGTCCTTCAGAACGTTATTGTCCTATTTCTAACTTTCCAGGGAATGCCAAAATCGAAGGGCTGCTTCCGAGTCTAGGAATGACCGGCGAACAGTACAACATCGCATTGGCTATCTTCTTCATTCCATACGTCCTAGCAGAGGTCCCAAGCAATATGATCCTCAACCACTTCGGCAAGCCCTCTGTCTACCTGGGAACACTGATATTCACCTGGGGCATCATCATGATGTGCACAGGCTTCGTCCAGAGCTTCGGCAGCCTCGTTGCTATCCGTTTCCTGCTGGGCTTATTCGAGTATACATTCCTCCAAGCACTATCCAGTCGATGCTAACAACAACAGAGCCGGCTTCCTCCCCGGCGCAGTCCTGATAATCTCGAAATGGTACCTCCCCAACGAAACACAAACCCGCATCGCAATCTTATACACCTCAGCCGCATCTGGTGGTGCATTCTCCGGTCTTCTCGCCTTTGGGATCGCCAAAATGAACGGTCTTGCTGGCTACGAGGGGTGGAGATGGGTTAGTCTCTTGGATCAATCAATATAAAATAACACTAACAAGATGACAGATATTCATCGTCGAGGGCCTCGCCACCATCGTCCTCGCAATAATGTGTTTCTTCCTCCTCCTCGACTCGCCCTCAAGATCCACAAGCTGGCTGACCCCCCGCGAAATCCAATTCCTGGAACTGCGCCAAATCGCCAACAGCATCAACGTCCATTCCCAGTCTGCAGATACACCCGAGAACGAGACCCAGTCAAAGCATAAAGCCAACTACCCAGCAATTATATCCGTCCTAACCGACTGGAAAGTCTACCTCCTCATCCTGGGGAGCTGGTCCAACGCCGTGCCCAACTACGCCATGAAATTCACCATGCCCCAGATCATCACGGGGATGGGGTTTGAGGCCGCGAATGCGCAGCTACTGACCATCCCGCCCTACGCACTCGGTGCATTCTCGGCATATATCTTCTCCGTCTTTGCGGATCGGTATACCTGGCGGATGCCGTTTATCGTTGTCCCGCAGGTACTACAGGTTGTGGCGTTTGCGGTCTTGTTTACGAATGCTGCGGAGATTGAGGAGAATGTTGCGGCTTGTTATTTTGGGGTTTGTTTGGCTTGTTTTGGGTATGGCTTCTTCTTTCTTTTTTCTTTCTTTTCTACAGGTTGAGTTGTGGTTCGTAACTAACTGATACAGAATGTACCCCATTCTCCCTGGCGTCAACTCGTGGAATGTCTCCAACACGCCGGACCCAACGAGGCGGGCGATTAGTATCGGGTATCTGATTTGTATGGGCAACGTGGGCGGGCTTATTGGGAGCTTTATATACCAGGAAGACGAGGCGCCGCGGTATGTCACCGGGTACGGCAATTCGTTTGCCTTTGCGTCGGCGGGGATTGTAGCCTGTCTGGTGCTTGAATTTATTCTCTTTAGGGTGAACCGGCAGAGGGAGACCATGACTGAGGTCGAAGTCAGGGAGAGATACAGCGAGCAGGAGCTGAGGCAGATGGGGGAGAGGAGTCCGTTGTTCCGGTACACGTTGTGATTGCCAGCAGTGGCTCAGATACATATCGATTTAGGAATGAATATGAATGCACTTGAGGCTTTGTTGTCCCCGTCTACTTGAGGTATTACCTACAGCTCCATACGGCCCTGCGGAAACTCCCCGACATGTTTTACCCTAACCCAGGCACCCAGAATTCTCGACTTCAACCGGAGCGAAGAGAACCCCCTCCATGGCTTGAATTAAGACCCCACTGTGCCGAGACGCATTTCGCCCCCATGCGTTAAATGAGGCTATGAAGCGCATTAGACGGCGGGGCCAACAGCAGCAACCGCTGTTAACAGGACCAGCCCCAGCCCGCGGGATAATAACGCACGGAGTAATGTACAAGCGGTGCAGGCGCGGAATTGATGTTCCCGGCGCACGCCGTCGATATTTCGATTCGATTTCCCGTTGTGCTGTGGCTAATTGCTAGGCGCCCTGCGCCGCCCGCAATGGCTGAGATGCACATCCTATTGGACGCACCCTTGCATCATAACCAGACCCAAGAAGGAAATAGACCAGATCCCATCAGCTGGGTACTCGATAAGAGTCAAGTTGACGAACTGCTGTTTGTTTGTTGGGATCTGGAACGCGTGTCGTGGAAATCACGCCGGGCGCCTGGCTGCCTTGTTTCCGAGGAACCTGTAGGATCTCGAGATGGGACGACCTGAGAAAGGCGTGCCGACCGGGAATGGGAGCTGGAAATGAGCGCTGGACATGAGTGCTGAACCGGTGGAAGGGTGTTTGGGCCGGAGCGACTCCGTCAGCGATGGCTGTGTAACAACCGACCTTCCTATTCTGGCAATCGAGGAGTTGTACAGGGTTACACAGGGCCCCGTGGCTCGACGGGCATGGAGGTTGACGCTTGACTGAAGCACGCGCCAGGGGATGGGCAGGCGGCGGGGGTGTTCTAGTAGTCGAGACGCCGCGAGGGACAAGGGAGGGCACGGGCTGACGGCAAGGCTGACCAGCCTGCAGTCTGAAACGAAGCTAAATATAGCACTGATGCCCTTCGCATTCCAGATCTGGGGCTGCGATTGGCTGCAGCACAGCGGGTTGTGATCGACCGGCCGGGGGGATACGAGATTCCTGCTTCTGGTGCTGTGCTGTGGCAGGACTGTTGGAATGTTTGCAGCTGCGATTGGCGACGCAGGCCGATCGGCATATATCGGACAATTACATTCTTACTGCGGAGAGAGGCCGTGGGTAATGAGAAATGACAATCATCGACCTAACTGCAGTGAATCTCCATACATCGGGTCCCCTAGCCCAATGCGGCAATCGTCAGGGCTTCACCGTCCCACAACATGCCAGTTCGTCAGAGCGGTCGCTGTTGAAACTCGAGAAAGATTCTCGAATTCCCTGTACGACCGTTCTATTCGGAGCCTACGAACTGGCCCTCGCGGCCTCGCGTGCTGCTGCATTCCATCCCTGACCTGAAACATCGACCACGTTGGCTGCCCGGCATGCCCGCCAGATTGTTTATGGCATGTTTTATTTTTACCTCGGCGTGCAGATCACCGTCGACTGTCGACTGACGAGCTGGAGTCAGACGGGCCCAACACCGCAGACCAGGCTCACAGCCAATGGCGCCCACCCCCCTGCAGAAACCATGCAGAAGCCTCGTCCTGGGAGAAACGATCTGCATCTCGACTCGAGCCCTCCTTGCTGACTTCCCCTGCGCAACCAGCGAGGGACTGAGACCGAGTCTCGTCTCATCTCCGTCATCTGTACTACATTCCCACGTTCCACGTTCCCAGCGTCCACGTTTCTCGCTTCGAACCGCTGGCACACGACAGGCTACGGATATCCTTCTCGATCGATCACGTCGTCACACCTACAAACCGTCTCAGCCCAGTTCCCTTTCCCCCTCGGCCCTCACTCAGCGACCTTACGTGAGGTGAGGAGACGGGAAATCGGGGGGACGGACAGACGCGCAAACGGGCAGACGGAGGCCAACAGTTAGCGATCAGGCCCAAATCTCGCTCCCAACCCCGGCTCTTGGTTGCGGCTGATCAAGACATGCATAAGTTGCATGCCGCATATCCTTGTTCTGGCCCCTCCAAGCTTCTAACTGGTGAACCGGCCCGTAAGAGCTGACAGGCTGTGAGTCTGCAGCAACAGCCCCTCGTGCGCCGATTGGCTAATACAAACAAGAAGTAACGCGGGCACCTAAAACGACCTGAAATGCGAGTGCGAAGAATGAATGAATGCATTGGCTTTGACTTTGTGTGGACTGGAATGCTGGCGCGCACGAGGAAGATCCACTTGGAGAATTCGACTTTAAATTAGGCCGTGCGTTAGCTGGCCGGTGTAGACTAGGCGAGCTACTTGCCTGCCTTATTCAGTAATTATGCTGGTAAGTTCGTCAAAGTAAGACCTAGGAATTGGTCTCCGGGGCGGGATTCCAGGCTGGATGCCGCCGTCCCTTATCTAAGCTAAGCCTGAGCTAGCCCAAGCCCAGCCAAGCTGGAAATAATTAATTCAAGAGTGAAACTAAATAATAATTATTATTATATTCCCAAAAAGTACCTGCGGGCGTAAGAAACATGGCTGGCAGGATTCCGCACCATGGGTGATGTTATTGATCCTGTCTCTGGGTAGGGTTAACGTGAACACCGGATTGGGGGGCCAGGGGGCGCAGTCTCTTGTCTTGCAAGTCAGAGATCTCGTTGCTGAGGTGTTATTTTTCTTTTTGATTTCTTTCTTATATATATCGGGAATGCCCTCGGGTTGAAACACTCACAACTGATCATAATAACAACTACACCACACCTATACCAATATGTATTCTACCAAAGACCTATTCGCCATGACCGAACAACGCCGGCGCTGGACAACTGCCGAGGATGCGCTCCTCTGGGATCTTTATCAAGTCGAGGAGAGGGGTATGTCTGACCAGACGTTATACATATATATATCGTACTAACGGATAACAGCCCCAACAGGCAAATGCCAAAAGGTCAACTGGAACGAAATCGCGCTCCACATCCCCGGCCGCAGCAACAAGGACTGTCGCAAGAGATACTTCAACCGGTTCACTGGAGGCCTGCGCAAGGTGAGCTTCAGTATATTATTGTATCCGGAGCGGGCTAACTCCAGCAGGGATCGTGGACGCAGGATGAGGATGAGCGGCTGTTCGAGCTCGTGGAGAGATACCAGTACCGATGGGCCATGATTGCGCAGAAGATGGAGACGAGGAACGCGGATCGTTAGTTTCTTCTTTACTGGTAAACTGTATTTTAAGCTGACGAGGACAGAATGTTCGAAGCGCTGGCATCACTGTCTGAACCCGGAGCTGGAGCGGAGTCCTTGGACGCATGACGAGGTATGTCTACCAGATAAAGCCTGATCAGCATCAGTCTAAACCAGCCAGAATGCACTCCTACTATCGGCAGTTGAGACGCACGGAAGCAGCTGGAAGGATATCCAGAGATCGCACTTCCCCACCCGGTCCGCGAACAATATCAAGAACCAGTGAGTCGATAACACCTGCAGGAAAGCCGACCTGCAAGAGCCCCGCTGACCAGACGCGCAGATATACGATTCTCTCGCGAAAACGCCTTAGCCCCGTCCACCTACAACCATGCTGCCAGACGGCCGAATCATCGCGACGTCCCCCATCCTCCACGCCATCGATGACCGGCTCTCAGGGAGGTCCTCGCTACGACGCATACAACTACGGCTCCCTCACCACAAGCCCCCAGGTTTCTGCAAGCGAGTATCTCCCGGCGACCCCTGACACCTCTGGTTCCGTGCACGGCTATGATCTCCATCCCGCCATGAGCTTGCCCAACGATCCCTGCGGATACGTGCCGCAGTACCAGCCATCGTTGTATCCGAATATGCCTGACGCCGACCTCGTGATGACTGACCCGCTGGGAATGAGATACGAGTTGGATCTCTCGTACTTGCAGGACGGATCGATGCAGGAGTATCAAGGGCTTCAGAGAGGACAGTCGTACGGATATTGATCGGCATGCAACAGTAACGAGCATAAACGGCAGGGAAGCACGGCGTATGGTTTAGACGAACACTGGGGCAAAGGGAAATGGTATCGGCGTTGGTTTGATTCTAGATTTCAACTGTCATCGCAATAATTCACAAGACTGTCCAGTTCTCATCGAAAACACATCAGATTGAAGATACAAATACAGAACTACAGAATGTAGGATAGATACCATGACACCGACGCAGTGCAGCCCGAAGGCCAGGGGCGACGTCAGCATGCTCGATATAAATCCGTTGATTTTGGTACTAAGAGGCATACAGCATCCGACACTCTAACACGATCTTCATGCAGACAAGTCGTCGCTGGGGTTTAATACCGCGAGGAACAGAAAGAAACGGTTACAGGCGATTACGCGGTGGGTTGCGATGCAGCATCAAGCAGGCAAGCCGAGATCATCCACGCGGCATGAAGATACTAAGGATGGCGTGGTGGATAGATCAAGTGTGGATAGACAAGTGTGGATAGACAAGTGTGGATAGAAAGTGTGGATAGAAAGTGTGGATAGAAAGTGTGGATAGAAAGTGTGGATAGAAAGTGTGGATAGATTGTGGAGTTGTCGAGTGGCAACTTTTGTGCGGCCCGCGGAACCATTGATATTCCGGTAGGAACGGCTAGCCGGATGTAGCTAGCGTAGAATAGCCGAGTGTGCAGCCTCAGGCAACTACCAGTCTATACAAACCGACATTGTTCTATAACAAAGATACAGCACAAGGGCTATTCAAATGCCATATCTGAATGCACGGACAACAAAGACAGTGCTTTGGCTTAATGATACTGCCGATGCATTGTCTGCTTCACGACTCGGCAATCAATTTAAAGTAACTTAAAGTATTCCTGGGTATACCAGCATTTCCTCAGCATTCTTCAAGCAGCAGGTGGATGCTCTTCTCTATTCATAAAGAGCAGTACGCTATGGAGTCCAAAATGGAATCGACAAAAACATGTTACGTACTAACAGGTTCCCTGAGCCCTAAACTAGAGCTCAACGAGGAGGGCGCCCGCACGATATGCCATGCATTCGCCAGCTTCCTGCACCAAAACGGCTACAGGGCATTTGACGTTCGAACTGGGTACCGCCAGCCAGACGGCGCCTGGCGGATTCTTGTTGTTTTGTTCCGTCCGCTTGAAGAAATGGCTAGTTTGATGGAGCTGAATAGCATCCATGATGAATTCACTCACTACATTCTGTGGAACACTCTTTGGTTCAGGTGGGTTGAGGACTTGGAAGACTGCTCTGAGCTTGTGCCCGGCTGGGAGGAGTGGGGGATAGGGAATTAAAAACCAGCAGAGGCACTGGGGTTTGAAAGCATCTGCCTGATGGGTGCAGATATATTTTATGCTTACGCCTCAGTTTAAATTATTTCAGTTATGGGTGATCGTTGCTTATGCTGCGTGCGGTATTTCTATGAGATCTCTATTTAAACAATCTTTACCATACAACCCTGAAGTGTAAATATCATGGGTATAACTTTATATTACTATTGTGGACACAATGAACAAAGCCCCGGGAGTATAACAAATAGCAAAAACCACACCTCGTTGCAAAGAGGGTAATATTAAAAGTCAGAATCATGTATATCATTCCCCTGAAACATAATGGCAATGTCCAGGAGCATGCATGAAAGGGCAAGCTTTGTCTTTGTCCCTCTGGCCATTCCATACGGAATTAGCTTGAAACGCATAAGATAAACAACGATACGCAGGCCATTATGAAAGACGAATCCCCGAATCTTTGCAAGTTCCATTATCTCATAATAGGATATAAACTGCGTGAATCCTACGAAGTCAGCCAGGTGTACGAACTGCTTTTTCCTTCAGCCAAATACTGCTCCATTACTTCACCCAGCCCAATCTCGCTATCAAAGTCCACGCAGCAATGCCGGTGGAATTCATTCGCGCAGCAACGATGATTCACGGGGAGCTGCCTACCTGTAGTCAGGTCGAGGCGCTTGATATACTTGGGGATGTGTATGATGCAATGTGTTCTACAGACTGCTGCATCTGGGAAATTGTTATTTTCGGCCGGGGCGCCCCCGTAGATAAATGGACGCTATGGGTGCAGTTCAAAAGGCCCGCAACTGCGGATGAAGAATGGGAAGAACAAATCGAGAGAACGGTGTCGCGTACAGTCGAAAAGCGTTTTCTGGGGATGAAGCTATACGACGGGTCACCACTCCTGACGCTGGTTGAACCGCTAAGGGCGCGCAATATTATCAGGCGTCACCAGGAAACGGCGGAGCAGGTGTTCTGGGAGTCGCAGTTTATAAGATATCACGGTCTTTCATTCCTGCCCTACTGTGACGGCAAGCTGCAGCATGTAGATGAGAGGCACTGGATCCTCCTACTATTGCATATCGATGAATATACACTATACAGGACAGCAAAGAGCGAGAAAGCCCTAGACGAAGCCTGGAACAGGATCCGGCTAAGCAAACGTGGACAATCGATCAGTCAGACAATATTCGCCGCGATAGATGCAGCAGGTGGGCCTGACGGTCTTCTGGACTAGACTTCTGCTAGATTGGAATTATATATCTATTCATTTGAGCACAGTACCTGAATCTATCGTAGTGAAAGCCAACCTGCAAGCAACGTCGAGACGAGTGCAAGTCTGGGCAAATATCTCGGCCAGTAAAACCTTTCTTTATTACCTTTTGATGAATGAACTTGTATGGGAAAGCGAAACGCAGAAACTGCATCGACTGGGCTATAAGAACAACGCATCATATTACACACTCAGAAGGCAGCAAAGGGCAGCTGCTTAGAGTGTACGCCGGTCGAATGCATAAATGGTCAATGATCATACAAACAGTGAAACAGTCAATAGATACAATGAATCCTTGGTCTGCTATTTTCCAACAAAGACCATAACAAGAATAACAAACTAATACCTAGACAAAGCTGTGGCTCCACATCAAAGGGCGTCCTCTGTTCCCAGCAATAATTTCATCATTCTTACTATTCCCCTTTAGAATATAAATATCTCGAGTCCACGTACTTCACAACCAGGGAGACAAGATAACATTTACCTCTCATCCAGGACTTGCCACTGTGAGCGTATTACTACCACCGTTGTGCAAATCGGTCGCCTCCCTGAAAGTAGGCAGTTTATCTAGCAATGTCGCGAATCTTTGATGGAGACGGCGTCCTATTCACATCGCTGTCAGACTACAATCGAGAAAAGGCACAGAAACTTTTCCACTGTCTAACTGAGAATCTCCGTGTACTAGGATGCCGATTCTTTGAGGTTGATGTTGAGTTTTGGCCTTCCCCCAAAAACTGCTGGGTAGTATGGGTGCAACTAGGAAAACCCTGGGGAGCTTGGCCTGAATGGTTAGATTGGATCAGGAGAAGACTGAGTGATCTGGCCCTTGAGGGCTCGGACCGCTTCTACGAAATGGGAGCGTGGGCCATCCCCCAGATAACGATTGACAGCAGGACGATGCTGAACGGGTGTAAAAGATTCCGGGTTGTTGTGTATGAAGATATACCTTTTCTTGTTTCATACGACGGCAAGTATCATGAAGCTGGTGATTTTGCCCGGCATGATTTGAAACATGAGCACTATGAGTTACAACGAGCGACCAGGGATAACCGGCAGGTGCACGAGCAGCAGGCCAAGGTGCAGGAACTCGAGGCAACAATGAGGCAAACATATACTTGGGAAAGGATTGACTCACTGGCAGGAAAATAACTAATGGCGCGCCCGTTAGAGCCTGGATGGGAGATAGATCGTTATATTGTTAATCCGTTATGGGTGCTAGTTAGTATTGCTTAATTTTACTGTTTTGTGATCATTTATCTGTCTAGGGATGCTTAAGCGAGGGCCATTGTAAATAATAAACAGACTGGCTATTTTATGCGGACTTGTTGGTGAAGTGCGTACAAGACAGCTTCTATTAAAAAGCCATATACAAACCCCGTCCCGCAGGCCTAGAAGCTCGCCCGAGACCACTTGAATGCAAAATGCTTGTACAGGCCTTCATAAATGTCAACATGGATTAATACTGCCTCCTGGAACTATGTAAGATTTCAATACAAAGGAGATGATGAACATGACTGATACCTCCGACTGTCAGTTTATTTTGCCGTCAGGACTGGGAAACATCCAGTGAAATAGAGTTTCATGCTAGGTACCAACCATAGGAATGGGGGATATGTCGATTTAATGTTGTACATTTGCCCTGCCTACTGATGATAGTAAGCTATAAAATGGTTTTAGTGGCTTGTCCTTTGAATCGTCGGCAGTGACGGGAGGAAGCCACCAAAGTCGCCAGATTTGAAACAGACTACTGGCTCACTAGGGTATATCAACCCAGGTCATAACAATGTGGGATCAGGAATTGCCGCCTTGCAAAGCCCAAAAGGACCTGCCAATGACCCTGTTAATAGCCTGGGCTCCAGATTTATTAAACCCTTCAAGTTGAAAGAAAAGACAGAAATACAAGAATGGAATAAACAAGCGTAAACCAACGACCCTATCAGGGACTCGGGGAAGGTCCAACACTCCCGACGAAAACCACTTCCACCGCAGTAAACCTAACCTCACGTCAGTATAACTACCAGCATCACGGATATGGTGGATGGTTAAACGTACGCGGCAGTTGCGGCAAAGATTTCGGCGGGACTTGCTTTGGTCAATGCTGCTAACGCAGCGGCAAAGACAACGGTAAACCCGAATATGAAGAGCATTCGGGCATTCGGCGATTGTACCGCACGGAGAATGATGATTGCCAACGGTGGTAGCATGGCAGACGTCGTGGTTGTGATAACCTTGCTGACGGTTCTTATTCCCTTGTTTGAATAGACCCTGAACGGAGCACCAGCACGGCTGGGCTTCTATAGCCATGTCAGTCCTGCGTCAACGCAGAGGTTTATGTTTGGATTTGGAATCTACAGACCTTCCTTAGTCGGCACAGCAGGTCGTCGCGCCTGATGACGCAGTAGTGGTATACATCCACCATGAAACCACTCAGAAATCGTGTCACAATGTCTTCTCTCTGCTCGCGGGGGTCGAGGGTGATGAAGTCACCGTCATTTACCGCATCCCAGGTAGAACCCTCTGTACCCCTTGGAAAGTCATCGTGTATATGAGGAAGATATCCACGGAGAAATTCAATTTCCCGTTTTGTCGGCCTCGGTGCGTTGTTCAATTCCATCATCTGCAACAAGGTGGTTCCTGTGGGAAACAACGTCAGAACAAGAACCTCAATCGAGAATCCGCAACACACTGTACTCGGCCAGGATCGTGTGTATCTCACGATGAAGGGCCATTTGCACTTCGCCGAGGTCGTTGGCTCCCATTTCGTAGAAGTCCCTTGCAAATAGTGTTCGAGGGTTGTCCACTACGTCGTCCTCCTTCTGGGCATCCCTAAGCCTAAGTTGAAGATCAATCAGTTTGGCCTCCATAAAAAGGAGGTTTTGCATCTGCAGATCCCTGAACTTCCTGAATATGGCCGTCTCTGTGTTGATGGCCATCATATTCGCCAGGGCGGGATACCCGGCTACAGGCTTGTAGGTAGATGGTTCCTGGGTGCTGTTAGTTTCAAGGCACCAGCCCTTGCCAAAAGTGAAATTAAAAAAAAAAAAAAAAAAGGAAAAGGAAACCAGAAAACATAGTCAGAACATACAGGAGATTCCGACATTGCGTGTGGCTGCTTGAAACCCAAAGGCTTGGAAAGTGGCAGCGCGTATTGATTTGCCTGGTGGCCCGAGGACTTCGCCCTCTTTATAAGTCTCATTTTGTACTGGATTGGACTTAAGCTAACTGGGATTGCGCCTGTTTCGCATGATGCTGGTATCCCAGTAGTACTTTCGCGATTCTCGACTCTGTTTGAACGGCGAGAAATCGTTTGCCAGTGCTGAATGATCCGTAGCATCAATCACCTTCCCCTACGCGGGCCACGTCAAGCTGCAAATGATATCTGCATGATCCTGGGTTTCAACTAGTCAGAAGAACGGGCATCAAACGCTTATCGCGAGTCTGTGGGGGCATAAGGCTGGGCATTTGGCAAAATATGCAAGTCAATGCAAGCAATCGAAGATCGCGTTTGCACGAGATGAGAGACATTAGCTCGTGTACCCATTTCCACCAGTCGCCCGGCCAATGAAAATAACAATATTCCTGGATTAAGGTGGCGTCAGACGGGTAGATTTCTCTGCATCTATTTCCCCCAGCCGCCTCGCTAACCCGCATACCAGACATGGACCATCCGACGAGGTGTCCACAGCCAAACGCTCGCACAAACAAGGCATTATGCACTCAGAATGGGCTTTCCTGACCGTGTAAATATGAGGCAGCGCGTCATTTACAGCTTTCTTCAGTTTTCCCCATAACCATCTGGGAGGTGCCTTGTCCACTCCGCGTGTTATTCACCCGTTATTCCCCTGTTGTTCGCCTCTTACAGTCCTCACCCCACCCTTTCCCGTTGTGGTGTATTAATTGTGCCTTAACTATGGATCCTGTTGCTACGGCGATCGTCGCTATCGGTGTTGCACGGCGGACGGACGACATAACGAACAACCTAAGGAAGAGGAGATGGAGGGGATTTGAGTCCGACGAAACGCCCCCGCCACTGGATGAACTGGTTATCCGAGTGAAGGTGTTGCAGGATGCGATCGAGACCATCTTGAAGTCCAGTCGCGGGGTCAGTCTAAAGGTCCTCGCGGCAGTGCAGCTGTGTGGGAAAATGTTTGATCCCCTGGAGATACTCGCCAAAGATCAGAAAAAGTCACTCATTCCCGGCAGGCTTGAGAGGATCTCTGAGCCTTTCTTGCGGTCTGTTCATTTTCTACAGATCTTGCTTCTCGAGTAAGCCCGTTGTGCCCCTGGCTCCTATCGACTCCTTTGACTGACGGGATGAAGCGAACGTGTTCGGGCAATTGACCATGATCTCACATATGGGAACACCGCCAAGGACCTCCATTCTTATGATTGGAAGTTCATAGCATCTGTGCGCCATTCGGGTGGGGATGGAGTCCAGGGTACGGCCTTGGATTGCCTCCTCGACACCGGTAGTGATGCCAACTTCGTGGACACTGACACTCTCCGCGAACTCGGCATTTTGCAGCAAGCAGAGGATCTAGACTCTGGCGAGGTACAAAGCTTCGCCTTGGGCTCGGGGTCCTTCCAAATCCAACCGACAAAGAGAATTCGCCTCATATGGCAACAGCACTCGGCCTCGGGTGTTCCTGGAGAGGAACAGACGGCGCAGTTCCTTGTAGTAGATGATCTCAAGAACAATATTGTGGTTGGACGCCCATATATCCAGTGGTATTCTCAGACGAAGCCACCATCGAAGAGTCTTAATGCGATCCGGCTCGTGGACAACGCGACAGGTACGTTATCACAGGCCAAAGGGCTATGAATAGACTCTAACCGCCGCCACAGAGGATACCGACAAGACCAAGAAAAAAAGACAGCAGGATGATCTGATTCGTGCCGAAAGGCAGAAGAAAGCGGCCGCCGAGCGAGAGCAGCAGCGACTTGTGACGCCAATAGCGCCGTCTCAACCACAGCCACAGCTGCGACCGCAACCGCAAAACCGCCCTTACAGCTACGCTGGTTCTTTATTTCAAGTTGCATTCGACGCTCTCAAAGCCCTATTCACGGCCATACCGCAAGAACAAGCAGAGGAAGAGGAAGAAGAAGAAGAAGAAGAAGAAGAAGAAGAAGCAACAACGGTAACAACAGACATGCCGGTTGCCAGCGGGGCCTTGCCTCCCCTAATGCCTTGATAAGCAACTGACATCGGCCTGTGCGTTCTGAGGTCTGTAGGATTTGTGATACCGTTCTTGCCACATGACAATACTCGTGGCTCTTCAATATGATGAGCCCGCACGGCTGTTGGTTTCTGATGACAAGCATGTTTGAATGGATGTTTTATTGAAGGGTAGACTAGCAATAAGTAATAGCTATATGTTTTCTTCTAGGGCTCTTATGTATCATACGAGTTTTCCTTGTACTTGATAGTTTTTAGTATTTGTATCAACAAGCTCGTGGGAGGCGTTCTTCGCCTCCAGGCTCACCATTGATCTACATCACGGACGTCTCGTCTACTCATAGGAACTGATGGGCATCTACCTCTTACGTGGACCTGACGGCTGAATACAGCTTCGAAGCTAAATTGCGCACGTTGAACGGGTTCCCAGTTCAACTTCATCAGAACGCTTCAAGATTCAAAGCTATTGGAGACATCAAGTAGACTCAAGGAGGGCTAACTACAACCTGTGCAAGCTGCAGTCAGTACTGTCACATTATTTGATCTTCTTTCGTCCTTGTATCTTCCTTTACGGAAAACAGCAATTAGTGACTAGCAGCGCATATCGTTCCTTCCTTAGATAGCACTTACTCCATTCAAGATGAGAAACAACTATCTGTTCAGAATAAGCCCCGTTTGGAAGGTGCAGGCTGGAGGTTATGACTGGGGTCTACGGAAGTGCCAGGCGTGTGTAGGCCTTTTTTTTTTTCTCTCTTTGGCCGCGCGTGAATAAAGCAACTAGAACCTGTCGAAGCAAAATGTAAGTAGACTCATACGTACCTATGAATATTGGATCCCCGTGTATACTAATAGCTTCGTAGTGTAACAAGACCTTCTCCATAAAATGGCCCTCGCAAACGTAAGATATCCTTCTAGACTAGCTGCGCAGTAGCATGGCTCCATTTAACAAGATAAACAGTACAGTACCCTCAATAACTTCCAGAGAGAGTATGAGAGAATCAACGGCAGTAACCCCGAGGACTGCGTGGGGGCTACATGGAGCGTTATACTGGGGACAATCTTTCCTGCCATGCAAGGCGACTATGCCATCGAATCACAAGCCAGAAACCCTGGTGGGTATACTGATTTTACCATCTGTGACTGGGTTGGACCCCTTCGCCGGCCATTTTTGTTGTGGAGACCAAGAAGGCTCCCAGGGGCCGTCGCCGGCCAGGCTGGCAAAGTGCTGAAAGGCAGCTCCGCCGATATCTCCAAGGTTGGGCCCAAACTGCTCGCCAGGGCCAGACAGCGCGGGCAACATGTTACGGCGCCATTGCAATCGGGAAGCGGGTGCGGTTCTATACATACAACTATGAGACAAATGATATCGCGCCCATGCAACGTCGGGTCCGACGCTATGAGGTGAATAACGATGCGCAGATCATCGCTGAACGACTTTGGTACATTAGAAATAATCACAATTAATCAATATTACTAGTCACATATCATATCAGAGACAAAAGAAGCAATCACATCCAAATGTTGAAGAACATATCGCCGACCATCCAATTGCTTGTTCCAGTCAAATTCGAGCCGCTCCAGCTCAAAGCATAGATACTCCCAGTCTAAGGTCTCACTAGATAAATCTTGAACTTCGTGGAAAAGATCTGGGACTCTGGAGCGCCAGTACGCATCGCCCAAGTAAGACCCTATTGCCTTCTGGACGGCTGCAACGTCCGCGGAAGGGAGCAAATCTGCGGTCAGCCGTAAGATTTCTGGTGGAAGACGATCCAAGTACGTCTCCTTTTGGGCGTGTTGTATAACTTGAAACCTTCGTTTCGTCCTGCGCCGAGCTTGTCGGATGATTTCCTGTGCACGAGAGCAATGAAAGGGGTCTAGCAGGCGAAAGTCCAGTAATTAGCATCCATATTTACCGGGCCCCAGGTGGTTGACTCTATTACCCATGAAATCGTAAAGAATCTGGAAGCCTTTCTCCAGGAGTAAAGTGATAAACTCGTCAGGACTGTATAGTGAATCGTTCCAGTCCCGGGCACTCTTGTGGCGTAGCGCCTTTAGTATGATCTTAATGTCGCCCCCAGATAATGTCCAAGCCTTGTGCCTGCGAAGTAGTTGCCAGCATCGAGCATGCATCATAAAACATGTGAGCCTACCCGGGGCAGAGGGGTGCTGCGCCTCATGCTGCAGTGCCGTTACTAGGAGCTCTTCATGCATGCTTGGATTGCTTTCTGATCTGATGATCAGTTTGTCCTCGTCCCATGGCGCCTGGCGCGTATGAAAGCCAAGGTCCTTGTCGCTGAAATATGATACGCCGGACAGGCGGCAAATACGTTTCTGTGGATGGAAGAGGACTGTAGATCTGCATTAGCGCCAGTATCCATGGGCCATATCAAGTGGGTTGAAGAGAGTGAAACAGAATGAAGGGAAGCGAAGCAAAGACGACTAGGGCAGGCATACTCATACGGTAAAAGCGACACCACCCACCACCCTCCCGATTCCGAAAGTAAGGATTGACAGACTCAGGGCAATATATTCCTGTCATGAGTTTCGTTCTTCCGTCGAATTCGGTGAAGTCGGAGCTGCAGATATAACATAGGGGATTAGCGTCCTTTGTGGGGTCCTTGACGGGGAGCTGGTCTGCCTCGTCTAGATTCCCCATATTTACTTCCTCCGTTCTGTCCATTATTCGTCAGTTGGGAACAGCTCTTGCAGGGTGTGGGTGGTATCTTGGTCTGTGTTTCGATCTATTCAGATACGGCATGGGACAGATGGAGATACATTTTTGCCTGATTCATGACGCAGCACCGGACCATTCTGCAGGATTTGAGTTGCCATAGAAGCTTAAGGGCTCGCCGCGTCTGCTGTCGCCATGGACTTTCTCTCACTGGGCAAAGGAAGGCTGGCCTGGGAGTGGCGTGACATGTCGGGAACGAACCACCTGAACTATATCTTACTTAAAGTTTGATCATCCTCTTTTTTTTGAAAGCAAATATGTTTCATACTTTGCAATCTTCGACTTCCTGGTTCAGAACATTGGTTGGGCACCTCCTCAAGCTGGCGTTGACAGCGCCTCCTTCCTCTCTTCCCAAGTCCTATTATCGGCCGCTAAAAAATGGCAGCTACTTGTAGGGCCGTGCCTTACTTGGAGGCTGTATTGAAGTAAGAGACGCACTATATCAAGCGGATTTCTGCTTGAGCATGCGGCACGGAGTCGCGTTTTCCCATCAACTGCTACTCCAGTAGCATCCCTACAGCAGGACAGTAGCCGTTTGCTAGATATATGTTCTTTGTCCCCCTGCGGCCATGGCCCACGGTGCTTTCGCCCAACTCACCCAAAACTTGTATCTATCACATATGAAGTGGCAACGTACTCAATGCTCTTTTCACTACCACCCACGTTGATAATAGTGGCCTAGGTACGGCTGAGGGGGCGGGGAGTCCCGTTTTCCACACCCTGTGGTCGTATGGGCTGACTCTATCTGGATAGAGAGTAAGTAGAGTAATCATCTATAAGTAGTGTAAAGATAGTTCCTGTGGGACAGAGCGTTAGATCATGAACTAGGCCTGTTTCCAAATCTATCTGTTAGATCTCTAGTGATTAAACTCGTACCTAGTTTACATCTATTGGTTGGCTTTAAGATTATGAGCAATCATTCAGAGACCAAGTAGACTTGAGGAACACATTGTTAGGGTTAACTGCGGAGAACATAACTCTGCATTTCTTTCTCTGCATCTCTATTGCTTCATTGCGGTTGGAGGAGAATCCCCGAGATTATCCCGGATGCATCTACCAGGGATTGACTGATTGAGCTGCGGGGTTGCCATGCAATCCTGGCATGTTTTAAACCCAGGCTGACGCTGTGTCCTTCACTCAGCCAGAACTCTTCTACTACCATTAGTATACAAAATGAAAGCCCTCGTCTACACCGGCCCCGGAAAAGTCTCAGTCCTCGAGCGTCCCAAGCCCACCATCCAAGCCCCCACAGACGCAGTCATCAAGCTCCTCCACGCCTCAATCTGCGGAACAGACCTGCACATCCTCAAAGGCGACGTCCCCAGCATCCAGCCAGGCCTCACTCTCGGGCACGAAGGGGTAGGCATTATCGACGCTGTCGGCTCCGCCGTGCACAAGTTCCAAGTCGGCGATCGCGTCCTCATCTCATGCATGACCTCCTGCGGGGCCTGCCGGTTCTGCCAGCGGGGAATCACATCACACTGCGTATCAGGCGGGTGGGTGCTGGGGAATCGGATTGACGGGACCCAGGCGGAGTATGTGCGTGTACCGCATGCGACATTGTCGCTGCATGCCCTGCCGGCCTCGATCCCCCCGCGCGATGCGGTCGCCGTGTCTGATGCGTTTCCGACGGGTTTGGAGTGTGGGGTTTTGAGTGCGAATGTCCAGCCTGGTGGGTCGGTGGTGATTGTGGGTGCTGGGCCTGTGGGGATGGCTGCGCTGTTGACGGCGAGATTGTATACGCCGGCGCTGATTGTTATGGTGGATCTTGACGAGGCGCGGCTGGAGACGGCGAGGAGGTTGGGCGCTCATGCTGCGGTGCGGTCTGGCAAGGATGCAGTGCAGCAGCTTCTGGATTTGACGCAGGGAGAAGGGTTTGATTCTGTGATTGAGGCTGTGGGAGTGCCGGCGACGTTTGCGCTCAGCCAGGAGCTGGTGGCTGTGGGAGGGCGCATTGCGAACGTTGGCGTGCATGGGACCAAGGTGGACTTGCATCTCGAGACGCTGTGGGATCGCAATATCAGTACGTTGACTTATCCAAACCCCAGGTTATTACAGTATCTGAGTATCGTGCTAATCTACAGGCATCCATATGTCCCTGGTCAATGCAACGACGACGCCGCAGCTTCTACGCCTGGTGGAATCGGGAATGCTAGATATTGGTTCTATTGTGACGCATCGTATGCCTCTTACCCTTACACTTTAACAGACAGAAGTTAATTATTGCAGACTTCCCATATACGGAGGGGGACAAGGCATACGCAACCTTCCAGCAGGCTGCGCAGCATCAGGCCCTCAAGGTGGCCATCGACTTTGAATGAACCTCTAACAGCACCAAACCATGACATATTGGGGCAGTTTTATTTCTAGGAGATACTGGGTTGCTCTCTATAGCCTGTCCATCTTCACGTTGCCAACATCACCAGGTTACTCTAGTATCTAGTATAGTACTATATTATTCTACACATTCTACTAGAATATATACGGTTCATTACATTTTGTACGTGCCACCATATTCTAACGAGAGTCATACAGCTGGTGGTCAGCTCTCTCCACTTCCGGATCCGGATATCATCCTGTCCATCCAGGATCTTCTCCAACTCCAACTCCTCTCGTTCCCCACTTATAACCAGACCTCCAATCAAATAAAATAACCAAGTCAAGCGGGGTAATCCGGGGAATATTAATCTTCACCCCCCGTGTCCTCGATGCGAACCCAACTACCTCGCCTCGATGGACGCCACCAGCACACGACAAAAGCCAACAGCAGCCGGAAGGCCCGGGTCGCAGCGCCCCCGTATCAGACCTTCTCGCGGGCGCGGCCTGAGAACCTCGACAGGGTGGTGAGCAAATACACTGCCCCAGGGTTCAAGTGAACATCAGTCTAACCTACAACGCGAACAGCCTCACCTGCAGAGAAAGGCGCGTCAAGTGCGATGACAGCAGACCACAATGCGTGCGGTGTACCAAGTCCAATCGGACCTGTCGGTATGGCCAGAGTGCTGGCCGGCGGCATGACGCCGTTGCCAATACACCAAGGGAGACGAGGAATGAGACCTCCATCCAGATAAATAATTCAGTTGAGACGCCAGAGAATGAGCAAAGCCTGACCAGCCCTGACGCAGCCTTCGCCACTCCGCTTGCCTTTAACCAGATCCCTCTGCTCAACATATCCCCCTTTGAGTGGTATGACCTGCTAGCACGCGATGCCATCAGCAACGTCCAACGGCTCAATGAAGCCTCAGCGGGCGAGTCTCGCTGGAATCTCCCAGAGATTACGCTGTCCCGGAGACAATCACTCTCTCCCGAATGCCCCGAGCCTCATCTCGACCAAACCAGGGTTTCTGAGCAGCATACCAGTATATCTGGTTGTCCCTGGAACACAGACGCTGGCATCGAACTATCAACAGTCGACCTCCTGTTCCTCCGCTACTACACCGAAGCCGTCGGGCCCATCCTGGACCTATTCGATCCAGCCCGGCACTTTACCAACGTCGTACCACACCTCGGACTCCAAAACACCGGTCTTCTCAAGTCCATCCTCGCCGTGGGAGCAAAGCATATGTCTCTCGGCCTTGAACACGACGACACACCATCAAGAGATCCCCCCAACCCTAATCCAGCACACGCAGCCGCACAGTACTACTACGAAACCCTGCAATACCTCTCCCAGACCCTCCTCTACCCATCCTACGCCGACTCGCGCGAGATCCTCGCCACGTCCATCATGATAAGCACCTACGAGATGTTCGACGCCGACCGCGCCTCCACAAGCGGAGACTGGGAGCGCCACCTGCGCGGCTCGTTCTGGATCCAGCGCTCCCAGGATAACGACGGCGAGTCCGCAGACGGACTCAGACGCGCTGTATGGTGGGCTTGGCTGCGTCAGGATATCTGGGCTGCGTTCCGGGCTGGCAGGCCTACGCTTACTATATGGCGTGCGAAGAAGCCGCTGCAGGAGTTGGACGGGGATGAGCTGGCGACGAGGATTGTCTATATCTGTGCGAAGTGTGTGGAATTTGCCGCGGCAGATAAGAATGGGAATCCAGATCCACAGCGTCGAATCGAGCAGGGGGATCGGCTTCTCCGTGCTCTTGATGATTGGGCTCGTGTTCTTCCTGCTTCGTATAAGCCGGTTACTGTTCATGAGAACAGGATACTCACTACTGACCATGGCTCCTCAAACCCTCACTGCAATATGAATGAGTTCCCACCTGTATGGATCCATCCAGCTAGCCACGCAGGTGCAGTACAGATGTATCATTTCGCAAGGGCGCTCGTGCTGCTGAACCAGCCTACAATGGGTGGGCTAAACGCGTACTGTCTCCGCGAGAAGCAGCTGAATGAAAGTGTGCATACTGTCTGCGGTATAGCCAATGCTTGCCAGGAGGGTGATTCTGCGGTGGCGTTTGTTAGTGTCCAGGCCTTGTTTTGTGGTAAGTGAAGTTTCCCTGTATAACTTCATCTGGCTGACGGACCCAGTTGGGCAGTTTGTGCAGTCGCCTAGGATGAGGGCCGAGTTGCTCCGTATCCTGGAGAATATGCTGCAGATTAGCAGGTTCCCTGCCAGGGGGGTTGTTGCTGAGCTCAAAATGGTGTGGCAGGGGTATGACAGTGATCTCTGAAACAATGATATGAGGGTTATACTTTATTCATTTCTAGATAGATATATTTCAATAGTCTAGCAGCAAAGGACCACAAGGACACCACCGCTACCACGCCCCAACCACACCAGCAATCGGAATATCAATACCAGTCGTATAAGAAGCACCATCCGAGAGCAGATATACATACCCCCCACCCAGCTCCTTAGGCTCCGCCAATCTCGGCATGCCACCGTAGTACTGCATCTTCAAATTCCAATCCGGCGCCTGATCCACAAAATATGTCATGGCAGTCTTGATAAACCCGGGCGAGATCGAGTTTACCCGGATCCCATGCTGAGCCCACTCCATCGCCAGCGTATGCACCATATTCCTCACAGCACCCTTCGTAGCGCCATACGGAGCCGAGGGCGCAGCACGGTTCGGACGGTAGGAAGTCATAGACGCCGTAAACACAATAGACCCCTTAATACCCAGCGAGATAAACCGGCGCGCCACAGCCGTTGCGCAGAAATACGCCCCAAACACATTCAGGTTGAACAGCTGGTCCAGCTGTGCGCGGCTGAAGTCCAGCGCGGGCTGGTGCTTGGTCATTCCTGCATTCGCGACGAACCCGTGTATGGCGCCGCGTGTGGCAATGGCTGTATCGAGTGCGGAGTTGATGCTCTTTTCACACGTCACGTCGCAGTATATGTACTGTAGGCGTTTTGGGTTGGCTGCTTGCAAGGCAGTGAATTCTGTGCCGGGCTCGAATAGATCTAGGCTTATAACTGCTGCTGCTTCGTTGGCGAGACAGACTTCTGCAATGGCTAGGCCGATTCCTCTGTTTGCTCCGGTGATTACAATGACTTTGTCTTTCAAGGTGATCCTCCAGTCGTGGTCTGGGGCCGGTTGCGTGTTGAGGAAGGCTGGTGCTGAGTCGGCGGCAGGGGACATTTTGAAGTGTTTATTCTATGAGGTGCAATGAAGGCCAGGTCTGAATGACGATTTAGGTCTAACTGCTCAATTATTGCCGGGTGGGTTGCCCTTTTAACCTCCTATGGCCTGTATCTACCCCAATGTCGCATGAATGCGCACAGTAATGGAGCTCAGCAATGGCTGAAACTAACTTGATATGCAAGAGAAGATCATTTCATATCCACAGCATCAGTGAGCCAATAGCCTTGAACTATCAGAACCACTTCTCAGTGTCTCGCATCGAGGCCACACTTGGCATCGCAACGAGCTTGTGGCGACTTGGCATCTCGCTTCCTGACACGATTGGCCTCCAAGTGACAAATAGAAAGCGTGTATGTATTCTCTATTGGACCCCAGACAAAGGTCAAATCCCCAAATCAACCCCGGGTCGGCAACTCCACAGGGAAACCTGGAGAAACGGCCCACCATATATAAGTCATTGCGTGGTTTAGCCGATATCCCCTGGTTATACAACCATCTGTCCAACTCGTCCGAAGAAACTGTCGGATGGTCAATTCTCAACATGGAGACAAACAAGCAGAAGGACTTTCAGGACTCTGAGCATGTTGAGCTCAGCCAAGATATCTTCTGGACGGAGGAGGAGGAGAAGAAGCTTGTTCGCAAAATAGACCTGTGTCTACTGCCGAATATCTGGATCATGTACCTGCTCTCCTACATGGACCGTACCAAGTGAGTGTCAGTTTGTGCTGGGAAGTCTGCCTCTGACCTTTTTCCAGCATTGGCAATGCGAAGATTGCAGGAATGGCCGACGATCTCCAGCTCACCTCCTCTCAGTACAGCATTGCTCTCGTTGTCTTCTTTGGTAAGTTTCTTTCCTCTATTTCTTTCTATCTTCCTGCAAACAGGCGAATAACACACGGCACAGTTGGATACGTCGCCTTCGAACCACCATCGAACATGATACTAGTCCGAACCCGCCCCTCCCTCTATCTCCCTGCTATAATGGCCATATGGGGCGCTCTAACATGCGTCATGGCCGTTGTCAAAAGCTACCATCACCTCATAGTCCTTCGAATCTTCGTCGGGGTGATGGAATCTGGCTTCGCCCCTGGTGTGCTCCTCATTATCTCATCCTGGTACAGACGCAATGAGCAATCCAAGCGTTTCGCCGTCTTCATGTCCGCAGCTATTCTCTCCGGGGCCTTTGGCAGTCTTATCGCCGGTGCCATCACTGGAGGCTTGGAGGGCTCTCGCGGTATTCGTGGGTGGCGCTGGCTGTTTATCGTCGAGGGGGCTATTACGGCTGGGTGGGCAATCATCGCCAAATTCCTGCTTCTTGATTTCCCAGCTACATCGAGCCAGCTTAGCGAGAGGGAGAGAGAAATAGCCGTTGCCAGGTTGCAGGCAGATACTGTGGTTGTCAGACGTGGCGACGAGAAGATTGGAACTACGCAGTCTTTCCTGCTGGCTATTAGAGACTGGCGAACCTGGGGGTTCATTGTTGGCTATATGGTAAGAATTCTACGGCTTTTCTCCCTATGTGTACTGAATGTTGCTTCTAGGTCATTGTAGGCTCCTCCACCCTGACCTACTTCTATCCAACACTCGTCGCTGGCCTCGGCTACAGCGACCCTGTTCAAGCCCAATACATGACCGTAAGCTTTAGCCTTACTGACTGCCTGAGAATACTTAGAATCCGCTGAATCACTATCTAGGTCCCCATCTACGCCGTAGCTTTCGTTTGTACCGGCATAACAAGTCTCTTCGCCGATAAACTCTCCAACACCCGGGGCATCATCATCGCCACCTGGCTCGCCTTCTCAATGACGATGTCCATCGCAGTCTGCACAGTCTACAACTTCCTCACCCGGTATATCCTGCTCGTCCTCATGGCTGCAGGGCTCTGGGCATCCAACGCCGTCTCGCTGAGCTTTGCGTCCTCGGCATTTGGGACCATGGATGCAGAGGTCCGCGCTGTGGCGCTGGCGCTGGTCAATGCGCTCGGTAATCTGGCGCAGATATATGGCGCGTACCTGTTTCCTGATGATGATGCGCCGAAGTATCTCATGGGCTTTGGTGTGATTTCTGGTATGTTGGGGGTGGGGGTTTGTGTTTATGCTGTCATGCATGTTCTTCTGAGGCGTTAGTTGAATTGAGTAGAGCGGTTTTGACGATAGTGTCTTCGATTAGCATATGCAATGAAAAAGAAATCTGCTTTTCTGTGGACTGTAAGACATATTTTTTGTGCCTCTGATGCTTCCGGATATCAAGAACCTCGTTTATCCCTTCATGTTGAGGTGACAGCAGGGCCCAGCTCCAAGGCATAGCCATAAGAGGCGAGTTGCCCAAATGACAGCTAGAGGCTTCCTGAAATTGAGAGTTTCATCCTAATCATTTAATCGAATTCATGATACATACGTATATATTTCTAATGTCCCAACCCAACCCTCAACCCCCCATTAAACTCCCTAAAATCCCCCCTCAGTCCTACAATCCCAACAGCCCTAACCTCCTCCACCAAATCCCTAACCTTCTCCGCAATAACGCCCGGCACGAATCCAAAATGTTCATATACCTCCTTACAGGGAAGACTCTTCCCAAAGTTATTCATCGACACCGACGCATCCGCATACCGCTCCCACCCCGTCGACGGATAGGCCTCGATAACAACAGCAGCTTTCCCAGCCCCAGGCTTCAGGACTGAGTGTTTGTATTCTCGCGTCTGCTGTTCAAATAGTCGCGTACACGGGAAAGACACAATCCTTGCCTTAATGTTGTGCTGCTCATAGAGAATGTCTCGGGTTTGCATTGCGTAGACCATCTCAGACCCGACGCCGATGAGCGTGACGTCGAACTCATCATCATCATCATCATCGTTGCCATCGCCATCGCCATTATGGTTTTTGGCACCGGCGAAAACATACGCCCCCCTCTGCACGCCCTCACGCGAGGAAAACCGCGGATACTGCGTGAGACTCTGCCGCGAGAGCGCAAGGACAGACGGGGTGTCCGTGGCATTAATCGCAGCAATATAAGCACCCGCAACCTCTTCAGCATCACAGGGCCGGATGAAGAGGATATTCGGCATGGCGCGGTACAAGGCCGGGACGGCGACGGGCTGGTGCGTAGGCCCGTTCTCGCCAACGCCGATGCTGTCGTGGGTGGCGATGTGGATCTGCTGTAGGCCCTGCAGGGCGCCCATGCGGATTGCGGCGGCGGCGTAGAGGTGGAACATGAGGTATGTGCTTGTTATGGGGATGAAGGTGCCCTTGTTGAAGGCTGCGAGGCCGTTGGAGATGGCGCACATGGCGTGCTCGCGGATGCCATAGTGGATGTACCGGCCGTTGTAGGCGCCGGTTTGGCCGCAGGTTGTGCGGAGGTCGGGCTGTAGCAGGTTTTAGCTAACTTATCCCCTGGGAACGGTAGGTGTGTTAAGTGAACGTACTGATTGGAAATCAACCTTGTTCTTGAAGGCTACGTTGCAGGAAGGGGTGAGGTCTGCGGTGCCCACCAAAACGGACGTCAGCGACTGCCCAAGGGCGTTTGTTATGGCACCAGCTGACTTGCGCGATGCTGCGGACGCAGTAGACAGGTCTTCCTTGCGGGGGATACACTTGGTCCAGTCTGCGGGCATCTTTCCTGCGACACGGAGAGCAAATTCAGCTCCCACGACCGGGTGTTCCTCTTGATATCTCACCAAGCCCGCCCGCCACTCCGTCTCTAGGTCCTTCCCACGACCGGGGATGTCACGGAAGAAATCATATACATCGTCAGGGATGTAGAAATGCTCGTTTGGATCCAGGCCGGCCGCTTTCTTGATGTTAGCTACCTCTCCGACTCCAAGGGCGGCCCCGTGTGCATCTGCCGTGCCCGCCATGGTAGATCCGATGCCTATCGTCGTGCGGATGTTGATGAAGGTGGGCTTGTCGCTTGAACGGGCTGCAATGAGAGCATTTACAATCTCTGTTATATATTAGCACGTACCCCCACTATAAAGGTAGAAGGGCGGGCTTCTTAGACCTACCAACAACGTCCGAGTCCCCATTACGCACATCCAGCACATTAAACCCAGTGGCTCGCATCTTGGTGTTGATGTCCTCGGTATTAGCAACGTCCGCAGATCCATCACAAGTAACGGCATTGTTATCGAACATAACGCAGAGGTTATTCAGTCTCCAGTGTCCAGCCAGAGACAGCGCCTCAAGGCCAACACCCTCCTGCAAGCAAGCGTCACCAACCATACACCAAGTCATGTTATCCACAACCTCATGGCCAGGCTTGTTATATGTCGCCGCAAGATTCTTCGAAGCCATGGCCAGGCCTACCGCATTGGCGAGGCCCTGTCCCAGTGGACCGGTAGTGACCTCGATGCCTTCATGTTCGATTTCCGGGTGGCCGGGACAGACCGAGTCAATCTCCGCTGAGTGGTACGATTTGAGTTGTTCGAGGGTCATGCTCTCGACGCCGACGAGGTGCATGAAGAGGTACTGCCATAGGCAGGCGTGGCCTGTTATTTGATAATGTCAGTGCATTGTCTCCTGGTTCAGTGGTAGTGTCCCCTACCGTTAGATAGAACAAAGCGGTCTCTGTTAAAGTAATTGCAGTTTTTCGGCGAGTACTTCATGACATATTTATACAGGGCAATTCCAATGGCAGCCATGCCCATGGGTGATCTGTGATACGTATAAAGTTAGCGCTGCTGTACTACCATTTGGAAACAAGTCAATTTACCCAGGGTGGCCATCGCCGTATTGCTGGACGAGATCAGCGATGAAGGCTCGAAAGACGTTCAGAACGCGCTGGTGCTTCTCTGGGCTCTCGAAGTTGATCAGAGAAGCAGTAGATGTCGATGTGCCGTTGCTGGCTGGAACTGCCTTGACAGGCACGGTCTCAGCGGGCTTCGGCAGGAGTTCCAGTGCAGGTGCCATAGCGTAAAGAGGACTGATATGGGATTGAAATATTTCTATAATGACGCTAAGGATATCAAGCGGTAATTATCCAAGAGAAGGAGTCGAGCAGACTGCGCGCCCTTATAGTTCCTCCTCGTGGTCCATCATATCTATGAAAATGTCCCATATTCAGTGATGCTCATTGCAGCTGTTGGGATCGATACGAGCCACACCTAGGTACCTAGGCCAGGTCTATAGTGCCAGAGAGAATCGAGCTGGTTGGAACGAGTGGGCTCGCTTCGAGGCCAAGCTGGTCTCGATGCGAGGGCTTGCAACCGCCACCCATACCAAGGGAAATATACGGAACAGTATAGATGCCGACGACAGATCAAAGGTTTTGTGGACTAGGTTGAAAATCGAGCTACAGTTAGTCAGTCCCTCTTACATTTACAAAATAACTACATTTGTTACGATGTGGCTGCAATAGCAGTCAAAATTCAGAGTCTGCGCAAAAATTTCATAATTCCATTCTGGAGTAGAAGAATAGGTAGAAAACAAGCAAACACAATTTCACAATTTGTGAATGAACAATAACAAAACCACATGGGATGGACGGACGGATATCCATATGCCCATCCGTACGCAATTCAGACCAAGGTCATCATCCCGATGAATTGATTGTCCCAATCAATTCGGTCAATTCAGCCAAGCACATAACGTGCAGAAAGCAGTAACACTCGGTGGGCTAATTACCCCGCCTGCCCAAGATCGCTAGCATGCGCGTTATCGGGGTAGAAGAACGCGGCCACAGCGATAATGACGTATGCCGCCATCAAAAGCGCCCCTTCGAGATAATTGCTGCGCCCGTCGAGGACGAGGAAGTTGACGACAAAACAGGTGACGAAGAGAGAGATGGTTTCGAAGAGCGTGAAGTAAAGAGACATGTCCTTGTCCATGCACCAGCCGAGGATGACGACGAGAGGAGTGACGAAGATTGCTATAGGATAAATTAGCATGGGTAGCATAATTATTAAGAGACTCGGCTTACCGATTTGAATACTACTTCCGACGGAGACACCGATTGATAGGTCCATTTTGTTCTTCGTGGCGACCGTCACGGCGGTAACGTGCTCCGCGGCATTACCCACGATAGGGAGGATGATCAAGCCGATAAAGGCTTCACTGACAGAGGAGCTTTCGACCATGGCAGGGATTGCGTCGACGAGGAATTCAGCACACACTGCGACAAGGCCAGTAGAGAGAAGCAACATGACTACCGCAGCGGTGCGCGACATTTCGGCCTGCGGCTGCTCCTGGGGTTTCTCGGAATCAATGGTAGGGTTGACCGCGGTCGGTATACGCGCTGCAACCCTGGCGAACTGGACAGCATTGCCGACTGGGGGCTGACGGTGAGGCGCAGGACGCTGTCCGAGCGAAGGCAGCGAATGCGTACGTCGCAAGCCGTTACAGTTGCCCAAGGGATCATTTGAGGCGGTTGGCGGTGGGTTTGTGAATACAGTGTTGGACAGCAGAGACGGGAGATTGGGGCGGAATGGAGACCACTTGCGTGGAAGCTCTGAGGTTTCGCCCTGTTCGAGAGACAGCGCCGAGACGCGGGAGTTTGGTGCGGGCTGAGAGGGCAGCGTTGGAATAACGGCTTGTTCTCTCGTTTCCCGTCTGGCGACCTTCCTCCGCTTCTTCTGCTCGCGCTTGGATCGTCTGCGGCCAGTCTCGGTTGTGTGGATGCTAGCCGCCTGGCCGAAGTCTCTCGACTGCGGTTCGACGGATTGACTGGCACTAGTGACGGGATTGATGTTCAAGGTGTCATCTCCAAAGTCCCTCAAGCGCGGTTCGCTCGGGTTCCTACTATCCGGCTCCGGTTTGACGTCCACATCGACAATGTATGAGCCAGTGTCATCGCGCTGGTTGGGGCTCGACTCGCTGGCGATACTCATTTTCCGAGGAGGGAGCGATGAGACATCGACGGTGGACGATCTGTTCACCAGTTCAGGCGAGGTGGTTCCCCGCGAGCTGATACTGGCCTTTCTGTGCTTGCGGTATTTCATCGCACGCTTGATACGCTTTGCCGTTGTCCAGGAGGTCGTTGTATCGTCAGATTCGTCAGAAGACGAGCTGCTCGACGAGTCGGACGACGAGTTCATGAAATCCGCCAACACACCGGGGTGGGATTCCTCGTCGATGATTTGCTGGGGGATACTGGCGTAAAGGTAGGCGTGCGACTTGAGCTGGAAAATGATGTATAATACATAGATCAGAAGGAGCACAACGCTGGTACCGCGAGAGACCTTGAGGGTCGATTGATTGGCATCATTCGTATCCTTGAACGAAGCGTGGAAGGCGGTTGGCAGCAGGAGACTCATGACAGCCAAACTAAGAAGACAAGCACTCATCTGAGTGACAGTGCTGTTGTAAATTTGTTCCTGAAATCGGAGACCTCCAAGGAGGAAAGCCATTCCGAGAATCAACAATAGATTGGCTAGAATAGATCCTAGCAGAGAAGCCTGAACGATGCGAATTTCATTCTTGACCAGGGCAATAATGAAAATGATCAGTTCGACTGCGTTACCGAAGGTGACGTTGAGCAGGGCGCCGATAGCGTCACCCATGCGGCTGGCGACACACTCAGTAGCATGGCTCAGGAGCCCGGCCAAGGGGATAATGGCCACTGCATTCATGGCGAAGATGATGGCGGGATCCATCCCGACAGCCTCGACGGCAATTCCAACTGGCACAAAGACCAGCAGGACGTTGACCCAGCTGTGGCATAGTGCTGTTCTGGTGTGGCGAACGAAGCGGATGGCTGCGTTCTTGGTACGAGGGACAAGGCCCTGTTTCTCAGAGTTGTTTCCATCACTTGGCGAGCCCGAAGCCGGGTCGCCAGCGGGTTTATTCACTTGATCATTTTGACGACGTATGTCGGGATCGTCGGGGCGATCGTTGGATTCTGGGGCAGAGGCCTGGAGTTGGGAGTCGGCAGTGGTAGAAGCGTGAGCTTTCGCCCACGAACGAATCCGGTCTGGCAATCAGCGTCAGTAATGTATTCGACAAGACGAGCCAAGCTCGCGGATGGCAAGCCAAGCTCAGGGATGGGAAGCCAAGACAACGCGTATCGCTTATAGGGAAAGGAAGCAGACTCACGCATGTATTTCAGGACCAGGCAGATGGTCGATGGAGATGGAGAAGATGGAAAAGCCGATCGGCTGAGCAGCAAAGAATGAAAGAAGGAAAAGAAGCAAGCGGCCTCGCGAGTGAAGGAGAAGCTTCAGCGTTTGGGGGATCGGGAGGCTTATGTACGTGTGCCAAGGCGGCTAACAAGCCTCACTGGGCTGACTGTTATCATTGTCCCTGTTTATTCCTTTGTCTGTAGAATGCTATGACGCGGCAGTCTGTCTCGCTACGTAAGGGTTCAGTCAGGACACCATCTGTTATTGATCAGCTACTGTTGCGAGTCAGCCAGCACTCCTGAAATCGACCACTGCAGCACTCCTGGACGAAATGGTGTCATTGCTCCACAGCTGTGGCCAGCCTGAATCTGGAATCTTCGTTTCAATCAACGACGATCTGACTTCCTTTGCAGCGAATAGGGCCGCCAATTAGAGGCCTGCACCGCCACAGTGGCTGAGCATGTCTTCTGTGATTGGTTTCTACACTTCGGTTCGCTGTCTCCGAAGCCCGAATCGCATCCCATTACCGTATCCAATACGGTAAGTTACCGTGTGCCGTGGCTGAGGTCAGGATGACATCGCTTCAATATGACAAGGGATGCAGATGCAGGGTGAATAAATGGTTAATGAATGATCAATGGAGGCGATCCAACCATAATCTTAACTCTGTTGCAGTTGATTGTCGCGGTGGGCCGTTCCCCGCAACACCTCACTACCAGAGCCAGCCACCCACAGTCCGGCCTCAGGTCCACTGCGAATACCCAGATCACGCAAATTGCCATATAACTCATATTGATATTGATTGCTGGCAGTGGTTGTTGTCAAACATCCCTTGTTTGTGAAGCAGCAGTATTGGAAGGGATATTGTGCTGCCTAATGCAGCCTTATGGGTGATGTCTATCCTTGCTCAGGCCATGCAGACTTTCAAGTCTGGAGCCCCTTGCGGGCGATCATTCAATCACTCTAATAATCCCTCAGACTTGGGTGCCATCCAAGGCTCGACAAGTGATTTCTCTGGACAGGTTTTGTTGATGATGTTTTACCTCTTAACATGAGATTGACAAGTCTTGATGTCTTTTCTATTCTGGACCAAGATAAATGTTGACACTATAGACACCGTATGTAGAGTAAGCCAGTATCTTAGACGGCGAGAAATCAACAGAACATGCCATATCAGATCACCAGAAGTAACCTATACATGTCAGATTGGTCAATTTCGACCCACAATCCAGAAGCCCATATGGAGCGCGTCCAAACAGTCAACGGCATAACCTCCCGGCAGCAGATCACTCCAGTTCTCTGTATATCAACCTTCCACACTTATCTACTATCCTTACTCGTCCTCTGGTTATGCCTAAACTATGTCTCCTCCCCAGGCCCATCCATTTCTCCAAACTACTCAAGTACCAGTTTGTCCCCCTTACATGGTGTTCTGTCGACTGACGTTATAAGTTGTTGTTGTCTAATTCACTGCACTGTCATCTGATCTAACCTACCTGGTCTTTGCACTTTCTTGCAGGAATGTGAGGTAGTTGGTGAGTTGTTGTTTGACTCTTATGTTGAGATAGAAAAACAAAGTAAATATTCCAGCACGCTGATATTTAATATATAGTATAAATCAATGGTCAGTAAAGGTAATGGGAAGCCGGATATACTTATATATAAGACGGCCAAACGACACGTTGATTCAATAGCTAGTAGATCTATAGGCAGCTACTATTACCCTACCTATCTCTGCATTATCGTCCACTCAGCATCCACCCAGTACTTCCTTCAAGCAGTTCAAATCCCTCGGTACGAAGTAAAACCTGTGGCTCCGTGGATCAGCACATCCCGTAAGAGGATCAGCATCAGTCCGATGGATAGCCTTGATCTCGAACGCGGCGATTGTTCTGACCAATACCACATAGATATCGCGGTTCGCAAGGTGATACCCAGGACACACCCGGTAGCCCAGTCCGAAGGCGAACAGCGGCAGATCTGGATTCTCGAGCCACCTCTCAGGGCGGAAGATTTCTGGGTCCTCGTATACTAAGGGATCTATGTTACACGCCCACGCGTTCAGTAGAATCATAGTTTCTGGTGGGACACCTTTTCCCTCATACTCAAACTCCTGGATAGTAAGTCGAGGAAGTGACAGTCGCACTGGAGTATAACCCCTATCAACCGTCAGACAGCGACAGCTACAAAATGAGCAGATCACGTACCGCAGACACTCACGAAGAAGTGCCCGTATATACTGGACTTCTTCCACCTCCACCACCTCAGATCCAAAGATTTGTTTGTCATCGGGGTATAATTGCCGGATTGCTTCATACGCAGTATTCTGGAGCTCAAGCTGTGCCGCAAGGATAGTGAAGCACCAGAGAAGGGTATTGCGTGTCGTCGCAAGGCCTCCAGACAGGAAGCTCAACAAAACAACCGATAACTCGCCCTGGGCCAACGGATGCGCACTGAGATAATTCTTCATATAGAGACAGCTCTCATTGATTCCTTTTTCAAGTTTATAGTCCGCCTCTTGGTTAATCCTCTCCACATAAGCGTCTCTACGCACTTGCAGGCGTCTCGCTCGCGGAGTTTAACCCTAAAGACATCGCCGTATGTCGCAGCCCATTTCGCATATTGCTTTTCTACATTTCGGTGGTACAGAGACGGGGTATTACCAGCAATCGGCCAAGCCGGTGGTCCAGGGAATTGGAATATGGGATCATGGGAAGAGTGAGAGAAACTTAGATATATGACCGAAATACCGATAGCTAGTGCGATCCACGCGAATATGTCGATGTTTGAAAACACCTTATTTCAGACAGGAGTTGTAATGGAAAGATCTCTTGTCGTCTTCATATCGAACGGGGAATCACCGACAATTCATTGTGAAACCTATTCCTCTTGCAGGTTCGGAATACGAGCCTGGATTCGCGGGCACGAGTATTCAACCGCTGAACAAGTCTTGGTGACGATACACTGTCTAGAGAGAGAGAAACAGTACTAAAATCTAATTCCGTAGAGGTTGGTTGTGAACAGGCGGGGACTACGAGAACATGGTTGCCCTGGCCTATGTTATCATATCATGTTTCAAAATATCTCCCGTCTCCCATCGTTGCATCCAGATGGCAGGGCGTGTGGGAGAGAGCAGCCAGAAAGAAACAATAATTGGCAGAACGGTGAGAACAAGACCAGTGACGGTCTTACCCTTCGGATGTACTCTGTAAAGACTTTCCCCAGGCTAGTCTCCATACCTATCTATTCTCTCAGGACATTTGTGAGACATAAGCCAAACGATGTATCCTCTGTTAACCAGACTACTGCTTCATGAGCTATCAAAAACCAGCATCATATTGCAAAGCATCCCTCCTCCCCTCCAGAATGAAACACACATGCACCCACCCAGGCCGCAGCACCGCAGGTACGGGAAGAGACTGGAGGAGATCGAGACTAGAGCAGACTAGATGCCCAGCCTTCATCCGTCACCCTTCTCCCTTCCATGGGTCCAACGGCCAAACCCAAACCGGCCCGGTGCGGAATGGCAATCGTGGTCGAATTCCGTGGTCTGGACCGTTTCAGGACAGCGCACGATGGGGCGGCGGCGCAAGTGTATGCGGCCTAACACTCAAATGGCACTGCCAAGTCCAAGCCTAGACTCGACAGGTGTAAACGAGTCTACGTCGGCTAGCTACGGAGTTCAGTTGATAGCTGATACGCTGGATATGTCGGGATTCGATCGGAATTGGGGGAGGGAAGGGCATGCACTGTCAATCGCCCGTTGTGCAGATCCAGAGAAGGTGTTAACTGTCACTGTTAGGTTGACTGGTGACGGGTCACTTAACTGATAGCAGGTAAAGTACCCGTTTCAGCTCACACCAATGAGCTGTAGTGTATTATGTCCTTCCTTGCATTGGAGGAAACGTTGGGAAATGGTGGTGGGCCTGGACCGTTGGGCCTAATAACGCCTGATACCCACCTCGGCTGGCCGGAGGATTTCCCTCATTTCCGCTTATTAGTTTGCTATTTCTGTTATTTATGGGAAAATATTATAGGCTGGACGGACTCCATTTCTGGACTTCTTACGTGTCAGGTAATCTGTTCACCAGTGCTCGGAATGGTTGCATTTCTTAATTCCTCACTCAACGGTATAGTGTATCAGTCGATATGCAGTATGTAGAATGCAGCAACTCCTGAATATGAATGAAGTAGAGAGGCCAGTTATAAGACCAGAGGCAAAACAGAACTTTTCCGGGTATCCAATGCATGCACCGACCGACCAGAGAAACGCCAGATAGGAGAAGGTCTATCGCTGATAAACCAGGAAAAAAAGAATATATAGTACAAGAAGCACGACTGAGTCAGTCAGACAAAACCCGGAGCAAGTCAGTAGTCGCCCAGTTAAGTAAACAAAAACACCAATAAAATGAATATAAAATGGAAAGCCTAGCAATATCCCCTCCGGTCGCGATTCAGCGTTAGAATCTCCTTGCGTAACCGCTCATTCGCATCCTGGAGCTCTTGCATGTACGTGATGGCATTGCTCAGGATCTCGGATTTCTTCAGCGACGCGGACGACTTCACCCCGGTTGAAGCGGTTGTCGTGACAGGCTTGGACACGCCGGCCGGCTTCACAGCCATGGCCTTCTCCAGTGCCACAAACTTGGCGTTCATGTTGGTGCGGTAGCGCTTCTCGATGATGTTGTGGGCGGCGCGTTTGGCGGCGTTGCGGCCTCGCGCCGTGTCATCTTTGTTTGCTGCGCTGCGAGGCTTGCGTGCTTGTTGCTGTTGTGGGGGGAGTTCTGGGGAGGAGGAGTAGCGAGTTGAGGTTGAGATGGAGGAGGCCTTGCGCTTTGGGAGCTGGGCCTGGGTTTCCGTGGGGTGGATTGTCTGGATGGGCGAGGGGAGATCGATTGCTGAGGGGGGTGTGGAGGACATCAGGTTTGTTGGTGAGAAGGACTGGTCGTCGCTTTCGTCCTGGTTCAGTCAGTACATGGGAGAAGATGAGATGGACGGGACGAGACGAGATGATGACATACCGAAGACAGCGAGTCGTCGTGAGAGACAGTAAAGCCGTTGATGTCCGTCGGGGCAGCAAAGAAGTCTGCGGGCAGGTCCTTGGTATCCCAGAGCATGTCGTTGGGGATGTCCATGGGGAAGGACTCGGGGACCATGGTGTTGAGCGAGAACAGGTCGATGGCGCTGTCGTAGGACCAATTGGCCGACAGGGGATCAGGAGAGGTGTACGCCATGAGAGTGTGAATAGAGATGATGTTATTGGTGCTTGCGAATAGAATATAATATGATATTGTTGTGGTAAGGTGGAAAGATCATGGGCAGCCCATTTATATACCATGTAAACACCCGAAGCAGCACCCGAGCGGCCAGAAGGAACCGAGTGCAGCTCTTTGGCTTCAGACTAGATGACAACTTCTGCACGGTGACTTGCTCGGTGAAGCGCAGCCGAAGTCACCCCAGACCGGATGCTGCGTATCCAGATGGCCATACAGCGTCGGCCGGGTCCGAAGCGCTAGCAGGAAGGAAAAATTAACAACTCAGAAAGCAAAAGGATGACAGCAGTGGGTCCGAACGATCGCTGGATCCTCGATTCGTTCCATGAAGTCGTTATGTCGGCCGTAGCTCGGAGCCGACATAAAGTACACTGTTATACTATTACAATAAAGTACTTTTACTGCTGGTAACTACGGTGGTCAATGTCAGCATGTCCTCGCATTCATATCAGATACAGACACTCTACATCCACCCACATACAGATACTGTAGACACTGCAGGCTCTACGTATACATGTAGATACACAAACAGTAAAACCGGAGCCCTCCGCCTCTCCATTATGGTCTGACCTGGAACTCGTCTCTCCGCGTCACCTCATCAGTCACCTGCCGCCCGGCTCCTTCGTGCGCTTAGTTGCCGAGGCGCCTGCTGCATCTGACGGATAACGGTTTCCTCTGATCTGACCCTGCTGGACCCTGTCCGAGCGGAAGAAATCATACCCGCCGTGCTGTTGGTCTGTCAGACGGGATTCCCCCATTCAAACCATCCAGTCGACAAAGTCGGATCGTATGAATGGAGAATCATAGCTGTCATCGGGTCTCTTCCGAGCGGAATTCAGCCCCGTCCAGACTCAGGGTGCACTGCTGAAACGCTCAACGGCGCTGCAGGAGGCGCTCATCACACGTCACATAATCCCTGTTGTTTTGCTACGGACTACGGACTTCCCTACCGGGAAGTTCTTACGCTCGATACGGAATACTGGATCCTTGTCATCGTCAGACTTGCGGCCTGGATTTTCCGGCCTGATGCCGTGGCGTGCTGTCAACCTGTATACTACTATACTACTCATATCGGCCGGCTCCGTCCCATTATTATGCGTTATAGCCATCTGGATTGATATTCGACAGCGTACTGAATTTATCCAGGTCAGTATAACGCCGTATGGTTGTGATTGTGGTCCTGTTCAGTGCAGTTGACGATATGCCACAAGCGTACTCTTCCCTACGAGTCAAGTCAAGCACGGCATTACTACCATCTCCAGCCTTCAGACATGTTCTGCCACCGAAGTATAGACATCAAACCACCCCGACCGACAACCATCCCATCGGGCTCAGGTTCTAGCGAGGGTCCAATTCCTCAGCTTTCTCTCTGGCAAGCCTTGGCAGCGGAGGGGCAGGCAGTCGTCTGTCACCAGGATGTACGTTCAACCCGAGTATGACGGTATACTCCTGCATCACCATAACAATAACCTAAATCAGGATAAGGTTCCCCGCCGTGCATCTACTTCAGCGTCATCTCCAACTCGGGATTCAAATCGTTCAAACCCCGGGCAGCCAACCATTTCGGCTCTTGTGCTGCTGACGCCGGTATCGTCGTGATCTAAGAGGATCAGACAGACCTGAGATCTGAGATGGGTGTCTTGACCCAGCGTGGGTCGTGATCTGAGCTGATCGCCGTGATGACGGCCGACCGTTGGATGGCGATCGGATCGACTGCCTCCGTCTATACGGTGTATATAATCATCGACCATGGCTGGGGCTGATGAACCGTTTCCTTGGGTCAGCGGGGTTGTTCTCGTATTCAGCAGGTCTTGTAGCGGTGTTCCAGTCGACAGGTGGTGAGGACTGGAGGACTAGTCGAGGCATCTTGGAGGAAGTCCGGTCGGTATTTCATCGCTGTCTGTATAGAATGGGAGACCATCAACGTGCAATCTCTAGAGTTGAGATGTTGCCAAATCCACTCCGCGTGTTGTTGACAGACATCACCTTATATCCAGTTATCCAGTTATGTACATCATACTATCCAGTTATCCAGTTATACACACGACTTCTATTTTCGCTCACCGGAAGCACCCGAAGAACCCGGTGCCACCCGGCTGTCAGACACCCAGCCAATCAGGACGGCAACTACTCGGTAAAAATAAAAATATTCTCGATCATATGCAGGAGAAAAAAAGAGAATGAAAAAGTAGTTTATTAATTAAAGAGAGGAGATTGGCTGGCCAAGAGCGCCACTGTCTAACAACAAACAATCGGGACAGCCCGTAGCGAACAAAAAAAAACACAAAGAAGGAAAGGAGATGATGTCAAACCCGGATATCATATTCGTAATTCATAATGGATAGGTGTCATGTTATACACCACCCGTCCCAAAGAGCTCCATATGCACACGCGTCTCATCAACGCCCTGCGCCGTCAATGCCTTCTTCGTATCCAGCATGAACCCCGTCGGCCCGCAGACGTAGTACTCCGTCTTGTCATTGTCAACAAATAGGTCCTTAGTGCTGTCGAGCTTAGCCAGGTCCACTCGCCCGGCGTGTGTGTAGTTCTCGCCCTGCTTGTCACTCTCAGTGGGACTCGTCAGGAAGTATGTAGTGGACAAGTTCGGGAGGGTTTTGGAGAGGGAGGCCAGATGGTCCTGGAAGGCGCGCGAGGTAGACGTATGTGCGCCGTGGATGAAGTGGATGGGCCGTGTACTTGCTTCCACTGCAGCCAGGCTGTTCACCATCGACGTGAGCGGGGTGAGGCCGACGCCGGCGGAGATCAGGACGAGCGGGTGCGACGCGCTCGACGAGTCCAGGTGGAAGTCGCCGTAGGGGTGCGACAGCTTGACGGTGTCGCCGACATGCACGTTGTCGTGCAGGATGTTGGACACGTAGCCTGGGTGTGCGGGTGCGCTTGGATCAGCCGGGTTGAGGCCTGGGTCCTTGCGCACGCTGATGCGGTAGTATGTTGGCTGGGGCTGGTCGCTGAGCGAGTACTGGCGGCATTGGGCGTGGTTGAGCTGGGGCACGGGGACTTGGATGGAGACGTACTGGCCCGGGAGGAAGGAGGGCAGGGTCTCGCCGTCGACGGGCTCCAGGTAGAACGAGGTGATCACGTCCGACTCGGGCTCTTTGCGTGCGACGCGGAACTCGCGGAACGAGGTCCAGCCGTTGGCGGCCTTGTATAGGTCGGCCTCCTTGCTGATCATGAGGTTGGCGAGCTGCCAGTAGGCGGCGGCCCAGGCGTCGAGCAGCGGCGGTGTGAGGGCATCGCCGAGGACCTGGCCCATGGCTTCGAGCAGGAACTTGCCGACGATCTGGTAGCCCTCGGGCGGGATGCAGAGCGAGGCATGCTTGTGGCAGATGCGCTCGACGGCGGGGGAGAGCACGCCTAGGTCGTCGATATACGTAGCGTAGGCGAAGAGAGCGCCGGCCAGAGCACGAGGCTGGTGCCCGTTGGCCTTGTTAGAGGCATTGAAGATGGTATTCAACTCCGGGTGGGCACCCAGCATGTTATTGTAGAAGACCGTAGTGATGGTCTCGCCATGCTGCTGGAGGACAGGCACAGTGGCCTTGATGAGCGGGATCTGGTCCGGCGACAGAGACATGGTTCAGAAGGAATTGACTTTGGGGAATCGTGGTTCAGCAAAGTGACGGTGATGAATCATGATATTTATACTGCATCGGGTCCAGCCCGACGATACCGCACAATCCCGACTGCATGGCGTGGTCCTGCTGTTTCTCCGCGGAGGTCAAAAAGTGTGGAGCCATTCACAGCCTTGCCATTGCATTAGGGCAGTGAACAAACTCGCGGGGAACACCTAGGACTGATAATGCACAAGCAGGTCAATCGATAGGGCTAACTTGCTGCAGTTAGAGGTTGCAACATGGTTGCAGCTTGATAAGGTTGCGTCAACTGGTTGGTTCAGCGTTGGACGCTGGTTCGGCTCGTATCTGGCGAATGGCGTGCCAGCAAGAACAAAGCGATATACGTTGCATTGGGCCAGACTCTCATGTCTGGTTAACTACAGCGGACAATGCTGCCATGGCTTGCCCGCTCGTTTCCGTTCATCTTGACGTCGTTCAACGCGCCTCTAAATCGCATTGGACGAGCGTATTTCCATATACTACAATCGTGGAAACAATTCCCGTCTAGACCACTCTACAGCGCTTCACAGAGCCTCAGCCCAGGCCAGTCATGACGTTGATAATCGCGAAGAACGGCTATAAAGCAGCCGGCGCAAGCCAGCACATCGCGCCAGGCGAGGCTGATGAGATGAAATCCCAACACTAGATCCTGCATTATCATCACCAATAGCTAGCAAAATGCGCGTACCAAAGGTCTTTGGCGGCGGCCGGGGGGATACCCCCGTCGTGCGCCCCAGCCAGAACCAGCTGCCCATGTTGCATCTGGCCGACACCGTTCGCAACAACTTCATCGCAACAGCCGGCGAGTTTGTTGGCACATTCCTCTTCCTCTTCTTTTCCTTTGCGGGCACCCAGGTCGCAAATACCCCGAAGCCAGTGGATGGCGCGCCGCCGAATATCCCGGCCCTGCTCTACTCGTCTCTCGCCTTTGGCTTCTCGCTGACCGTCAACGTCTGGGCCTTTTATCGAGTGACCGGAGGACTCTTCAACCCAGCTGTATGTCTTCCGGGTCTGCCGGACATTCTAAGCCAACTAATGTGTAAAGGTCACCCTTGCGCTCTGTCTCGTCGGTGGAATGCCAGCCATCCGCGGGCTGTTCGTCTTCGCAGCACAGCTCATCGGCGGCATTGCTGCAGCTGGTGTCGTCAGTGCTTTGTTCCCGGGTGATTTGAATGTTACGACGCGGCTTGGAGGCGGCGCGTCCATCTCGCAGGGCCTCTTCATCGAGATGTTCCTGACCGCGCAGCTGGTCTTTGTGATCATCATGCTGGCAGTGGTCAAGCACAAGTCGACATTCCTGGCGCCCGTCGCAATTGGCCTTGCATTCTTCGTGACAGAAATGATCGGTACTCCCCCTTACCCATTAAACCATTCATATTAAGCCGTTCATGTTCATGTCTAACCATGTATAACTATCAGGCGACTACTACACCGGCGGCTCGCTGAATCCCTCGCGCTCTCTCGGGCCCGACGTGATCAACCGGTCCTTCCCCGGCTACCACTGGATCTACTGGGTCGGCCCGCTGCTGGGCTCGCTGCTGGCATGCGGCTTCTATTACTTCCTGCGGCTGTTCTCGTACGAGTCCGTCAACCCGGGGCAGGACTTTAACGAGTGGGAAGCCAAGATGGGGCCTGGCTCGTGGGACTCGATGCAGGGGCGCACGTACTCGGACACGACGACCTTGAACCGGGGGGTGTCGCCGCGGGGGGAGCGCAATCTTAATAATGGAGCGAGCAGTCACAATCACACCACGCCTCCGTATCCGCAGCCGCAGCCTGCGGTTGGGGCGGAGCAGGTGTAGCTGTTATAGTGTCTGTGCGTTGTACCCCAATACATACCAATACGTAGGCAGGACTGGACCTATGCTTCGCATAGCGTATAGTATACAGTATACTCCGTCTCATCAGACCATATAAATAATTATACCCATACTCTATTTTGTCTATTCCGTATCTCTGTATGATTGTCTTTTCCTTCCTTCTTCTGTTCATCAATGCAGATCATTCTGCTTGAGCTCAAGGTGAGCCCTTATCTACCAATCAGAGCTGCCTCTTCAGTGGAGTTCTGCATGAGAAAAGATCCTGCCAATCATATCCGCCGGACTACCCGGAGAACAGTCCCATGCTGATCGCTGGTTCGATCATTGCGCCGATCCCGCCCCACCAGCCCCCCTTTTCCTTGGCAGGGATGCTCGTGCGGAGATGAGCTGGACTGATCCCCATGAGAGAATTCGATCTTCCTTTCCTAAGTGTCCTTCATCTGTCACTCTGTCTTGACTCTTGCTCTTGCAGCGAGCGACGACTGCAATGGGCGATGTGCACTCTCCGCGCGGCGCTCCCGTCGCCGCGCCCGACCTGGGCGACGCGTACGACCAGGAATTGCTGGGTAGGCTCGCCACTGACTGATCAGTCTGGAGTCGCTGACAGTGAGTAGCGAAAATGGGATACAAGCAGGAGCTGCGGCGGCAGTACTCGACGGTGCAGATATTCGCGGTCGCGTTCAGCATCATGGGGCTGGTTCCCTCGATCGCGTCGACGATTGCCTTCTCTCTCCCTGCGGGACCGGCGGGGATGATTTGGGTATGTCATTGATTTGTGTTTGTCTTCATGCGTTTGGAGTGCTAAGGTTGCAGGGCTGGTTCACGGCGAGTATCCTGATCTTCTTCGTCGGCCTGGCCATGGCCGATATGGCCTCTGCGATGCCCACAGCCGGCGGCCTCTACTGGTGGACGCACTACTTCGCCGGGCAAAAGTGGAAGAACCCGCTTAGTTTCCTGGTCGGATACAGCAACACCCTCGGGCTCATCGGCGGTATTTGCTCGGTGGACTATACCCTCTCCCTCCTGATCCTGGCCTGCATCTCGATCGCCCGCGACGGCACCTGGAGCGCATCCAACGGCACCATCTACGGCCTGTACGCCGGCCTCATCCTCGTCCACGGCACCTGCACCATCCTCGCCAGCAACATCATGCCGCGCATCCAGACCCTCTGCATCTACATCAACGTCGCCATTATAATCGCCACCGTCGTCGCCCTGCCCGCGGGGAAGGTCGCGCGCGGGGGCACCCTCAACTCGGCGCACTACGTCTTCACGCACGTCGATAACACCAGTAACTGGCCGATCGGGTGGAATTTCGTGCTTGCGTTCCTCGCGCCCATCTGGTCTATCGGGTTCTTTGACTCGTGCGTGCACATGAGCGAGGAGGCGATGCATGCGGCGCGCGCTGTGCCGAGGGGGATCCTCTTCAGCGCAGGCAGCGCGTGTGTTCTCGGCTTCTTGATTCTCAGTGTCATTGCGGCTGTTATGGATCCTAACGTGAGCAATACCTCCGGGACAGTCTTTGGACAGCCAATGGCGCAGGTACTACCTCAATTTTTTTTTTTTTTTTTTTTTTTTTACTTCTAAAAAAAAAATCAAACATTCATAGATATCGCAACGTAGTGTCGTAAATATACTGGTCCAAGGTACAAGGTTAGCTTGGTAGAACACAAGTATTCACGTGGTCTTAGATTTATCTACATTTATATATATTTATATATATTATTTTTAAATTATTAAAATATAAATTATTATTTTTTTTTTCTTATCATTTTAAAAAAATATTTTTTTTTTTTTTTTTTTTTTTACTTCTTGCAATATGGTATTAACAGAGGCAGATCTACTACGACGCCCTCGGCAAAAAAGGCGCATTGGGCTTCATGGCTGTTCTCATCCTCATCCAGTTCCTCATCGGGCTTTCCCTGGTATGCCCTCTTTCCACATATATATATATATATAGATAATGCTAATAAAAACAGATCATAGCAGCCTCCCGGCAAGTGTTCGCCTTCGCGCGCGACCACGCCCTCCCCTTCTCGCCCATCCTGCGCAAAATCACAACCTACAGCATCGTAAAGCAACAGCCCATAAACGCCATCCTCTTCCTCGCCGGAATCTGCATAATCTTCGGCCTACTGGCACTGATCAACAGCGTCGCCGCAAACGCACTATTCTCGCTCTTCGTCGCAAGTAACTACGTCGCATGGGGCACGCCCATCCTATGCCGATTAGTCTGGAAATCGAGATTCACGCCCGGGGAGTTCTATACGGGGAAGATGTTTAGTACGGGCTTTGCTTGTGTGGCTGTCGCTTGGTTGGCGTTTGGGTTGGTGCTGAGCATGTTTCCGACTGTTAAGGATCCGGGGCGTACGTTTCCCTTCCCTTCTCTACTTTCCTCCTTTGGTTTTGGTTGTGGTTTACTTGTTTGGATGTGTGGCTAACTGAATACAGCCGCTGATATGAACTACACGGTCGTGCTGAATGGGTTCGTGTGGCTTGCGAGTATGCTGTACTACGTGGTGTATGCGCGCAAGGTGTTTACGGGCCCGCGCACGACGATCTCGGAGGGGGAGGCTCCGTCGTCGTCTGGGACTGAAGGGTATGAGAAGGAGGCGGGTAGAGCAGGGAAGTCGGAGATATAGATTAGAGATGGACTGGACTGGTTGTATTATAGCGAGTGGGTGTAGTGTAGTTGCATAATATATATTAGACAAGTGATGGTAGTACCGAACATACGGTCGGTGCAGCTACTGTATACCAGACTAGAAGACGATATACTAAACCTCAGAACGGGAGCATATGAGTGCGAGGGAAAATTAGATATATTTGTAACCGAAGTAACGTCTCAACTGGGATATGGTTAAGGGCATTGATTTGGAATGCGTACTCTTGCTATACAATCACGGCAGTTTGCTACAGCAACTGAAGCCGAGCAATTAATCTATCATCGGGCATAAAGCTGGGCTGACGACATTCAGGTATTAAATAGGCTAAAACATGATTTCCGGATAAGTAACAGTACATCTTCAGGCTGTCCGACAGAAGTGCCTGTGGGATGGCAATTTCGTTGAAACAATGATATAAATGACACTGAAGGGAAGCCATATAAAAGTGCCGCTGACAGCATAGTTCATGATCTTAGCAATATAACCTCTTTCCATGACAACACACCATGTACAGACTAAACATTCTTATCCTCACCGTCCAATGCGCACTCGCTGCGGCCAGCTCTTCTGGATGTGGTACGAGCCCATCTATAGACAGCGGAGTCAATCAAGCAGATGTCAATGGGCAACAGCGCGAGTACATTATCCAGCTCCCTGACAACTACGACTCGAATAATCCATACAAGCTTGTTATCGGATACCACTGGCTTGACGGTTCAATGGACACCGTTGTGGACGGCAGTTTCTACGGCCTCGCACCACTTGCAGCAGACTCGACCATATTTGTTGCTCCCCAAGGCCTCAACGCTGGGTGGGCGAATACAAACGGAGATGATCTCACCTTTACAGACCAGATTCTCGACGCAGTCCAGTCCAATTTCTGCATCGACCAGGACCGTATCTTCGCTGCAGGCTGGAGCTATGGCGGCTCCATGAGCTACTCCGTTGCGTGTTCGCGTGCAGATGTCTTCCGCGCTGTTGCAGTCCTGTCCGGTGGGGAATTGAGTGGCTGTGACGGCGGAAACGATCCTGTGGCATACTTTGGCCAGCATGGAATCAGCGACGATGTCCTGCCAATTGACTCGGGGCGGCAGCTGCGCGACCACTTTGTGCAGGTCAATGGCTGCGACTCGGCGGATCCTGAGGAACCAGCTGCTGGCAGTGGCACCCATACTGCTACTGACTATACTGGTTGCTCTGAGGGTTATCCCGTGGAGTGGGTTGCTTTTGATGGAGGACACGTCCCTACGCCCTCTGATGCTGGGGCTGCGGATTCCTTTACCCCAGGTCTCATCTGGGATTTCTTCTCGCAGTTTTAAGCCAGCCTGGAGTAGCTCGGCAGTGGAGTTGCTTGCAACTGCCGTTGTGTCAGATATGACTTTCATCTGTAACATATCTCCACTGCTATATCCTGTTATAAAGTCAAGATCTTCGCTACACTTGAGCCTGTTTCTACTATTTTGGCTGATATGGTAAATATCCATATTCTTATAGTATCTATATTTGATTATATTTATGGAATGAACACGGACCCTTTGATCCGCTACCCCAAACTACTGATGGAGGAAGGATCACCATATAGTCCTTGTAGCCGTGCCAAACAGGGTATTTAGCCAGTGGGGTCAGCCCCGTCGGTTCTGAAGAAACGTTGCATGCATATTTTATTGGTCTCTCTAGGATCTCGGTTAATAGAATGCATTCTCATATGCTGCCGACAGGTAACCCCTATTGAATTGTCGGGACGTCTCCATATTTATCAGACAGAGGGGCACAGGTCTATATCAGGAAGGCGAGGAAGGTTTTCATAAGTTTCAGTATTACTATTGTTCTTGTTTTTATTGAAACCATGTTGTCTACACTTGCAATCACCGTCGCCTTGCTCACTGGGGCTGGGCGAGGCGATACAACACTCCAACAGCAGCCTGTGATATGGGAGGATCTTGCGGACACAGATATTTTTCGAGTGAATGACACCTTCTACTACTCGGCTTCCACCATGCATTACTCCCCTGGGGCTCCAATCTTGTCAAGCAAGGACCTTGTTCACTGGGAGTTCATCGGGCACAGCGTCCCCACGCTTGACTGGGGCTCGAAATATTCTCTCCAAGATGGCTCGGCATACGTACAAGGGATTTATGCATCAACGATTCGAGCACGTCCCAGTGATGGGCAGTGGTTCTGGGTCGGATGCGTTGAGTATAGCAGCACATACGTCTACACTGCCTCAGGGCCAACAGAGGACTGGACCCAACTAGCCCATATCCCGGAATGCTATTACGACTCCGGTCTCTTGTTTGATGATGATGGAACGCCTTATGTCGCCTACGGGAGCTCTGAAATCAAGGTGGCCCAGTTGTCTGATGACCTCAAGAGTCATGTCCGTGCCGAGTCTGTCTATACTTATGACAACAGCGCTGAGGGGAGCCGAATGTACAAGATTGACGGCACTTACTACATTCTCAACATCGACCCTACGTCTAGGATCCAGTACGCACTGAAGTCGGACAGTCCCTTTGGACCCTACGACTCGGCTATAGTATCCAACAGCCCGGCCTGCCCTTCGGACGTCGGCGACCCCCCTCATCAAGGTGGCATAGTGGACGATGGCGATGGCAACTGGTACTATATGGCGTTCTGTGACTCGTACCCCGGTGGACGAGTGCCCGTCCTAGCCCCTATCGTATTCAACGACCAAGGGTTTCCGCAACTGGCTGATGTCAATACGTGGCCGTCCAGCGTGACAGTCCCCCTGGACGAGGTCTCCACGCCAGATTTCAGCTACACAGACTCCTTCACGGGCAGTGGTTTAAGTGCGCAATGGGAATGGAACCACAACCCAGACACCAGCGCTTACAGCTTGGATAACGGACTGATCCTGAATACTGTCACAGTAACGGACGACCTATATCAGGCTCGGAACACGCTCACCCATCGCGCTCTGGGCCCTAGCAGTGCTGCTACAATCGAGCTTGATTTCAGCAGCATGCAATCTGGGGATCGAGCAGGGCTTGTGATCCTGCGTGATAGCTCCGCGTGGGTTGGCGTGATCGACAATGGCGATAGCAAGGTAGTAGGTGTCTGGAAGGGCCTTGATATGACATCGGGAGACGGCGGCTGGTCGACTGTGGACACTGGGTCGCTGGAGACATCTGAGGACATTGGTGATTCGACTGTGATCTACCTTCGTGCCCGGGGGAATTTCAGGCCTTCGTCCGACAAGACTGTGCAGTTTTCGTACTCGACTGATGGCTCTACGTTCTCGGATATCGGTGAGCCATTTGTCATGAATACGGAGTGGGAGTTCTTTATGGGCTACCGGTATGGCATCTTCAACTTTGCAACGGAGTCTCTTGGTGGGAGTGTGAAGGTGTCGAGTTTCACTATGGAGGCAGTTGAGGAGTGAATAAAGACGAGTTGTGCTTATTGATGGTTGTTTTTATGCTGCAAGTAAATAACTAAAATAAACATCTCGTTAACCATCAGAGCTCACGAAAGAAACACTCCATATGGTACCGTAAGAGGTAGATGAACAAATATCTCTATGATATGTATATGAAGACTCTGGGCGATGAGTTTGTGACTGCACTTTTAGATCCACCTTGCCAAATCGTCATTCGCATTCAAATCAAGGTCTTGCCGATTCTCTTCTCATTGTACACTAAATACACTTATACGTTCAGCGTCAACACACCCGGCCTCCAGGGTTGGGTGTTGTAATCCCCTCCACCAGCACCGCTTGGATCTTGGCCCTGGTAGAGGAGTTGCAGGTTGCACGGATCAACCAGGTTCGTCTGATCAGGGCTGCTGCGAATCAGATCGCCGTGGCTAATATCATTCGTCCAGGTAGCACCGCTGTTAGCCTTTCCAGCAAAGGGCTGGCTCTCAGTCGAGTCCTGGGACGTCCACTCGCCATCGAGACTATCAGCCACGAACGAGCGGAAATAGCGTCCCCCAGACCCAATTGCCTCCACGATCATCAGGTACTGGTTCTGGCCGTCGACGGTGTAAACCTGGACTGCTTCGAAGAGGTTATTGGTAGTATCACTCATGATCTCCTCGAAATCGGTGCCGAAGTCGCCGGGGAAGTTGTCAATGGGCATGCTGGCGCGGTAGATTTTGCCATTGTCGCCTGCGAAGAATAGATACATGTTTGTATCATCTCCAATCACGGTTTGGTCGATTGCTCCAGTATCAGAGCCGGTGATGGTTCCAGAGAAGAGGGGTTCTTCCGACGACCACCCATTGGCATCTGTGGGATCGCTGGATGTGCGGTAGCTGAATGCAGTCGAACCCCACTGGTAGGCCAGTATCCAAACGTCCTTTGGCGAGAAGTAGAAGAGGGTTGGGGCGACAGCGGCGAAATCCATCGCATTCTGACTTGCAGAGGCCATTTCAGGCCAGTCCGAGAATGGGCTAAAGACCATTGATCCGTAGTTGCCACTTTCGTCGGCAGTAGATGCATATACAATGTGCTGGCCGTTAGAGGTAACCTGGGTGAAATCCTTCAGAGCTACCTGTCCAGCTGCAGGTTCGGCCAGAGCATCAGTTGATGTCCAGCTGTAGGTTGATGGGAGGCTGCACTGTGCCAGGGCACCTGGAATTGAGAGAAGCAGCAGGGCTGCAGATGGCAGAAAAGATGACTTCATCTTGGAGAGACTCATGGCGATATTAAGGACAGATAGTCAATGCATGAAAAGATTATTATAGGCTGGGCATCAACAGAAGCTCATCGGGTTTATATACTGGGCTCAACGGCAGTTGATGCTCTGTTCTATACCGGTGTAGATACCACGTCTGACCTTAGGCTATTTCGCTGCGATGGTTGTTTCAGGTTCATTGCCTTTGGACATTAACTGCCAATGATGGACAGCTCTACGAGACAACACTCGCCTCCTGATGTCGATCAGACAGGGTGAAACTGTTTCTACCGTTTAGCCCTGATCAGTGACAATAGGCAGTATTAATGGCCTATAACGAAAGAGCTTTTAGTAATAAGTAGGCATGCCAAGCTCATACAGTCTTCATGGGCAATAAGGTTATTCTACTCAGGGACTACCTTTGCTCCTGATTCATATCCTGAGTACTCCAGGCATTTATCCAAGTCACCGAATCTGAAGGAAGTTTCCGACCAGCGATGACATATATGTGTAAAACTGTACCAAAGTCAACATGAAAGAGTATAATATCATTCATGTCTTCCTATCCTACAGTAACAAGTATACGAGACTTTTACTGTATAGATAGTGTCGACCTTGCCACTTTGACATTGACACAGGTGAACCACCCCACCGGGATCGTCAATTCGAGAATATACGGAATTCAGGCAGTAGGAGCCAGTTAATGCCAGTTGGTATTTATTCGGATCATTCCCTTTGAGATGCATATATATATATATATATATATATCAACCGGACCATCTCACTAACCAAATGTGAACCATATCTCCCTCTGCTGCCGCGATTACAGCTTACAGCTTGCGTTCAATAAAATAATGAGACCAGTTAAACAGTTATTGTGCTTTGGCACTTGAGATACTTCACTAACGGAGCATATTCCCCAACAAGGATAGACGCCCCGACGGAACTCGAACCTCGGCACAAATCGGTTAATTAACAGTGATTCAACAGGGAACTGACCAGTTAATTGACGGTTAATATAATGACATACGCCCAGACTCAGGCCAGACCCAACTCCTTCAAGCCACTGACGAAGTGAAACCGCAGGCGAATTCCCGCTGTGTGTTTACAAGTAAGACAGTGGAACAGGCCACAGGTCCAGATCAACAGCCAAGACGGCACGAATACCGACTAATATACACCATACCGGACACTGTAAGGCAGGGGAGTTTGACTTTGGTTCATAAGGCAGAGACAGTGACGATCTGGAACAGCGTGCATTTCAGGAGTTGGTTGTTGGAGGCCCATGCGAGATGAAGGACGATCATCCTGGGGCCAGAAGTTCCCCTGGTGGAGGCGTTGCTTATGGTGACATTCAGTCTAATGATTATTATGATTACGGAAAGTGAAGCGAATATCGAGTTGATAGAATTATTATTCATGTAACATACAGTGCATTGGGTGTATCATCTAAGGAGCGACATTCATACATTATGTACCAGGCAAGATAAAGCAGGTACGTGAGGTAAATATAAACAAAACCGATCTATCCTGAAACCGAACGGGAAACAAAAGCTGTTTTCACGTTTACAGGGCAGCAACAACACCCATCACGCCGACGAGACCAGCAACGCCCATGAAGGGGGTGGCATAGGCAGCGCCGTCGTCCGTGGGGCTGGCGTCGTCACCAGCGTCAGTGCTGGAGGGATCAGCGGCGGCAGAGCTGGTGATGGTCGCCTGTGTGGTGGTGGGCGAGCCGTCGGCGTCGGTGGTGGTGATGGCAGAGGTGAAGGTGGTAGGGGTGGCGCTGGCGCTGGCGCTGCCACTGCCAGAAGCACTTCCGCTTGAGCTGCCGGTGGCAGAGGCGCTGCTGTCGGTGCCGGTGATGCTGTCGAGGGCAGAGGTGCCGCCGGTGGAGATGTCAGAGAGGATGGAGGAGGCCTCGGTGGGGATGGCGCCGCCAGACTCGGTGATGGAGTTGAAGATGCTGGTGGCCTCGTCGGGGATGTTCTCAATGCCAGAGGAGGCCTGGTTGATGATGTCGTTGAGGTCCTGCGCGCTGGAGAGCGCGGCGAGGAGGAGAGAGGAGGCAAGCATGAACTTCATTGTGGTGGTAGAGATATGGGTTGAGATAGAGATGGATATAGAGGTAGAGGTAGAGTGAGATAGAGAGATAGATAGATGTAGATGAGAACCTGATATGAAGAGAGGAAAGGAGTATTTATGCCATCACCGCCACTGCTTGCCACTCGCGATCCCCGGGCTGGTTCCCTCATTCATTCATACTCCACAACGCTGAGCCCTGTGGGCCCGTGGAGCTCTCGCCTGTGAAGGAAATTGCACGTCAGCCCAGTTGCCGATCTAATTTTAGTTGCTGCTAGACTTTTCTAGTTCGTTTTGATGCCATTCCAGCCTGCTGAGTGGCTCCAGACTGGCCCGTTGATCCACCGGCCCAGGCTGATGACGTTGCGCCTAGCAGTGGTGCAAGACCGCAATAATCAGTCACCATAGTATCCGCAATCCAGTAAGCCAGGCCTGTTCTTGCTGGCGAAATCTCGAAATTGGGTGCCTGTGCCTGTGGTGGCTCAGCCTGCGAAGTGAACCATGGAAAGCATTTGCCTCCCAATCCAAGAATCCTCTGCATGGCTCCCATGGAAGAACTGAAGCTGAGTAAGAATTTAGCTGCCTGGCGTTCACAAGCAACGGTTGTCGCAATGCTTGTCGGCTCAGCCCGCATATGAAAGTGTACAGCCTCAACAGCCTCAGTGCAATGGCCAATATGATCCTTCAATGCAACACAGCCAACAGCCAACAGCCAACAGCCAACAGGGAATGAGTGTTGGAAATCCTGTCAGTGCCCAGCTGCGAGATGAGCCTCCATCTGATACATCCTCCATTACGCGTCCCGTTGCTATTTGGGGCCAGCCCTACATTGGCATAGCCATAAGCCAAGTTTCACGCAGGGTTGAGTCTGAATTCTGCAGCCTGCATTGTTAACCTGCTAACTACATTTCTTTCTCGCCCTTGGATTCGTCCGACTTGCCCAGGGCCCTGATGATGCGCACCCCATCCTCCACCGCACTCCCCTCCCAGAACCGCCGCTCCGAATCCAATGTAGCCTCACGCAGCACCGTGTCAGACTGCGGGGACGGAGGATCGGTCGCACTCGTGTAGACACTAACCCGGTCGCGGAAGCGCACTCGCAGCTTTCCACTACCCTTGGGGCTGCCGCTTTTGCTGTTGCTGCTGCTTCCACCCTGAGCCACTTCCATATACCCCTTGCGCATTGCATATCGCTTCGCCCCCTCTCGTCGCAACACACTCCCCAGTATCTTAGCGAGCCCCGTGCTCACCGCAAATCGCATGGCGAGATACGCCCACTCCGCAACCAGGATGGTCAGCAGGAACGACGACGCGCGGATCTCAGCCAGCCCGTCGCGGTACAGGTACACGATTGCCGCCGTCGACAGCGTGCCCAGCCATGTCAGCACTTCCAGACCCTGCAGGCTGGGCCCGATCGAGTCCGACCGGATGGGCGGCGGGCGCTGGCACTCGAGACTGAGTTTGAAGAAGTCGCCGCGCAGCTCGAGCCAGTTGTTGAGTAGGAAGCCGAGGGCGACGAGCGGCCAGGATGCGCCGAAGAGCGTGAGGTAGCCGAACTGCACGCACATCTCGAGTGTGTCTTCGTGGACGTTGTACTCGTCTGCGTCTGCTTCTCGGCGCACGCGTGTCAGGAAGGCGCTCTCGTCGGGGTCGTCGAAGAGGAGGGTGTTTGTGGCGATGGAGGCGCGTTTGCGGTGCTGGAGGGCGTCCTTTTTGGCCTGGTAGTCGCGCCATTTCTGCCAGACGATGCTCTTGACGTAGGGGTATACGATCTCGCCGAGGAAGTCGAGTACCTGGCCGGTTAGTGTTAGGTAGATGACTTCCTGCTGTAGACGGCTGGGGTCGACTTTGAAGTCGAGCGGGTTCTCTGCGGGTTCTCCACGCAGATGGGCGACGTCGAGATAGGGCACGATGGTGGCGCCGAACGGGACGTACACGAAGGCTGTAAGCACGGTGGGGAGGAAGGCCGTGATGAAGTGCATGACGAACTGCTTCGCTGTCTGCGCGAGGTCATACTGGTCCTGCGTGCGGTAGTTCTCGTACTTGGTCAGTCTGGTCGCGATCGAGCTCAACAGGCCTGAGATGGAGGGCAGAAACAGCGAGAAGATGACCGTCGGCAGGAACTCGAGATAGCCCTGAAAGGAGCCCGTGTAGACTTCTGAGATGAACACTTCCATCGCAAAGGTGATCACGATCAGCCCCCCCAGAGCAGCAGCAGCAACCGACGCAAAGGGCACCAGCAGCAGCTGCCGCAGGAACTGTCGGTATGGCGAGAAGACTTGCACGGTCTGCCCGGTGATGGGATCCTTGACTTCTTTTTCCCAGATATACTGCGTGCGAGTCACCTTTAGGGCTCCGACGCCCTTGACCTCCCACCGCAGACTCAGGTCCTTCTCGCGGATCTTCCAGTACTCGACAAAGACCATGGCCCAGAGACAGTTCCCGATGGCGAAAGTAATGGAATAGGGCCCTAGATACCACCAGGTCAATGTTCCCCAGACGGCAGGGAATACCAAGAAAGACGAGTATGACTGGATGAAGGCGAAGTAGAACGAAACCTGCAGCATTATCAGTTCAGGAACTCAACCCAGTCTGATATCAGGCAAGACTACCTTCTCGCCAAACAGAGCCCGAATGGCATCGAGATCCTCCGCAGTCAAGAGTATTGTCCTGCTCCATTTCCGCAGCAGCTCAGCATTGGCCTCCTGGTCGTGCAGGGGAAACGCCGACGCAATGTTCTTCCACTTGCGATGCCTCGGCGTGATATGAGCACCGCCCAGCTCCTTCTTCCAGGTCACTGCATGGTATACCGATCGGAGGGCCTCGGCGGGTGTTTCGGCGTCTGCTATCGTGTCGTCGTCGCCGGCGGGGATTTCGTGGATGATGCCATACAGCCAGTCCTTCACCCTACAATCATTAGTCTTGAGTTACAGATAGGAATACACCATACAGTACCGAGACTGATACACGAGATTACCCAGATGCAGCCGCGGGACTCGAATGAAGACGAGAAGCGAGGCCCCATGGCCATGCCGCACCTGTGTTTCGAGATGTGCTTCGTGGAGGTCGTGGATGAGCGACTCGAACTCCTCGATCGCTTTGGACGAATCTTTGCTTGTTAGCAGCGACGGGCTAAAGTCGGCCTGGACATACCGATGTCGTCGAATTGATAGTGCACAACCCAGTCGACGCCGAAGTTGTCTAGCTGGGGGGCCTGTTCTGCAGGCCTGTAATCGGGCTTGAGGCTCATTAGAAACAGGACAAAACCAGCATTTTAATTAGTGAATATCTAGGGTTGAGAGGTAGAGAGAGAGAGAGAGAGACAAGTATGGAGAGTATGAAGAGTACGGATAGAGATATAAGGGAGCAGGTGGGGGATAGTGCAAGGAGACTCAGGGCGCGTATTAGTTATTCTTAGCCTGACTCTTCTCTTCTGATCCTATCCCTGGCAGATCGTGCAACGTATCCCAATTCCAGAATCAATAATCCCCATCCAAGACGGGGAAGCTGGTCAGCCCTACAGGGCTCGGCCAATGTGCTTGGCCTGTCATTCGCTGTGGGCTCGCTTCTAAATTTTGTTGCCTACGGATGTCGGATACATTATTCTCTTTGTTCCTTATTTGATTTGAGGCTTGAGACTCTTTCTCTCCCTCTCTCTGAGTGTGTGTGCACTGACTCAGGAATATGCAGGGAGTGCCCCTTTGAGTAGAAGCACACCGATAGACGCACCATGAGCTCGTGAACAGACTCGCAGCGAGAACTCGCGGAGACGAGGGGCTGTGAGAGGGACAGAATGCGGTCAGACTGCAGAATCCTGCTGCCTACACCCTGTCTGCGAGTCCCGATTGGGAGCTATACAAGCCGCACCCGGTGGGACGCGGTGGAGATCAATGTGGAGCTGTGGCGCAAACATTCTGTTACAGCCAATGAAATCAGCTTTTCCTTGCCAATATTGGCCAGTCTGGGGCATCCTTGCAGGCATACAACATTCTGCTTGCTTGCTTCGCTCCGGCGCTTCCATACAAGCCTTGCTCATGAGATATAAGCTTGGGCGATGAACGGGATGAACCTTTCTCGCCTGCATGTGCACTGCAAATCTCACCTGCAAGGTCTGCCTTACTGCTTGAGAAATCAAGGGGGGAGGGTCGTCCACGGATAGACTACGCTTCCCTCCTTTATTAGTCTACAGGTTTCTAGTCTAAAGCTTCTCTCTTGATCGTCCCTCTCTCGATCGTCTCTACTGCTATGCTTGCGATTGCTGAATCCATGGCCCGCCAACTCTTCCCCGGGCAGAACCTGGCCTTTGGCCTCAGCCTGTTCCTGTTCACCTTCATGTTCATTCCAACGCTGGTCGTGCTCCTCGCCGTCGTCGTCTTCTTCCTCTTCTACTATCCCCAGCTCCGGAAGCCATCATGAGGTATGTCGTATCTTCTGCTATCAACACTGCTAGTAAAGCCAAGTGTTGACTTATAACAGCAAGTATCTATTACCGACTGCACCTAATACTTTAATGCTGGCAATGATGTCATGTACAATAGCCTAAAAGTTGTGGAATTGGCCTATATTTATACTGTTACTGTTAATATACTGTTATACAATCTATAACTATTTATAATCTATTTGTCCAACTTCCCAAACCCCAAACTCTCCCACTTCCCAAGCACATCCCTCTTCACATCCTCAGGAAACGACTCCTTGAAATCCGCCGCCTCCCAGTCTCTACCCTCTGTATACTCAACCGTCAACAACGCATCAGAGACAACCTTCCCGCCACGCACAGCCGACGCCCCGCCATGCCCATTATACGGAATCAGCGGAAACGCACGCACATCGTCAAAGAACACCTCATCCGTACCGGGGCGACATCTCGTCGAAAACGCCCACATCACCTCCTTATCGTCGTACACATCGATGTCCTCCCCGACAAGCACGACCCTGTGGATCGTGTACCCGGCCTTGTGGTTGAAGATGAGATCGCCTACGCGTTTCGCGAACGCCTTGGGTGTTGTTTGCATAGTCCGCAGCTTGGCTGTGTCGATGCGCAATGCGACCCAGGTTACTTGCGAGATGAAGGGCGCGAAGGCGTCCAGCACGGGCAGGGAGGCTTTTTGGCATATTTTGCGGATTTCGGCCGCGGCGAGGGAGCCGATCATTGTGTGCTGAGCTATCGTTAGCATATAAGTTACATGGATGGGTTGATGGTATAAGGAAGCGTACCGTTTCGTCGGTGAGTTTGCCGCAGGAGCTCATGGGGAGGATGGCATTATCTCTGTACGTGATCTTGTCGACTTTATATTTCGGACAGAGATGTGTGTCACCGGGGAAGATGTACCTTCACTCATTAGCATATCCAACCCTCATAGTTTAAAGGATAGAAAGACAAACCCATGCATCTCCCCAAACGGACCCTCCTCCCCCGTCTCTGTAATCGACAGCGTCCCCTCAAACACAATCTCCGAATTCGCCGGAACATAGAGACCGTTCGTATCACACTTCACCAGCTCAATCGGCTTCCCAACCATCGCACCGACATACTCCGCCTCGCTAACACCATCCGGGATAGGCATGCTAGACGCCATGATCGCCGCAGGGGGTACGCCGAATGCCAGCGCCCAGGGCACATCGCGACGCTCCTTCTTCCACATCTGATGAATCTGCCATATATGCTGGGGCTCGATGACCAGACCTGTCAGGTGGTTCTTGTCCGCGACCATGGCGCGCGCGATGGACCAGTTTGTCCACTTGCCGCAGGGGGATTGGACGATGTGCATTCCTAGCAGTGTAAGAGATTAAAACTCCTCAAATGGTAGGTGGAAATGAAGGCTTACCGTATGTCTGGATGTATGCACCCCCGTCGGACTTATGCACCATAGGCGCAGGGAGCTGCGTGAGATCGATCTGGTCCCCTTCTAGACTATTCTGCTTACAGGGCCCCGTAGGGACAATGACCGGTGGGATCGGAGGTAGCTGGTCCGCTTCAAGCATTTTATCCAGGATAGTCCTCATGCTCGCCGTAGGAGGAAGACCCAGATGACGCGCAAGACGGCCATATCGCTCGCTAGGTGAACTCCGGAGAGAAGCCGGGCCACCGAGGATGCGGAAGAGGCCGTCTTTGGCGCCGATGAGGTTGTTGAACAGCGGTGCCTTTTGGTCATTCTCGCATACGAGACGGGTGATTGCGGCTGCTTCGAGGGTTGGGTTTATGGGGGTGTTGATCTCGATCAGGTCGTTGTCTGCCTTTAAGGCTTCGACGAAGGAGCGGAAGCAGAGGTGGGGTTCGGACATTTTGACTGATACACGGATTATCTGTGATGAACTGTCTGGCTTTCAGGCAGGTTTATAGGTTTATATAGTCACCGGCAAACCGGCTTGTAGACTCGGGCCGATATCACATACTGGATATCTCGGGCTCGGAGGCTCGGAGAAGTCGTCATGGACCCGCAGAGACTACAAGATTCTAGTGATTGGAAGTTCGGTGAAGATGTGGAACAGTCAGTCTAATCTCAGAATACGGCTAGATTTAATTATTCGAGAACAATTCAACATAATAATACATGTAATAATAGAGTATACGCAGTGGATCACGTGAGTTCCCAATGTGGAAATCCGCACATCCGAGTCCCCGAGTGCCACTTGCTCTCGCCTCATGTTATTTTATCGATTGTCTATTATCATTCTCAGGTCCGTACATACAGATAGGCTGATTAATATACCGGGGTGCTATACTTGGATAGTTAAACCAGTTCATGAAGGTGGTGCGATGGACTCGAATATCGAACGCCGAGAGATCGACCGCGTCCTTCGCCTCAAGCGCAAGCAGCGCGAATCAAAGGCATGTTATCCCTGTCGCCAGCGAAAGGTCAAGTGTGATGGCGCCCATCCCTGCAGGACTTGTGTCAGGCGAGAGCACCCCCAGATATGCGCCTACAACGTCGAAGAGACTCGGAAGAAAGCACATTCCAACGGTAATATAACAGACAATACATCCCAGAATAACCTTAGACGTCATGTACAACCGTCTCATAGTGCAGAGATCGGGCCGAGCTCCCCGGACAGCCCTCGGAGCTCGGCGCAGAACCAGGACTACGTGTTCTCCGGGGATAACTCGCTGGTCTCGATACTGCGCCAGCAGGACCCGGATGGGAGTATGGCTCGCGAGGCTACCTCTGTCTTGGGCCTGCACAATACGTATCTGAGCTATCCGTTCATCGAGTCGAAGACGCCGCATGATCGGTGGGTGGCTATCCTAGATATCCTGCCCCATCGAGACGAGGTTTTAAAGTATGTACCCTTAACTGTTTACTGCTTTACTGCCCCGTGCTTATTGGAAGATTCTTTCATTTCTACCGCATATGTGCATACCCGTTTAACCCGATCCTCGTCGACGTGGACAAGTTCGAGTCGGATATATGCATCTACCTGAGCACGTATGCGTCAGGCGAACTGAGCGACCGGAATAAGATATCGGAGAAATGGACGTCAGGGAGATCTGTTGGCCATATAAGTCTCCTCCTGGCGACACTGGCAGCCGGTGCTCACTTCTCTGATCTGGAGAACCCCCAGCGCTCTGAGCTGTGCCAGGATTTTGGTACGTCACTCTATGCCACACACTTCCATTACTTACAGACCAGCCCGCCGTTCTTTTCAGGCTCTGCGTCTCGCAAACTTCCTGCTTCGACCATCGCTGGATGTCGTCCAGGCTCTCCTCATTCTCGGCAATACGCTCCAGAACAACGGCCAGTCCGATGCAGCCTGGGCCTTGCTGGGAACGACGGTCAGGTTGGCTCAAACACTGGGTCTGCATACGGAGAGAGGCATCTCGCACTGGCCGGAGCACGCGAAACAGAAAGCGAAATTACTATGGTACGCCTCTTCTCATAACATGCGTACCGTCTAACCCCTCCAGGTCAATGACAGTCTGGCAAGACAGCCTTCTAAGCCTCTGCTACGACCGCCCACCCATCGTCTCAAACATGCGCTGGACACCAGAAGCACTATCGTCGCCTCGGCTGGAACTCTCATACGTCAACCTCATGCACTACTTCTGTTGGGTAGGGCTCGAGATCATGAAGATGGAGGAAACCGCCGAGCCCCAGCCAAACCACAACCTCACCCTGCTCACTAATCTCGACAGTGTTTTTAATCGAGCACAGACGCACCTCCTCGCCCGCGAGAGCTGCAGAAATCTACAGCAGCACCTGGAACATCTCGCATTGCGCATGCACATGTCTTTCATCGCCTCCGCGCTCTGTCGACCGGCTATCAAGAGATCACCAGGACTTCTAAACGAAGATCCGCGTTTACTATCCCTGAGATCTCGAGCACGACAAAGTCTGATCACTGCATCCCGTGCTTTTCTTGATTTCCAGGCTCTCTCTGTTGTGCCCCTGAGGACGTGGTCGATGGTTCACACGGTGCTCAGCTCGACGCTGCTTCTCTGCACGTGGCAGGAAACGAGGGAGGATGTGGTATGTCGTGACCTGCAGCAGAGAGTCATTGAGGTATTCTCTGGGGCTGGGACGGGGATGGAGACCGGGTCGGAGTATAGCCAGTGGTTATCGGCCAGGCATATCCGGGCGTTGATTACGCTGCGTCAGACGCTGAGGAAGCGGACGCGGACTCAGGATACGGAGGCTAATCAGAATGAACAGTTGCATGCCATTGGACCGAACATGCAAGCTGGGGATGGGAATATGATGTCGACAGAGCTCTCATATAGTGAATTGTTTCCGGGCCTGGACTATGGGTGAGTAGCTTGATTGATATACGGGCATTGCTAACTGTGTAGATTCCCTGTTCCTGGTGAAATGGACTTTTCGCCGGTGACTTATCTTGACTCCATCATGAACGGTATGTATGCCAGATATGACATGAGCCCTGCTAACAGGACAGTTCCACTCTTCGACTTTCCAGATACCTGATTATACTAATAGATCCGACTGATCCGCATCTCGGACCCTCGGACCCTCGGGTCTCGGACTCGTTAACCTGACAGTATCAACCGGCTTCCCGATGCCGATTGACAGTAAAAGTTTGATTAAAAGACTACGGGCCGATAGTCTTATATAAAGACCTGTAACCTGACGCAACGGCCTTGATCACTATATACTAATCTCTACACAATGCTGCCCAGTATCTTCAACAGCACACCCCAACCCACGCAACAATCCCCAGATCCACCCAAAATGAACGAGACCCCCCGAAAGCGCATCGTCGTCGCAATAACAGGCGCAACCGGCGCCTTAATGGGCATAAAAACCCTCCTCGCCTTGCGCCAACTCAACATAGAAACCCACCTCATCCTGAGCAAATGGGGCGAAGCCACATTAAAACACGAAACAGACTACAAACCCTCAGCGCTCAAGGCACTCGCCTCCTACACACACAGCATCCACGACATGGCAGCCCCGATATCCAGCGGGTCCTTCAAAACAGACGGGATGATCATTGTGCCGTGTAGCATGAAGACACTGGCGTCGATCAACTCGGGTGTCTGCGACGATTTGATTTCCAGGACGGCGGATGTGATGCTCAAGGAGAGGAGGAGGGTTGTGCTTGTGGCGCGCGAGACGCCGCTGAGTGAGATCCATTTGAGGAATATGTTGGGGGTGACGAGGGCGGGTGCGGTGGTGTTTCCGCCTGTGCCGGCGTTTTATATTCGGCCTGCGAGTGTGGATGAGTTGGTGGAGCAGAGCGTGGGCAGGATATTGGATCTTTTTGATCTTGAGACTGGGGGGTTTGAGCGGTGGAATGGAAGATTATGTACCTGAGCTGTATATTTATTTATATTAATGACACCAATAGTTTGCCAGGATCTCTATCCACACAGCCTGTCTAAATCCGTTATAGAAGGTAATCAGGAGTCTATAAGAGATAGATTCGTCTTCTCTATAATATTAATACATATACTTGGCTATAACTTTCCGGCACTCGCCCTATGCTGACGGGTCCGCATATAATCAATTAGTACGGAACTCGGTCTCTCGGATGGAGCTCGGATACTTGGAGTTACCCCTCATCGCGGTAGAATTCCGGGGTATATAAGTCTGCGGGCTGGGGAGTCTGGCTAATATTCCTGCAGCAATATCAATATCTACATCAATATTCGCAATGTTCTACGAACCCGGCGTAACAGACCATGGCCTCCCCCACGATCCCTTCAAGGTGAGCCTCACCATACATAAACTGTCACTATATTTACATATTTACACAGGCCTGCGTGATCCCCCGCCCAATCGGGTGGATATCAACCCAAAGCCCCTCAGGCAGCGCCAACCTAGCCCCCTACTCGCAATTCAACAATCTCACCTTCGACCCGCCGTACGTGATGTTCTCGTCAAACCAAACAGCCAGCAACAGCCGCAAAGACACCGTCATAAACGCCGAAGCGACGGGACAGTTCGTATGGAACCTCGCCACCTACCCGCTCCGCCACGCCGTAAACATCACCGCCGAGCAAGTCGCCTACGGGGTGGACGAGTTCAATCGCGCCGGTCTAACAAAACAGCCCGCGTCTAGGGTAAACTGCCCCATGGTCGCGGAGAGTCCGGTCAAGTTTGAGTGCGAGTACCACAGCACCATCCGGCTGCCGGGAAATCCGCCCATGGGGACGGTGGATGTGGTGATTGGGAAGGTGGTGGGGGTGCATATTGCGGAGAGTGTGCTGACTGATGGGATACTGGATGTGCGCAAGACGGAGCCGATTGCGCGCTGTGGGTACTATCAGTATACGGTGGTGAGGGAGACGTTTGATATGGTGATTCCGGGGATGAGTGAGGATGTGCTGTATGGGCTGGAGGGGAGTGCGAGGAGGAATCGGGAGAAGCAGAAGCATTTGAGAGAAGCCGATGACTTGAAGTTGTAGTATTGAATATAAGTAGACTTAACAACCATATTAGTTACAGGTGCATATCATGACTCAGCGGAAGTTGTCGGTTCGTTAACTTCCGAGTAACTTCCGAGTAGTAGAGGGGTATATATCGAGTATCCGCCATATTAACTTGTAGTTTTAATTCCTTCCTCAAGCAAGATGCACGTCAAAGAGAAGCTCCAGTCTGCCTTTCCAGACACCGTCTACACGCCGCTCACCCACCCAGACAAACACCCAGTATTCACCTACAAAGGCTTCCATCCGGGAAAGACTGAGCAACTCCCCCGAGGACATGTCAGGCAGCCTGGATTCCAGGCCTTCCCCGTCGACGTGGTCTGGGAGCAAGACCAGGCGATTCCTATGCGAGACGGCGTAACGCTCTACTGCGACATATTCCGACCCGCGAACGACGACGAAAAGGTCCCCGCCATTATACCGTGGAGTCCGTATGGAAAGGCGTCTACGGGCTCACTGAACTACGATGTCATGGGTCCCTGGCGTATGGGGATTCCGTATCAGCAACTCAGCGGGTATGAAACATTCGAGGTAGGATCTGATTATCCATTCGTCACCCTGGAAGAGCTGCTAACCGACCAGGGGCCGAATCCGGCAGAGTGGTGTGGGAGGGGATATGCAATTTGTGATATTGACGCACGCGGCTGCGGCCATTCAGAGGGAAACCTGATGTGCTGGGGTGAACAGGTCAGTGTTGGCAGTGTATTCTTAGGCTCTTTCTTACCGGCTCCAGGAAGCTACTGATATATACGACTCGATCACCTGGCTATCCCAGCAACCCTGGTGCAACGGATCGGTTGTAATGATGTGAGTTCTGAAAACAATGCATGGCTCCTCCAGACTGATGTATTTGACAGGGGAAACTCCTGGCTGGCCATTTCCCAGCTGAATTTCGCATCTCGCTTCACTCACCCCAATTTGAAAGCAATCGCCCCATGGGAAGCCCTGACTGATCCTTACTCGCAGCAATCCTGCCGGGGTGGCATCCCAAACCCTAGGTTTAGCCAGCTGATCCTCCATGGCTTTGCCGGTACGTCTTCACCCTTCATCCCTGACGAAACTAATCATTTGCAGGATTCGGGACCGCAGAAAACGTAGGCGAAATGATAAACCGTCGACCACTGTTCGACGAATACTGGGACGAGAAAAAGATAAAACCGGAAAATATCCACTCCATCCCCATGTACTTGACTGCATCCTACTCCACGGGCCTACACTGCGAAGGGTCCTTCCACACCTTCGAGACCGCCCAGACTCCTCGCAAATGGCTGCGCGTGCATGATTCCCAAGAATGGCATGATCTTTACCGGCCTGAAGCCGTGGATGACCTCCAGAGGTTCTTCGACTGCTACGCCAAAGGAATCAAGAATGGATGGGAGGAGGAAACCCCGCGTGTGCGCCTCAGTTTACTGAATTACGAGGGCAGCTATGCTCGAAAGGTCGTCGAGAGACCGGAAACGCAATGGCCACCGAGGGGCCAGGCCATGGCCCGATACTATCTAGACGGCAGCAGTCGGTCTTTGGTAGCGCAGAATCCTACCGGATATAGCTCGGCCGGACATGAAGCTCACTCGCTTTCAGACTCCTCGGTAAGTCTGTCTTCTTTCTTGGGAATCGCCTATAAAAATAATAACAGTCTGGCAGGACTTCGTGGTCCACTTCAACACCTATACAGAGCTTTGCGGGAGGCCATACGTAAAGCTCTGGATGTCCTGCAACGAAGCCGACGATATGGACGTGGTTGTCCAACTACGCAAGGTCTCTTCGACAGGGGAACTCCTCGAGTCTCTAAACTGGTCTCCCATGCCTAAACCCCAGCCAGAGGTTCCTGACGTCAACGTGGCCAAACATCTTGGCCAGCAGGGTATGCTGCGTGCCTCACACCGTGTCAGTATGCACCCTAGAACGGATGGCTCCGATTTTCCAGTATATGACCATGATCGTCGCGAACCTATTGCGCCTGGAACAATCGTTCCCCTTGTTATTCCTATTTGGCCGGTTGGGATGGTATTTGAAGCCGGGGAGGGACTCATGGTACGGGTATCTGGCCACGACATGTCTCTCCCAGAGGTGGAGATGCTGAGACTGACAGAACCGGTGGATCAAAACCGCGGGAGACATATAATTCATACTGGTGGTGACTATGAGAGCTTCGTTGCCCTGCCAGTCATCTCTCAAGAGAGAGGCACATCCAGATAATAGTAGTAGGCTTTTAACAGAAAATAGAAGTGTTGGCTGTCGCCATAGCACGGCAGTAACTGCCCCTGTTTCTCGCCGGGCGCATCTGCATGATAATACCTTCAGCGCTCTGGACTGGCGATAATCGCGCTTGCGACCGGGACGTCTGCGGCACGGCATACTCGCATGTGAGAAACAATAACTGGCAGGTTGCCCAATGTAACATGGCAGATAGCGCCCCTATAAATGACACAGCCAAGTGGATATACCGTGATCATGGAATGCATGGCTTATCCCTAGTTTACAGCAGCGAGCGAACCTAAATAGTCGGGTCAAGTGGAATGCTGCATGCCAGGTGAAACAGACTGATCAAAAGACTGATCCATAAAGATTGATCCGTAAGATTGGCCCGTGGACTGATTGTTGATCGTGCTGATCGTGCAACAGTTCCTTGGTGCCTGAGGTGGCGATGCCCTAACTCATCCACTGACCCTGTAAGGACGGAGGACGCCGCAAGCAAGGCCAAGGACAGATGCAGTGCAACACAAATAAATCAATTGAATCATCGTTCAGATGCAATCATGCAAACCCTTGTCAGTTACAGATTGAGACAAGACCAGTGGGAGGACATTCCACGGTCCACCGTGCAGCGGGCCCCTGACGATCTCTCCACCACACACGAATCCCTCCGATACTCGCGTCTCTTCGCTTTTTATTCGCCGTTTATTCGCCATTGATTGGCCGTGTTATTTTGGTCCTGAGCCAGGGCCACTCAGCGCTGCGACCTGGCAATCTCCGCTGCCCAGCAATCACGATGCTGCTTGTGCCTTAAGAGTTGGCCCATCCCTTCATGGCTCACGTTTAAAGAACCAGCACTTTGCTCGTCTCACCCAGTCACTCTTTACATATCGAGCATGCTGTCCTCTCTTTCTCGCGCCACAGCCCTGTCGCTGGCGGCGCTGTCCTGCCTCACTGCCTCTGTCGCCGGCCAGGCGTTTGAGCGACTGAGGGGCGTTCCTGATGGTATCTCACGTTAATTTAAAGCGATACTGTAGTGTATACTAATTATTCCCAGGCTGGCGATACGATGGCACTCCCTCCTCCAACCAGCCGATCCGCCTGCGAATTGCCCTGAAGCAGCAGGATGAGCCCGGCTTCGAGCAGGCCCTGCTGGACATGTCGACCCCCGGCAACGCCAACTACGGCAAGCATTACGGCTCGTATAACGAGATGAAGCAGCTGCTGATGCCCAGCGACGACTGCACGGCCTCTGTGCGCCGCTGGCTGCAGTCCGCCGGCGTCAGCGAGTACGAGCAGGACGCCGACTGGATCAACTTCCGCACGACCGTCGACCAGGCCAACTCGCTGCTCGACGCCGACTTCCTCTGGTATACACCCACCGACAGCAGCAGCAGCAGCAACGCCCGCATCCTGCGCACCCTGCAGTACACCGTCCCCGAGTCCGTGGCCGAGCACATCAACATGATCCAGCCCACCACACGCTTCGGCGGCCTGCACTCCAACCGGGCCACCATGCGCGCCAAACCAGCCTTCTTCGAGACCGGCCGCATGATCCTCGAGGCCATCGCCGCCGGCACCCTCGACCACTGCAAGAAAGCCGTCACCCCGGGCTGTCTCTCCAACCTGTACAACACCTTCGGCTACGTCCCCGACCCCAAGCGCGGCAGCAAGGTCTCCTTCGCCAGCTTCCTCGAGCAGTACGCCCGCTACGACGACCTGGAGGAATTCCTCGAGAAATACGCGCCCCTCTCGGTCGGGCAGAACTTCTCCGTCGTCTCCTTCAACGGCGGCCTCAACGACCAGAACTCCGCCGAAGACAGCGGCGAAGCAAACCTCGACCTGCAATACCTGCTGGGAGTCAGCGCCCCCCTTCCCGTCACCGAATTCACCACCGGCGGCCGCGGCAAACTCATCCCAGACCACAGCTCGCCCGACCCGGCCGAGAACGACAACGAGCCCTTCCTCGACTTCCTCGAGGGCATCCTCAAGCTCGACCAGAAGAAGCTGCCCCAGGTCGTCTCCCACAGCTACGGCGAGAACGAGCAGACCGTGCCAGAGACGTACGCCCGCACCGTCTGCAATCTATACGCACAGCTCGGATCGCGCGGCGTCTCTGTGATCTTCTCCTCCGGCGACTCGGGCGTCGGCTCAGCATGCGCTACAAACGACGGACGCAACAAGACTCACTTCCAGCCTCAGTTCCCCGCCTCCTGCCCCTGGGTGACCTCCGTGGGTGGTGTTAACGGCTCCCTCCCCGAGCAGGGCATCTACTTCTCCTCGGGTGGGTTCTCCGACTTCTGGACCCGCCCCAAGTACCAGGATGCTGCTGTGGGCGCGTACCTCTCGCAGTTGGGGGATAAGCAGGCGCAGTACTTCAACCGGAGCGGGCGTGCGTTCCCTGATGTCGCGGCGCAGGCGGAGAACTTTGCCGTCGTTGACCGGGGCCGTGTGGGTATGTTCGATGGCACGAGTGCGTCGACGCCGGTGTTTAGTGGGATTGTGGGATTGTTGAACGACGTGCGTCTTGCGGCTGGACTGCCAGTGCTGGGATTCCTGAACCCGTGGCTGTATCAGGATGGGGTCAAGGGGTTTAATGATATTGTTGATGGTGGGAGTACCGGCTGTGATGGCAATGATCGGTTTGGAGGCCCTGATAATGGAAGTCCGGTCATTCCTTATGCCAGTTGGAATGCGACCAAGGGCTGGGATCCTGTTACGGGGTTGGGCACGCCGGATTTCGCCAAGTTGAAGACTCTGGTGCTGAAGGCTTGATCGTTCGCTTCGCTACTTTCATAGACTGATAGAGTCGTAATATTTCATTCTATATATGCAAACCATAATCGTCTATATGTACCACGTATGTACCATGTCAATTTATATAAAGAAAACCAACCACCAGCAACAGCCACAAATAACCAACCCCAAGCGCAGTTGAGGAACTGGTCTCCCCCGGCTGCGGCGGCGCAATATAATACGGCAGCTTGGGATCCTCAACCGGCCCATCATCCAGTCCTTTCCCCTCATTGCCTTCACCCGTCCCATTCCCGTCCTGAACAGCCGCAACCGCCGTGACAGCCATCTTGTTCGGCCTCGCCAGCATCCCCTCCTCCTCCGCCGTCTTAATCGCATCCCACCACACCGCCGCCATCTCCTTATACCCCTCGTCATCCGGATGCGTGCCATCAACCAGCTTATTCGAGGAGACAAAGTAGCTCATCTCAGCGAGGATGACACGGTCGCCCTGCGCGCGCCGCCGCGCCGCGACGCTGCGGTATTCCCCGCTCAGGCGCTCGACGACCCGCTGGATTTGTGTATTCGGGATGAGCGTGGAGAGGATGATGGTCGTGTTGGGGATCCGGGCGAGGAGGTCGTCGATGAGGGTGTCGATGCGCTCGCCTGCGCCGGTGATGTGCACGTTTTGGATTCCGTCGTTTGTGCCGACACTAGTTACATAATAATTAGCCTTCATCATGTTAAAGAAAGAAAGAAAGAAAGAAGGGGAGGCGTACTTGATTAAGATCACATTCGGCTGTAGAGGAGCGGAATCGACCGCTGCGTTGGCGACCTGGTCGATTGTTTTGCCAAAGTGGCCTTCGTTTTGCTAAGTCGAGTCAATACCTTGGCTTTCAATCGATATTAAAACGATGAAAACGTACATTATCCTTCATCGTCCCGTTCGCCAGACTCCCGACCATGTCGACCTCCCACCCCGCGAACCGCAGCTGCTCGCGCAGGAACTTGCGGTACCCATTGCCGTCGCTGGACTGGTATCCGACAGTGATTGAAGCGCCGAGTGGCAGGATGCGCAGGAGGAAGGGCTTGGATGCGCGGGGGGTATTTGCAGGGCTCGAGTGCGGGGAGCAGAGGACGGTGGTGAGGAATGTGAGGAGGGTAAGGATTGTCGATGTCGACGGGGATAGCGGTCGTCGGATTCGCATGCCTAGTGATGGTTAGTATGGGCGGGATTGGGCGGGAATAGGGGGTTGAAGGTATATATTGTCGGTATATTTTGTCTGCAATTGCGTCGTCAATAGTGCGTGCTTCGTTAAATAGCTGATGCTGATGCTGGATAGAATATTGAATGAATACTGATACTGAACTGAATCGATGATGATTTGTTTATGTCTTGGCGCTGCTGCTGGGGAAACTAGCGGGGCCCTGTGATTGGCTGGCATACTGTAGAAGTATATACCACATATATTATACTGCCCTCGAGTTGGTAACCGGCTACTTTCTAGTTATATATAGGAATTAATATAACTGTAATAATTTACATATATTATAGATAGTATGATAATAGACTTATATGAACACTGATAAAGTAACAAGACTAGCGCCCACTGTAGAGGCACTTCACCATGGCATCCGTCTCGTCAACCGTATCGCAATGAATATACTGCAATGGAGTCGTCCAAAAGCGATCTGCCTTGGAAACATCACATCCAGCTGCGACAAGGGGTGCAGCTGTGTCTTTGCCGCAAATGCATGCCCAAGACAGCGCTGTGCGGCCCATGCAATCAACCATATCGACATTCACCCCGAGGTCAATGAATATCTGGACAAGCTCCGGCGATCCCCCTTCTGCTGCATGAGAGAGTACTGAGCGCCCTGCACTATCTATATAGTGTGCATTGGCCCCGGCACGAAGTAGCAGCTGTGCTGATTCTACGTAGCCGGCAGATGTTTGTGGGCCATGGAGTTTCAAAAAATCACAAATCAGGTCGTCAAAGTAAGTCTGTCTATGGTTGTATGACCCCATGGCAAAGGTCAAAGGCGTCATCTGGTAGGTGTCAATCAAGTTGGGCTGCGCGCCAGCATCGAGGAGGATTTCGATGGTGGCCGGATTTGTACGTGCGGCCGCGTAGAACAGCGCAGTCCGGCCGAATGTATCGACGCCGTTAACGTCTGCACCGTGGGCGATCAAACAGCGTACAACGTCTGCATGGTTATGAAACGCAGCCCAGGAGAGAAGGGGGAGCTTGTGCAGTGTATCTTTGGTGTTGGGGTCGACATTGGCAGCCAGCAACATCTGCATTATCTCGGACAACCCTCGGATCGAAACAGCAACTGCAAAGGGCTGCATTTGGCGACCCTGGGGAAATTCAAGTCTATCACTAAAGTCAACATCTGCAGTGATATCGGCACCGGCATTGATCATGAGCTTCAACGCCTCCACTTTACCTCTGCTGACGGCATCGGACAACATGGAGCTGTCCAAATTGCTGTCTTGAAGTAAGAGCTCCACGCCCTCGAGGAAGTTGTAATGCACGGCGCTTTTGATAATACACCTTGGGTCAAAGTCCCGCTGTTGGACATGATGAAGGAGGAATTTGAATGCTGCCAGGTTGTGAGTCGATACGGCGTGTCTTAAGAGAGCCTGGCTGTTAGACACAATGATCGATGTTGGAGCATGCCCGGAGAGAATCAGAGCCATGAGGACGTTGGGGCTAAGATATGCACCTCGTTGTACATTGTCCACAAAGGCTCCAGCCTCCGACGAAGGTACCCGAGCGATAATCTTGAGGAGAATCTGATCAGACCGTCTGTTAGCAATCTCCAGGGTCGACTTTTTTGCTATTTTGCGGTTAATAACGGTAATGCTGGAAGTATGCGGAAGCAGGAAGTCAATGGCTCCCTCTCGATTGTACTCGACTGCTTTTGTCAAGGCCACATTGACGTTATATTCGGTGTCTTGTCCAGCTTCATACAAGGGCAACAGTCTTTCCAGCTCAGATACATCTCCAAGCGCAGCAGCGGCAACCAGCAGTAAATCAGGTCTGTCATATCCGAAGTGCTGGACCCAAGCGTCGTAGAAAGTACGCACTTGGAGGTTCATATCCAAGGCACGCTCAAGGTAGTTTATCATCTGCCCATGCCTGGCAAAGGTTGTAGTCAAGGACGCACCCTTCTGCACGAGGACCTTGCAAATCTCCTCCGAATTCTCTTCCAGTGCAATGTATAGAGGAGTCGCGCCAACTACATTTCTAACATCAATATTTGCATGAAACTCATCTAACAGCAACTGCACGACATCTTTGCTTTTGACCTCACATGCCACATGTAAAGCCGTGTAGTCATAGTCCCTGCATGGGGCATTCACACCGGAGCCCGCCTTAAGCAAGAACCGGATCAAGTCTAACAACTCGGGACAGGGGCTGTGTTTCAATCTCTCAATGGCAAGTGACAGTGGACTGCTGGCGCCCCATGAGTTGCGGCACTCGACTTCCACGCCCTTTTCAACCAAGTACATAACCAGAGATAATGGGGACAGATCGCATTGCTTGCGTATGTCGAATCTTCCCCAGCATAGAATATGAAGTAAGTTGTCACCATCACCTGTTTGATGTATGTCTAGGCCGTTCTCGATCAATCGATCAGCCATGGCTCGGTTCCATGGCTTGCGGCCGAATAGTAGACGCAGCGCGTCGTAGAGGTTGAGTCTTGTAAGATCAAAACCAGCAGCTAGAAACACCTCCAAAGCCTCTGTCGAGTCTGAAATTACTGCATAATCCACTGGAGTATACCAAGTGATAGCTGAGAACCTGCCATCGGGTCTGTTAAGTTCTGGCGGATTGGGCGAGACAGTTTCGAGCACGCCACGCACGGCGTCCAGGTCCCCAGCGCGACAGGCAGATATAAGACAATTATATCCTTTCAGGGCAGTCTGATCAACAACTACTATATCAAACTTGTCGCGCAATTCGCGCTGAGTGAAAAGACGCGGCCGGTCCTGCCGGATCCCATCCCATAATACCACAGTGTCCGCCGCTAGTCTGGCTTTCTCCTTTGTTGTCTGGCCTGCGATGTTTCGAAGACTTTTGCATGTGGCGGCAAAGGCCTTGAGGGACTTTCCGGCGAGATATTCTGCGATGTGTATGCGAAGTTCTGTGGGTATACCGATCAGGCTGGTTTCGGGATACATGGTGATTCGTGATTCAGTGTGTGAACAATAGATTGAAATTATATGGCACTGGTCAACGGTAGATACTTTATAATTTTACTAAAGGGGGTGTGGTTCTTTTATACTGCGCATGCTTTGTACGCCTTTCAATGTATTCGAGGATTCGTTCTCGAACTGGAATGCGGCACCTTTCAACTCAGACAATGAGTCCATTGACCTCGGGTCAAAGAAACATACTCCCTTTCCTAGGTACTCTGTTTCAATATAACACTTTTGTTCATGAGTAGCAAGGCAGTCGTGTGTAGCCTGTATGCTAGAAAACTAGCTGTACGTCATCTTGAATTAGGCATAACCAACGCCCCAGTTAATTCAGTATTGAAATACCCCTGCCGTCACAAGATTGCTTATGCTTCATTATCAGTAGCTAATTAAGAGGCCACCCTGAGTAAACAGCGATTATCATGACCTCATATACATATACCTGGTTGTATCCCGACGGGGTTCACATGTTGTGAAGCTGACAGTCAAGAGATGAAGCCCTAGATATCGACCCCGTCTGGCTTACTGTATAGAAATGCAGTGAATGCAGGTATCACCAATATTGTCAGTCTTAAACCCCCGCAATTTAAGCTATGATTATTTGTGGAGCACTGATACTGGGCATGAATATCTGATCTTGTTAATCCACTATACTTCATGGCGCTGCCAGGTCCCCGAACAGACCGGTTATAAGAAAGCTGAATTATTCTCTAAATCTACCCACTCAATCCACTTCCAATGCCATACTCAATATAGTCGTTGCAGGCACGATGAAGTTCTCCCCGGTGCTGTGGGGCTGGGTTCTATCCAGCGTTGCTCAATATGCAGCAGCCGCAGCCATCACAACCGAACATGGCAAACCAAACACCACCACCATCCATGAGCGTGGCCATAACCAGAACGTCGATACCTTCAGGGTCGTTTCTACCAGTCTTTCCACTAGCACACTCCCCCCCGGTGCTCGGACTGCCACCGAGACTTGTATCACTTACACCTCGGCGATCACACACACAATCATTCGAAGTACGAGTGATGGCACCGTCATCGCAACTACTATCAATGGGCAGCTCCCGGGAACTGCAACTGGCATCGCAACTACCAACGTACCCGGATCTGGCACTGGCGGTGCAGGTAGCACTGGCACCAATCCCGGTGCTGCAGATGGACCTTCCAGTGGTTCTAAATCAAGCCACAGTCAAGGAGGCAACAATCCGGACAGCCCTGACCCTGGTACTACGGGTAGTGAACCTGGCAAGACCACCATAGCTGGAGCAGCCCCCTTTGACATCGTCACAACCTCAACAGACAAGCAAGGCAATGTTATTCCTATAACCTTCCCCGCAGGGTCTGTCCCGACGACAACCGATGCCCAGGGCCATGTCGTTCCTGATCCGGCAGCTGTTCAAACCTTCACCACAACCACCGATTCCCAAGGGAATGTCATTGGGGCTATTCCAGGAGGTGGTCCCGATGCGCAGGATCCGCTTACAACTATAGACACACCTGGTGGAGCAGGAACAATCACGACCACTACCCAAGGGGTTCATACAGCTGAGACGTTCCCTGGCGGCGGCATCGCCAATCCGACTGCAGGTACTACACAGGGCAATCAAGGAACTATCCCTGGTGGCATCAGTCCGGACCCGGCTACAACAAGGGCTCCTCTTCCTGAAGGTCTCAATCCCACGGTAACTGCCATTTCATTCACCATGTCCTCCCTTTCATCGGAGTTTAGAGATCTGCTTCCATTGTTCACCTCGTGGGAACTGGATCCACAGCCACCACTCGAGACGAAAATCATTAAGAGGATCAAGAAGATTGAGGTCGATATCGAGGACTTTGCCAAAAATTTCAGCAAGAAGATACTCCCCGGGTGTCCTTCTAAGAGGAAACGGGGGCTATTCGACGGTCTGTTCAATATAGTTGCCAATGTGGCTGCCAATGTCATCGACGTAGTTATTGATGCGTTGAACTGCATTACGCTCAGCCTGAAGAAGCTGGAGGACAATGTTACAAAGAAGAAATTCAAACTGGTCAAGGATATCCTTACGGAGTTGATCAAGATTGACGATCCAAAGGACGATCCAACTAAGCCAGAGTCCACCAAGACTACAACATCCAGCTCCTCCTGCACTTCTGATCAAACGGCCCACCATGTCACTATCCGCTGCAAAACAACCTCGAGTGTTGTTGGCAAGTCCACGGTCACAACCACCACCTGCTCGCCATCAACCACCATCACAACAACAGGATGCACCGTCACAGACACCACCACAACCGTCACCGAGACCGCCACCCCATCGCCAATTATCTGCGAGCGAGGTTCATGTCCCGGTGACGTATGCGACAACGACAATGCAGTAAGTGGTACGCCCGGCTGGCTAACTGTCGAGCCGCTGAACTGTCAAGATATCCCAACCGAAACGGCCAAACCAGCAGCAACCAAGAGGAATGCCCTGGATGAGCGTGATGACCCAACGACGACATCAACGGCTACTGCCACTACAGGTACTACGAAACCCCTCCCCAGCATTCCCGCCGGTGATATAAACCAATATCTGAGCTTCATGGGAGGCCAGCTAAACGCAAAACGACTATGGCTGAACCACCAGGCCGGCCATGCAACAGGCAAATGGTATCCCTTCGAGCAGACAAGGATGGTCTCCGGCGTAAAGGGACTCTGGGGGTGCACGTCTGTGGTGATTGTATCCCGAAAAGGCTACTACCTGTCGCATATGTATGAGGGACCGGTCTTCATAGAGCGAGATGAAAAAACTAAAAAGATTGTTTTGTCTCCGGAGGCCTTCTTTGAGAGGTGGACCATCAACGCCCTCATGAACGGTGACTCTGAGTCTAAGCAGCTGGACCCGATCAAGGACTTGATTGGGACTGATGAGAACCCCGGGCCGCTGCATTACACCCTGTCGCCTGAGATCTTCATCATGTCGCCGTATGCAAGAGGTACTTCGGGGCCTTTGAGATATATCAAGCGGATTGACTGGCTGGCAGACCAGATTCACAGCCATTTATACCCGCAGCCCAAGGCTGATGTGTATGGTCAGGAGCCTGTGCTGGTAGGGTATGAAGTAACAAGCTTGGAGGTAGCGGGTAACCCAACTGCCCCTCCGGGCAAGATCATTGCGGAAGCCTCATTGCTAGACCATTGGGTCCAGGAAGGGGATAAAATGGTAGCGTCTGGCCGCTGGCGGATGTGGGTTGGTGGAAAAGAGACTGGCAATATGGAGTTTTTGGTCCGCGACCCTCACCCTGATACTGCTATGGGTGGTACCGATGCACGCGTGAAGATACGGGACAATGGCCAGAAAGCTGCAGTATGCCCTACTCCAAGCGTCACAGCAAGCCATAGCTCTACGACAACCAGCAAGACCTCGACATCAACAACAAAAGGCCCTACAACATTAACCACCAAGACAAAGACAAGCTCCACTTCAACCTCTACGACAACAAGAGATAAAGATACCCCCACGAATGGCCCATCCTTGATCACACCTTCAGGGTGCAGAGACGACCACATCTACCGGCCAACAGTAACCGCAGATCCAGAATTCGCCAAAAAGGTGGCCAAGATGTGCTCTGACAAAGTTCCGGCCGATGCCACCAACGCCGATGGCGACTACAGCTCTGCGTACTCATGGTATGTAGGCAAAGACGACGAGGGACTCTCCTATATGGCAGACATCTGGTGGGACCCTCCCAAGCAGTGTGGGATGATGCAGACCCTCCTGAAGCCAATGGAGGGCTGGAACTGCGAGAAGATCATGCGGGAGAACTTCAACAGAGCGTGTGAGAAGGGGCTCCAGGCAGATGAGATTGGCCGTGGCCGGGGTGGGTTTATCAAGATTGGCTGTGTCTATTATCAGTCGTATCTTTCGAAGAGGACTGGGGTCTTTCGACCAAGCTGGCCAGACAGGAACATGAGCCCTGAGGTCTGGAAAATTAACTCTTAGTGGCTTCGTGTTTTACTCTGTTTGCTGTTCTAATCTAGTTCTGTCCGAGGTGCAATGTATACTTCAAGTACAGAGTAAGCACAGGTTGGTTCAAGATAATACAATTAAATACATGATATCAATCTAACAAGCCATCAAGACATAGGAACTCAAACAGAATCAACAGCTGGATGACCGGAATACAAGGCTGCAATCACGGCATCATTCTCTGCCAGCTGCAACGGCGTCCTCCCCAGACTGTCAATGGCAGACAGACTGCAGCCAGCACTCAACAGCACCGAAACCATAGACGCATCCTGATTTTCGGCAGCAATATGTAGCAGGGTCCTATCTTTACACCGATGGATGCTCGTACTTGCTCCATGCTTGATAAGAAGCCGCGCAATGTCAGTATCGCCATTTTCTACAGCCCAGGAGAGCGGTGTTTCTCCCTGACTATCGACCACGTCCACAGTTGCCCCAGCTTGCAGCAATATTTCGACAACGAGACGCTCGCCCCGCATCGCAGCGATACTGAGCGCAGTTCGACTTGCCCTATTAGCCTGGTTCACAGCTGCACCGTTCTTGATTAGGACCCGAGCCGTCTCGTCTCTGCCATACGATGCAGCGCAAAACAGGGGGGTATTCCATCTATGTGGGCCGTGCGAGTTTATATTAATACCATGCCTCAAAAGAGCCTTCAGGATTTCCTTGTTTGGGCGCTTAGCCGCTGAACGCAGAAGATTGTTAGTGACCTTCACTCGTGCTTCTAGCAGTTGATAGACTGCAGGCGCGTTGCATTTAGACACAGCATTGTCAATGGCTGATTTACCGACACGATTTATAGCATTCAAGCTGGCCTGCCTGCGTATCAATTCTCGCACAACGTCGGCATTGCCGGTATCAGGGTCATCATCATCACAAGCACGGATCAATGCTGTGTCGCCATCAGACGATTTGGCCTCCAGCTCAACGCCTTGCCCAATCAACCTCAGGGCAATATCGCTATAGCCGTGGTCGATTGCACACATCAGCGGAGTGTGGCTTTCGAAGGTAGTATTCAGCGTTAGACCGTTGTCGATAAGCAAGTGGGCGATTTCCCGACGCGAATGATCAATTGCCCCGAATAGCAAAGGATACCGGTCTTCGACTTTCAGGTCCAATTTCTTCATGTAGTTTATCAGAGCTTCCGCGGTGCCCCAGTTGTCAGCGCTGATTGCGTAAAGAAACGCATCGGCAAGAGCCCCTGTAATCTGCTCCTTCAATGGCCTGCTCGCCATGAACTTCTCAACGAGGAGGGAGAAAATCGCCGCAGTTTGGGTTCCAGCTGCCTCAGTTAGCGGCGTGGTATCGTCCCTGGTTTCCGGGGCGTTGTCAAGGTGGATGTATGGGAGGAGACGGCGGATTATGTCTTCGGCACTCGGTCCACGCTGGATTGCAGCGTGGATGGCACTCAATCCCCGAAGGTCCTTGTAATTAAAGTTGGAGAATCTGACTTCATCAAGAAGGAATATAACCACATCTACCTTTCCTGCTGCACACGCCACCATCAGTGCTGTTATTCCGTATTTGCTCGAATCAACGTCGACAAAGCCGCTGGAGATCAGGGTCTGCATAGTGGTTGTATCTCCAGCAGCGGCAGCTCCTTTGAAGATGAGATCATAGCAGTTCATCCTTGCCAGCTGGTCTAGACATTGGTGGTAGATGATGTCAATATAACCCTCCCAGCTTTGCTCCAGGGCCTTCAACATGAATGTCTTGAACGAGCGGACATCCGTGTCTAAATTGAGACCCGCATCCAGCAGGGCAGCCAGGATTACGGGCGTCTGCTCTTTTCTCTGGGATAGGGCATGAAGCGCAGTCTGGCCGGTGGGAGGGTGTTGGCGGTTTGGATTTGCCCCGTTGGACAATAACAGCTGGACCATTTCCTTTGTTCCCTCCTTGCAGGCTATATGCAGAGGGTGATAATCTCCGTCGCATGGAGAGTTGGAAATCTGCTTGTCGTGCTTCAGTAGAAGGTCGAGAATCTCAACATCCACGCTCGAGCTCTGCTCAGTGCCGTAGAACAAATACGCCACTGGGGTTTGTCGAGTAGAGTTAAGATGGTGATAGCTGATACCATGATCCAACAGCACTTTGACACATTCCGGCGTCCATTTACCATCGTTGCAGGCTTTGTGAAGCAGGTTTTCTTGTTTCTCAGATAGTATCCCCAGGTCCAGGCCGTGCATCAGGTCTCCCACAATATCCCTGGGGGCAAGGCGAATGATATCTGCGGTGCATTTAAAGTCGTATCTTCTTAGACTTACACCAGTAGCTAGTAGCATCCGGATGATATCAATATGCCCATGCTGAATGGCGGCAAAAAGGGGTGTGCCGATACAGTTTCTCACCATGTCGTCGCTTGGGTCTGATGGTATTCCCGCATCGAGTAGGATACGCACGGCCTGTTCAGAGCCTAATAGACACGCATATATAAGGGCTTCTGTCTGCCGTTCTGGGCTGCGTTGTATGGCCTTGATGCTTCCCTTGAGAATACGAAGCATTAGCTGTTCTCCATCTGCGGTCTCCGAGATGGCGTATTTCAGTTCGGACATTGAATCAATATCTGCAGCTTTCAGAGCCTTCATCGAGACTGTATTATTATATTCAAGCTTATAGAGCTCCTCAGAGACAAGGTCGTTTGCTTTTTTTGACACTCTGGTGAACGCTGCTCGAGCTGGAAGGCTCAGGTTCTTGAAGATGGAGAGAATCATCTCGTTGGGGAGGTCCAATATATTCCTAGCCATGATAGCGGTAGTTAGCTGTATAGTATGAGTTCTTCAGAGCAATAGATATAAACTGCCTTGACAGATCTTGAGCTGTAGAGGGTATCGGGCATCAAAATAATTTCAGGGTGCACTGGAATAGACCAGATAAAAAGGCATAATTTAAATATTTTGTGGATATCAAATGCATTGTCTGGTTTGATTCACTCATTCTTCATTATCAGTACAATACAGCTTGCAACTGGTCCTTTATACCGTGCTTTATTGCGAATGCAGCCAATTGTGGTTGTCTTGATGCTCCCATGACAAACAACCATGAAGTGTCTAGGCCAGCACAATACAGTTAATGGAAGGCTAGTAAATCTTTATTCTGTGGGACTGAGTAGCTTGGCTAGTAGAACTATAGGATCATATCCACTGTTGTCACTGTTATCTTCACTGTTCTGATTATTTAGTTCACATAGATCTGACTTTACAGTAGATATTCACATTCGAGTCTTGGCTTCAAGCTGAATTCACGTTAAACTACAGTCCTTATTGAAGTATAGTCTACCGTCTTCCTATGAGGATGAATACAGTTTCAAATGTTTTTAATATTTTATTTCGTCTTAGTATATCCTCACTAGCACCCTGGTATATACCCCAAATAGATTCAGCACCCAAACACACGCATACAGAGGCAAGTTAGAAAGGTAAGGAGATAAACCGATCAGCTAGAGCTTCTCTCCAGGCGGTCATGAATTATGTCTGTGATAACCGTGAACGTAGGAGAAGACTGACTACACAACTGCAGCGCAGTATTCCCCTGCATATCCTGATGCGAAACATCACAACCGGCATCAACAAGCAGCTTAACGATCTCAACCGACCCATTCTCACAGGCATAATGCAACGTAGTCTTGCCAAAGACACTCCCAAAGTCCACCTCCGCCCCACGGCTAATCAGCAACCTCACCACAGATGTCTTGGACTCGTTAACAGCATGGATAAGCGGCGTGCGCCGCAATTTATCACGGTCATTCACATCCGCCCCATGGTCAATCAGAGTCTCAACAGCGGAATGCTGCCCCTTCTGGCTGGCCAGTATAATCGGAGACGTCCCACTCGTCTCAGCCCGTGTCCCGTGGACGCTACACCCAGCCATCAGTAGCAGATTAATGATCCGCGTGTTTCCTCCCTTGACGGCATGATGGAGAGCGGTTAGTCCCTTTGAGTCCTGGGCATGGATGTCGGCGCCGCGCGCTAATAGACGACCGGTTACCAATGCAGAGGACCTGTAGTCTTGCCCGGCTACTGCCTCCATGAGCGCAGAGACACCTGCCACGGTGCTGTTTGGATCGACGCCGCCATCGAGGAGAGTCGAGACGGACTGTACATGGCCGTTGGCGCAGGCACATAGCAGGGCCTGTACTCCTAGGAGAGGGTTTGTTCTGCTATGCCCGAGGAGATCTGGTAGCAGATTCTGCATCAATAGGCCCTGGTCTGGGGAGTTGGCGGCACATTTGAAAATCCATAGTTTCTCAGCGGGGCGTAATTCCTCGATGACTGATTGGGGAAGTTTCTCAATGGCTATACTTGAGTTTATAAATATATTGAGACTCTGGGGTGACAGGTGGCTGCATATCTCGTTTACCAGTTCCACCGGGAGCTCGAATATATCAGACATGTTGCAGGTCAACGTATACCGGGGAATTGGTGAAGATGCTGAAGACGTGAAGAATACACAAGGCCCAATATCATGGGGATTTGAGGTGCTATTTGTGTATCATATTACCAATCTCGCTGCATTGTTGTTTGTTCCCATCATGCATTGTGCGAACATAAATAACCAAATAACCCAAAACAGGATATATCACAAGATAGGTTCTTTGTACTAACCAACTGATAAACACTGGCCCAAACTTCTCAACTCGAATATTGGTAGTGGACATACCTCTTTGTACATTCGATGAGGGCCGAGCATAAAGGAGCATTGTAGGAGTGACCAAGACCATGACGCAGCCAATGATCGAAAGCGCATGTTGAAGTCTGAATAAAGTATTCAGATGATCTTCCATTATCTTAACAGAGTGGGTTATGTCCTGGAACTGAAATTGGTTGGGATTCTCGGCGATATCAACAAGTTCACCGAGTTCAGGTTGAGATTCGGTGCCGAGAGAAAGACACCGAGGAGCGAAACGTCCTAAAATAGGAAAAGGATAATTTGGATTATCTGCCTAGACGGTCTATAATCTCATTTTGTGAGTACGGCTGGGCTAGAATGGATATTCTAGCCGATTGTCGCCAGAGGCCTATCCAGCTAAGGTTGGATCGCTCGGTCAAAAACCATTTTAAATTGATAGCACATCAAGCCGATTTAGATGTCACTGTCATATATACAGCGTGCCAGCCCCTTTCTGCTCATCGAACACAGTCTCTGGTTTCATGCCAACAATCTTCTCGTATATCTCAGGATCCGTGGCACCCTCGAGTCCGAACAACAATACCTGGCTATCGGCTGTCAGTCCCAGCTTCTCTCGTAGTAAACCGTCATGGCCAGCCCTCAGCAGGATTCCCATACTTGCAGCAGATGATTCACCGCAGACAACAGGCACATCGCCCCCGCTGCCCCTCGCCAGCGCGCTCATACCATCGACCGCAAACGAATCAGGCACGGAGATGAAATCACTCGCCAGCCAAGAGAGGATCTTCCATGCCGCCGGCGATGGCGTCCGACAGGCAAGGCCTGCCATCAGTGTCTGGAGACTACCCTGGGATTCGCGCGGTACTCCTCGTATAGCACTCTGCAGCAGACAATCTGCCTCTATGGGCTCAACCACGACGAACCGTGGCATGTCTTTATTACCCCCCTGCACCTCCCACCAAAGCATAGCAATCCCCAGAAAAACAGCCGCTGCAATACTCCCCACACCCCCACAGACAAAAGCATGCGTGATGCTCCTCAGCGATGACTCCAGAGCGGACAGCACCTCGTCCACCACGACCATGTACGCATTCATCACATCGCGCGGGATCGTACTGTCAAAATCATCCCAGGACGTGCTGCTCACAAAGTACCAGCCATTCAGGCCTGCATCTTCTTTAGCCCTTTGAACCGATTGCTCGTACTCCCCATTAATGCGGATAACAATGGCGCCTAGCTCCTTCATCCTGCGCGCACGACCGGTGCTCACATGCGCGTGGATATAGTCCACACACCGACAACCGAATATCTGTGCTCCGTACGCAAGGCCCCTGCCCTGGTTCCCATCCGTAGCTACACAGACAGTCACTTGTTCCGTGATGTGCCGATACGTTCCAGATCGTAGCTCAGTAGAGGACGGACGCACTGCGCCTCCAGTCTGTTTATATACTTCTTCTGCCAGGATCCTGTAGACGGCGTACGGGGCACCGAGCATTTTGAACGATGCAAGCGAAGGGCCGAATCGTCTGCTCTCATCTTTGAGAAGTAGTTTCCCGATTCCAATCTGGGAGGCGAGATTGGGGAGGGAGTGAAGCGGCTGTGGGGAATATTCGGGCCATGTGTGGACTTCATCGATGGCGGGTTCCCAGTGTGTTAGGTTTTGGACAGATACTGCAGCACTTTGTTCGGCTTGTTTGCTGAAACGGGCTGTATTTGAGTGGTGTGTATAGTCCATGGGTCGCTAGCGATAGTGGGATTTGTGTGCAGGGCAGGGCAGTAGTCGTGTTGCGAGTAGACTACAAGGAGTGGTAATGGCGCTATTTATACCTATAATCCCGTACCATCTTCGATTTTAAGTGATATGGTCATTGAAGTACGCAAAGCTCTAACGGTAGTCCTCGGTGACATCCCACCGAGCAGTCCTGCCACGTTCGGTGTACCGACGCCATCACCGAGCGTCCACATTACGGGCCTATATGAATCGTACGGTCAAAAGCTCTTATATTGCTACAATAGTAGTTGAACGAAAGTTAATTGCCTCAGGTATAGGTCGTCGAAATATCAAGAATTACTTTATTAACTGCAATGGTCAATTCTATAAATTTACAGACTATAATATATATTGAGAATTATAGCCAGAGCTGCATATTATGCTTTAACTCTAGCAATCTCCGCCTCTAGACACTCAACAATGTCCCTGTTATAGGCTGCTCGAGCATGGTCCAGTGCAGTCAGGCCATAAACGTCTACAGCCTTTATATCTGCAGCAGCAGCAATCAAGACACGCACCGTCTCAATATGACCTGCCCGGGCTGCAAACGAAAGAGCCGTGCGTTTAAGACTATCCACGCAATCCACAAGGCGAATATCCCATTCAATGAGGGCTGTAACCACCTCTGTCTTTCCGTTCACTGCGGCGAACTGTAAACTTCTAGTAGTATCTGCGGGCTCCAGTAGCCAAGGCCATTCGTCCTCTGAGCTTAGTATGCAATGATCCAATACGCCCCTCCCCAGTAGCAGTTTCACAATTTCTGCGTGATTATTCAAAATGGCTTTCTCGAGAGCTTTTCGTAGACCGAGACGAGTACTCAATCCTCCATCTAATAGCGCCTTGACATGTGTGGTATTGCCTTGTTGACAGGCGTTTACCAACTCGTCAACAGCCATGCTTAGGTCGTTGTAAGACCTGGATGAAGTCATTGCAACCGCGGTCCCTGGGAACTTCACTATGATCTGCAGAGTAGATAGTTGCTAGAAGGTAATGGCATTCTATTCAGACTTGAATATTATAGTTCTCAGCCGTCCTTCCCGTCCTTGACAAGCTGAAAGACCAGTAGATAAAGGCCCATTATATACAGGGCAAAGGCACCAGTAGTACCTACCAATATAGCTGCCTACCTTCACACCTTGCATCCACAAGTGCTTTCGTGCTAATTTCCACTGTTGCTTATTGAATCTAATTCGAAGGCGGACTAGGTGTTCGAACACCTTATTCGCTTTTACGTCTGTAGAATATAAGCCTTATTTTATCAACATCTATAATCCATATTTCTTAGGAGCCACTAGACTGATCATTAGGATTCCCGCAGAAAGTGGAACGGATACTTAGGGGGTCCCATGGTTGTGCAGTAACAAAGGTTATTGTCACTCTATCAGGTTAAGGCTTGTATATTGCAGCAAGCAATATACTTGAACTCGGTCTCACTATTCTTGTCTAAGGTAAAACGGGATCTATAATATAGCATTTCTCTATATATAACTATACCTGAAAAACATCATCCACTCTCACCGTCTGCCCGGTTCTAAGAGACTGATTCGCACTTATGCCCGTGAGAATCGACAACGCCCCGTCCACATGAGACGCAGCTCTCCTAAAGGGATCATCTCCAGAGACTTCATCAAACAGGTCATTCAACAGCTGAGGATCCCCTCCGCCATGGCCTCCACTCCCTTCCGGAATCTCTATATCAACAGGCTTTCCAAACAACGGCCGTAGCACAATCGACCTGCTTTCCAGTGCCCCCTCGAGCGCCTGCTCTCCACCAGAATTGACATACGACTGTTCCACAACCTCGACCTCCAACCGCCCTTTTGTTCCATTTATCATCACTCTGAATCCCTCCCACGGCGCATACGCGGTCAGGCTGTACGTTAACACAGCACCAGAACGGTACCGCACCATCACACCCATAGTATCCTCAATGCTTATCCCGTCGCTGAACACAGACTGGTCACGGTAGTACGCATCCTCCTTCTCAGCGTCCAGATACATGGCCTTTAATTGTGGGTTACGGTCAAGATGCAGCGCAAAGTGATCGTCCTTTGCATTGTCACTCCCATACGCCCGCGAGTAGAACTTCGTCTCCCCGCGCTTCTCTGCATTCTCGCGTCCGTAGAACTTCAAATCGCCCATTGCAACAACCGTCTCAGGCTGTGACTGTAGCCAGAAATTCACCAGGTCGAAGTGGTGGGTTGATTTGTGGACTAGCAATCCGCCGGAGTTTCTCTTGTCTCGATGCCTGCAGTAATATTAGTCTCGTATGTCATTTTTTTTTTTTATTTCCTTTGTTTTCTTTTCACTGATGAGAGTACTCACCATCGTCGAAAGTAGTCAGCCCCATGCTGTGTATTCAGCAGCCACTCGAAATGCACCGAGGTCACCTCGCCAATCGCCCCAGACGACAGCAACTCGTATATCTTCGTGTTATGCGGTGCATAGCGGTAGTTGAACGAGACCGTCACTTTCTTCCCAGTCCGTTCTACAGCAGAAAAGATCTCTCGACACCGCGGGACATCAATCGTCATGGGTTTCTCGGTAATGACATTGCAGCCAAGTTCCAGGGCCCGGACAATGTAGATGTTATGCGTGCGGTCGACGGTGGTGACTATAACATCATCCGGCTTCGTTTCCGCAATCATGCGATCAAAGTCTGAAGCCAGGAATGTTGGAACTGGCGCATGGCCAAGCGCTTCAAGACGGGAGTTCGCATAGTCCAGGCGTGTTTGGTTCGTGTCGCAGAATCCCACCAGCTGAGCGGTTTGGGGGAAGTCTTTGACTATTGCGGTGTAGAAGAAGATGGCCCTACCGCCGGTGCCGATGAGGGCATATTTCTTTACCATTGTGTTCAGCTTGTTCTACCTGTGCAGATTGCCTTTCCTGTGGTTGACTGTCTGGGACTGTTCAGGATATAAGATGAGGGGCAGTTCGGGGTGAAGGAGCCCGAGCTGCTCCAACAAGTGGTAGTTTGTTAGTATCTGCTAAGCTCAAATCAGCAAACGCCCCAAGACTGATGTGGGAATGCCAAATAGCCTGAATGCAGTGCGTTGTCTTGTCGCTGATTTTCCATCAATAGGAGCCTCAGCACGGCGATGATCACACAGCCCCCGCATGCAAAGGATGGAGATGCCATGGGGGAAATGTCAGAGCTTTGTCTTGGTAAATCCTGGAGAAACCAAGCATCCAATCTCTGTCTTTCGCTTGGAATGGGGATATTATCCTTCAAGGGCCAAAAGTCACCGGGATATATATCACCGCGGCCGGGATATATAGGGCTAGACTCCCCAAGTTGGAGAGTCCCACACACTCATCACCAGCAACATGACGACCAAAGAACCACCTTCTAATGACCACGTCGAGTCCGCGGACATCATCGCACCTGTAGTCGATGAACCGCCCAAGACTACCCCCACCGGCGAGAAGGCCGCGCAGTTTCTGGCCGCCGTCGGCGGAGACCGCACATTCACGCCGGAGGAAGAGAAGAAGGTGCTGCGACGGATTGATCTGCGTGTTCTCCCGCTGCTGCTGGGTGCATATTTCTTCCAGCAGCTCGACAAGTCCAGTTTGTCCTACGTTTCTATCTTTGGGCTGGTTGAGGATGCAAATCTCGTCGGTCAGCAGTATTCATGGCTAGGCTCCATCTTGTATATTGCCCAGCTGGTTATGCAGCCAGTCGCAGCATTGGTTCTCGTCAAGCTTCCCACTGGAAAGGTTATCGGCTCAGCAATCTTTCTCTGGGGTTCATCGCTGGCGATCATGGCCGCCTGCACTGACTTCCCCAGCCTCCTGGGGCTGAGGTTTTGTTTAGGCGCGTTCGAGGCAATGATAGGTGAGTTATCGAGTAACATGGCATTGGCAATAAACTAACTTTATAGCCCCCTCCTGCATCGCCGTAACGCAGATGTGGTGGCGGAGAGGAGAGCAGACATGGTAAGCTCCCGCCCTGCCATGCAATTCGGCTAACACGAATAGGCGGGCTGCCCTCTGGAACGCGATGAACGGAGTAACTGCAATCGTAAGACTCTCAATGGCGCATCTGAACCCTACTAACCAGGCAGGTCGGGAGCCTTTTCACATACGGCCTCGGTCACATACAGAGCGACACTTTGTATTCTTACCAGGTACCTCCATTTCCCTATCCAGGCGAAACATAACTTACGAAGCATAGACCATCTTCCTCCTCTGCGGTCTGTTGACCGTTCTCTACTCCGTCCTCGTTCTGATATTCATGCCCGACTCCCCCATGGAAGCCAAGTTCCTCGGTGAGCGCGAAAAGGTCATCGCCGTCGAGCGCCTACGCGCCAACCAAATGGGCATTATATCACGCGAGTGGCGCTGGGACCACGTCTGGGAAACATTACTCGACGTGAAGACCTGGATCTGGTTTATACTCATCATTGCTATCTCGTATGCTGCACTCGCACTCGCCACTTGATAACTACACTCCATACTAACGCATACACGCAGCATCCCCAGCGGCGGAATCAGCACATTCGGCAGCCTTATCATCACATCCTTCGGATATACAAATTTCGATGCAATCCTGTTCAATCTCCCCTTCGGGGCCGTGCAGGTTGTCATTATCCTAGGGGGCGGGTGGCTCGCGACCAAGCTGCGCACGAAAGGGCTGGTGATTGCCGGGATTGCGATGATTGCTGCAGTGGGCACGATTCTCCTTCTTACTGTGTCAAGAGAGCAGAAGGGCGTGCTTCTGTTTGGATACTACCTGGTGGGCTTTTATAATTTTGGTTCTGGAGTTGAGAGGTTAACAATGTCATGTTGCAGGTATCCTGTCTCGCGGGAATCACGCCGCTGGTCTACGCCTGGGAAGCTCAGAATACCGCGGGTGATACGAAGAGGAAGTGCACGTCGGCTGTTGTTTTGATCGGCATGTGCACTGGGAATGTATACTGTAACCCCGGTTGGCATATTTGCTCCTGGTACTGATATGATATTGCAGGTTATCGGCCCTCAACTCTACTCTTTGGACCAGGCACCCGAGTATCGGCCCGGCTTGATTTCAAACCTGATCATGTTTGTCCTTGTTGCTATAATTGCTATGTATGTCTTATATCCTTATTTGCTTTCGCTCTAGGAACTAACGGGGCTAGTATCGCGGACGTATACCTCTACTGGCTCAACAAGCGCCACGCAAAGAAACGAGAAGCACTCGGTAAGACCGCACAGATTGTCGATGAGTCCATGCTTGGAAAGAACAAGATTCAGGCGAGCAAGGCTGCTGAAGTGGAAGATGCTGGGAAGGGGGAGAGCCCTGGGGTGGACAAGGGGTTCTTGGACATGACGGATTTGAAGAATGAGGATTTCATCTACGTATATTAGGCGAGCTGGTATTGGATTACCCGGGCATATATATATTGGGTATAATGGCTACCTGTGAGAACACTGCTATGGGGCCTAGTCCACTCGACTACTAAACCGATGCACACCAGAGCCAACTACAACCCTCTTCTTCCCATCTGTAGGACTGCCAGGAACATTCACAACAGCCTCCGTGTTGGGCGGAACCCTAATAGACAAGCTGAACTTGCCTCCATCAACCCTCCACTTCGTCTCTGCAGATCCATACGGGGTCAAGTAGCTCTCCTCAGCATGCGTCAATCCACCACCAGGCTTGACATCAACATTAAACCTCTTCCACCCGGGCTCAGCAGGACTCAAACCACCGATATTCTCATGCATCCAGCTCCCCACGGACCCAACAGCGTAGTGGTTGAACGAGGTCATTTCGCCAGAATTGACGCTTCCGTTCGCCAGCATACTATCCCACCGCTCCCAGGTCGTTGTCCCATTCATGATCACCTGGAACAACCAGCCCGGTACTTCCTCCTGCAGCAGAGTCTTGTAAAAAACATCCGGGGCCCCGTACTGGGACAGCGCATGGCCGAGGATATGTGTCCCCGCAAACCCAGTCCCGATTTTATACTCATTCTCCGCAATGATATCCGTAAGCCGAGAAATCGCATTGCTGTAGTGCGAAGACTCTGTAAATAAATTGAAATACAGCGGCAGCGTAAGCCCAGTCTGCGTCTCATTCGCCACAGTCCCATTACTCGAGATCCAATTCTGCCCAAACGCAGACGTGAGATTCGCACGTTCCCGCGCATACCTAGCCGCATTGTCCTTCAGCGACAGGGACGAGGACATATTGGCCAGTATCTCCGTGCTGTGAATGAGGTACGCATCTGCGACCAGGAACGCACTCGTCGTCGCATCGCCCGGCTCATCAGGTGGTGCCAGGGGGTCGAGCCAGTCTCCGAACTGGTCGCTCGAGCGATCCCACAGCCCTTCTTCGTTGCGTGGGATGCCCTTGTCGACCCAGTCTTGGGCGCCGGCGTACTGCTCCCTGAGCAGATCCTTGTCTCCGAATGTTTGGAACAGAGCCCAGGGGGCGGCGACGACGACGTCGCCCCAGATTGCGGCTGCCTGGTTCCTCTTCTCGATCACCACTTGTGGGATTACAACTGGGGGGATAACTTCATTTCATTAGAACTGTGTGATAGGTAATGAGGGTTGCGGACTTACAGTCATTCGCCACTTGCTCTGAATATACGTCCTTCAACCACCCACGGAGGAATCCAGCAGTGTTGTATATGAAATTCGCCGTGCGCGAAAAGGCATTGATATCCCCCGTCCAGCCCAGTCTCTCATCACGCTGCGGGCAGTCAGTCGGGATAGAGAGGAAATTGCCACGCATCGACCAGATGATGTTCTCGTGAAGCTTGTTCAGAAGAGGGTTCGAGCAGTTGAAGAACCCAGTCCGCTCCATGTCCGTGTTGACCACGATGGCCGTGACAGAGTCGGCGTTCAGTTCTGTCTCCTCTGGCCAGCCCTCGACCTGGACGAAGCGGAAGCCGTGGAATGTGAAGGAGGGCTCCCATTCCTGTTCTTCACCGGAGAGGGTGATGTTGTCTGTGGCTTTGGCATTTCGTAGAGGCCTGGTGGCCACTTCGCCGTTTTCCATGACTTTCTTCATTAGCATTCCCTAATGTAGTATAATGATGGTTAAGTACCTTCGGTATGGACAAAGGTGACAGTGCTCCCCTTGGGACCCTTAACGCGAACGCGTAGCCATCCAACGAGGTTCTGGCCAAAATCGAGGACCGTCTTGCCCGACGCACTGGAGAAGACGTTCTCTAGCTGTCTCTCTTCAACGCGACGAACAGGCGGTGCATCTGGGGCAGCCAGAACGCTCTTGTCGAAGTCGACTTCATGGGTCCCCAACCATTCCGAAGCATCGAAATCCGGCGAGGACCAACCCGCAATATCTTGAGTCGAGTCGTAGAACTCTCCATCATATATCTGAGACGACACAATAGGCCCAGTTGCCGATTTCCACGTTCCATCCGAGGGTATATAAGTTGTCTCACCATCAGCAGTCTTGATCGCCAGCAATGACAAAACACCAAGGGTATCTCCGTAGACATTTCGCACATAATCCCAGGTCAGCGCACCGGAGTACCAGCCCTCCCCAACGGTAACACCAATCGTATTCTGGCCCTGACTCAGGAGGTCCGTGACATCGTAGGTGTTATACTCGTGACGAAAATTGTACGCCTGCCAGCCAGGTGCAAGGACATGGTCGCCGACACGCTGGCCGTTCAACTGAGCCTCGTACAGGCCCAGAGCGGTGATATACAGTCTTGCCGAAAGAACCTCCTTATCCACGGCGAAGTCCTTGCGGAAGTAGATCGGTCGGTGCGTGCTGTTCACCTCTGTCTCTCTATCCGAGGCAATAGCAACAGCATCCTGCCAGTCGTCCTCGCTCAGTAGACCCGGCTCAACAGCAAAGGGCTCAGACCAGGACGAGTCGGGCTGGTTTTGGCGGCCGAAAGAGCGGACTCGGACGATGGCCTCCTCGCCAGACTTCAAATCGTCCGCTGGCCATGGAACAAGAACGGAGTTCGAGGAGTTTACATGGAATGAGCTTGGTTCGCCTCCTCGGTTAATCTCCAGCTCATAGGCACCCTGGTGCCAGTCGGAGACGTTGCCCTCGAACCGCCACGAGATTCTAGGGCTCGGCTCCCCGATCCCCAGAGCGGAGCGGTGGTGCTCGAAAGAGACTTGCGAGATTGATAGAGCCATGATTGTCTACGAAATTCTGGGGAGTCGCGATGTATCAGGTATAAATAACATTTCGTCACGCAGGGTCCCCGCAACGGCATGAAACGGGGGGCAATGATACCCCGAGATGTTTCGTCACTTGCATGCAGGGGGGTTCGGACGACTAATTGGATGTCTTCTAGGCATTGTCTGGGGTCGGGGAACTGCTTGACAGGCACTGCTGTCCCCGCAATTACACTGTCGATCGTTCATAGTCGGAGCCAGACACCCCGAGCAGCCTAGTCGGGTTTTCCGGGTACGAATACGAAGCTTAGAGTCTGATCATCATGATTTAATAAAACGATTCATGTGTCTGAATAAGTTGTTCGGAATTGAGTCGCTGCATAGATTATCGGTGAGCATGCAGGTAGGGCTAGGCCGCGGGGCAGCGGCAGGACAGGCAGCAGGACAGGCAGCAACGCCCTGTCTAACTAGGCATTTGGTGGATTGACTCCATTTCAGCTCACTTGATCCTGCAGAAAACATTGCTGCGCGTTTTAATTCGCTAGATTGACTGATAAGCTGACATCCCAACAAATTCCCAACCGCGGTCCCTCGACTGTTGAATACGAACGGCTGTCTTACCATATTAACATCCTTAAATTGGATAGCTTCCTGTTATCTTCTCCTCTCCATCTTCGAATCATTAGAATTTTAGCCGGCACAGAATGAACTACAAAGGAAGCTGCCACTGCGGCGCTGCCACGTTCAGCTTCAGCCTGCCCGCTGACATTTACGAGACCGAAGTCCTCAGCTGCAATTGTACGCACTTCTCCTCAATTAAATAGCTCCAATTAACCGTCCTCAGGCTCAATCTGCTCGAAGAATGGCTATCTGATGGTCTACCCCAAAGCCTCGGAGATGACCATCCATCACTCGGAGGATGCCGTTACAGTTCGTCGTCTTTCCCATAATTATAAACACACTAACAGCACCAGGAATACCGCTGGGCATCGAAGCAATACCCGCATTCCTTTTGCTCGAGCTGCGGGACTAGCCTCTATGCTAAGGGCCCCGAGGGGAGTGATCTGAGAGCAGTCAATGTATGAACATTCTATATTCGGTTTGAATAATTTGCTAACCGATATAGGCTCGCACTATTGAAGGGGTAGAGCTTGAGAAGCTGAAGTTGAAGCCCATCGATGGCAGAAGCATATGATTTGCATATGCTCATCGAGTAATACAGAATGGCATGGTGAGAGGAGTTACTGGGGTTGGGGGCTTGAAGGTGTTTGGTGTCTGCCGAAGAGGTATTTAGTAGTATGATAGATATAAAGGCTAGAGTTAGGAAGTGTAGCACGCTGTGTTAGTTTACACAACGCAATTCTCGCATCAGTGTCTTTGGCTACAATGCAATTGCAATCAAATTTGCCCATGATGTCAACTGCGATTTACAATGTATTGCGAGAAGCACTGACAGTCTAGGGTGAAGATCCTTATTTCCAATTAGCCCTCGATTTCCACAACGGTCACCTGCGCTCCCGCAGAGAGGGTGTAGGACTCGTGGAATGAGATGCCACCGTTGTCAGGGTCTGCATTGGGTCAATCAGTTCAATGATGCTATAGGAGAACTATGTGTGCCTGCCTTACAGCTGGGCATCTGGATGCAAGCCACCTTGAGTGGCCCCTTGAGAATCGGGTCTCCTAAAGGCAAATTTTGCATGTTGATAGCGGCGAGAGTGACTAGTTAGTTGAGTAATACAGCAGGCTTTATCAGGACCGATGTTACACTTTATAATTCAGTTAATAATTCAATGTGCTTATGTGGAATTCAGACTCCTGTAGGCACTTCCGGATCGGGTGCGCGAGAGCGAGGGATCGTTCTGGATGGAAACACTGCGCTGAGTGGTCTACGCTATAAAGATGAGGTACCTTCACGTATGTCTGACTCACCGTTCAACGCATACTTGCCCTTTCAATATGTCTGTCAATCGTCAAGTTGTCAACAGCGCCCAGGCGCCTCCCCCACGCCCCTTCTACAACCAAGCAGTCATTGCCAATGGCTTCGTCTTTTGCTCTGGTCAGCTCCCAAAAGACTCCACGGGGAAGATAGTCGAGGGCACCGTCCAGGATCGCGCTGTATGTATTTAATAATCTCACCAGTTGTACCGAAGACTTTGCTGACGCTGTACAACAGCACCAATGCATTCGGAACTTGAAAGCCGTCCTCGAGTCTGCAGGATCTGGTCTTGCAAAAATGGTCGAAGTAAATGTCTTCCTGGCCGATATGGAGGACTTTGAGAAGATGAATGAGGTTTATCTGCAGTGGTTTGGCGAGATTAAGCCTGTTAGAACGTACGTACCCTCTGCGCGTGTACAGGATTGCAGACTGATTGTTCCAGTTGCGTTGCTGTCAAGTCCATCCCGGAATATACTGATGTCGAGATGAAGTGCGTGGCGCTCTTGTAGTTGGCGATTCTCGGGATATACATACACAGATAAATAATATAGCCTGAAGTTTTCCTGTCCAATACAACAACCTAAGAATCTGCATACAGCTTATATATAGCTTCAACCGTAGTATTCCCCCCAGAAAAGACGACACCAACATCCCACCCCTTTTCCCCACCCTCCTTCTCAACAATGGCTCGAAACTCCTCGTCAAACAGTATAACAGCCAGGGGCACGGCAGCACTAGGCTCGATGACAAGTTTCATACGCTCCAGCACCAGCTTCATGGCCACCTTGATTTGATCCTCGGTCACAGCAAACAGCCCACTCACCTTGTTCTGGTCAGAAATGACAGTCCAGTTGATTTCCCCCATCGGAGTCCGCAAGCCATCAGCAATAGTGAGCGTCCTGACCTCGCTGATTCGGGACCCAGCCGCAAGTCCGCGCCGGCCATCGTCCCCGCCCTGGAACGAGGGTTCAGCACCAAAGACGCGTGTTGACGGAGTACCGGAGAAGTACGTGGCGGATCCGGCCAAAAGCCCACCCCCGCCCAGAGGCGTAATCACCGCATCAAGCGGGTGTTCTTTCTTGAGGGTATCATGATCGCGAGACTGATTGGCCAGCAGTTCGACCACCTGCTCTTCGAGCTCTAAACTCGCTGTTCCTTGGCCCAGGATGATATCAGGATGATCATAGGGCGGAACAAGGATGGCGCCGGTTTCTGCGATGACTTCCTGTACAACTGACACACGTTCAGGCTCAGTAGAGCCGCTAAATATAACACGGGCTCCATAGGCTTGGGTGCCGTCGATTTTGGAGGGCGTCGATATCGACGGCATCACGATATGGGCGGGGATGTCCAGGGTCGATGCAGCGAGCGCAAGGGCCTGGGCATGGTTTCCTTTGGTTTCGAAAGACGGAAAGTTAACGTTTGATTGAGCTCTAAGTATGGATTTGGTGTTTCGTACCAGAACTATGCGTTGTCACGCCACGCGTGCGTACGGCCTCTATCCCCATCTCAGAGCAGAGCCGCAGAAGGGCATGGAACGCACCGCGTGCTTTGAAGGCGCCAATCTTCTGCAGATTCTCGCACTTGAAATACAGCCGGAAGACTGGTTTGGCAGCTCCAACATTATCTGGGTTTGGAGTCGAGGCGATCCGGTTTAGTGTTTTGGAGGTGAAGACTGGTGTCTGGTAAACGTAGGGTTTGATCACAGAATGAGCCGTGCGGACAGCCTCTGGTGTGAGCGGAGGGCAGGTGCTGGGGTCGGCCATGGAGGAAGAAGATGCATTGCGAGACAGAAACTTGCTTCATTTCCTTCTATATAACTCCGTGATGGGATAACTATAAGACTATAAGACGGGACTCGCTCTCGCGCACCCCATCGGGAAGGTGGAGCAGTCTGGAATGAGATTTCATTGATTGATTCGAGGTTAGTGGGTATGGCGAGTCTATTCGCGGTTAGTCCAGACTCAATTATATGGATCCGTGGGAAATCCCCTCATCTTCTTCTTCTTCTCTCCTACACGGCTTGTCAGTCACTCCTCAGAGGATGTACGATGTACAAGGCTCCCCCACCGCGTCCAAAGAAGACTGACATTGTTCGCTCTCGGTCGAGATGTCGAGGATGTCGACAACGCCGGGTCAAGGTTCATTTCCACCGAGCCAGCACATGGAAATGTACTAGCTAACTACTTGCAGTGCGATGAACAGAAACCCTCATGTCGAGCTTGTGTTCGCCGCGGCGTCAGCTGTGAGGCCGTCATGCCGAGTCTGGACTTCCATAATGTCACCGTCTCTGCCCATGAATCGCCGGGCAGCCGCCATTGCCAGCGCTTGAGATTCAAGCACAGCCAAGGGCCACCTAAGGTTGAACAGTCCCATCTGGCTGAGGATTCCAGAGTGGCCTCCTCAGTATCGCCACCGTTGTTGGCAGCGAGTCCGTCACCATCGCCCGCTCGCTCAGAACATGAGACCATGTATCTTGCACACTGGAATGAAGCCTGTGTGCATGCTCTGCAGTATTCTTTGCGTCAAATATCCCTCACCACGGACAGAAATGCACCGTTCAAAGCAGCGCTTCTGGCTCTTTCAGCCTGTAATCTCAGCCGCTCCTTGCCCGAGAGGGACGAGCAGGACGCTCAAGTAGCCTACAGGCCCAACCCCCGCCACCTCCTCTCCAGTCAACAGTACTATATCACCGCCGTCGGCCAAGCGGCGAAGACAATCCTCAGAAGCTCTCTCATGGCGCCATCTCACACTCTGGCGATGTTGGTTTTGTTCTGCAACATTGAAACCGCAATGAGTAATTTCACCGGATTTGACTGCCACGCCCAAGGAATAATCAACTTCATTCAGACGCATTTTCAAGAAATCACGTCTGATGCTCTGGGCCGAGGAGCAATCGCAACCTGGGTGCTGGCGAGGAACCATAACTGGTGGCTGAGAATGAATTTCAGCAGCGCCTCATTCCAGCTCGCCCAGTCTTCGCTATCCCTACCTATGGATATATCCAATGTCCTCCACTCCATTGGGTCAAGGCGAGCGACTGTTACATCAATCCTTTGCGAAACCTACCGCCTCAGGACGATTGCTTTCCTGCAGTCGGCACTGGAAGATGCAATTGCTGCCCCGGGAATCGACGACTGTGTCGCCCTGATGCAGGCTGAGTCCGCAAAGCTCGATTACTGGCACTCCACCCTCTCCCAGTCGGAGCTCCCCTTTGGCTCGTTTACAGAATTTAATCCACACGACAACAGCCAGCTCCGTCCTCTTTTCTTTACCTCGCATAGACTTGCAATGAATTACGCGTACTATGTATCTTCGCGCGTCCTACAGTCCATGCCTCATCCTGGTGCCACAAAAACTGAAGGGTCCATGGGCGACGCGGAAATCGCACACTGGTCAACGACCCTTCTTCGCATTGTATCCGGTCTCGACAAAAAAGATTGCGCCAGAAAAAATGTCTATTCGATCGGTGTCTCTAGCCTTCTTGTCGCCTGTGTGCTCCGCTATCACAGTCTTGTATTCGGACGCTGGGTCGAGAAATGGCTGCTTGAATGCCATCAGCTGTCTATATTCGAAGAAGGCAGCTTCCCTATTGCTCAGGCTTGGCAGGTCGTTCGTCTTGTCAACGAGGAGAGGGCAGCGGGGAATTATGCTTGTGCCATCGCCTTACCAGAAGATGATGGCGGGGGAGTGGGGAAGTACACCTCGTATTCTAGTCAGCGGTTTGACCGAGTCTTGCTGCTGAGAAGAGAGGGAGGTTCACCCAGGTTGCCCTGGGAGTTTGTTTCAGTCAACATGGTGGAACAACCGTCCTCTCCTTTGGACGGTACCCCAGATGTTTGATATCCCACGCTCGCGCACCTGAGATGATAACATTGTATAGCTCAGCGACAACCCTGTTATTAGAGCCGATCAAGTATTATGATGCATTCTCCCATGAGCCTGGATTCATTGGCACATCAAATCTTAGTTATAGACATTAATCCCCACAACGTCCGGCGCAAACCCGGTAAACCCACCCTCGCCATTCTCATTCCCAAGCACAACTTCATTAAGCCCAACCTTCCAACCCCCCGTCAAGACCCCCAAGCGCGCTGAATCCCACCACCCCAGCCCCGGTCCAAAAAGCTCACTATGCCTCCCACTCAGGGGAACCTCCAGCCTGACGGGCTCGGCATCATTTACGCGAATTGTAAGATTGCGCGAGTTGGACCCCCACTCCCACGCAGAATCGAATGCGACTTCGTTGTTTATGTAGTCGATCTCGATATATTTGGAGCCTTGGACCATGGACGGGATTTGGGCGGTTGCGCTGCTGTTGGTGCCGAGGTTGGTGATTTTGGATCCGGTGGGGATGCAGAAGTCGTCTGGGCAGGTGAAGGTGTCTGCAGAACCGGAGAGAGTGAAATCTTTGGTACCGGTGTAGTATGTAGAGTTGGGAGGTGTGACTTGGATGGAGGAGATTGCAGGGGCGTTGTGGATCGTGACGGTGTTGTTGGAGCTGGCTGCAAGTGAGATCTGGGTGGTGATGGAAGACGATCCTACTGGAACTGATACAGATACTGGGGCGTTGCTGGAACTTGTGGTGATGGTTATGTTGGCACCTTGCGATGGCTGAGCAAGCGTCACCTTGAGTCCGTAGTTAGGGCTGGATGTCACTCCATAGACTGCCCCAAAGGTAGTCGCACCACTAATACTGTTAGCATAATTCAGTTTTAGCAATTTCAGTAATAAACTCACCCATTCGTCGCAGCAAAGATATCACTTGGATACTCCCCAGCAGGCAGCGTCTCGCTAAGCTCAACAAGCATCGTCCCATGCGCCGCCACAACCGCCGTATACTTCGTCTTGACATCCTCAGCACTCTCACCAGCCCAAATATCCCTCAACCCTCCAGCAAACTGCAGCCCAACATCCGGCAGATCCAGGGTAATCTCCCTCTCCTCCCCCCTCCAATTAATCACCGCAACAACCGTCCTCCCCCCTTCCAACGGGCCACTCCAAACTTCATACCCCTGATCACTCCACCTCCTCCTAAGTGCCGCACTAACCCCCAGCCCATCCTGATTAAACGCAATCACATCCTCATTCCGCAGAATATCCAGCGACCCCTCCCTCATCCCATCCACCTTCGCGCCAATCGTCAGCGGCGCCTTGAGAACCCCCCACAGCGAGAAATGCGTCTGCTCCTCAGGGATCGTAAGCACGTCTTCCAGGCCAACAAGCAACATATCCGGATCCGGCCACTGTCCCGGTCCCGCATAATCCGTCTGCGGCACGGCCTGGTTCAGCGTGCGGAAGATGGACCGCCAGTGCGGCGTGATGTCGTTTCCGATTCGCCATGAGTGGCCGATCTCTGGGGCCCATGCTGCTGGGAATGAGATGCCCCATTCGCAGACTTGGTAGAGGATGGGGCGGTCTTGGGCTTGGAGGTACCGGGACATGTTAGCGAAGCGTGGTTGCGGGGAGGTGGAGGGCTGGTAGTTGACGTTTGGGTAGTTTGTTGCGGCGTCCGAATAGCAGTTGTCATCTGAGTTAATTAGCATGGTGTTTCTGTGCTTGAATGGTATAGGTAATGTTTCAATGATTTTGGGGAGATACATTTTAGTGAGTCAACCTCCCACTCGGCGAAAGTCCTGGCGTCGATATCTTCATGGTCTGCATATCAATTAGCACAACTCCTCCAGACCCCATAATCAATTCCGAACATACATAAACTCCCCGTATTATTCGGCGGACTACCGCACAGTAATATTCCAGAGTCCTGGTATACGCCAAACAGAAGTCCCAAATCATGAAGATACCTCCCCATCGCGGGAAACCCATCCGGGAACAGGGTCTCATTCCACGTCAAACTGCCATCGGGCAGTCTATCTGCAACAGTCCAGCCACAGTCGATAGTGACATAGCGGTATCCCAGGTCTGCAAGGCCGGTAGCTACCAGGGCTTCGGCGTTGAGTTTCACGGCTTCTTCGCTTGGGAAGCAGTTGTATTGGTTGTAGGTGTTCCATCTGGATGTTAGTTAGTATTTAGATAGTACCATAGCTAGGTTTGGAGGCCAAGACGAACCCCATTTGTGGAGTGCGGGCGAGTCCATCTTGTAGACGGGGTTTGAGGGATGAACTGCCTAGGGCTGTGGATGCGAAGAGTAACGAGGTAAACGCTGTGTTCGCCATGGTTGACAAGAGCAGTGGGTGCGATGGTGCAGCCCTTTCTATGCTTACTCTGAGCGAGTGCATGTCTTTACCTTCATACAGATTCTGTGGACAATTTATAGATTAAATCTGCCGGAGAATTTCCTGATGGAGATGCAGATCTTCCATCTGGGCATCTTGGGGTCTCGGCTAATATCAAATGATGCGGGGTTTAATATGCTGCTATAACCCTCTTAGTAGCGTGTCGCGGACCTGTCTGTTATTGCCTTGATTCTTATGGAGATGCGATTTACCCCGTATAAAATATCACTTTCAGATGCATAGTGGATAGGTGGAGTAAATCATGTAATCAATAACTACTGTATAATCTAAGTCTAGGACATCTTCTGTCTCTCCTCCTGTCCCCCTCTCACTCCGTCCGCCTCCAACCTCCGCGCATAAAACATCTGCGCAACCGCATCGTCCGTCTGCAGATACGTGCGGTTCCCACGCAAGAACCAGAACCCCAGCGCCACAACAAGCATCACACCAAACACCGCAATGGCGTAATTCATATCTGCAGGCGCTGGACTGGGATCGCCGGGGAAGAAGAAGAAGACCGTCGTGATAATGCAGTAGATAAGGCTGATCCAATTAATGAGGGGACCCCAGCGGCCGAGAGTGAAGTGGCCGGGCGGGAGTTTATCTCTGCCGACAATCAATAAGGTGGAGATGGGGATCCCGTAGGAAATGGTGAGCGCGATGGTGCTGACGCTGAGGATTGCCTCAAGAACTGTGCTTGCGAAGAGGTAGAGGATGCCGACGAGGGCGATGAGGAAGCCCTGCAACCAGAGGGAGCGGACGGGCGCTTTCCAGTACGGGTCGACGAGGGCAAAGTAGGGGCTCCAAGGGAGACCGCCGTCGCGAGCGAACCCCCAGGTGAGTCTAGAGCCCGTGGTCAGAATGCTGATTCCCTGACCGAGGCCGTTGAAGATGAATAAGGAAATGAGGACGGCGGCAGCTTTCAGGCCGACTGTTTCCAGCATGAGTTCAATGAAGGGGAGGTCTGCGTCGACGACACCGTCGATGTCTTGGATGCAGAAGAGGCAGATGACCATGAATATGAAGCCGGTGATGGCGCCGAGGAGCACAGCGAGCCAGATGACCCGCGGGGCGTTGCGACGCGGAGATGGCATTTCTTCGACCATGTGGATGACGGCGTCGAAGGCTGTTAGGCCGTAGGCGGCTTGCACGAGACCGGTGAACCAGACGACACCGTCGGACCAGCCGGTGCGGTTCATCCACTCGCCAAATGCGAAGGAGGCGGGCTGGTATGATAGACCGGGTTTGATGCCGACGGAGATGAGGAGGGCCAGGGAGAGGACGACGAACAGGCCGGCGAACCAGACGCCGACGAAGTTGTTTATCCACGGGAGGACCTTGTCAGATCGACAGCTGACGACATTGGTCAATGTCAAGACGAACACCACACCAATATAGACGACAAACTGAAGCCATCCTTTGCCGGCACCCTCCCACTCAGGGGCGAACAAGGTCTTCATGCCGAGCAGAAACTCCGCCATGAAGGCGACCTGCGAGGCCGTCAGAGTCCACCAGCCGAACGTGTTGATCCAGGCGGTCATGTACGAGAGAAAGCGGCCAGAGGGCGTGTCCCAAAGCCGGTGCACCCAGTACGCCTGGCCCAGCGCAGTAGGCATACTACTGGTCAGTTCGCCGAGGGAGACGGCGACGCAGATATTGCATGCGGTGACCAGCACCAAGCCCCAGAGGATGGTGATGGCGCCGCCATTGGTGAGGCCGCTGCTGAGATCCTGAGCGAACGTCGAGTAGGTTCCCAGGACACAAAAGGCCAAGGCCAGCATGCTGGGGATGTTGAATTTGCGCGAAAGAGCCTGCACGTGGCCCATGGCAGCCAGGTCCTGCTCATCTTCGCTGTGGGACGACCCAGGAGGCTTGACGGGGCCGTCGTCGTCCATGGTCAATTGAGGATAAAATTGAATCAGCTCATTTCTGGAGTGGGTGAGCGGACTCGATATATAGACTCGACTTCTCACGCGGAGAGCATGTTGGAGAGGCAGAGGGCGAATTTGGTGCGGAAATTTTCGATTTGCGGGGAAACTGGAGTGACGCAAGTGGGTCTATCTCACTGTCTGTGTCTCTCACTGCACACCGTGTAGAGGCTGGTCGGGAGTCTGTTCTTGGAGGATCGCTCCCCTTCAGGCAGGTCCTTGCGTTGAGGCTTGGAGCTCCCCGGCTGTCGCTCATCGTGGACTCTGCTCAAACTGTCCAGTCCAGCCGATGCAGTGGGTTCTTCTCCGCATCTTCTCGTGGTCTTTCCTGATAAGCATTGCCTATCTTCTATCTCCATTACCTCATCCTCATGTCTATCTCAACGGCACCTCCCGCGCATGTCCAGCCGAGCAGGACGACGACGTCTTCCCTCGGTGCCAACTTCCAGTAAGAAACGACAATTCCTATTCGCGGCGCCAGCCCGAAACCTAGTGCCGTATATCAGTGAGGAAGTCAATTAACTTCGGGAAATTGCTTCAGGCACCAATGCTTCGAGCACGCTGGAGCTGCAGCTCAATCCAGACCTGCCATGATTCAGGACTTCTGCCATAGCTATATTGCGAAGATGTCAGCGCATCATCCTTCCATTGTGAGGGCAATCCACGACGGTCAGATCGCCTTCTATCCCGTCACGTCCACCTCTGCTGGGGTATGAGCATCTCAACATTCATTGCCAGTGGTCTTTTGATGCCATTTTTCTTTTGATGCCATTTTCTTTTCTTTTCTTTTTTGACTGAATTTCTCCCCCTTTGTCTAGATACATTACCCTAGATCGGGATTTCCGCTGTCGAGTAGTATCCTGGCTTGGCTGTGGTATATCATGGCTGTCGAGTACGCTCTAATCAAATCCGATCGCTTTATGCACTCCAGAGTCCAACCCTGCAGGAACATCCAGAAACACTCGTGGCGGCCATGTCCATCGGATATATGACTAAGCAGATGATGCTGAGTGACGTGACCGGAGATAAGAGCTGACTGCGTACCTGAGCCCAATTGCTCGACAGTGCAGAGTAGGGCAGACTCCATGGGCTCCTCGAAAATACAGTGGTTGTAGATGACCCGGAGTGCTAGAATAATAACGCAACAAGTTCTTCTTGTTTCATTTCAAAGCATTGGTGCTGACCAAAGAGCCGGATTGGTCAGCGGCGGTCCATTTCCGCTCGGACTTAAGCTTCGGATAACGGTCCCGTTCCATCCAAATGCGGTGATAAGTCGGGGTTACAACTTTTTTTCTTTCTCTCTTTCTCTCTTTAAATATCCTTTCCATCTTCACTGCTGTGACAATTGCAAAGCAACATGGGTGAGACCGAGACCGGTGAGAAGCCTGAGGAGGCCCCGCCTGCAGTGGGCTTCTTCGATCCCCGGCTCAACGAAGTGCGCCGGAAGGTGTTGGTGAAATGGGCGCGCACTGGTATGCAAGCCCAAGCCTCTTGCTTTTTCTGAAGCTCACGTGTATGTGTTACAGTGCTCCTACTCTGCGTCTTCATTCTTTCCGTCCTGTCGCTCTACTGGGCTGTGCAGTTTCGCTCCGAACATAAACTATCGTCCCTGAAAGTGTGGGTGGTGGACTTTGACAACGCCCAAGATGCACTTGTCGGGCCTGCCGTGACAGACCTGGCAGGACAGCTGGGCGGGGGGCAGAACCTGGGATATACTGTGAAGCCACCGGCCGAGTTCAATAACGACCCGGTCGCCGTGATCCAGGCCGTCTACGACCAGCACTGCTGGGCCGCGGTTATCGTCTCCCCCGACGCAACCACCCTGCTGCGCGACGCGGTCTCAACCGGCAACAGCTCCTACAATCCCAGCGATGTCGCGCAATTCGTCGTCATCTCTGCCAGAGACCAGACCACGGTCGAGACCTACATAACCCCAGCCCTCAACTCCTTTGAACTGCAGCTCCGCGCGCAATTCGGGCCAGAATGGGTGCGCAACATCGCGCAGCAATCAGTCGACCTCACCCAGGTCCCTCAAGCTATTAACCCTGCAATCGCATTTAACACGCTGGACCTGCGTCCCTTCGCGCCCGCTGCCGCAACCCCGTCCGTCACAATTGGCCTGATCTACCTCATCATCCTCGCCTTCTTCAACTTCCCCTTCCTCATGCCCGTGCACGCCATGTTCGTGAAAGGGCCCCACACCCTGAAAATTCCACAGTGGATCATCTGGCGGATCCTCAGCTCCATCGCAGCATACTTCTTCCTCTCCCTCTTCTACTCCTTCGTCTCGCTCGCCTTCCAGATCCCCTTCTCCAACCACCCGGCCCCGGATACCGTCTCCGCCGCCAACCCCAACGCCTACGGGAAGGGCTCGTTTGTGGTATTCTGGATGCTCAACTGGGTCGGGATGGCCGCGTTGGGTCTCCCGTGTGAGAACATGGCCATGATCCTCGGGTTCCCGTACAGTTCGATGTTCCTTATTTTCTGGGTCATTACGAATGTCAGCTCCGGGTTTTATGCGCTGGATCTGGCGCCGGGATTCTTCAAGTGGGGGTACGCCTGGCCGTTGCATAGGAGTAAGTCTATCTACTTTTATCTACATATCAAAAGCTAACAGTTCGTTAGTTGTCAATGCACTGCGCACGATCCTGTTCGGGACGCACTCGAAGATTGGACTCGACTTCGGGGTTCTTTTTGCGTGGATTGCGGTGTCGCTTGTGCTGTTCCCGTTCGCGTCGTTTATTATGCGGTGGAAGATGAAGAGGGGGTTGTAATTGAAACTTGGTAAACTGAAACTTGGGGAAGCCACAACTTTAATGCATATAGAGTATATAGACAGAAGATGTTATAATGATGAAATGAAATAAATGGTTATATGAATGGCAGACTTAATCAGCACAAGCTTTTTCTTTCAGTGGCCACATTCCCCATAAAATGTTTAAATGTATATTTAGCATTCTGGTTCAGCACGCAGATTCCCGGCAGAGGCTGGTGTTTCATGAGGCATATCATCGACGTAGGAGATGCACTGTTTTGATTGGCGTAGATGGCATGCTGGTATTCGGGTGGGCCTATACGAGGGATATATCGTATTCACTGTATACTGTATTGCACGAATATTTGTGAGGATATGATAGCAGAATATGAATGATTCCTGATAGATTAGTGGTGTAGCCTCTGCTCGTGTCTGCCGGGTACTAACAAGCAATGACTGGATAACTACGAGGGAGGGAACTCACTGCAAGTCCCGCTGTACTGTGGATCTGCCCTACAAGGGATCCAACGCAAGGAACTGGAAACCAAAACATTGGGCCGCTGAGTCTGAATTGTTGGCTCCGGGGGCATTCTCATTGGCCCGAATTTGCCCAGCTTGTCACCCAATTGGTTCTCGCCTGCTGCCAAGATTCAATGTTTCAGAAAGATAAATATAGGCAGTCCAGCTGGTCATGAGAGACTCTCCAGCTTTAAAAACTCTGCCTCCTCCTTCTGTCTCTCTGTCATCATCTCCGAATCTGCTTCATTGCATCCATCGCATCGCGTCTCTCGTTCCATTGCTTCATCTACACTCGCTTACTGCAAAATGTCTACCACTACCTCCTCCTCCGCTGCTGCTGCCACCTGCACTGGCAACGCCTGGGTTCTCCCTGTCCAGGACATCGCCTGCGGTCTGATCTCCACCTCCGACAAATACTCCGACATCATGGACAAGTGCTGCGGGGACGCCGATGTCGAGAGCTACAACGACGACTGCGGCCTCTACTGTCTCGCCCAGGGCCAGTCCGGCAACGACCTCCTCGACTGCATCCGCGAGGAGGGCGCAAAGGACGGCGATTTCTTCTGCGGCGGCGGAAACCTCACACATACTGCCTCTGCTGCTTTGCCTAGCAGCACGGCCAACAAGGATAACGACAGTGACAACGACAGTGACAACGATGCCGACAGCGAGGATTCCTCTGACGGCGAGGACAATGCGGCTGTGCGCGCGCCGGCTGTGAACAAGGCTGGGCTGGGTGTTTTGGCGATGCTCTTCTGCACTGCTTTGCTTGGTTATGCTGCGTGAGCTTCATGCAGAGTATTGGCATTAGATGGATTTGCGGGACATATTCAATCATGATCTGTTGATTTTTTAGTTACATTTTTTTTTATTGGTGTACTTATACTTGCATGTGCCGGTGTGGCATACTCTACTTAATTCGGCTTAATAGTTGCACCGTGGAATGTGAAGGTGCCACAGCTCGCTTTTCCACCCACCTCCTTTTCCTATTCCTTCTCCTCTTGCCCTGGTCTTGTCGGATTGTGATGGCGACATTGTCTGCGTGACCAGTTGAGGCCGTCCTTGCGTCCCTGGCATTCATCTACACGTCGGCTATATATCCTTGATAGTATCTCCACTACAGCCCTACTGCCCTAGTAATACTGCTAATAGCAAAATGTCGTCAACGAAAGTCAACTCACTCACCTTAGAGGCCCTCCCCCTTACCAATAATGCCAACCAACTCGACCGGTCCCTCTCCTGGCTCGGCGCCACCGGCCTCGCCTTCACAATCACAAACTCATGGATGAGCTACGCCGCAACCTTCGGCACCGCGCTCGTCGACGGCGGTGGCATCACAGTTCTTCTCTCCGTGCTGATTGCCGGCCTTGCCCAGTGGATTGTCCTGCTCGGTGTGTGCGAGATGGTCTCTGCAATTCCTTCTTCTGGTGTATATATACCCATCCACCTGCTGCAACCAGGTATCTGTTGGCAAGAAAAAAGAAATGAAAATTTTGAAAAGTGTTTAATTAAAGTAGGGCTGCTACCATTTCACGTACTTCCTCGCGCCGAAGAAAACTCGCGCCTTCGCCTCCTTCACCGTGGGCATCATCAACCTCCTCGGCTTCTGGATTGGCGGCGTTGCCGGTGCTGTTTATACCATTACTTCGATCTTCAGGATTATCACCTTCTGGGTTGATGGGTTCCAGCCGACTCAGTGGCAGGTATATCTTGGTTATGTGGCTTTGGTCTTGCTTTCTCGTAAGCCGCCGCCCATTCATGAACCTAGCCCTAACTTGTTAACCTGGTTCTAATGGACATAATATAGTTATCCCAATCTTCACAATCCCACCGTCAAAAACCAAATACCAAACAACCGCAACTCTATCCCTCTCCCTCCTCCTGCTAACCCTCCTCGTCGCCGTACTCACATCCCTAGCCCGGACCCAATACCAAAAACCGAACCTGTCCCTCCATCAAAACAGAAGCGGGTATGATAATTCAACGGCGTGGCTCCTCAGTATCAGCGCGGGGATGTTCTCCTTCTCAACCACAGGAACAGTCGTACATCTCTCCGAGGAAGTCAAGGGCGCTGAACGAGGGATTCCTGTTGCTATGTATGCTTAATCCCCTGCAATTGAGTTTTGAATCCGCCAGCTAATATGGCCAGAAACTCAACTATGGCCCTGGGTCTGCTTACCACGATCCCCTTTGCTGTTGTTCTTCTCCTGGGTATGCAAGATGTGCAGGCCGTGCAGGACGCCTGGATACCGAGTCTGGAGGCGTTTTATCAGGCGACGGGGAGCAAGTCTGTTGCGACCGGGTTGCAGGCGTGTCTGGTGTTGCTTTATTTTGGTATGTCCGTGCCCATGTCCCATTCTCTAGTTATTATACTTGCATAAATAGTACGGGTGGATGGTATGAGGAGAGGGAAACTCGGTGCTAATAAGGAATTGATCGTTTAGTTACGGTCTGTACGCAGTGGGTGTCAGTGAGTCGGAATGCATGGGCTCTTGCTCGAGATGTAAGTACAGTACTCCTTAATCGTTATATACATCTGGAAGGACGTGATCCTAACGAAGTACAACAAAAGAACGCCCTCCCCTTCTCCCCCTACTTCGCCCAGATTTCGCCAACGCACAACATGCCCGTCCGAACAACACTCCTCTCGGTATCCTTCTTCATCGTCTTCGGCCTGCTCTACATCGCAAGCAGCAAGGCCTTTAACTCCTTTGTTAATATGGCGGCCCTGCTCGTCAATATCGCGTACACAGTGCCGCAGGGGATCCTGGCGTGTCGGAGGCGGGACAGGCTCTCGCCTACTCGGCCATTTAATCTGGGGAAGGCAGGGTACGTCGTTAATGCATTCTCGGTTTGCTGGCTTATATTGGTGGGAGTGCTGTTTTGCTTCCCTGTGAGTATTCCGACGAGTGGTGGGGAAATGAACTAGTATGTACCCCTTTCTGTTTGTTTATTTATGTCTTTCGTTTCGCTTCGTTTCATTTAGCTGGTTGTGCATGACTGACCGACTGACCAGTGGCTCCGCCGTCATCGTCGGCCTCTTCGTCGCTATACTGGCCATGTACGCCGTGCGCCGGAACATCTTCCGCGGGCCTAGCCACGTCCATGGCCATAGCAGCCCCAATCTCTCATCGATACCCAAGCCTACACCCGCTAGTCCCACTAGCCCTGCTATACAGCCTTTGGCATCCTTGGGAGTCCACCCCAAAGCAGCAAAATCGAGACAGTAAGCGCAATGGCAAAAGGCTGCAGGACCTCCACGCCCTTCGCCTGCGCAACCGCCCCAATGGCAAACGGCAAGATAGCCGCACCGCTTGCTCCGAATGCAGCGGCGAAGCCAATCGCGCTGACATGCAGGGCGCGTGGGAGGAGACGGGTCGCTACCACGACGGCTCCCGGGAACATAGGGCCTAGGAAGAAGCCTTGGAAGGAGACGGCCACGACAGAGGCGTAGAAAGACGGGACGAGCCAGAAGATTAGACAAAATGCGATGGCGAGGAGGAGGTATATCTAGAGAATGAATCAATTCATGTTAGTTTCCAGTTTCCCGGTTTGCTTTACCCGTGTGTGTGTGTGTGTGTTGGGACATACCGCAATGGCCAATTTCTCCCCAATCCTAGGCGTCACGAACCCCAGCACAACCCTTCCTACAGTAATCCCAAGCCAGTACCCCGTCGAGCCCATCCCGCTGGCGAACTCGGCGCCGTCGCGCACGCGCATGAGGAACGTCACCACCCACCCGCCAATCGCGACTTCAAGACCAACGTAACCAAGGAGAAAGAAGGCGAGAATCCAAGTGACGCGGGCGTAGCGGGGGACGAGCAAAGCGCGGCGCACGCCGCCCTTCTCCTCTGCCCCGGCTCCTTCAGAACCTTCCTGTCCTGCTATGTTGGAGATGTTGCGCTGGGATTCGCGAAATGCGGCGGCGTCGGCGTCCCAGAACGCCCAGAGGCAGGAGGCTAGTTCGATGGCGGCGCATGCGACCTTTTCCATGTAAGCAACACAGTTAGTGTCAATTCTGGGGTATGCAGAGCTTACCATGATATAATAGAAATAAAACCACCCCACCTTGGCCTCTGTAATCAAACTCGTTGCAATCAGCGGCGCCATAACCGCGCCGAGACCATAAAGGCCGTGTAATAGGCCCAACATCTGGTTTGAATCGGCCATGTTCCCAACCCATGCATTCCACGCGGAGTCAGCCAGGCCATTCCCTAGTCCTGCGAAGATGAAGGAGACGACGAGGACTGGGTACGGCGGGTGCAGGCAGTTGACGATGTAGGCGATCAGATGGCATCCCGGGGAGAGCCAGGCGATGCCCCGCTGGCCCAGGTGCACATGAAGTATGTTGTTTGTGAATGCGGCGAGGGTGTATCCGCCTATGGGGGAGAGGAAGACGAGGGATACAGTAGTATAGCTGAGTCCGTACCAACTTTCCAACTATTTGAGTTGAATTTAATTGAATACCCACGGGGATATGTCCGAGGTCACTCACATACGGAATCAAAGGCTACGGGAACAGTCAGTCAGTGAATTCAACATAAAATGCCTAGTAGAAACTCACGCCGTACGCAGCGTCATTTGCGCCCATTACCAGAAACGCCCAGAAGGTGGCCATGGTCTTCGCGGTGTTCCCGGGGGAGTTCCAGCGTTCCAGCTGCTTGTCATTGTTGTCGGAGCTGGTATTCCCACCGCTGCCCCGCAAGTCGGACTGTGCCTGAGCTTGGAGACCCTTCTCCGCGTCTTCAGCATGTTGCTGAAGCTGTTCCTGCGGCTCTAAGCTTGCAGTCATTGTTAACCCTGCTCACCGTTACTCGACAAGGAAGCGAACAACAACTAGTGTAAGAAACAAAGAAAAAAAGTGCGACCACAGGATTAGAAATGGCAGATCTGGTGCTGGTGCTGGTGCTGGGCGAATTACTCAAATAGGCAGCTATCTCAGCAGCGAACTAAGGCCCTAAACGCCGTTAGTGCTGGTGCTGACTGGTCCCAGACAATTCATCGCCAATTGGCGTTTAGATCGGCCATGGACGAGACCATATTGAGAGCTACCTCAGAAGCCTTGGAGGGATATTGTGCGCGCAATGGAAAATGTTTTTTGATCTATTAATCTAGAGATACATCATAACCATAGCCACATGCTCCGGTCTCGTACGGCCCGTAACGGTAAAACAAATGAAATAAACACACAGAAGAGAAGAGAAATGGACAATTATTAAATATAATAGACCGCCTGCACATGCAAAGTCATTGTACATTCATGCCAGTATCGGGTTTTTGACTGAAGGTATGATTGTGGCCGTGGACGGTTTTATCCAGGTGGCAGCCAACAACAAACAATTGCCGTCGACCTTCAAGTCCAGCTTAAAACAGTTACTCTGGCTTTTTTCCTATCATCAAAAACATGGGAGTGAACAGTTTGTTTTCACCACCGGCAACAAGGCAGTCGGCAGCCAATGCCAGACTGTCGGCGGTCTTTTGTGTGCCGCGGGGGAAGAGCTTGAATGTTTCCATGAAGCCGACGAAACGGTGAACGAAGCCACGGCCCCACCACGTCATCCGGGCAATGGTGAAGAAGTCCCAGGGCGAGGTCATATGCTTGAATGAACCAGCAAGAGGGTAGTACCAGGGGATCGCATCCGGGCGATCAGCCAGGTCCTCGTGGTGGAGGAGCTCGAGGCCAGCGCCCTCAATGGCAGCCAGGCCCTCGGACACCTTGACCATGTTGGAGATACCGTCTCCCTGTTCAATACCAAGACGGATTCTGCGGTGTTCGGGGTTCTCGTTGTCGTACTCGTCGGTCATGAGCCACTCGTAGACACCGAAAATACCACCAGGCTTGAGCACACGCTGGATCTCCTTGTAGACTCCGACGAGCTCGGGGGCGTGAACGGTGGCCTCGATAGCGTAGACAGCATCGAATGAGTTGTCGGGGAACTGCATCTGCATGAAGTCACCCTTGACGAAGCTCAGCTTGTCGCTCAGGCCCTCACGCTCCGCATAGCGAGTGGCACGCTGGATCTGGTAGTCGTTGTTGTTGAAACCAACCACGTTCGCATCGGTGAACTTGACAATCTCACGGGCAGGACCGCCAACACCGCAGCCAACATCAAGCACCTTCATGCCGGGCTTGATACCCATTTGGTGGGCGAGGTAGTGTTCGTGGCGGGCGATGGCTTGGTAGAAGGGCTCTCCGTAGGCAAAGCGGCAGAAGTGGAAAGATGTACCCCATCCGTACTCGTAGAGATCGGTAGCAAGGTTATAGTAGCTGTGCCAGGTTAGTTTTATGTCTCTCATCGTTTTCTGCAATCGAACACATACTGTCGGGTCAACGTAGCGTACTCGGCGCGACGGGCCTATTCAGACAGAAAGGTTAGGATCATGCGACAGCCGAGTTGCATTAAATGAAGCAACATACAGCACGAGTCTCCTCTGTCTCAACCTCCGCGGACTTGTTGTCCCAATGCTTGAAGTACTCATCAACAGCGGCCTTCTGCGCAGCGGCACTCTTCTGGCGCATGGCAGCGAAACCACCCTGAGCCTCGGCGGAGGAACCGTGGAGGGCACGGTTGAAGTCAGCATCACGCTGGTGGTTTTCCTTCTCTAGGGAAGAGGGAGCCATTGTCGAATTGAGGATTGAGGTGTGAAAGAGGAATTGGTTTTGTGTTAAAAAAGGGGGCAACCGGGAGAGGGTCTCAGGGAGTCGGGAATGGAGTGAGAATTGAAAGAGCACAACAACGACTGTCGGCTCGCAGATTGATGGTCTTTATAACCACGAGAGAACGACGAGACAACCTGGAGTGCTTGGGAAAGAACGACAAGGAAGAAGCGAAGAATGTGAATACGCAGTGAATACGATGGATGGACGAACGACGGGAAAGGAGGTGATTTTGAGATCCGGCTTTTTGGCTCTGCCGCCCAATCACGGCTGTTGCTCAGGGGCAGCCGACGCAGCCCTCTAGCTACATTGGGGCTAGTCTGGGGTTGATCCGAAAGTCCCTGACAGTTGAGGCACTGAGGCAGTTTACACCGTTGCGGTATTCAAGAGCACGGCTCTGCAGTAGCACGCAATACGACTGTCTCGCGTGGTCCGGACTGGATTGTAGCCGATAAACAAACGCTGGAAGCCGGGCTATCCTGCAGCCTGCAGGTGGAAACTATCAAACATCGTATTCGATACGATAGATCTTTTTTCACCACCGCCACTACTGCCTGAGGCCCAGACCTCCAAACATTCATGTGAAAAGTTTGTTAGGTAATTCAGCCACATCTGCGCCACACGCAGCCACACCCCTTCAACTATCGATAGTTATTCATCATTTCTGTCTCATACGGCCTCGCTGTCACTCTCTCCTACAGCGTCCAACATGCCTCCTCAAATCAAACAGGACCTTAACCGGTCAGGCTGGGAGTCCACGGACTTCCCGTCTGTCTGCGAAAGCTGCCTCCCAGAAAACCCCTACGTCCAAATGCTCAAGGAGGACCACGGCGCCGAATGCAAGATCTGCACCCGTCCGTTCACCATATTCCGATGGAAGGCCGACCGCACTGCACGCACCAAGCGTACGAATATCTGTCTCACTTGTGCTCGACTGAAGAACTGCTGCCAGTGCTGCATGCTCGATCTCTCGTTCGGTCTCCCGATTGTCGTTCGCGATGCCGCGCTGAAGATGGTGGCGCCTGGCCCCGAAAGTGGGATCAACCGCGAATACTACGCACAGGGCCACGAGAAGGAAATTGAAGAAGGCCGAGGTGCAGTCGAGGAATACGAAAAAACAGACGAGAAAGCTCGCGAGTTACTTCGGCGGCTTGCGCATTCCGAACCATACTACAGGAAGCCCAGACAGCAGCTCGAAGGGCCGCAAGAAGATGGAGAGGAGAAGGAAACTCCGACGGACGCGCCGGTTGTCAAGAGCCGATATGGAAATGCGCCAGGACCTGTACGGACAAGTGAGAGCAGAAGAGGCACAGCACTACCCGGTCGGGGTGGCCGAGGAGGTGCGCGCGGCGGCCGCGGCGGCCGACCATTCCCTGGCACTGCGCAGCTGCCACCATCGCAAGAAGACATCCTCCCTCCCGCGGATCCGAACATCACGTCTCTGTTCGTTACTGGTGTTGAAGACGACCTTCCCGAGCACGCTCTTCGGTCGTTCTTTGTTCAATTCGGCCAGCTCCGGTCTCTAATTTGTTCCCACCGTGCTCATTGCGCATTTGTCAACTATGTCTCTCGTGAGTCCGCTGAAGCTGCCGCGAAACAATGCCAAGGAAAGGCTATTATTCAAGGTTGCCCTCTTCGCATTCGGTGGGGTAAGCCGAAGTCGTTGGATAATCTGGATCGGGAAGAGCGGCTGAAGTATGCCCGTGAGGGTCGGCAAACCGCAGGACCCGCGAGAACTGGAGGTCAAGCAACGAGGGCAATCACAGCAGGGGCTGAAAAAGAAGAGCGGCCACGCAATGTGGCTGTTGCGCCCCCTCCTGGTAGTGGCGATGTTCAGTACTCAAGTCTGTCTGGTGATTAAATTATTGTTATTCTTTGCGTGGGTGTGGTTGCTATTGGACGAGGGCTTCATGTCATTAGAAGCGGGCGTTATTGTATTTATTCGATTAAATCTCACTGCCATGAATACCCAAAATAGGACAGAAATGGCATTCTATCAAAATTACCCGTAAATATATATCTTGTACCTGAGGCACCCCATTATGGTGAGTGCACCACCAATTCTTTATTATATATATACAACGCTGCCTCATTCACTCCCATTAAGCACGATCAGTCGACTGACGAAGTATGCGACGAAGCCCAAGTAGCACACCTGGATATAATTAGTTTCGAAAGTTGACTTGAACTTCAAGGGGGCGTACAATAACTGGAATGATGCCGAGGATGATCTCATGCTGGACAAAGTAGATACCCAGGATCATGACGATGAATGCAGCCGGGATAATGGCCATGGTCAAACTTTAAATGATACTGCTTGGTATTATTCCCCTCCATGAGCCTACGATATATTTTTCAGCGTGCTCATTCCAGACCATGGTCTAATTCCACTACGCCCATACCTATGGATGCAGCTGTAGCTTGTACAATCTTAAATTCTCGAATCCTGTCCATTCTATCGCTATAAATGTCCCAAGACGCCAAAGGAGAGAGAAAAAGTGGGTATACTATAATACAACTGCCCACATGCAATCAACCAATATTATACATCGCATCGCACATCGCACTATAGGCAATAGGCCCTCATACCACCCCAGACCAACTATGATGAGCACGGCTTATCGACCTTAACGCTCTTCCCTCCAACCTTGATCGAGTCGTTATCGCCACGCTCAATGTCATCGTGTATGCGGAGTTCTAAAACGTTCAAGCAGTCATATTAGCTTCTTTGCCACCCATGATCTCCAAGACCGAGGACGTAGCTCCGCCAGTCCACCAAAGGAGGTTTGAATACGTACCCCACTTCGCATTCTCATCTGCCGCCGCATCCCGCGCACCCTGCACGATATTGTGGCGCAGAATATTCGCAACCTCAACGGCGTGGTTGATCTGCATGGGCGTGTCTATGCCGAAGCGGCGGTGCTTTTCAAAGTTCTGGCGCGCTTCTTGGCGTGCGGCGAGAAGGACTCTGGTGTCATCTGTTGCAGTGAAAGTAATCAGTGTACTGTTCGGTAGAGTGTGCTTGTTGTGCTTGAGCAAGACTGACTATGGAATGCGATCCGGGTGGCGCGGAGGACTTGTCGGTAGGCACTTAGTGCTGAGACGGCGGGTTGAGAGGCCATTGTTGGTTTGAATTGAGACGTAGGATCCTTGAGTATGAGGATCTCTGGAGAATTGGGTATTGATTCGGTGGTGGTCTTGAGGTTATGGCGTTTTGCCCGTTGATATGTTAGGGGCGACGTGGAATTACTATCCGGGAGCGGCCTGGAAATAAAGACAGCAGGCAGGTTCAATACGAGTGTTAGGTTATTCCTCTGGAAGAGAATAAAACAAGAAGCTAGGCAGTATGTTTGTAGAAGAAACTGGAAGTCGTCTTGATGTCCAGTTCGGCTTTCGATGACCTCCGAAACGTGCAGTGGCTGATTGGTTGGACAAAAGGCGGCCGACAGGGGCAGAAAAAAAATCCCACTCGATTTTCAGCACTGTTGATCTTCGTGCGAAGTCAATCCCCTCCCACTTTTCATCCTATAATCCCATCTTCTCGAAGCGCGAGTCTATTCATCGGCTTCACTTGCAAGATGTCCTCCGCGCAGGTTCTCAATGTTACTCTCCCGGCCCTGTCCGCTGGCTGGAGCGCCGACAAAGACTTCAAGGCTGTTGGCAAAGTTTCTGCTGCTACCCAGAGGAACCTCGAGCCTGTTGGACCTCATTTCCTGGCTCACGCCCGCAGAGTACGTTTTCCGAGTGCTATTAATTGTGTGCTTCTGAATTATGCGGGGGCTTCATTTTATTTTAAATGCGGGGCTAATAAACCAACAGAAGCGTCACCACCGTACTTTCTCCGAGGATGAGCGCATCCAGGCTCAGCAGAACGTCAAGAAGACCGAAGATGACGAGGATGATGATATCTCCGAGGACGAGGACCCCATGATGCTCCAGCGGGATGCTAAGGACTGGAAGGTATGATCTTGAGTTTACAGCTCGGGCAATTGAAGCTATATTAATAAATTTGTAGGGTCAAGACCACTACGCAGTTCTTGGACTCACAAAGTACCGCTGGCGTGCAACCCCCGAGCAGGTCAAGCGTGCTCACCGCAAGAAGGTGCTCCGTCACCACCCCGACAAGAAGGCTGCCCTCGGCGACCGTGACGAGAACGACAGCTTCTTCAAGTGTATCCAGAAGGCCACCGAGATTCTGTCCGACCCGGTCAAGCGCCGCCAGTTCGACTCCGTCGACGAGGCTGCCGATGTCGAGCCTCCTAGCAAGAAGCAGAGCCAAAAGGGCGACTTCTTCAAGCTCTGGGCTCCTGTTTTCGAGGCCGAGGGCCGCTTCTCCAAGATCCAGCCTGTTCCTCAACTAGGTGACGACAACAGCACCTTTGAGGAGGTTGATACTTTCTACAACTTCTGGTACAACTTCGACAGCTGGCGTACATTCGAATACCTTGATGAGGATGTTCCCGATGACGGTGAGAGCCGTGACCAGAAGCGTCACGTCGAGAAGAAGAACGCCAACGCCCGTCGCAAGCGCAAGACCGAGGACACTGCCCGTCTGCGCCACTTGGTCGATGACTGTGCTGCCCTCGATGAGCGTATCAAGAAGTTCCGCAAGGCCGCCCGTGCTGACAAGGACAAGAAGCGTCTCGAGAAGGAGGCTGAGGCTAAGCGATTGGCCGAGGAGAAGGAGAACGCCCGTCTTGCAGAGGAGAAGGCCAAGAAGGACGCTGAGGAGTCAGCCAAGGCCGACCGTGAGAAGGCTAAGAAGGCCAAGGAGGCCGCTAAGAACGCTGCTAAGAAGAACAAGCGTGTTCTCAAGGGATCCGTCAAGGATGTCAACTACTTTGCTGAATCTGGCGAGCCCTCTGCCAGCCAGGTCGACTCTGTCCTTACGGACGTTGACTTCATCAACAGCAAGATCGACAGCGAGGAGCTTGCGTCGCTGGCTGAGCGCCTCACTGCTGCTGGCAAGGATGGTGCCGCCGTCAAGAACGTGTACGCTGAGGAGTTCAAGAGGCTGATTGGCGCTGGCAAGGCAAAGGAGGGCGAGGCCAAGTTCTTTGCTTAGATTAGTTAACAATCTTGTTAGACATGCACAGTGATTAGAGATAGACTACTGTCTGATGAGCGGAATGAAATTCATGAATGATTGCCTACATCTTGTTTACTGCGAGTAGATTATGCCTGCGGCATGTGCGCCAGGGCTGGTTGACAACTTGACGGCCATGGCCGGCTGGCTGCCCACGAGGATAAGCATTGCCAATCTCCGCCAATACAGGCTGCGCATGCTTGGGAAGCTTGTCGGTGCCCGGGCGTGGGTTCCCTCAGTCGTTGGGTTGGCCAGAAGTCGAGTCGGAGGCCCCCAGCCCCGCACGTGGGCGACGGTTCCCCACCCGCTTCCTGTTCCTTTCGAGATGCAACTTGCTCGTCCACTCATCAACCATCGACCTGCAACGTGCAGCTCTCCAATCTCCGCGCGGTGGAACACTCGATCTTTCGCGAAGCCCACGATGTAACCAATTGCGATGGGGCTATTAGAGGGATGTCAACAGATAGAGATGAACACGCGAGTGAGCCGTAAGCGATGGGGCTGCTAGTGCCAGCAGCTTTAGCACACTTTGCCCTCTCCTAGAAGCTATATAAAGACCGATGATCCCACGATGATCTCTGTCTTTTCTCCTGCTCACAGGCCTTCTCTGGCATCGATATTCACCAATTGTTGTCAATCAAAGCTCCCGGCGCTATGTACTCCAAGGCCCTTGTCGCCCTCCTCGGAGGTCTGTCCGTTGCCTTAGCTCAGACCTCCTCTGAGCAGACACCTTCAGTAGCTGAGATTGAAGCTGCTCGGGCTACCGTCAAGCCCTACTCCCCTGTGTCCAATGTCCAGGGCAAGTCTTTTTCTCGCTTTATCCAAATATGGTTAGAGAATAGAGTATGTACCCTATATGCCGTACCTCCCAGGACTATACTAATCCCATCAAGGACTTCGATGTCGCCGCCGATGAGAAGCACTTAGCCAAGCTGGCTAAGAAGGGTCTCACCCTTACCAACTTGTGGGCTGTCACCCATCCCTCGGAGCCAAATTACTGTGCTTCCGCCGGTGGTGACACCTTCGGCATGGACAACGACGAGTTCAACCAGGTTCCCACCAACGTCTCCACCATCGCGGACATGTTCGACACCAAGAACATCTCCTGGGGTGAGTACCAGGAGCACTTGCCCTACCCGGGATACCAGGGCTTCCGCTACCCAACCTCGGGCGATGACGACTACGTGCGCAAGCACAACCCCATGGTCTTTTTCGACTCCGTCACCGAGGATCCCACGCGTCTCCGCCAGATCAAGAACTTCACCTCCTTCTACGCCGACCTCGCCAACCACAGCCTCCCCCAGTACTCCTTTATCACCCCTAACATGACAAACGACGGCCACGACACAGACATTTCCTTCTCCGGCACCTGGACCTGGGACTTCCTGATTGACCTACTTGACAACGAGTACTTCATGAACGACACCCTCGTTCTCCTGACCTTCGATGAGAACGACACCTACGAACTCGGCAACAAGGTCTTCAGCTTCCTGCTCGGCGGCGCTGTCCCTAAGCAACTTCTCGGCAAAGAAGACAACACCTTCTACACCCACTACAGCATCATCGCCTCTCTATCCGCCAACTTCGGCCTCCCCAGTCTCGGCCGCTGGGACTGCGGTGCAAACCTACTCTCCTTCCTCGCCGACAAGGTCGGGTACACCAACTACGAAGTCGACACAAGCAACCTCTACTTGAACGTGTCGTACCCTGGTCCCCTGGCAAATGGCGAGTACGCCAAGCATACCTCCGACTGGCCTGTCCCTGCTACCGAGGGCAAGTGCTCTGGTGGACATGGAATTTTGGACGTGGTCAAGAAGACGTATGCCGGCCTAACAGCTACCTATGACTACTCTAGCCCTGTGCCCTTTGATGTGAAGTCGGGTAACAGCGTGGGTATCAAGTACAGCCGTACCCTCAAGAGTGGACAACGTGAGACGCACGTTACTGGTAAGAAGCCAGCGACTTCCCGCAGGCCGTAAATACTTCAGTAGGATGTATGAAAGCTAGGTACGGAAGACTGTACGGATATAATGCAGAAAATTAATGTTATGTTATGTTATCTATAAGGTATATAAAATTTAATATACGAGGGTTTAGCCGTGAGTCTGTCGGATGTGGAAGCTCTTCAGCTTGTAGAACGCATCGAAGGCCTGCGGGCCAAGCGAACAGCCTAGGCCAGAGTTCTTCCAGCCGATCCACGCAAGGTCCTATAGTATATTTTATCAGCAGACTTGAACTCAACTTGAACAGACAAGGGGGACGAACCGGGCTAGGGAAGTCGCAACGGTTGATGTAGACAGTTCCGGCTTCAATACGTTCAATCAAATCCTCGCCAGTCTTGATATCCTTTGTCCACACGCTAGCAGTCAGACCATAATCGCTGGCGTTCATCAGCGCCACAGCCTCGTCGTCAGACTGGACTTTCATGATTGGGATGACAGGGCCAAAGGTCTCCTCACGCATGACGCGCATGTCGTGCGACACGTTGGTGAGGACTCTCGGGGCAATGAAGCTCCCTGAGCCTGGGAGGTTCTCAAAGGTGGGGTTTGTGGGCGTAGAGTCGACCGCTCCACGGGACAGGGCCTCATCAATATGCGATTGAACATTCTTGACTGCTTGGCTGGAGATTACAGGGCCTGTAGTAGTTGCCTTGTCGTGGGGATCGCCGAGCTTGTAGCTGTGTAATTGTTAGCTAAGAACAATCGTCCAGGGGACGAGACTTACGTTGCTAGCTCCTTCTGAATCTCAGCTACAAAGGCATCATGTACATCTGCATGCACATATACGCGCTCAATGGCGCAGCAGCTCTGGCCGGAGTTGAAAACGGCGCCGTCAACGACATTCGCGGCCGTGTACGCCAGATCCGCATCAGGGCGGACGTAGGCTGGGTCATTACCACCGAGTTCCAGGTTCAGTGGCAGGATTCTACCGGCAGTTGCCTGACGAAGACGGAGGCCTCCCTGCGTAGATCCGACAAAGGAAACCAACTTGATCTGGGGAATCTTGACGACCTCGTCGAAAACCTCCCAAGCACCGAAGTGGACAACTTGTAGAACGTTCTTGGGCAGACCAGCTTGTTCGAAGAAGGAGGCAAGGCGGTCTCCGAACAAAGGAGTCTGAGGAGAGGGACGGAGTATCACGGTGTTTCCGGCGAGGAGCGCAGGGACGAGGGCATTGATGGTGATCAGGTATGGGTACTGCTTGGTTAGTTTTAGCTTGCAACGAATTGTTGGGAGGACTTACGTTCCACGCAGTCGCGAGAAGCACTGGCCCAACTGGAACCTTCTTGACATATCTGTTGAATCCGGTCTCCGCTTGCCCTGGAACGCTCTTGAGCTTATCCTCTGCCAGGTCAAGAAGGTAGTTGGCCCGCTTGCGCATCGTGTCAATCTCGCCACCGATGTAGGAAACTGGACGACCCATTTGATCGGCAAGTTCCTTCACAAGGGTCTCCTTGTTGGTGTCGATTATCTCCAGAGCCTTAACGATGATGGCCTTGCGCTCGGCGAGGGAGAGCTCCTTGTAGGTGCGGAAGGCATCTTCGGAGGCTTGGGCGACCTGGCCGATTTGGTCGAGAGATTGGCCAGGGTGTTCGAAGATGACTTTCCCGGAGGAGGGCGAGATGGTGCGCACTTGGTTTGACATTCTGGGATCGATAAGGGGCGTTAAAGAGAGAGGGGCAGGTTGTAGAGAGGACGACGGAGTGGCTACGTCGGCGGTCGTCTAAGGCGATAAGAAGTGGGGTAATGAAGCCTGAGGTATCAATTGGATCAGCATGGAAAGGCAGGTAATGCTTGAAGTTGAATTACTTGCCTGTTCAATTGGGTTTGTGAAGACAAGGTAAAGCCAGTATCTTTGCCACAAGGCAAATAATTTTGAGCAGTGGGTGTTGAGCTGGAGAGTTCCTGGATGACCTCAGGCTCCTCTTCCCCGCACCGCCACTACATATATACACCACAATTCCAGTGGCCAAATACATGGATATTGTCTTCGAAAAGAGGTCCTACTTATAGGGATTTATGCCCCCTGAAACCAATCCGATACTTCGGTAGAAGGAAGATACTGCCGCATAAACTTGAGGTCCAGCTTTGAGGCCTCGCGATTGGCACAATGCGAATCCAATTCATCAAATCAGCAAATGACCATGGACGTAGACGTGGGTGCAGTGGAATAGATGGTATATATATTAAAACGAAATTCAAAAAATGACTACAAAATTGAACGCTATACCTGGGCATGGCTAAATAAAGCACGTCATGATATCACAAGTGAATGTAGGTGGAAAGACTTCGACGAAGGGGTATAAAGGAACGAAAGATCGACCATAACTTCAAAAGGCGTTTTGCGGAGTCACTGTGATCACTTTCTGGGCCCTGTATAATCAAAGCTCCTCTTCCTGGCCTTCCTTGACTTCCTCGACATGGCTCTTTTCATAATTTTGGGTGCTGCTGGTCTCTATGGTCTCTTCCTTGCTCTCTTCTCTGTTCTCTCCCCAGCTTTCTCCCCTGCTCTCTTCTTTGCTCTCTTCTCCGTTCTGGGCGCCGGCCTGTTTTCCCTTGTTGGGGCTCTCCGTCTCTGACGGCGCCGGAGACTGCAGTTGACTCTTCGTGGCGCTACTGCTCTTACTCTCTCTTCGCTTCTTCCCGCGGATGATCAACCGGTTGTGGAATTCTGGCTCATCGACCTCCGGGTCCTCGTTGAGGATTCGGCGAGCCGACTCCCGTCCGATAACCGGCAGGCGATCAAGGCCCTGCACACCTTGAGGAACGAGCTTGGGATAGAGCAAGCCGACCTGGACCAGGACACTTGCCTGGTCCCAGTAAATATGTTCGGAGTACAGCTGTTTAGCACGTAGGCTAACGATGCTCACTACGACGATCTCTACCCTCTTATTGGTTGGAGGGACTCCCGGGAGCATCCACGGGACTTCCTGGGTATGCTCGAAGGAAATGTAGATCTCATCCACCACGCGATCGGCGCCTGTGGTTCGTGAAATCAGACGCAGGCGCATTGACGGAGGAAGCTTCTGGAGGAAATATTTATCATAGAAACGACGGAGAGCACGCGCCCCGGTGCCACCGCTAAGGGTCGGTGCGTATGTGACGGTAGGAGTGAGGTTCTTGGTGTAATGCTGCATAGTATCGTCAAGGTCCAGAGAGAAGAATTTGCCTGTAGTCCGTTAGTATTGGCTACAAATCCCAGTGAAATCCAAGCATACCCTGCAAATGCTCCTCCCAAGGCTTTTCCAAATCCCTGTCCTGTCCATAAGCTCTCCGAAGCATCTCGAGTGATCGAGTGAACGCAAGGTCTGCATCTAGCCGATTATACTCCTCCTGGTCCACTTCGGCGAAACCTGGCTCGGATTCAGAGTATGTATATGCGCGGTGTCCGATTTCAAGCTGCTCTCCTACCCCGATTCCGGGGTTGATCTGCCTGGTTGTTCGCTTCTTTTTACCTTGCAAGCCCAGAACCGTCGGTGTGGTGATAACGTCGATGACCTCGCCAGCCAGGTGCGTCAAGATGCGCACCGTCTGCGGGTAGTGCGACCGTATATCGGGGATGCTGGTCGGGTAGTAGCAGACGAGTGCGCACAGGCGACTGACGTTATTCGGCTTGAGATAATATTCCAAACAGAACGCTGCCGCGTCACCAAACGCTACAAGGATTAGAATCTCCATCCAGAAATAAGGATGGTGTTATTTGCATACCGATAATACCATAGTTGTCGCCAACACTGAGTCCCTCTTTGACAGCCGTCAGGCGACGAGCGTACTCCTTTTCATCCTCGCTATAAGGGACGTATACGACATTAAATCCCTCCTTCAGCCAGGCTTCGACGAATTCACGATCGAACTCGGGGGTCTCGGCAGTGATAATGAGGCGAGCATTCCTGGAGTTCGAATAGAGGAAGCCGCCGCTCGGGGCGTTGATAGTCACCGAAGCCATTGTTTATCAAATAGAAGTTGACATAGACTTTTTCCGCAAGAGAGGAATTGTTCCTGGAGGAAGTTTGGAACACCGTGTGAGTTAAAAAAGATGGGCAGATACGTCACCCTGCAACAGTCGAAATACGTCATACTCGTCATTTCCTTCGGGACACCGTCCAGCATCGTGGCGGAAAGCCCTGCTATAGGCGGATTCATCGCGCTTAATGAGTTTAATCTCAACACCCCCAGTATCAAATCAAATCTGGTATCGAATCTGCGATGTGCAATTGCTTTGCCTATTACACGCTAGTCCTCTGTCTTGAAGCTGTCGCCCCGCATTCCGACCATGGTCCGTGTCTGCGCGACGAGTGGCAAGGACGTATAGTCCGGATGCAGCATCGTGAAGGAGTGAAATTCATCGCCTGTCCTCATCATCATGATGATTTCTCGTACTCATTCATGCACTGATTAATATATATCGGTATCATGCCATATCGGTTGTGAAAGGGGCTCGAAGCCGACTCCGCACATATCGGTGCTAATCGAGAAGTTTCGACCTCCCGACCGCGACCTGTCTAGGCCCACGACAGACACTACGCAACCTCCCCTCTTTTGTCAATGGCCTTCTCTTCTTCTCTTTTATTCCCTGCGGCCGCATAGGTTTATTCACATAGCGAGCTGATTATACCTGACATATCATACTATGTCCCTCGTGCAGCATGTCTCTGCACTCGAGGGCGTGGATCGCGCCGTAGAACCTGAGGAAGAAGAGACTTTCGACGTCTCCCACGAAGGATATGGGTCAATCCGACGAAAAATCAGCTATGACCTCTTCCCACAGCCGGTCTCCGTTATTGAAGAGACTTCGACAACTGCTCCTTACAAGGTTCCTACTGCGCAGAGACTAGGTACTCTCCCGCGACGCAGAATTTGAACGACGCGTGCTAACGTTTCCAAAGCCCAGGTGCTCGCTACGATATTGGCCTGTTGGCTTGGTTCCGGAATAATTTTTGGTTTTGCGGCACTAAAACCTGTCCTTGTCGCCCAGGGTGTCTATCGCAATTTGTGTGCGGCGGAGGAGCTGGATGGGGAGTTGGATACCTGCACCGAGCAGGAGCTAAGGTAGGTGTTGCGGTCAAACAAGCTAGACTATGCTAATTCCGTTTTCCAATTGCAGATTGAACTTCTTCTTCACCGTAGGATCGATCACAGCAAATGTTTCGTCTCTTCCGGTCGGCTCTATCCTCGACCGCCATGGCTCCCGTGTTTGCGGTTTTGCGGCCAGTGTCATTTTGGCTGCCGGCAGCTTGTTGATGGCCTATTCGTTCAGACATCCAGAAGTCGATGGCTATATTGCTGCCAATTTCCTGCTCGCACTTGGAGGAACTTTTCTCTTTGTTCCCTCCTTTCAGATAGCGAATGCATTTCCAAAATACAGTGGCACCATTGTTGCTCTTGTGACGGGCGCGTTCGATGCATCTGCTGCAGTTTATCTGTTCTATAGGCTAGCCTTTGAAGCGAGCGACGGAGTCTTAACTCCGGACAGATTCTTCTTTGGCTATACCCTGGTTCCCGTATTGATTTTCTTCACATGGATTGTTCTTATGCCAGCTCATGATTATCAGACCACCCACCAACTAGAGGTCAGAATTGAAAAGGCAGAGGATGCAACCAGGGATGTTCATGACTCGGATGATGATATTGAAAGCGATGGAGAGCTCCGACGAATAAGACGGGAACGTGCTGAGCGCCGCCGTGAAAAAATGGTCAAGCTTGACAAAGTTCTTGGTGACGAGGAGGAACGAAAGCAGCGCGAGCAACATGAAGAAGAGCGTCAGCAAACCAGTGCCGTCTGGGGTGTTCTTCATGGCCTGCCAGCTCATAAACAGATGGCTAGCCCATGGTTCATACTCATAACGGCGCTCACAGTTTTGCAAATGCTCCGAATGAACTACTTTATCGCCACAATCCGGTCCCAGTACGATTTCATGCTCGACGAGCAACGGGGAGAAGAGATCAATGAATTCTTTGATATCGCCTTGCCGATTGGCGGAGTAATTTCTACGCCGTTCATCGGGCTGCTACTCGACCACCTCAGTGTCCCATTTACACTGGCAATTATAGTGTTTCTGACCACGGCCATTGGCGTTCTTAACTCTATTCCCACATTGTCAACTGGCTATTTAACCGTCGTACTTTTTGTTCTCCTACGTCCATTATATTACTCTGCCATGTCGTAAGTGAAATACACCCAATCAACTTACGGGAACTAACAGGGAATTATCAGTGACTATACCACTAAAGTCTTTGGCTTTGCCACTTTCGGTCGTGTTTACGGAACTATCATCTGCTTGTCCGGCCTGGTGAATTTCTCCCAGTACGAACTAGACGCACTGACCCATGGTCCGTTCGATGGCAATCCCATCCCAATCAATATCATATTCGCAGTAGCGGGATTTGTCGTCGGCTCAATCCTAGTTGGTTATGTGGCGACGGCAGGATCCCGGCTTAGGAAGCAGCAGCAGCAAGAAGTCGAGGAAGGTGAAAGGCAGAGATTGATCCCTGTGGCGGAAGAGGGGCCCGCGACTAGATATATGTAGGGTAGGTGAGTGAAGGTGAAGATGAAGGTGGAGTGCTGTAACTTCATGCCTCGCATATACGATTGAGGCCATGGTTTACTTGTTGTACATAATACATATTCTCCCCTCAACTTAGGTTGATAAATATAATTATGGCAGGGCAATCTGCCTGCCCAGAATACACATTGTCATATCGAAATGCCGAACAGACAAGACACGGCACTTGGTCTTGGAAGTCTTGTCCCTAGGATCGTTCAAACCGACCATGGTGCTGATTGGAGCGGCATTTAACTTCATCTTTCAGTTATAAGCATTGCCTCGCTTCATCCAACCTCCCCAGTCCAATCGAGCTCTCTCCAACCCAACGACCGAAAGCTAATAACCTCCCAACGCCATCGCCAAGCCCGCCAAGATCCCTCCTCATCTGCGATCCCGAGGCATCTATCAAGATTCAAGACTCTCTCTAACAGTTACGTCGCAAACTTGACGGTGTTCTCCGGAATTCAAGAAAGGCCTAAACCCGGTGGACCTCCCCCGCACAAAACGGGTCCAGCCCCGGCCAGTCCGGGGAAGAAGACGCGGCAGTCCTACTACATTGAGTTATGCGCCGAGGCAGTTTCACCTCCCAGCCCGGCTATTGTGCTGGCCTGGTTGGATCGGCACTTGGGAACTCGGTGCTATTGGTAGGGAGTGTGGGCTCTGCGACGTCGAGTGCGACACTCAGACTTCGATCAGTTCCTTAGTTACAAGTGTTGTCTCCACGCGTTGGAGTGGTGGCTTCCACGTACTCACTCATAGGACATGGTCCGGGGTAGGGATCCAGACGGGGTAAAATAAGCGGAGGAGGGGCAGACCCTGGGCCTGGAGTTGTTAGATGCCTAATTCATAATTGTCGTGTATGTCATGTTGTTTGCTCACATTTTAGCTGGCTTGGCTTCGTTTGGGAATATAAATCTCGAATCCACCCCCGGTGCCCTACCTGGCCTGTCTTAATCCATTGCGCACCCTGGGCCCAGTTTAATTGCTCTCCATTCCTGACCTACAATGTCCCTCTCCGACGAAAAGCGCTCGCCGAGCGTGGAGAATATCGAAAATGCAAAGCTACCGGCCCTAAACAATGACGACTACGACGAGGAGTTCTCGCCGGAGGAGCAGAAGCGCATTATCCGACGGATTGACCTGCGGCTTGTCTCCATCACTGGTCTCGCGTATTGCGTTTCGCTCATGGACCGGACGAATTTGAGTATGGCTGCTGTTGCTGGGTGGGTTTCTCTTGTCTTTACATGAGGTTGAGGAATGGTTGCTGATGAGATGATACTAGGATGGTCAAGGACTTGGAGCTTGTTGGATTCAGATATGTAAGTAGCTATGGATACCTGGTGGATATTGGCTAATGAATGCTGATTGGAAATACAGTCAATCGTCGTCTTGACTTTCTTCATACCTTACGTGATCTTCCAACCACCAATGACGGTCGTAACGAGGAAGCTGGGACCTACCCTCTTCCTGGGGAGCATTGTGATTGCATGGGGTGCAATCCTCGTTGTATGTACTGCCTCAAGTTGGTTTGGTTCTACCTGCTGACGGTCTAGGGCATGGGTTTCACCAAGAACTGGAAGCAAATGACTGCTTGTCGGATACTCCTCGGTTTGCTTGAAGCGGGTAAGAGATACAACCCGTCCATGGTCCGACCAGCAATACTAACCATCTCGAAGGATACTTTCCCGGCTGTGTTTACCTCCTGTCTAGTTGGTATGCTCGATGTAAGTTTATTTTGGACATATTGCGCTTATCCGATCTGATCATGGTCAGATGACGTCCAAAAGAGATTCTCCATATTCTACCTCATCGGCTGTGTGGCCTCGGCCTTGGCTGGGATTCTGGCCTTCGGCCTTATGCAGATGGAGGGAATCCAAGGAATAAGGGGATGGAGATGGATATTTATAATGGAGGGAGTGGTATGTGATGCCGTCGTATATGACATAGGTGTCTGCTAACAGGGTTAGATCACTGGAGCCATCGGTATCCTCACCATAGTTTTCCTGGTCGACTTCCCTGACCGGGCACACAAGTCCTGGAAGTTTTTGAACGAAAAGGAAACCGCATTTATCGTGCGACGTATCAACCGTGACCGATCAGACGGAGATGCTGAACCTTTCAGTCTCAAGAGATTCCTGAGACCAGCGCTGGATCTGAAGATCTGGGGGTTCGCAATGATCTTTTTGTAAGGGAACGCGCGTTTTATATTAGGCATTCCAGCTGACCATGGCTAGCTGCGTCACAACGGTTACCTATGCCATCGCATACTTCCTTCCAATCATCCTGTCAGAAGGAATGGGCTTTGACACTGGCACCTCGCAATGCCTCGTCGCGCCTCCCTTTGGCTTTGCCGGGTTTGTGATGTTCGGAACGTCCTGGGTGGGCGATAAGTATCGCTTTCGTGGACCAGTCCTCATCTTCAATGCCCTTCTTTGCATCATCGGCCTCCCCATGATGGGATTTGCCAAGAGCCACGCCGTACAGTACGTGGGTGTCTTCTTCACAGTGGCAGGCTCAAACTCCAATATCCCGGCCACAATGGCATACCAGGCCAACAACGTCCGTGGTCAGTGGACCCGCGCACTGTCCAGCGCTACCCTTGTTGGGTTTGGAGGGATCGGAGGCATAGCTGGGTCGCTTGTCTTCCGCGATTCAGATAAGCCAGAATACCGGCCGGGAATCTGGTGCGCCATCGCGTGTAATTTGCTCCTCATGCTTATCGTGGTCGTGCAGAGCATCTATTTCCGTATTGCGAACCGACAAGCCGAGCGGGGAGCACGGATCATCGAGGGGTCTCCGGATTTTCGATATACTATTTAGCGGGGCCGAGGCAGTGATGCAGACCGTATATTATTGGGTATTATTGAAAGACAACACAATTGAATGCACTTATTATTCAAAGTAGAGTGTTTAAATCGTCCAATTTGTAGGAAAGTGAGTGATGTCATTGCTCCCCGCGGCGTGAGGACCGCAACTCCGCCCATCACCCATCAAATGCCACTTATTGAGCCGGAGTAATTCAGCTTGACTCCGACACAAAAGACCTTGGGAGAGCTACCCCTCGCCACCAGCAGCAGTCCCCCGGTCGGTGTGGAGGAGACGAAAATTGCATTCCGGCGAGTCTTTGCCTTCCCGCGGAAAGAGCGATAAGCCTGTGGGCGCCGTTATCGGGGGCCAATCAGCAGCGGGCTCGGGGCTGATAACGGGGCCTCGGGCAGTTTCCCGTCGGTCTTCCATAGTACAACATCATCGTGACTTTTCTTGACCTCTGCTCGGCTTCATTTCTTTTTCTCTTCTTCTCCAGCTTCAATCCTCCTTTCTCTCCCTATACTCTCCTCTCACTCACTCACTCTTCACTCAATTGCGTCGGTCGCCGCCTATGCCGTCGCGATAAGAGCTCGACCTATCCCTACAAATCCCCGATAGAGCTTCCTACTGCTGACGAGCTACCCCCTTGACCCCTCGTTCAACGATGGCTGCGTCTTGGTGCTTGCGCGGCTCTCGCCAGCTCGCACTGCGCGCTCCATTGCGCACAGCTCCCTCTGCTCCTGTGCGGAGCCGATTCCTCCCCGCATACCGTGCCCTGCACACAGCAACACAACAGTCGCATTCATCCCGGCGGCCTGTTTATACCAGTTCTTTGGCGGACCACGGCGTCCCTCACCCTCGCGATGTCTTCCAACCGCTAGATACCTTTCCTCGACGCCATATCGGCCCATCGCCGGAGGCCGCAGAAGAGATGTTGGCAGTCCTCGACCCTCCAGTTGCATCCCTCGACGAATTCGTCAAGCAGGTGCTTCCGCCGGATGTTCTGTCTAAGAAGAACTTGGATGTCGCACGTGCAAGCGCCGACGAGGGGCTACCTCGGAGCAGTGTCCACGGAGGCCTGGGCGAGACAGACATGCTGAAGTTGTTGGACAAGTACCGGGAGCAAATCGACGTTTCTGGAAAGACATATATTGGTTCTGGTTACTACCCCACGATTGTGCCCCCGGTGATTCTCCGCAATGTCCTGGAAAACCCTGCCTGGTACACTAGCTACACCCCTTACCAGCCAGAAATCAGCCAGGGTCGTCTGGAGTCGCTCCTGAACTTCCAGACTCTGACCGCGGATCTGACCGGTCTCCCATTCGCCAATGCTTCGGTTTTGGATGAGGGTACTGCCGCCGCTGAGGCCATGACCATGTCCTTCGCTACAATGCCCGCCAGCAAGCAGAAGAAGGCCGACAAGACATACGTTGTCTCTGATTTGTGCCACCCCCAGACCATTGCAGTGATGCGCTCTCGTGCGGAAGGCTTTGGCATCAACCTCGTTGTTGGAGACATCCTGGCCAATGACTTCCAGCTCGTCAAGGACCATGGAGAGCACCTGATCGGTGTTCTAGCACAGTACCCTGATACCGAGGGTGGTATCTACGACTTCCAGTCTCTGAGTGACGCTATTCACTCCTCTGGCGGTACCTTCAGCGTTGCCACCGATTTGCTCGCTTTGACGCTTCTGAAGGCACCGGGCGAGTTTGGTGCAGACATTGCCTTTGGTAGCGCCCAAAGATTTGGTGTTCCCATGGGATACGGCGGCCCTCACGCTGCCTTCTTTGCTTGCGCTGACAAGTACAAGCGCAAGGTTCCTGGCCGTGTTGTTGGTGTTTCCAAGGACCGCCTGGGTAACCGTGCTCTCAGACTGGCACTCCAAACCAGAGAACAGCACATTCGCCGCGAAAAGGCTACCAGCAACATCTGTACTGCACAGGCGTTGCTTGCAAACATGAGCGCCATGTACGCAGTCTACCATGGACCTGAAGGCCTTAAAGCCATTGCTCAGCGCATCATGTCCATGACCACCGCCTTACAGGCCAAGCTTGCTGCTTTGGGCTACAATGCCCCTGCCAAGTCAAACGTTGCCGACGGTGCTGCTGTCTTCGATACCGTTACCGTAGAGCTCGCGAACAGCCAGGAGGCCGACGCCATCATCGCAGCTGCACGCGAGAAGAAACTTTTCCTTCGACGCGTGTCTCCTACCAAGGTCGGCGTTTCTCTCGATGAAACCGCTGGTCGCGATGAGATCAAGACTATCCTCGAGGTCTTCGCTTCTCACGCCAAGGGTGAAGTTACCCTTGAGCAGGAGCTCAACCTGGCTCACATTCCTGCCAGCCTGGAACGCACATCTTCCTATCTCACTCACCCGGTATTCAACACCCACCGCTCTGAAACCGAAATGCTGCGGTATATCCGTCACCTAGAGTCCAAGGACTTGTCTCTGGCCCACTCCATGATCCCCCTCGGCTCTTGCACGATGAAGCTCAACGCTACTACCGAGATGATCCCCGTGTCGTACCCTGAGTTCTCTCAGATGCACCCATTCCTTCCCGCAGATGTCGCCAAGGGATACACTCAGATGATTGATGACTTGGAACAGCAGCTTGCGGACATCACTGGAATGGCCGAGGTAACGGTTCAGCCCAACTCTGGTGCCCAGGGTGAGTTCGCCGGTCTGCGTGTCATCAAGAAGTTCCAGGAAGCCACTGGCAGCGCCAAGCGCAACATCTGTTTGATCCCTGTCTCTGCCCACGGCACCAACCCCGCCAGTGCTGCCATGGCCGGCATGAAGGTCGTCACAATTAAGTGTGAGACCAAGACTGGTAACCTTGATCTAGGCGACCTCGAGGCCAAGTGTGAGAAGCACAAGGACGAACTGGCTGCTATCATGATCACCTACCCCAGTACGTTTGGTGTGTACGAGCCCGGTGTGAAGAAGGCTTGCGAACTTGTCCACCAGCATGGCGGTCAGGTCTACATGGACGGAGCCAACATGAATGCCCAGATCGGACTGTGCTCACCTGGTGAAATCGGTGCCGATGTCTGCCACCTGAACCTGCACAAGACCTTCTGTATTCCCCACGGTGGTGGTGGCCCTGGTGTCGGTCCAATCGGTGTCGCAGAGCACCTTCGTCCCTACCTGCCGTCGCACCCCAACAGCGAGTACCTCCAGTCCAAGCGTTCCGAGTCTTCCTCCCCCCCAATCAGTGCTGCACCTTGGGGTAGCGCCAGCATCCTTCCCATCACCTTCAACTACATCAACATGATGGGCTCCAAGGGATTAACCCACGCAACCAAGATCACCCTGCTCAACGCCAACTACATCCTCTCCCGTCTCAAGGAACACTACCCTATCCTGTACACCAACGACAACGGCCGTTGTGCCCACGAGTTCATCCTTGACGTCCGCAAGTTCAAGGATACCTGCGGTGTTGAAGCCATTGACATTGCCAAGCGGTTGCAGGACTATGGCTTCCACGCACCGACCATGTCCTGGCCTGTGGCCAACACCCTCATGATCGAGCCCACAGAATCCGAGAGCAAGGCAGAGCTCGACCGCTTCTGTGATGCTCTCATTTCCATTCGTCAGGAGATCGCAGCCGTCGAGAGCGGCGAGCAGCCCCGCGATGGCAACGTCCTCCGAATGGCTCCGCACACCCAGCGCGACCTCCTAGCCACCAAGTGGGATCGCCCATACACCCGCGAAGCGGCCGCCTACCCTCTTCCCTACCTCATTGAGAAGAAGTTCTGGCCCTCCGTGACGCGAGTGGACGATGGTAAGCATCTCGAATCTGAAATTTTAGTTGAACATTGCTAACAAAGCACAGCCTACGGAGACCAGAACCTGTTTTGCACATGCGGACCCGTCGAGGACAGCGAATAGATATGATACCCATGTTTCATTAGACTTATGACTATACTATATTTTCAACACTTTTGGGAAGGCTGTTGTGGCATTGTGTGAGAGATTCAACATGACCATGGTAGGCCCGGCGTTGGTCGGATTGGTTCCTTCAACATAGCACTGGATTGCTTCTTGCATATAATAAAAGTCCCTTCAAAATATACTTTATCCCAAATTATCTCAAAAGTCTGATGTTCTCCGTAACTTTAACGTGATGATCGATGCTATCGGTGGGCCCCGACAGCACCAGCGCCGGTCGGAGGAAGCCGCTGCTGTCAGCGAATTGCGGAGGTCGCCATCCTGCTCCACCAAGTTATCTATCCTCTGATACCTATAAATTTGGGCCTTCTGTTTCCTCTCCATTTTATTCCCCAAAAAGAAACTCCGGGCCTGCGGATGCGAAACGGCTTTCCACGTCTGATATGACAGCACATGACAAGAGATCACATGACCCCCCGCAAGCAGTGTATGAACACAAAGACAACGTCTCAATTTCAAAAAAAAACTCTTTAGAATTCCCTCGCTCGCTCGTAAGCAGCTTCCAGTCGCATTGAATTCCCACGTGGTCGCTGCATATCTCGGTGCTACCGTGATTCGTGATATTCCTCCGGTTCCAAAGGTTCCAAAGCTTCTCTCCTTACGGCATACAGCAAGCTAACCCGCATGGCAGATTTGAATATCAGCAAAACAACCCGTGGAAATGGCGCCCGTTACCCTGTTCTTTGGGACATTCGTGGACCTTCCCCGGTTAAGATCCGGCCGGAAGCATGAGCTCTCTATCAATCATGGCGTGCTCTGGGTGTCGGCGTCGACTGGCCGGATCGAGGGATTTGACTGGAGTGTTGACAGCGAAGAAGAATTGCAGTCATTTGTTAGGAAAAATGGCTGGGTGGATGTACAGATTGTACGATCAAGGGAGGACCAAAACGAGTTTTTCTTTCCCGGGTTTATCGGTACGTGACTGATACATATTGACATCGCTGAAAGAAACCTGCTAACGAGTGTGATAGATACACATATCCACGCGTCTCAATACCCAAACTCAGGCCTCTTCGGCTCGTCAACTCTCCTAGACTGGCTAGAATCATATACATTCCCACTCGAAAGCTCCATGTCCCGTCTCTCCAAAGCCCGAGCGGCCTACGACAGCGTCATCTCCCGCACCCTTGCCAACGGCACCACATGCGCCTCCTACTTTGCAACCATCCACGTCCCCGCAACAAACCTCCTCGCAACTCTCTGCCACACCCGCGGCCAACGCGCCCTCATCGGCCGCGTCTGCATGGACAACCCCTCCTTCTGTCCAGAGTATTACCGCGACGAATCCGCGCAGTCCTCCATATCTGCAACAGAGGAAACAATATCCCACATCCACGCGCTCGACCCAGAATCCAAGCTCGTTAAACCCATTGTCACCCCTCGTTTCGCTCCAACCTGCTCACCCACTGCCCTCGCCTCCCTCGGCGCCCTCGCAGCATCCCACACCCCGCCCCTGCACATCCAAACGCACATCTCAGAGAATACATCCGAGTGTGCCCTCGTCCACTCTCTCTTCCCAGAATACCCCTCTTACGCAGCCGTCTACGACGCACATTCCCTGCTTACCCCGCGCACGATCCTCGCGCATGCGGTCCACCTCACCCGCGAAGAAAAGGAACTCATCGCGTCCCGCAAGGCCAAAATCTCGCACTGTCCAGCGTCTAATTCGGCGCTGGGTTCGGGGATTGCACAGGTCCGGGATCTCATTGATAAGGGGATCACGATTGGTCTTGGGACGGATGTTTCGGGGGGATATAGCCCCAGTATCCTTGAGGCGGTGCGGCAGGCTTGTCTTGTTAGTCGGCTGTTGAGACATACGACTTCAAATGTCAGCGAGGGGGCTGATGGAGAGGAGGATGAAGGCAGGGAGATACTCTCCGTCGAAGAAGCGCTATATCTTGCGACGCGCGGCGGTGCGGCTGTCGTTGATATGGACGGTGAATTGGGCGGCTTTGAGGTGGGCATATTTTGGGATGTTCAGATGATTCGGCTTGGGCCGACTACAGCCTCTGCTGGGACTGCAGCTGTATCTGCATCTACTGCTGGCTCTGGGTCTGAGACTCAGTCTGTAGTTGATATCTTCGGCTGGGAGTCCTGGACTGAAAGGGTCCATAAGTGGGTGTGGAGCGGGGATGATCGGAATGTGAGAAGGGTTTGGGTTAGAGGGGCTCTTGTCCATTCTATTGATGATGACGGCGATAATAGTTCTGAGAAGGGGTTATTTGGATTGGCTGCTGATGGTATGAGGCAAGACTGGGTGCGTTGGGCATTGGGTGGTGTTGGTGTTGGCGCGTTAGGACTGATATTGGGGGGAAGAGTGAGGAGAGTCTGAATGTGGAATATTTCATGGTTCATTTTGTTTGCTTGCATATGATGCAACTGTGATGGAGTTAGACTTGCATGCATCTGCCTTTGCATCTACGTTTTCTTTGTACTCGTGATCTGGGAAGTTTTGACACTGGAAGAGAAATAGTCACCAGGGATATCTTCAGGAAGTGAATTATGTATATACACATGTACTACCACTATGTACAAAATGTTAATATCACTGTCCATAGTATCTACTTAAACAGCATCAAGAGACAAGAAATAACATCTCGCCTTTACCCCTTACTGGAAGAGCTCAATGCAGTCAAAGACCTATGCAGATTAGCGACAAAACATCATGGAAGGTATAAAAAGACTCACCACATTAGGACTCAAGAAAGTGTCTCCTGAACTTCCGGAGATAACACTGATAGTGATCTATACAGCGAGTCAGCAAGTGAATTCTCAATACAAAAAAGAGATAAGAAAAAACGAACCGTGTTCTCCCCCTCGACAATTGTCCCAGCAGGAACACTAACATCATACACCTCGCCGAGACCACGGTACGCCCCACGAGTAACGCCGCGCGAGTTAAGGTTCGTCGGTGCTGACGGAGCAGTCCCACTGTAACTGTTAATCTGTTACTTTGTTAGTTTGCGTTCTTCTTCTCGTATGTAGGTTGTTGGCTGGCATACCGTTGCCTGCGGCCGACCACCAGCAAACGAAAGCGTAGTTCCAATGCGAAGTGTCGCAGCGCCTGTTTGCGCGGATGTTGCGGTGAATACGATAGTTACTGGGTTATTGACACTCTTGAAGACGGCCATGGGGAAGTCAGTGAGCGACGAGGAACCGACGGTGTAGGTTAGGGGGCCCCAGTCGGACATGCGCGAGTCGGACGGGTGCATGCGCAGTTGGTTTTCGGCGTTGCGGAAGCCGGTTGGTCTACCAGAAACTGTCAGTTGACTACGATCGAATAGAAATAGAAGGGGAAGCCTTACTGGCCGTCCCATTCTCCGATTTTGAAAATTGTTGTTCCTGTTTCGACTGAGCCGGAGATGTTCTTGGTCGTGGCTGATCCGGCGGATACAGTGACGGAGGTTTCGGCGACGGCGAATTCGCCCTGGTAGTACTTCATCGTGTACGTCCCAGGCTTCATAGCGGGCGAGGTGAAGCTGCCGTCAGATGCCGTGTATGTCCAGTACTGAGCGTCGTCGTTGAACCTGCGCCATAGTTAACTATAGTTCGCCTTCCATTGAAACTGTATTGGCCTACCAGTGGACAACCCAGTCCATGCTAGAGTCGGCACCCGAGGCAGTCCCAGTGACAGTTCCTCTCCCACTTGCAGCAACATAGCCCTCGATATCCAAGTTGGCGAAGAAACTGGTGTCGATGTCTGTTCCCGGTGTGCCGCTTCGACTGAAGTACATTGAGTACGGACCGTGGAGACCCATTCGGTAGGATTCGGTTTGGACGTGGCCCGAGTTCTATCCTAGTTAGCCGAGAAGGGTAAGAGTTTATATCAGAACATACCATGTACCAGTAAAGAGCGGTGTAAGCGCCTCCGTTGTTGGAGTTGATGTCACTAAGTTTATTAGCATTGATCAGTGTCAAGCTTGAACAATTCATACCGGAAGAAAGGACCGCCAGAAGAGCCTTCGTATTGGTTGAGAATCATGCAAACGCGGTGGGCGCTTCCTGCGACACCTGCTAGGGTAAGCGGGTATTCAGAAAAAGCGTAAAAACCACTTACAGTGTCTGTGGTCATCGATGAACCGCTCGCTGGAGTAGAACTTGCTACGGGTTTGTCCATCGACCAGGAACTTCAACGGTTAGCGATATCCTTCTCTGATCTATTCACGTAGAGACTTACCACATCGGATCCCTCAACAACACTGCCATCAGCGGTGGTCGAGACGGCTCCGAATGGCTCCTCGTTGGGTAGAAGCTCCGAGTTGAGCCGGGCAATGAATCGCAGCTCGCCAATATCGGGTTCTGCAGCGGTCAGACGCGAGTCAGGGGTTGAGACATGGGGGGAAATTACCCGCGGTGATATAGGTTGCCATGTGGATTATAGAGTCTCCGTTGTGGACGACGAAGTACTGGGTAAGGGTCGATGTCTCACAAGTTACCTTGATATAATCGCCTTCAAAGTGTCAGCACATGCTCTCGATGAATCCAACCTCCTAGTTTCCTACCATCTTGGGTCGCAGAGACTGTTGCAGATCCGAGACCGGAGCCGATATGGCTCCCCGTGCTCTGGTACTGAAGTTCCGCTCCATAGTAAGAGATCGATGTGATATCGCAACTCGACTGCGAGACAGTGAACTTCAGGGGATTCGCAGAGCCCGCATCAATGGTGTACGAGCCACCGTTGTTGACGATGCCGAAAGCCGCATTGGCCACATTTGCCCATAGGGCGATGGAAGATAGAAGCAGAGTTCTGGGCAACATGATGTGCGTGACTGTTGCTGATTTCAGACGACGATCGCTGAGGCAAACCAGGAGCTTAAATTCATTTCCACCGTTCGTAAATCAGTAGGGCTCGAAATGCCCAGGGGGGGATGGACCCCTCTCATTTAGAAGTCTTCACCGTCTTTCATCTAGAGGTTCCACCAATCTCGACAGACTGTCGAGAAGGGCTATACCTCCGTGCCTAGTTAGGCCTGAAGAATAGTCTATTGTCTGGTGTCTCCGGTGTATGGCCTGCTGTTACAGGCCGCCACGTTCTGCAGAACCGCCGAAATAGTGGAATTCCTCTCCGGCGGGCGGTTTACTTGTGACGGCATGATCCCTGTCTAATTTTGACGACATGGCATTAATTTAAACCTTGGCGATTGATCCAGGCATATTCCGGAGGAGCTCGGTGCAGTGGCGGACGAACGGAACATGGCCTGTCGCGATACCCCTTTGAACGCGGGCTGTCGGATTAATCAAGTGTTTTATGAAATTTGAACCGATCAGGTCGTAAACTCGTCTATTTCCTGAAAGATTTGAAGATTGGGGTCTGCGACTCGCGAAAACCCTCCACCCCCGAGCGCTGGAGAAGCTTTCTATATGAGACAGCCACTCGAGGCCAAGTGGGCTGTAGTCCAAACTCGACATAGCGCCAATCTCTGCAAAACACAGTAATGGGGCTAGCCTAGGGCAGTAAGTAAGCACTGCTTTTCGACATGATTCTGGAGTGCCGATGGCTTATGGTCGCTCAGTGCCCCAACATTATGATCGTCCTCAACCCTGCCACAGAGTTAGGGCTGTGAACTGCGATCAGCACTCTGGATCGTATTTTTAGTCTTTTGTTGGTCGCCCAGAACCAAAGCGGCTATGAAGCACTATCGATGAGCTCTGACTTCAAATCCAATAGCATGATGAACCTGCTCGCTGATCCCAACCTGACAATGGATGCTGGAGAGCCTGTGTAACCCCCGGCCGTGTCGGGCAACATTCCGATGAGCATCCAACATTCCAACCACGATGATCTCACCGAAGATCCCAACGTGCTCGGAACTGTTTCGTTGTTTCCGGCCCAGCAGTGCGTACTCCATCATGATCGCGTCTGTCTTTTGCGGGGATTCGGGTTTGGTATGGTGGGTGAATCAAGCATCCACCCCGTGGTCCGTCTAAACTTGGATCAGGAACCGTCGGTCTGCTGCCATTCCTTTCGGTTTATTGTTGTTTGTTTCATGATGGAAGTCTCTGCGTGCCAGTCACTGCTTTCAGCCTCGTGGCCGATAAGGAATGTGAGTATTGTTCTCGAAAGCTGCTACGCATTGTTCTTCAACTATTCAGATTCCACGACGAGGCTGGGCCAGCGACAACCCATTAGCAGCTGTTTCTGTCACCCATCCGATTCGCTGTCCCCGGATACATCGGGGCCAAGGCTTCATGAGCCCTGTCTGAGACTCAGCCATTGGGGCTCGGCGTAGTTACCGCACACAATGTTTGCACTGCCCGACAGCTCCGCTGTCCTGCCTGTCTTTGCTTACTGTATTTCCATGAATCAGGAGGGCTCTGATCGTTTGGATGCAATCAGCCAAGGTCGGTTTCGGTATAAAAGAGCCCTCCCTCGGCAAGATTCCATGATGGCTGTGGTTTTGGTAGGACAAACCGCCTCACGAACGGTGTGCTGTTGTCTTTGTCTTTTTTCTCTCCCTTTCTGCCACTGTTGCTTGCTACAGACAAGATGCGATTCAACCTGTCTCTCTCAACAGCCCTTGTGGCCTTGCTTGCCCAATCTGTCACCGGCCTTGGTTTGCGATCTGACCTGGCAAGAAAGTTGCAGCTCTCAGCTGAGTTGGGATTGGATCCGAATGACTTTCTGGAACATCACCAATCGGTCCATTCTGTCGGTGCGAAGACTAGTGATAGTGGTGTTTCTCCTAACTATGTTTCGGTGTGCTCCCATTCCATGCTGGTATATAGGAGACTCTTGCTTACTGAGCCACAGCTCCCTATCGACCACGATGATCCATCTGTGGGAACCTACAAGAATCGATACTGGGTGAATGACGGCTACTTTGAACCCGGTGGCCCAGTCATCTTGTACGATGCTGGGGAATCGAACGGAGAGGGCTTCGTTTCGCATCTCACCTCCGACCTTACATTTCTCAGTAGACTGCTGAATGAGTTCAAGGCGATAGGAATAATCTGGGAGCATCGGTTAGTCCCTCTACTTCCATCTGAAGATGCGAGAGGTTTGACAAGGTTAACATGAACAGGTATTACGGAGAATCATTGCCATACCCTGTCTCCAATCAGACACCGCCGGAGCATTTCAAATATCTTACCACCGCCCAGGCCCTAGCCGATATTCCTGCCTTTGCGGAGAATTTCAGTCGTCCGGCCTTTGAGGATATCGACCTGTCCCCAAAGTCAACTCCCTGGGTTATGGTGGGAGGTTCCTACGCCGGTGTAAGGGCTGCACTTGCTCGTCAGGAATATCCAGATACGATATTTGCAGCCTTTGCTTCCTCGGCTCCAGTTCAGGCGCGGATCAATATGAGTTCCTATAATGACCAGGTATATCGGGGGATGGTTGCCAACGGTGCCGGCAATTGTTCCAAGGACATCCACGCTGCGTTGGAATATATCGACGACCAGCTCTCGCATGAACGCACAGCGGCATCGATCAAACAACTTTTCCTCGGCGCCGGTGCCGAGAAGAACTCGAACGAAGACTTTACTGTGGCCCTCGGGGGTATATTCGGCTTCTACCAGGCCAGCGGTATGGGAGGCCCTGCAGGGTCACTAGGTGATTTCTGTAATTATCTTGAGCAAGACCCTATTACGAATAAGACGGTAGGCCCTGAAGGCCTTGCTCCTCGCCGTGGGAAAAAGTATGTCGCAGAGCGTTGGGCTAAATGGACCCCGTTTGCGCAATTGGTCAACTTGAACATGGAGACAAACTGCCGAGGCCTGGACAACTCAACTGCGCCATCTTGCGAGCTGAACAAGCCAACGACCAGCCCAGACGCCATCGCCTGGACATGGCAGTACTGCACTGAGTGGGGGTACTATCAGAGCAACAACGTGGGAATCCACTCCATCCTCTCCCGCTTCCAAACCCTGGAGTTCCAACAAGACATCTGTAACCGGCAGTTCCCAGAAGCTGTCAAGAGCGGACTCCTCCCCTCACAGCCGCAGGCAGACGCGCTGAATGAGGTATTTGGTGGCTGGACTATCCGGCCATCGAATGTGTTCTTCAGCGAAGGTGAATTCGACCCCTGGAGGACATTGAGCCTGCTTTCGACCGAGGAGTTTTCACCGAAGCTCAACGTCACGTCAGAAATCCCGAAGTGCGGTGTACAGACCGATGCAGGCACCGTCTTTGGATATGTCGGGGCTAATGAATTCCACTGCTTCGATTTGGACCTCTTCAACGATGGTGCGAAGGAGTCGCTGGGTTATTTCCGCCAGGCGTTGAAAGAATGGCTCCCTTGCTTCGAGAAACAAAACCACGATTGAGGTATATAAATCATGTCAGCATCAATACTGTATGTTAATATCAGCAAGATAGCACATAAGCCATAAACTGCATGAGTGTCACTCCGTAACATTCCCATCGGATGGAAATTCCCCCGTCATTCGTTCAGCTCCTTGGAAATCTGGGTTAGTCATCGGTGGCCTGTCGGTGGCCGGTCGCAAGCTGTCCTCGATCGGGACTAGCGCAGGGTTTCCCCAGTCTCCTCAGCCATCCGGGGGAACTTCCCGCCTCAGCTCTGTCTGATACTGAGACAAGAGCGCGCTCATAGCTGCCTAGTCATAGCCCCGCCAGTCCAGTCCGTCATGATCATTGCCAATGCTCTAACGTGGGTTATAAGTACTTGTGAAACTATCTCAGCTCCCCATGGCTGATTCCTCCTCCTGTCACTCAACTCTCTCGTCTTGACATCATGCTATCACCACCAATTCTCCTATTAGGCGCCCTATGCCTGGCATTTCTGATTCTGCAGAGCATCCGTCGACGTCTCCAGCGGCGTATATACGCCAAGAAATGGGGTTGTCAGCCTCCTCCTGTGGCGCAGACAGGTATCTATGGCATCAGGACGTTCCTCGACCTCAACAAGGCAATGAATGAAACCCGCCTGGTAGAATACATTTCCGACCGGTATGATGAACACGGATATACCTTCGAACAATCTGTGTTTGGAGACTCGGCAGTTTCGACTGCTGAGCCAGAGAATCTGAAGGCTCTGTTGGCTACCCAGTTCAATGACTTTTGCCTGGGAACCAGGCGTCGCGAGTTCTACCCGACGCTTGGGGATGGCATTTTTACACTTGATGGTGCGGGATGGGCTCACAGCCGTGCTATGTTGAAACCCCAGTTCCAGCGTGATCAGGTAAATAGACCATTCTCCCTCTGCAATATCATTCACAGTGTTGATTTGGTCAGGTTGCCGATCTAAACCTCATCGATGGCCATGTCTCTCAAATGATCGATCTCATCCCCAAGGACGGCTCTGTCTTCGATATTCAGGATCTTTTCTTCCTCATGACCGTCGACTCGGCTACCCATTTCCTCTTTGGTGAGTCAGTCGGCGCAATGGAGGGTGGCAGTGTGCTCGAAAAGTCATCCGTTGGAAATGCGCAGGGCTTCGCCGATGCATTCAACACGGCGCTTGAGTACCTCAATAAACGATCAATGGCTTTAATCTTCTATTGGACTATCAACCCGAAGGAGTATCGCGATGCAAACCGGCGCGTCCACGAGGTTGTCGATTACTATGTCCACCAAGCTATCGAGGCCAAGAGGCATCCCGAAAAGAAGGAGCCTGGCCGATACATCTTTGCCGAGGCACTTGCTCAAGACAATGACGACCCTAAGCTGCTACGTGACAACATGCTTAATATACTTTTAGCAGGTCGTGACACTACAGCCAGTCTCCTTAGTTCCGCATTCTTCCTCCTGGCACGCCACCCCGCAGTTTGGGATAAACTCCGCGGAATCATTATCGAAGAATTCGGAGACGCCCAAAATCCAAAGGTAGAAATCACTCATGCCAGACTTAAGGATATCCCGTACCTGCGCCATTTCTTAAATGAAGGTAAGCAGCACGCTCAGCCGCAGTTCCAACGATATCAACCAACTAACAAAATGATTAAGTCCTTCGCCTCATTCCACCTGTCCCCCTCAACTACCGCGTCGCCGTCAAAGACACTACTCTCCCCGTAGGGGGTGGTCCTGACGGGAAATCCCCCGTCTTCGTTGCGAAGGGAGAGCCAGTCCTCTACAGTGTCTATACCATGCACCGCCGCAAGGACATTTACGGGCCAGACGCCGACTCCTTCCGACCTGAGCGCTGGGAAGAGAACTCAAAGCGAGGCTGGTCGTTCCTCCCCTTCAACGGCGGTCCTCGTATTTGTCTTGGCCGTGAGTTCTCCCTCCCTCACTTGTTTACAAGAATATGCAGTTCTAACAATTGACTAGAACAATACGCGCTCACAGAAGCAAGCTTCGCGATGGTGAAGCTACTGCAGCGCTTTCAGAAAATCGAGAATGGTGCGCCAGAGATTGAGCAACCGATCATCAAAGCGAATCTCACCGTGTCCCATGGTCAGGGCGTCAAGGTTCGACTGCATTAATAGCCATCTCTGCTTTTTAACGACCGGAATGACCTTATGGTTCTATTTTTTGTATATTCTACGGCAATACACTTCTCTCTTTTAAAACTTGCGAATAAGTATTTTATATTGGTTATGGGTGCACTCTCCTTTATAGTAATGACAGTAGACGCCTTCCCGCGATAACAAATATCATGTATAGTTCTATATATTCCTATCAATCATCACATCCAAGTCACGCAAATAACCTCTCTCTCTTCATAAACAAAGAACCCATAACACCCACCACTCCCGCAACAAGCGGAATGATAAAAGCGCGCCGAATCGCCTCGGTGATGGCCAAAATCGCAGCCTCACGTAGCTCTCCATCCAACGACTCGAACAGGGCGCCCTGGGCACCGGAGACCGCGTTACGGATTTCCGTCTGACTGTAAATGTGGCCATGTCCCTGGCCAACTAGCACGCCGTTTAAATTGCGTACCGCGGTTGACTGGAACACCTGGCTTGCGACAACGAGACAGATCACGGTAGCGCCTATCTGGGCGATGTTTTGCAGGTTGATTGCGCTGAGAATGTCCGAGGGGGCTACTTTGAGGCTGCTGACGGAATACCCGAGTTGCATTGTGAGACCGGTGCCGACGGCCATTAGGATGCTGAAGCCATATACCTGTGCAGGTTGGGTTGACGGTGAGAGGTAGACGAAGAAGAGCGTGGAGGCAATTGTCAAAAGAATACCGGAGATTAGGCAGAAGGGCATGTAGTATTTGGCTTTGGGCAATACCCAGCCGGTTGCGAGGTTGAATGTTATGGTTACCAGGAGATAGGGGAGGAGCCGGACAGCTGCGATGAGTGAGGTGTCATTCTGGGCGAATTGGAAATGGACCGGTATATAGAAGGTTGTGAAGAACATGGCGGTGTTTGCACATGTTGTCGTGATGTAAAGTAGTATTTGGGTCCGGGATTTGAGGAGGTGACCTGGGAAAGATCTTGTCTGGGCTGTGGTCATGATGCAACAGTATTGTTGGGCCGCGTAAGACATAAAGAGGACAGCAAAGACGACAATCAATGCGACTGTCCTGCCTTCATTCCAAGCCCAGATTCCCCCGGCTGATATGAAAGCCATTGCGAAAGAAACCCACATCCCTCCACTAAGTGCGAAGCCCACATAGTCCAATCGTATTAGTCTTTCACGTAACGTCTTTCCTGGGGCTGGGTGAAGCGAGGGTAGGAAGAGCAGGTATATTGGTGCTGTAATGGCGCCTATGACAAGATTGATATAAAATCCCCATCTCCAAGTTGCCGACGAGTCAGAGAAGCTACCACCAACAACAGGGCCAAGGATTGCGCCCAGACCCCAGACGAATCCAGTGCCAGCCAGGTATGCGCCGCGTTCTTGCCTCTCGGTCATGGCTGAGAGGATATTGAGACCTCCAAGGTAGATACCAGTTCCTCCGACACCAGCGAAGACGCGGCCAGCAATAAGCGCATTCATGGTGGGTGCTGCGCCGCAAACTGCGGATCCTGCCTGGAATAAAACAATTCCTGCTATGTACAGCCATTTCATGTTGAACGCCGTGTAAAGGTAGCCGTAGGGAAGGATGACCGCAACCGATCCGAGTGGAAAACCGGCACCGATCCAAGCCAGCTGAGAGACATCGGAAGGGAAGGTCTTGAGAACAGCTCCCTGAACGTCGGCTGCAATTGTTGTATCGAGGCCATACATTAGGGAAGATAGATATAAAGCAGCGCACACCAGAAACCAGCGCATTCCAATAACTTTGCGGGACTCATCATCGGTCTTTTCGATCTGTGATTGTTGAATGTTTTGCTCTGCTTCCATTTCGATGTGCTGGCCAGCCAGGGAATTTCCCGTTTGAGGCTCTAATGTAACGTCCATGGTGTCTTTTGATATAGGGTAGATGTCAGTTCATGGCCGTGTCTCCCTCGCTGATGGTTAAATAGTTGCAGGTCGTCGGCATCCACTTATCATAACACCACATTATGTCCGATATTACCGTCTGCCAGTTGTGATAATTATTCATAAGAGTAGTTATGACCCTAAGCAGCGGAGATTAGCTGAATAGATCTAGCTCCTAGCTTCCCAGTCGAATGTGCTCACGCCATCAACCGATACACTATTGCGTACTCTACCCACTGTCACCTTGCGGTGTACAGACCTGAGGGCCTCCCCTATCGCAGCAGAATCAGAGGACTCATATCAAATTGACGGAATTAGGACTTTGAATTTTAACCCCGTCGAATTCGTGATGGCTGTATCGTTTCCCCCGATGTTGGACGGCCGAGGATTTTCGGCCGAACGAGCAATGACCCGCTCCATGGCCATTCAGGACCAATTCTCATGCGTTGATTCGGAAATGAGGTAGGTATATTCTTAGCGGACATTTACCGAAGCTAAACCAAGTCGAATATGGTGATCCAGGTTCATCTTATCGGTATTAACGGTGGCTTGTATACTGAATATGTATGGTGGGGTTCTAGCAGGCAGAAATAAGAAATCAACGGCACCCACATGCAACAGATGCACCACCTAGATCTGAATAATAGAGTATAACAGAGAATTTTGCTGGCCTACATTGTAGGATAGAAAAGGTTAAAAGTCAAAGCGAGTCCAACATGCTGCTATGCGCAAAATCATCACGTGCAGCTTAAAGCGCTGTTTGGAGACGATGAGCTTACGCCCTCATCTTTCTCATTTCACCCGGTTTTTATCAAAAGTACGCATCAAGGAACCCACGCCAAATTAGATCTGTTTATTTCCTGTGCGGCAAGTTCCATATACCAATAGAAAGCTAGCCGATATCGATCCTACCCATGCAGCAGGGCCGAAAGCGCCGGGTCACGACATGTGTTCCTTGCCACACGCGTAAACAAAAAGTGGGTGACTATGGGTCCTGATCTGTGAGACTCGACACTAATTCTCAAAAGTGTAACCGCCAATACCCTTGTCATCACTGTACTCGGCGCCGGCGGCCCGAGGAGTGCGTCTACAAGCCTGCACCGCTGGACCGACTCTTACGTGCTAGGGTAGGAGACGAGACACGGAATCAAACCTCAGATCATGCTCAATCCATCAAACATCTGGCCGATGTCTCGAAGATAGACCAATCTCCAATGATTCCATATGGGGGCGGTCCACGCCACCAGCACGCGGCGCTTGCCAAATCGTTCGGCTATTTTGAGGATAGCAGCTCAAACACGATGGCACTGCTGAAGAATGTACTTCCAAAAATCAACCTCAAGTATAATACATGTGCCCTAGGCTGATCAGCTTTTAGTGGGATTTGCATGACGAAGATGGTGCGGATAACGGCGCACCTCCGGACATGGCCCAGAAGATTATGTATGACCTTGAACGCATGCCGCGTCGTGATATACTCGACTTTTTGATTCAGTATTTTGTCTCTGAATTAAATTGGTAAGTTATCCTGGGCCAGCAAACTCAGTTAGAAGGGCTTGTTAACAGTAAACCCCTAGGATGAAACAACTTGTCCATGCACCCAGCTTCTTGATACACTATCAGCAATGGTGGGCCAACCATAGAGAATTGACTGTCGGCAACGTCGAGTTTGCTGTTCTCATCCTCCGAATATGTTCATATGCTACGCAATTTCTCCCATCGCCAACGTACCCCAACGATAATATCAGTGAGCTACCAATTGGTCAAGTTCACAACACGTGCGTTGAGATTGGGAATAGTCTCAGTGAAACATGTCTCGCTCTCGACTGGAAGGGTGGCCTGGTCCGTGTTCAACACATCTTATTCGCAGCGCTAAACTCCTCCTGCGAAGGACGAACGGATATGTTTTGGGAGGGTATTGCCTCTGCCTCTCGCGCAGCTCAGAAGGCTGGCGTACACACTGCCGCCGCTGAGCCTGGAAGTGGGCAAGAGTTCGACCGAGAAATGCAACGAAGAACATTCTGTAACCTTTATCTTTTAGATAGGTATGTTTGTTGTGTCTCATTATTTGGAATATCATTGATCTGATCTATACAATGCACAGCCATTTGTCCAGGCAACTTGACAGGGTCCCCTTCCTACCGGACGATCTTGTAGCAGATATGCTGCCCCGATTACTCCTCGTCCCCGAAACAAGCATGGCCGACATGGACAGCGACACCACGGCTCCAGAGCTATTCACTGAACGCTTAATGCAAGTTCAACTAGGCAGATTCTGGCGAAAGCACCCTAAAAAGAAAACTATCCCCTACGACCCAACCGAAGCTGAACAACGATACGAGCAATTCTGTACCGAATACCTGCCGACGCTCCATCCAGCCCTGAGCTTAAGCCCAAATAAAAAATGGGACACTCGGATCCCAAAACTTTCCATGCAACGCCAACTCCTTCACATCACCTTATTCGATTCCATAGCCTGGAACTTCCGCCCTCTCCTTCTTCTCAATGAAAGCCAAATCACACAGTTGCCACCCTACAAACAAGTCCTGCTCCAGTCTCAGAAGCAAAGGCTCGCACAAGCTGCCATTGAAGAACTGGCGGCCGTCTCAAATCTCCATTCCATGTTCGGCGGCGGCAATACCCGCTTCGCTGCTATCATATTCAACTCCTTCGAAGCCTCTGTATTGTTATTGACTCTCATTTCACAGCCGGATTTCCCGTTCGACCAGACTGGAGAAAGTCATGACATTCTCGGCCGGCAAGTGACGATACTAACTCGCAATAAAGCAATGCAAGCGGTAGAGAAAGCCCTAAATCGCCTGCAGTTGCTCTCTGGAGTAAGCGATATGGCAGCCGCTGGTGCGCGCGTCGTGTCCCAACTTTTCACCAAAGCAAGCAGACTCTCTGGGTCTGCGGCGCCTGCAATGATCCCTAGTCTATCGAATACAAGCGAATTATTTCCGGGCTCGTTTTCGGACTTGCTAGAGCTTGGGACTGTGGTCCGCCATGATGGGGATTGGGGGGCTGAACGAAGTTTGGATCCGAATTTTGTGACTGGGTTGTTTTAGCTGGTGTCCCGGGGACGAGTACAGGTGCTGATCTTGGAGAGTTCCAATAGATGTGGACACTTCAATAGTGTATAAATATTGTAATCAATATTGAGGGGTTGGGTGTCTTGAAAGGGCCTTTAAGCAATAACCATAATCCTGATATGATACTTGTGAGAAGTAGAAATTACTGCTGCCAATTGTCACTGCAGGAGCGGATGTCCACCAGGTGCGTTAAATCTTAATTTCGCCTATCAAATAAACAAAATCACATGTCCCAAGCTTCTCAAACACGCAGCGATATCCCAGGTATCAGGATCAATATGTGCCCGCTTACGCCACACATTTTCCATGATACATAACGCACCCTGCATCGTCCCGAGCATCCCAAGTGGCCCCATCGAGTTGACTAACTCTCGGAATGCAGATTCCTGCTCTTCAGCCGCCAGACAGCCCGCAACGCAAAATGGCCAGGCTAGTGCTCGCAATACACCAGGTGAAAGTTCTTTTAAGAGGTTGACCGTCTGAGAGACGTCCTCGCATATCTCTGGGGCGGCAGTTTGCCAACCCGAGATGACGGTGTGAAGATAGATGCGGGCAGCGTGGGCCCAGATGCGGGTTACGGTGTTGGTTGTACTTGAGGTACAGGACCCGTTGAAGGGAAACATGTCTGGTGGTCTGTGAGGTGGATACTGCGTTTCAGGGACATGATCGAGCTGTGAGAGGCCGGTCTGCAGTTCCTGTTCGATTAAAGAGCCACGCTCCACCAGCTGCGTCATGTTTAAACTTCGGTGCCTCTTCATATCTTTCTTCCAGGTGTCTAGGACTACAATGTCACTGACTAAGCGAAGTACCCAGTTCTGGCATCCAATAAAATCTTCTAGCTGTAGGGGAGCTTTCCCGTGAGCCGGATCGTTTGTTAACAAATCATGATTATATTTTTGTAATTTGGGGGATTGTTCGAGCGCTGTGCTAGAAATGATGTCGGCGATTAGCAGGATCGCAGAGAAAAACCTGAAAGCAGCTTGATCGGCGGTCCAGAACCCATTCCAGTTATCGGCGTTTGTTGGTAGGGGCGAGAGCTGGCTCATAATATTAAAAAGAGAGGATATCGATCCCGGGGATGCTATAATCTGTTCAAACAGAATTATAGCAGCGCCAAGGTGCATCTTCCAATTCTCCGTGCTTGCGACAACGCCATCATAGATCAATAGCTGTACGATGCTTTCCAAAAGGTAGACGCTCTCAAGAATATTGGAGTGAACGCCTTGGTTGATGATATGAAGATCGCGCTGCACCATCTTCACAGCCAGATCTAGCTGTTTGCTCTGCTCTCCGAGCGCTATGTTTGTGCACCGTTCGTATCCTGATCCTGAACTTATCGGTACCTCGGTGAAGAAGTACGAGGTGAGGCTGATGACTGTGTGGTAGAGCGCTCTGATCTTCATGGGTAACACCAAGAGCCATCCTCGTCCACCTTCGAATAAAGTGGGCGTATAAAGTGGAAATAGAACAGGGAAAGTGTAGTCCAGGAACACCATAATGAAGCTCAGTTCCAGTTCGTTAGACAGGCGGTGCGAGTCTGGGACATCCAGATGCTCTGGCAAAACCCGTGTAAAGCCAAGTGCAGATTCAGAATCTGGGCGCGTCTCATTAGCACAGTTTGGAGGACTGTGTCTCCATGGTTGCTCTTCATTTGGTGCGCGGCCATTTGTTTGCTGCGTCGATGGCGAGCTGATATCCAGTGCCTGCTTTGGGGTTTGGAGTTCTTCTTCATCCTCTAGATCCCGCGCAAAACGTTGTACCAACCTCTTCGACCGCCGCCGAGAAGCTCTTTTTTTGACCTCGGCCTTAAGTTGTTGTGCCATCTGGCGTTGTTTCGCGCCATTGTCCATCCATTCCGGTTTATCTGCGCCAGAATAGCAAGTAATCTCCAATGCCGAGCAAATCCCACAGACTGGACGGGCCAGATCGCATCTCTTGCGACGCAGCCGGCAAGTCCAACATCCAACGTTGTTCTTTTTGCTGTTGGTCATGTCATTGTCCTCCATGGTATGTGAGGAATTGGACCGTTTGAATCGCATCACAATGTCCGCAAATGCTGGCGCACGTGATTGGCTGATGGCGGAATTTACAACCTCAGGCAACGACACTGACTGTGACGTCGAGCTCAAGCGCTTCTTTTATTTCCATTAACACTCACCTAGACAAGTGATTCTGTTTTTCTGTGTCCGATTAGATTCTTATCGATCGTGGTATTACCAATGATTCCCGGCCTTATCTAATTAGCATCATCCTTCAGAGTGACGCTCTCGACCACCGCGCGCAGATGAGACCGCGCGGGTTTGATAGCGCGCGGCCCCGCTCTCTTAGAACTATATCAGCAGCGATTCCCAACAACATTATTCACAGAACACATCCTTTTACTTCCTTCTCCTTAATTTTACTTTAGACCCAGCTATGGGGGGCACCAAAATCCTTGTTCTCGGTGGCACCGGCCCCTCAGGCATCTGTCTGCTGCGAGAGCTTGTATATCGAAAGCACGAGACCATAGTCTACGCCCGGAACCCTTCCAAGATTCCTGAAGACTTAGCATCAGATGAGTTACTTGAAGTCCGTCTTAACTATCTCAAGTATCTTAAACTCTTTGCTGATCGCAGGGTCACTATTGCTAGGTTATCCAGGGCGAGATGGACGATCTTGACTCCCTCTCCGTGGCCATGGCTAAATGCCGAGTCGTCATCTCCCTGTTGGGACCCGGAATAGCCGATAGAAACGGTAGTCGCAGCCTATTTGGGGACATCTACAAATCAACTGTGTTTCCCCTGATGCGCGAACATGGAGTTGACCGCATCTTTGCGAGTGGCACACCATCTATTTCTCGGCCAGAGGACCGTTGGACGCTTTTCACACTCACTGTCGTCCCTCTTGTCCGCACGTTTGCGAACTTCGCTTATCATAATATGCTGAACATTGCAGATGCCTTTGAGAATCATGCCGATGGTCTCAAGTGGACTGTCTATCGGATTTCAGCGATTCCCGGAAATCATGACCGAGAGAGCTGGCGAAGGGACAGAGAGGATGGAGAGACATTTGTTGGCTGGGTAGGAGAAGATGGCTGGACCATGTCCCAGAGGAGAGGGGCCCTTGCGCGCTGGCTTGTGGATGCTGCAGAGGACGGGGCTGAAGAGTGGGTGGGCAAGATGCCAGCCGTGTGCAAGAAGGGATAATATTGTTTGTTCATGCCTGTGCTCTTTCGAGAAGATAATTTTCAGATATATGTGCCTCTATATCAGTCCTAATAGAATCTGTACTGTCTTGAATGAATGAATCTGAATCCGTCAAATACACCGTATACTCTTCACACCAGCCACATATACTGTGGCTGATGGGTGTGGCGTGGCTCCACAGTAGTTCACCAACGCCCGCGGCCCAACACCATCATTCACCGTCAACTCTCTCTCATCGAACCCTCTTGCGGATCCTAAAGCGGAGCAGTTGAACAGATATCACCTGATGAAACTTACAGTGAGCTGGTGTTAATTTAAATTTATCATCACGTTATAATTCCGCACTTCGATCGCTATTATAAACTTCCATCTCACACCAGGTGGAAAATGACCACTGGCCAAAAAGTAGCTGTCGTGGTACCAAAAATGGAACAATCTCCATTGATCAAAACCAGCGAAATCAAAAACATCAAAGCAACTACAATGAACGATTCCAATTCCACATCCGCCCCGACTGCGGTCGCAGAGGATGATGCCGAACCTGTCATCGACCCTGATCTTTTGCAGTCCGAGTTGGAGCTTGTGTCGTCCCTCGCCAAGCTTCAGAAAATGGAAGAAACGGTATGCTTTTTACTTTCTCAAACCAATATGCTTCGTCTTGTTGGGACCTACAAGCTCATCAGCGAAACAGATTCATCAACTTCGGACGCTGATTCCGGAACGGCTTCTCGAGCCGCTGGCGCCAGTTGTCAACTCCCAGCCTGCTTCAACCTCGCCCCAGAAGCTCTTCGAGCAGCTGGCACAGGCGGCGCGTGCTAGCGTTAATGAAGTTCGAGACTTCCAGGGCGTGTGGCGTGGAAAAGAGATGAAGGCCGTTTGGGAGCGTGTCGACACTCTAATCTCCGAAAACGCCGGTCAGCTCCTGCAGTCTAATGGCATGTGGGACGAGGACTATGATGTGCTGCTCGAAGATATTACGAAGCAAGACACCATTAGGAAAGAGCGACAGCAAAAGGCCAAGGAGGACCATGAACGCTCACAATTACAATCAGCAGAAGGAGGCTGGAAAGCGCTCGTCGATAACTTCGCGCAGCGGAATATTCCAGGGGTCCGCATTCTCCCCGGCAAGAATGACTCATTTTCTGTCGTACTCGCAAAGATCGGGCTGGCCTTCAAGGTCCATGCTCACCATACAGACCAGGATGGGGTTCCCAACTTTAATGTCTCTAGCAATTCATCCGCAGAGCCTCCCTCAAAGCTCGAAGTTGCAATTTTGGATTGTCTTAATTCTCGTTCAAGAAAATGGGATCTTACATACCTTTTGGTAAGTCCACTACGCCTTTTTGGCCTCCATAAGTACTCATAAGTCGCCAGGAAATGATCTTGTCTTATTCAAACATTCAAACGACCTGTACTAAATGCGGACAATTACAAGACAAAGCAGCTAACCTCCCGACACTCCGATACCCAAAATCTACTGAATCACAAACAGAACCTCAGACGCCAACATTTGAGGCCTATCACGCGACGTGTGTCTGATCTGAAACTAAAGGGGAAAAGGTTCTAGTACCGAAATCTCCGACACCGACCCCCATAAACCCCATCATGTTGATGCGCCGCCGGGTACGGGCGGCCATACCGATCCCAGTAACATAGAGGAATCGTATGCCGCCGCTCATCGCAATACTCCACCCTCGACCAAGTTCCCTCATCCGGAACCTGATATCTCCTCGTGCGAAAGTCGTACCTCTCCTCCAGATCACGTCTCGCCCCAAACAGAAGGTTGTCCCTCTTCTCCCGCTTGCGAACGTAATAGCAATCCGGACAATGCGGCTTCGTGCAGCACTTGACATGATCGTTGTCCCACAACGACCACCCAGTTCTGGATCTCCGCTCCCAATCCCGCCCGCCCCAGAGGTTTCCTCCCCTGTGCAAAGTATGTCCATGGTCATGGTGGCTAGCACGGGGGCGGATTCTTCCAACATATATATCCGGTCCCTTTCCCGTCATCACGTCGGTAAAGCGCTGCCAGGGGGACCATCGGCTGGGGTTCCCTGGTCTCGGGTCTTTTGGCCAGATATAGCCAATGTCAGAACTCATCTTCTTTCTTTGTTTCGGCTCGGGTGAAAAGGGCCGCGAGTGTAGAGGACGTGGAGGAAGTGGAGGTCTGATATTGTCGACTCTATCAAGGCCAGGGCCCATTTTCTCATTTCGCTTCAGTTGTTCGGTTTGGTTTGTTGAACGGGGCTCGGATGGAAAGGACCGTGGGCTTGGGGATTGACGTGGGCGTTCAATGCTGTCGGCTTTTTCAACGCGGAGGGACTGGGCGTCAGTGCCTTTGGGGTCTGTGCTGATGTGTATTCTGACGCTGCCAGCTCTGTCAATGCGGACTCCGGGGTTATCGCTGCCGATGGCGTTTCTGGGGCCGAAGGACGGGCTGCCCATGCCTTGACGAAACTCTCCCCCGCCCATGTTAACTCCGTCAACGCAGATGTTGGGGTTATCGTTGTCGATGTCGATGCCAGCCGCTTGTTCACCGGGCTTTCCAATGTTGGCCCTGAGCCGTCGATGTGGTAGTTGATGCTGCCGGTATGGGCGTGTTCAGCGTCAGTGCACCAACTGGGGAGGTTGATATGTCCTAGTATGGAGCAGTGGAAGCGGAAGCGAAAGTCCAAAAGGAGGCTAGCTGGGACAGGGACGTGTATTTTGATGTGAACAAGGCTGGCTACTGGCGATGAGAGGTATGATGGAAATTTAGTATCGGGCAAGTACGAGCCAAACCGGCGTACGAAGTAAAAGAACCGCGTGGTATAATTGATTGCGATGAGTAGAGGGGGGAGATAGAGTATGTCAATTCAGACGAAGACAGTTAGAGAGCAAAAACAGGAATATAAGACGAATAAATTCAGATCCTTATACCATCTAAGTCGCAGCGAGCTCTTTATCTCAACCTCGCTAATCGGTAGCATCTAATTTCCTGTCAATGCCTACAATCGCTAATTCATTGTCTATGCAAACACACCAACAGCAAAAAAAGGCGGGAGGAGTTCGTGCAGTTGAATAGACAAGTGGATGCAATTTAGGTTAAGCATTTACCTTGTACATAACCCTCCAGACTTACCTTTCACAGTAGTGCTCTGGACTATGTGAACCATGTAGGGCTTGGTCTAGAAGATTCTCCCGCACTGGTGGGACAATTTACAGATATCAGGATAGAGCTTGCTTGAATATCCTGTTATTGTTGTGGTGCGGCTTCTAGCAGTTGACATCTGTAGGTGTATCCGCTTTCGTGCAGGAGCACAACTCCTGCAGCTCTTTGTCTTTTCAGTCGTTAGATGAGAGGTGAAGATTTACTGATGTATTCCTGTCTGGTAATCATTACTGTGCGTGTTTTTGGACTTGGTCTTGGATAGGCACTACATACTAGTCACCATCGCTAAAAAGCAAAGGATAAACACGTCCGCAAGAAATAGAAAATACCAAGTATCGAAGCGAAAGAGATACAAGCATGCCATATACCCCAATTATTTTCATCAAAGAGCAACTATAGTAATAATATAAGTAAAGCAGGCAAAATACATGAAAACGCCATCCCACCCAACTTGTCAGGCCAATCGCTATTATCGTGACGAAATGAAAACCGCTCAGCTGTATGCAACATTCTCAGAATGCATAATATGTAAATGTAAATATTCGTGTGCCAAGTCTGGCGATATTCAGGTAGAGAATATGCCGAAACTGCCGGCAAACCAGGTGAAAGATAGGAATGTGATCAAGCCCATTCCTACAGCCATTTTCAGGCCGAGAAGACCCGTGGAGGACATAGCACCACTGCATGTCGCACAGACAAATTCTGAAATAAGTCAGCACTGGGGTAGGATAACAGAGATGGGGATAAACATACCGGATAAGGGGGTGTAAGGCTGCGGCTCGTACATCCCGAACATATAGGTCCCTTTATCCAGTTCACCAGATCCAGCAGTGTCATCGATATCCTTGCTCTCATCGTACACAATCAAGGTGTAGGTCGCGGTGAGCAACGGAGCAGTGGCGTTGGCTTGGTATTTTCCAGTGTCCCATTTGACAGTCTGCGTCTCCTCAACGCTCATGTTGCTGGAGATGGTGTAGGTAGCACTGTTGAGACTGCAGGAAGCAACAACATTCACCGCGGAGGGAGTAATTGACAATGACGTATAATTCCAAACAAATGTGATTATCTCATCGATCTTGAAGTACGTCGTTGAGCTCGATGCCGGGGAGATCATGGAAATACCACCCGGAGGGAGGCGAGGATCAACAGATGTCGTTTTCTTAGAGTCACTGGTTGTCTTCGAATCCGACGAACTTTTGGTTGTAGTGGGAGAGTCCGTTTCTTCGCTGTCCTTATCAGAGGATTTTGTGGCAGTAGCCGTTTCCTCCGCTGAAGGGGAAGCGCCGGTAGTCGCGCTTTCGGCCGCAGTTTCGGTGTCTGAGTCTGCGTCTAAAGAATATCTATACGTTAGAATATTGACCCTGGGACCATATATAATGTGACTAACCATCTGCTCGAGGCAAAAGTTGGCCATTGCCTAAGAGCCCATCCAACTGCCACGCAGTCGACAGTACCGCTAACAACAGCACGCATGCAATCGGGAAAAGCGAGGTGAAGCGCATTTTGTATATGAGGCAGGTCAACCGTCAACTAGTTGGTTTCTCTCAATCGATGAACCGGGGTGTCCGGAGTTCCCTTGGTCTCAGTATATTTCAACCGAGCCTTGGTGTCCACAGCAACGAGTATTGATGATGAGATAGCGAGGAATAACAGATGGTGTTCGACGGGGCGTTGATATTTATCGACGGTCGAAGGCAGCGCTGCGGACAAGCGGTGGAGGGCAGAGAAGTAAAAATACCAGCGTGTTGTGTCGAGTGTGAAACAGACCAGTGATCTGATACCAATTGTTCTAGGTCTTCGGGGTCTCCAAAAGCGAGCGGAGTGGCTAGCGAAATGTAAACAAGCGAGTGACTAGACGATTCGTGCAAATTACTACCGTGTAATAGGATGAAGAGGACGCAGAAAGGCTCAGAAAGGAAGATGCGAGGGAGAACAACGATTCAACAGCAGTAAAGCGAGAGAAAAGGGCGTGGGAAGACGACGGCGAGAAAGAATCGAAACGACCAGGCCGGCAGATCAGGTGGCTTAACCCTTTTGGGCGTAGATGTGAGACATCGTCTATTTTTGGGCGATCTTTCCGCGCCTCAGGCATCTAGTCTCTCCTTCCACGCCGCGGACTCTGCGGATTGTTCCAGCTTCATTCCAGAATTATTTGTATTCTTCACTACGGATAGGTTTTGACTCATATACAGAACATCGCATAAGTAGTGGGTACTTGCCCATCGCCATGCACTCAAGCATTAACGGCCACAATTTAAATAACAAATCCATCGTCAGCGGTCCATACCACTAAGTATATACTATTGCCAATAATTGACGTCTAATATGCAAAATTATCCAGATCTTTCAGGTGCAACGATTGGACCACGCTATTGATTCCTAACATGAAGTTAAATTTTTTCAAAGTGGATTAACGTTTATGAAACCATGAAACCCAGTGGACCGTTAGACATCGTCTCAGGTCCAGACAGGCACGTCCGGTCCTGTATGGCAAGTCGGCAGCAGCAACCTGACTTCACCAACAGCCGCCTCTCGAAGTTTATGATTCATCAGTCCAGCCACACGCGTCATGAGCCTCTCGGGCCGGGCTGAATATGCGGAGAGGTGGCGATGAACCATAACATGGTTCACGCAGTGGGCTCGGTCAAAAGCTTCACTTCACTGCAGGAGCCGGGGTACCGGGGTTCGTAGTAGCGGTAGATGTAGAAAAGCTGGGGTGCATTGTGCCACCAATCGCACACTGGGAAATGTTAGCATTCACACTGCACCTAGCAAGGACCGTTTAGTTTATCTTACCCAACCAGCCACCAAAGCCCTTCTCTTGGGAGAATTGCAAGCCAGTACTGTTGATGGAGAAGCCATCTTGGCCAGCCCCCGCATTTATCTGGACGAATTGCCATGCTAAAACAGGTTAGGATCTCCCGTCAGAGCGTAAAAATCCGCGAGATAAAGAGGTACTCACCAGCGTAGTTAGTAACGCCCACGGGATTCATGCCCCATGGGAACGTAGTGTTGTAGTCGAACTGAAGCTTGGTGCCGTTCAGGAAACCAGTGCTAGCAGTCTCGACATCCGGTGTAAGGACGGCGTCATTGAGACCAGCTCCCGTGTGGTATCCGTAAACATAGAGATCGTTGTGGTCTGGGTTTTCAGATCCAGAGGTCTTGAGAAGGAATTTGTCGGGGTTCTGGCTGTCGCGGCGACCGACTTGGAATGGGCTGGCCGCGGCGGCGCCGATCAGTAGCGAGAGAGCGCTGATAAACTTCATCTTGAAAAAGAGAGTTCTTGAAATCCAAACAAAAAGACAGGACGTTGGGAATCAATAAGTATTGCCCAAAGAATGTGTTTGCTATGAGGAGGGAATCACGACGAGGGGATACAACAGCTTTATCAGGGCCCCAGGGGCAAGTGGCGAGACTTAAGGCATGCTCTGCATGGTTCGCACTTCAGGGAACCGCAGCACCGACTGGGAGAATAAACAAGGCCGAAATCTTAAATGCAGGAGGCATCCAGAGTTCGCATCCGACGTTCCAGTGGAAAGCCTATGTTTAGTGGAGTGGAGGGGCGAGGTGAGACATGGCCTGCACTTATCCTGGCATCCCACAACACAGCAAGTCAACAACAAGAAAGAGGACGATCGTTTTCCACTTCAAAGAACGGCGTCCTTTTCGCTGTCGACAGCCGGCCCGAGCTCGGACATTGTGAGTGGATCATGAGGAGAAACTGGAGCAGATGGAGGTAAGCTGAAGATCACAAGGTCCGCTGCTGCTCACGGATCGTTTGATAAAGATGAGCATAACAGTTTGTGGCCTGGCAGGATGGAATATTCCAAGCAGTTCTGTTCGGTATCCGTCGTCCAACTTCAAGGACGATCTTCTCACAAGCAAATGTTTGTTTTTGACATCTGATTTGTGACATGACCTCCAGAGATCTCGTCAGTGATCGGCAATCTAGCGCACAAAACTATAGACTCGGAGTGGTCCTTACAACTCTTCAAAATCTCAGTCTATCCGTCCAACAATTCCTCGATGGTCTAACGGTCTATGATTTCCGCTTGTCAATCCTCTTTGAGGAACAAGCGCGGGAGACCTGGGTTCGACTCCCAGTCGGGGAGTGCTTTTTTTTTTCCGTCTTTCGACCACGTCCTTACTCGTATAACGCCCGATACCCACGCTCATTCCAAACTACACTGCACCATGGTTCCGGAGCCGAACAAACATATGATGGGATTGACAGGACTATCGTGATCAAACTCCGCTGAGCTGAAACACAGTACGAAAGGATCAGGATGTCGCTTGACATCATGATCGTCACAGGTTAGACACGTTGAACGTCCAGTTCTATTCTAAAATATATATTTTACTCCGTGACATCTGCCCCTCGCGAAGCGCAATTAAAGGACATGGTGTCACTATTAGGTGTTTTGAAAAGATCCATAAAATACAACAATCCTAAATAGTATAACAATGCGAAGGTAGTGCCCCAAGTCCAGGTCGCAAACTCATCGCCCTCTGACATACTCCGGCTTGAGCGACCATTTCCCCCTCCCGTTCCGACCACCTTTGTTCAGAACGGCAATCTGTTTCAGCATCTCTTTAAATTCCGCCGATTTCTGCGGAGTGGTACAATAACGGTTGAAATGATCAATTAAATTTTGCGTGTAAACAGACCCGCCGTGGGATGTGATGAAATCCCGGATCATCGTAATGAAGTCCTTCCCAGTGGTGGCATTTGCTGGCGTAGGGCTATTGGTGCCGCTGCGAGACGGGTGTATACGCGACGAGAGGTGAGCCAATATGCTTGCAGATGATGGACCAGCCATAGCTCGCCTGGCTGTACTGCTCCGTCCGCCGAATGAGGGCCGCATGGGGGATTCGTCAGGTCTTCCCGCAACGCCGAATTGACCTGTCCACGTAGGCGTGCCGATGGGTACGGACTTGGCTGCTTCACTTGCACGACGTAGTTCCTCTGCAGCTTCGGCGGCCACTCTTTTCGCCTCTGCTTCGATTATCTTCGGGTCTGCTTTGACGACGCGTTTGCCGTTCACGATTTGATCGTGCTCGAGTGCTGAGTGGACGCCTGACCGAGCGAATATGCCTTCCATTATGCGCGACTCTGAATTCGTACCCGGTTCACCCTCGTCTGATTTCGCTTCCTGTTCGGGTGCTCCTTGGAATTGTTCTATTGAAGCCACGCCTGTCACCTTGCTAATATCTTGCTTCTCAGCCTGCACATCACGCTGGTGGTCATCCTGGCGCGTTTTCGGGGACCCATTGTCATTGTTTTCTTCGTAGGTGACTTCAGCCTCTTTGAAGATCTTACTGGTTTCGGTTGGACCTTGGTTTTCTTCGCCCAGAGCAAAGAGATCGTGTAAGTCACTGAGTTGGAAGGTTTGTCGCTGCTTGGGGTCCTTCAAGATCTTATTCGTAAGGAATTGTTTGAAAATCTGACGGTGGTATATTTTCTCCTCGATAGTCCCTGCCGTCATCAGTCGGTAGATAGTTACGTCGCGCTTCTGCCCAAGCCGCCATGCACGCTCTCGGGCTTGTACGTCGGTCGAAGGATTCCAGTCAGGATCATAGATAATGACTCGATCCGCACCAGTAAGATTAACACCCAACCCTCCTACCTTGGTCGTAAGTAGGAAGACATGTATATTCTGATCTTTGTTGAACTCGTCAACCATAGATTGTCGGTGTTGGATGAGAGTTGTGCCGTCCATACGACGATAATTGAAACCAGACAGTGACTTGACGAATTTCTCCAAAATATCCAACATAATTCGATGCTGTGCGAATAGAAGTGTCTTGTGGCCCGTGTCTTTCCATAACTCGAGAAGGGATCGAACTACTTGCATTTTCCCCGACTTCGTTGGGTTTCCATAGTTTGCCTTAGTGTACAGCAACTTATGACTCTGTAAATCCGGATGATTGCAGATCTTTCGAAGAATATCAACCCCATAGAGCACTTGTCTTCGGCCCCGTAAGATGGACTGCATCTCCTCCGAGCCCAAAAAGGCCATATATGCTTGCCTCTGCGGTTTTGTCAACCTGCAAAAGAGCACTTGTTCGCTCTTTTTGGGAAGATCGGCTGCCACGTCTATCTTGAACCGCTGTAAAAGGTATGGGCTGATCGCATCCTTGAGGGTTTCTGCACATTTTGCAGCGGTCTGCACCTGTAGGTTCGAAGCATTCGCATAGCCTCCCTGCCTAATCGGAAACTCGAACTGGTTTCGGAAATTTACCAGTGTGCCAAGGCGCATCGGGAAAATAAAATCGAACAATGACCATAGCTCCGTTAAGTTGTTCTGCATGGGTGTGCCCGAGAGAATAATCCGGTGTGGGGTCCGGAGCTCTTTGCAGTGCATAGTGATGGAGGTATTTGGATTGCGAATCTTGTGACCCTCGTCGAGGATAGCGCCGCCCCATTCAACTGGTATTAAGAGGGAGGCATAGCTTTGCAAGCCTGAGTAAGTGGTAACCAGCACATGTCCTTCTTCGACTACACGTTTGACGACCTTCCGAGCTGACTTGAAGCCGCTGCTCGAGCCACTCGACCCATAGGTTCCGGATATAAGTGCGTCCTCACGACTACTCTCATTCTTTATGTTGACCATTCCGCTGCCAGAAGTATGCAGGATGGAAACTCGAAATGGAGGCCACCAGCGATGGAATTCATTGACCCATTGCTTCATAACTGTGGCCGGGCAAACAACAACAATGGGCTTCGTTAACATTTTGCTGTAATGGAGACCAGCCAGAAATGCAATGGCTTGAATGGTCTTGCCTAGACCCATTTCATCCCCGATAATACCTCCTACCTGTTGCTGGTGCAACTCCCACATCCATTGGACTCCAGTCTTCTGGTAGTCAAATAGAAGTGGGTGGATATCGCCCGGTACACGGTAGTCATTGTCGAGATGCAGATCTGATTCAGAAGGATGGGGCATGAACCACTCTTCCTCTCCAGAGGCTTGAGCATCATCAGCCTCATCTATGTTGGTGTCTTGCTCCGTATCTGCTCCACGGGCCTTCCGAGCACGTCTCCGAGCAGCGCCTCTCCGAGTGACCCATTTCTGAAGCCGGGACTGATATATATTTTCGTTGCCGTCATCCAAGCCGCTGAAATCTTCCAAATCTTCTGTGCCTTTCGCTTTTTTTACAGGTGCGACTTTCTCCTCAGTCATGAAGTCATTGTCATCTTCTGAAGACGATTCCGGCTCTTCTTCGACGTAACTCACAGAATCGTCTTGATCTTCGGATACATGACCTTCGGAAAGTGTGCCCATATCCACATCCACACCTTCCGTCTTTACGGACGTCTTACTCAGTCGAGAATCCTTCTCTAATTTCCTCTTCTTTCCGGGCCGCTCAGAAACTGGTTCTTCAGCAACACTTGATTCACTCGCTTCGTCGAAACCGAAACCCGGGCGTACGAGATTCCGATGAGAAACGGCCGATTGTGCTTTTACCTGCTCCAAAGCTTCTAGCTCATCGCGCTCATCCTCGGCATCAATAAGCGTATCTTGTAGGCTAGCCAACGGGCCAGTGTTCGGACCGGCTCCCATTCGCGAAAACGGTGTGATCTTTCCGGTTCTTATAAGATAGTCTCTCCGTGACTCATTAGGCATTCTCCCCGTCCCAGTCGCCTCTGCGTGCGTCTCTTGCTCCTCGCGCCTGCCAATTATACGTTGTTGTATTTCCTTGAGATCAGTTGCAAGCGCGGCATTGCGGCCTTCCAGTTTGTCTATATCGTTCTGGAGGCGCACGCGCGCTGAGGTGCCGACTGGTTGTGAAAGACGTTGGTGTAATCGTAATATCTGCGACTCGAGTTTCCTGAGATGAACAGAATAAGTATATATTGCATATAATATGAATATGATAGCTGTACTCTTTTTCATGCTTCGTCTTTTCTAATCTCTTATTGTCCCGCTCATCAGCCTGCTCCATGAGCAGTCTGTCGGCCTGTACACGGTATCAGATATGCGCGCAGCATAATGAGGGAGAATAAGTATACCTGGCGAGTTATATCTCTTTCCAGAGTATCCTGGTCGCGGATATCCGCTTGAAGCTCTTTTAGCCGGCTCGCTTCATCTGTACCACCAGAGGCATCCAGATTTGACGCTGGCTCACCCACAGGTGGAGATGCGTCAGAAGTCTCCAGGGTATCATTCTGCGTCTTGTTCTCTGAAGAAGGTCCCTCGGGGGATCCATCTTGTTCGTTCTTTACATTCTGATCCATGCTTGAAAAGTATACCAATTAGGATCCAATTGATGCGGCATCCAGTAAGCAATATAGTTGATTGTTGGATGTATGATATTGAGCTACAGTCCGTCCTAGGCGGAGGACTTGGCAAGTAGGTTGATCCCCGTAGTGACGGTTTGATTTCCTCGGGGAAGACTGAATGAAAGAGACCGTGAATCACGAGGTAAACGCACCACAATCAACCGCAAGCAGCGAGTTTATGAGAGAGGCCAGCATGTTGGAAAAAGCACTATGGGCCTCGACCAGAGTTTTTGTTGCTGTCTCCCCTTGGATTATCGTCACTGCTAGGTACCATCGGCATAAGACCTGGCTGTCGCCTACTTATCGGCCACCGCCCCAGACCGCGGCAGAATATTAGTCATTCTCTCGACGCCAAGAACCGCCGCCCACGTCACAGTCGCTGAGTCGACTAGTATACTCGGAGGGAATTGCGCCCAGGAATGATTACGCACGATCAGTTGGAGGGCAGTTTTTACTGCCAAGGGCCACGAATTGTGCGAAGAGGTGACCAGGGCGATTTGAAAAGGGGAGTGAGCCGTGATATTTACTGTTGCATCTGCTGGACAGTCTGGAAATGTGGCTACCACACAGTGGCCACTGCCTGGCCAGACACTGTTTACCGTAGCGCCACCTCCAGCATTTACTTGGATTGGGAATTATGCCGTCCCTGCGATGAGAGATCACTTCAATACCCAAATAGCCCTCGCTCAGGCTTAGGGTTGATTATTGTCTAAAATAATTGCACACGGACATGCATTGGGTACCAATTTTCACGATTCAAGGGGCAGCTGAAAGTATACTTACCGGAAACGAGATCGTCCAAGAGGCTGGGGGACTGACTGGGTAGAGAGGGGCCAAGCGACGGACGAGCACACTCATGTTTAATCAAATTTATTAGTAGCTACATACGCAGCTTTCCTGCAGTTACAATATTAATTTCGTGGAAATTTCCTGTGTTGTTATTATTCTGATCCCTGGGCTGCCTCCTGCTTTCGCCTGAATAGCGTCGCGTCACCCACGCAATCACTCCATTTCAACCACTCTGTATACTCGGGTCGTGAGATCAGCAAGTGACAGAATCCGTTGGAAAAGAAGCCTATTGCAGCGAGTCCGGCCGTCGTGAGCTGGCAAAAGGAGCACCAGTAGTGCTGGGTGCACCGCTCCAACTGCAAGTGGGCAGCCTGAGGCCTCCAGATCCCAGCTCTACGCATCGTCGTCTCCGCCTCCACGCCCTCTCGTCTCCCTCTTCCCTCTTCCCCTCCTCCCTGCGACTTCATTCCGACTGCATTCCAGCCGTGCCGTTCTTCTGTGTGTGAGCGTCTGTTTGGGCTTCCCGTTCTCTCCGGGACTTCCAGCAGTCGATACTCTCCACTTCCACTCGAGCCCCCCAGCCCCTTGTGCAGTTGTGAGGCCTGAGGATCGTGCAATTGCGACCGCCCTTCTCGTGCTTGTGGCTCGGTGGCCGTCTCGCCCTGCTTTCAGATCGACGTTTTACGAAGATAATGAGGTACGGTGTAGTCTAGAAGTAACGTCAATTCCTTCGCTCGACCCTTCGATATTCGGGGTGTGTCAGAATTCACCCGTGCCCCCGTGTCCCACGCCGTCTCCGCCTGATTGCGCTGCATTCGTCTACCGCCCCGCTGCTATCTGACCCCCGATCGCAGTGCATGTGCGCTGTCGACTTTCCCAGGCGATCGTCCTAACTTCCGCTTAAACGTTCACGATTGCCTGCGCTCGCGGCAGAAAATAGGAGAGGATGGATTCTCAGTGGCAGTCATACAAAGACCCCTTGGTGGGTCGTCCTGCACACTTCAACAATAACGGGTTGACGCCGAATCCCAATGCCCAACATCTGCCTTCGAACTACGGCGGCCAGCAACCACCATCGCAGGCTCCCGCGGGTTACACCTACGAGCCTTTCCAAACCCCTGGGATTGCTGCCAAACCGCCCGCGGTCGCTTCCTCCAAACCAATGGCGATGGCGTCGTCTCCCGCAGCTACACCCCATACCCGCGATTATGTCAACGATGCGGATATCGCTATGGAAGACGCGGATCCGTATAACCGGACCAAATACCCAACGAGGCCTGCCCACCAGAGCCGACCTTCTTCGCAGTATTTTCCGACCGAAGGGTCTACTGCTGCTCGCAGGTACTCTCCAATGAACGTCCTGTCACCAGGCTTACCCTACAACTCAAGCCCGGGAAAGTCCAGCAATTCATACGCTTTTCCGCCCGCGACGCATCCGTCTGGACAGTCCCCAACAAGGGCGACCAACTATTCTTCGCCTCCCCAGCCATATCAGTCACCTCCTTGTAAGTATTTGTGTTTCGGGGAGACAACAACTGTTATTCAAAGTGCCTAACAATGAATTCGCAGCATCTGGATCGCGTCCTCCGAGATTACCCCCCTTACAATCCACCGATATGAGTCCCGATCACTTCTTCGGCCCGTCGTCGGGACCGCAACTCAGTTCGCCGTTTACACAAGATGCAAGGTCACCACGTTCAGGATCAGGGTCTGGTAGTATTCAACAGCCAGGCCGTGGCCCGATGCCGAAATTCCAAAAGTTCAAATCGGTACAGGAGCTGCAGCCTCGTATCCACGCACAACCTGCGTATAGACGTGCCAATCCCGAGGGTGGCTTCATCAGCGTGAGTACCGTGTCAACCGAACTAGTCATTATTGACCTTCTAACATTGGACAGCCTCTCCAAGCGTTGACAAACCATCTTCCGGCTACTTACCGGATATGCAACCCGGGCTTCCATTACGAGTCGTCGAGGAACCCACGCCGAGTTCTTACCAAACCCAGCAAAGGCGTCAAAAACGACGGGTATGATAACGAGGACAGCGATTATATTCTATATGTCAATGATATTTTAGGAAGCGAAGAAGCAGGGCATAAGTATGTTATATCCATAAATCACAATTGCGCTTTGTCTTCTCGTCATTTACCTAACGCGCTCTCCCAGGAATCGTTATCTCATCCTTGACGTCCTTGGTCAGGGAACCTTTGGACAAGTTGTCAAGTGCCAGAACTTGAAAACACAGGAGGTTGTTGCCGTTAAAGTCATAAAGAATAAGACTGCTTACTTCAATCAAAGTATGATGGAGGTTTCCGTCCTGGATCTGGTAAGTATGCATAATAAAGGGTCTATGGATTTTTGCTCACTCTTCGTCGCAATAGCTCAACAGCAGATACGACAAGAACGACGACCACCATCTTCTTCGGCTAAAAGATACCTTTATACATCGCCAGCATCTATGTTTGGCATTTGAGTTGCTCAGTGTCAACCTTTATGAATTGATAAAGCAGAATCAATTCCGAGGTTTAAGCACCACGCTTGTGCGCGTCTTTGCACAGCAACTGCTTAATGCGCTAAGCCTCTTGAACAAGGCACACTTGATCCACTGTGATCTTAAGCCGGAAAATATTTTGTTAAAGAAGTAAGTCCAATTTTTTCTTCTTCTTTATAACCACCATAAATAAATAAACTAACGATGTTTTCTACAGCCTCGAGAGCCCCATCATCAAAGTGATCGATTTCGGATCCGCCTGTGATGAACGGCAAACTGTTTATACGTACATTCAGTCTCGATTTTACCGCTCACCAGAGGTGCTTCTTGGTTTGCCGTATGTGACCCAAGACAATACGACCTTGGGGAGGAGTTTGGCTAATCTGTTTCAGGTACTCTTCTGCAATTGATATGTGGTCTTTGGGTTGTATCGTCGTCGAGCTATTTCTTGGTTTGCCCCTTTTCCCCGGATCGTCAGAATACAACCAAGTCTGTCGGATCGTCGAAATGCTAGGCTTACCCCCGACTTGGATGTTGGAAATGGGCAAGCAATCTGGTGAATTCTTTGAGAAGACCCAGGACGAGTTTGGACGAAAGACCTATCGTCTGAAGAGTCTGGAGCAATACTCACGTGAGCACAACACGAAAGAACAGCCCAGTAAGAAGTACTTCCAAGCGTCGACCTTAGAGGATATCATCCGAAGCTATCCAATGCCGAGGAAAAATATGAAACCAGCAGAGGTTGAGAGAGGTACGATCGTCAACTATCCACTTCGTTTGGCACGCAGCTAACAAATCTCTATAGAGGTCAATAACCGTGTTGCTTTCATTGACTTTGTCCGTGGTCTGCTATCGATCAACCCCCTCGAGCGCTGGTCGCCCCAACAAGCCAAGCTGCATCCCTTCATCACACAACAAAAGTTCACTGGGCCATTTGTACCACCCATGAATCTGAAATATGCTTCGCTGAACAAGACTGTTCCACCAGGTATCCAGCAGCAACAGCAAGCGGAAGCTGCGAGTAAACAAAGAGCAGCTCATGCTCAGTCAGCCGCACAGAGTGCGTATACAATGCACATGAACCAGTACCATCCTCCTGCGCATCCTCAGGCGCCGCCTATGTACACGGGGATGTATGCGGGCCACCAACAAGCTCCCCCGCCCTACCCAACACAGCCACCAGCATACGGCCACCAAATGAATCTTATGCCGGGTCAAATGCCACAGTCGCAGTATGGGCCCTCCCAAAGTCTCTATGCGCAAGCCACAACCAGAGCTGGCCGTCAACGGGCATCGACTATGGATCCCCAGGGAATCCCACCTACTATTCAACGAGTTGCAAGTCACCTCGACCCCAATGCACCTATTCGGTTACAGCCAAGTCCGGCATACTACCCTCCACCAGCAGATGGATACGTTGACCCTAACGCTGCAAACCAGAGACGGCGGGGCAGCCGCGTGGGTGGAACACGGAACCGAGACTTCATCCGCACTCTTGAAGACGGTGTCATGGGTGAAAATTTCATGGGGCAACAAAACCAATGGCATTAACTGTGCGCTGTCAGGTATGAGAAGAAGGTTGAGCAAGAGTCATATATTATGCATTTTCTCTTTCTGTCGGGCACGAGTATTCTCCGTATGCGTTAGTCACAGACGATGTGATCGCTGTGTCGCTCCAACTGTGCCCTGATTATGTGGCCATTTGGACTTTGCTCGATTCAACCGAGTTCCCTTGTTACCTGCCCTGGCTATAGGCTGTCCCACACTCGATGGCTTGCCAATCATTGCTGCATTTATGGTTGTGCCCATAGGAATCTCATACAAGAGAGATCCGGCCAGGTCGGGCCAACAAGACAGGCGGATGAAAGGACATGCTCCGTACATCTTCCGATCTCCGTGTCGATTGGTTGACTGTTTGCTCGCTGGGACTTGTATAGTTTCGAATCATTTTGGTGATTTATGAGACTCGTTATATTGCCGACTGTTTCGGCATAGAGGTACCCAGCCCAGGGCCAGTGTCGCCATCTGCCTCCTCCCAGACTTATGTACGCGTTGCCTTCGGCATAACCAGGCGTTATTGGGAATACTGCAGTTCATTCCCCTGTTTTGTTACATTTATCTTCCCTTTCTTATATTTCTTCTTGATTGTCTTTCTAACAGCACTGCTGTTGTCTATTTTATGTGATTTTACATCATGCATTGTCTTTTTTACGTTTTCGCCCTTTTTTCCCATGGGGGATAGCATTACTATAGCTTGGATACTCAGGCCCAAAAATGCCAGACGTGCTGAAGATCCCTTCCCAGATATCTGGCCGCTCTCATTTCTGACACTTGTGGACATGTTCCGTTGCCGAACGGTCAATATACATGGTGGCCATCGACACTGGTGCATCGGACCAGCAACTGTGGTGTAAGTTGCGTGCGGAACCGCGGAACCTGAAAAAAAAGTGTATCTTTGCAGCCGTTTCTGTCAGGCCAATCCTACCTGACTTTGCGATTTAGCATAGATTGTGCACACGTTTAGGATTGTTTTTTTGTTAGCGGGCATTGTCCATTTACCGGGTGTATATATTGCATCTGTAGCATGATGGTATTCTTACAAACATTGTTCAAATAGACAAGCACAGGTATATGTCGGTTTGGATAACCCTCGCTGTCCATATTGATTCAGAGTGCTACTATAACTACTTCCAACACTGACTAGCTTAGTTAACTAGAGTATATTAAGAGGGACACGCCTTATAAAAACACTATCAGTAGACCAAAAAGGGCGTTGCACTACCATCTAGACTCAATAAATTAGATACTCTTCCTTGGTTTTATTGGAGTCTCTGGTTGAGTGATATTGGTGAAATTCTCGAATCGGACACCACTGCTGTTCACACATGAGCCATTCCAAGGCCGCCCCGAGGCAAGACCATCGACACTGGAAGTCGATAATTCCAAAATTAGCCTCCATGATTTCAACTGCTTTATCTACAAAAGAACAGATCTACGCGTGGCGGGGAGCCATCTCAATTACCTAAAGCGGTTAGGCGCCGGCTCGCTTAAATTTGTGTGGCTCGCCGCCCAACGCCGCTGCGGCTACGAACCCTCACAACGGGATTTTCTTACCAGGCTGTCACGACGCACCACATCCCCGGCCGGCGAGAACGAGACGTTTCCCATCGACAGGAACACTATATCCCGACTCCCGCAACCATGTCGCGCTTTTTCTACGGTAACGACAGCGACAGCGACAGCAGCGGCTCCGACGAGGAGGAGCTCTACAGCGATGAAGAGGAGGTCGAGAAGTCCGAGGAGGAATCCAGCGAGGAGGAGGGCGGCTCTTCAGAGGAGGAGTCCTCTGATGACGAGGATGCTGGAAAGACCAGTGCTAGTCGTTTCATAAAGGATATCAGCGATAGCGAGGAAAGTGAGGATGAAGAGGTGGTCAAGGTTGTGAAGAGTGCGAAGAACAAGCGGTTGGAGGAACTGGAGAGCACGATTAAACTGATGGACAATGCTCAGAAGATTAACGACTGGGCGGTTATTTCAGCCGGTTCGTGGACTTCCATTTGATATCGGGTTTTGGGATAGGGGATATAAGTCTCCATACTAACGCTGTGTTTTTTTTTTTTTTTTCTTTTTAGAATTCGACAAGCTAAACCGTCAAATCGTGAAGGTCGTTCAGTCTGGCCCTGTCCCTAAGGTCTATGTCAAGACCGTCGCGGATCTCGAGGATTTGGTCAACGAGACCGTCGCCAAGCAGAAGTCGTCCAACAAGAAGATGAACGCTAGCAACGCCAAGGGTTTCAACGCAATCAAGCAGAAGATCAAGAAGAACAACAAGGAATATGCTGCACAGGTTGAAAAGTACCGAGCGAACAAGGACGAGTTCATGGAGAGTGAGGACGAAGAGGAGAAGAAGAAGCCTGCCCCCGCTGCACCTCGTCTGAGCAAGCTGGAGCGCGTCGAGGCTCCCGCTGCTGTTTCCGGAGACGACGATGGATTCGCGACCGTTGGTCGTGGTGGAAAGACTCTTCAGTACACTCCCGAGAGCATCCTTAAGCACCTCCGTGTTATCGTCGAGTCCCGAGGAAAGAAAAACACCGACCGTCTCGAGCAGATCAAAACCATGGAGAAGCTCCTCGAGGTTGCCCAGAACCCTTACCAGCGCATCCGTGTCTACCTTACCCTTATCTCCACCCGCTTCGACCTTACCACGACATCTGCCGCTGCATACATGAGTGTTGAACAATGGAAGGCCGCTGAGCAAGAATTTGCCACCCTGCTTTCCGTTCTCGAGAAGGAGAGCGACTACGTTGTCAGTGAAGGTGCCGAGGAGTGGGAGGATGACGAGAAGCAGCCCCAGGTTACACCGGGCCAGACTCTGTACATCCCGGGAAGCATTGTTTCGTACATTGAGAGACTCGATGACGAGCTCACGAGGTCTCTGCAGCACATCGACCCTCACACCGCCGAGTATATCGAACGTCTGAGTGATGAGAAGCAGCTGTATACCAACCTTGTGCGGACCCAGATCTACGTTGAGGGCCTGACAAAGCGGGAGAAAACCGACCTTCGCCAGGACAGCCTTAACCGTGTGGTGATGAGGAGACTCGAACACATTTACTTCAAGCCTTCTCAGGTCATCACAATCCTGGAGGATAGCACGGAGAAGGCTCTTCCCTCAGAGCTGAAATCCTCCATCACAAGCGGTACAAACACTGCCGATGCCCAGGCCCTGGTCCAGACGCTATGCAACTACCTGTTCAAGAACAGCGATGGTATCCTCCGGGCTCGGGCCATGCTCGCCCAGATCTACTTCCTCGCCCTTCACGATCAGTACTACCGTTCTCGTGACTTGATGCTCATGTCTCACCTTTCCGAGAACATTGCGAACTTCGATGTTAGCTCTCAAATCCTCTTCAACCGAACGCTGGTCCAGATCGGTCTGTGTGCCTTCCGTGCTGGTCTTATCTACGAAGCCCAGAACACCCTCTCCGAGATCTGCGGTAGCGGACGCCAGAAAGAGCTTCTCGCCCAGGGCATCATCCTCCAGCGTTACTCCACCGTCTCCCCCGAACAAGAGCGTCTTGAGCGTCAACGTCAACTCCCCTTCCACATGCACATCAACCTCGAACTGCTCGAGTGCATTTACCTCACCTCTAGCATGTTCCTCGAGGTTCCTCTGATGGCTCAGACCTCTTCCTCCCCCGAAATGAAGCGCCGCGTCATCTCCAAGACCTTCCGCCGTATGCTTGACTACAACGAGCGCCAGGTCTTCACCGGTCCTGCGGAGAACACCCGTGATGGTGTCATCATGAGCGCTAAGTTCCTCGCCGCCGGTGACTGGAAAAAGGCCGCGGAGATGCTCAACTCCATCAAGATCTGGGACCTTATGCCCCAACCAGAGAAGATCAAGGAGATGCTCTCTCAACAGGTCCAAGAAGAGGGACTCCGCACATATCTCTTCACCTATGCCCCCTTTTACGACAGCCTCTCTATCTCCACCCTGTCAACCATGTTCGAGCTCCCAGAAAAGAAGATCGCTGCTATCATCAGTCGCATGATCTCCCACGAGGAACTCGGCGCCGCCCTCGACCAAGTCAACGACGCTATCATCTTCCGCAAGGGTGTCGAGCTTTCTCGCCTCCAGTCCCAGATTGTCACCCTCGCAGACAAGTCCATGAACCTCCTTGAGGCCAACGAGAAGACCCTCGAACAACGGACACAGGGTATGGCCAATGCTTTCCAGCGCGACCAAGGGCCTGGTGGCCGTGGTGGCCGTGGTCCCCGAGGTGGTGGTCAAGGCCGTGGTGGTGCGAGAATACCTGGTGGTGGCCAGCGCCGACCCGGTGGACAGCAATTCGGTGGTGGTGCATTGGGTGGAGCGATCAAGGCATAAATAAAATTGTTTTATAATGGCATGTCTTTTCTTTTTCTTTTACTCATGGTCTAATGTTCTTATTGGAATATGACTCGTATGATCATTCCCCGCGTTCTTACCCTTACGGTTGTTTACTAGAGGAATTATGTCTCAATCTTCCTTTTTTTTCGCTTTTTTCTTTGTCGTAAGCTTCATGTGGATGGATGTGGAATGTCGTATTAAGAGGTGTAAGCAAGTTTGCCAGGTATTGCGTCTAAATATTATGACTGCTTGAGATAAATACATCTCCGTAGGCCTGAGCCATCTTCGCGTATATATTCAAACTTAGACCTGCGTGAAGGAAGAGCCATACCGCACTTCGATCACTTCGAAATACCCACAACAGGACTGGAAGCTACAGAGGCTGCGTTGATCCCGGAATCGAGCCAAAGCCCGGGTTGTGGGGTAGTAATCCGGTTTTTGAGGGTTTCTCGGGAGAGAGATGGTATGGTGTTGGCATCATGGGCCATGTGTACTCATTCCAAGATGAGTGGTTTGAGGCTGGTAGCAGCGGAGTCCGTCGTCAGGAGGGAAGATCCAAGAAACTTCCAAAGGCCTCAACCATCATCGCCGTCATTGAGGAGTTTCTGAGGCGACCAATACTCCTTTTCTGCGCATTGGAGATCCACCCAAACAAGACCATCTGCAAGAAGGTCGTCGAGGACCGTTTTTGCGCGAGCCTTTTCCCAATTTAGATTGATTTGTAACATTGATACGCTCACATAGCCCAGTACTTGGATGGCTTCGAGAACGGTGGATTGATCTGTATTCAGCTCTTTTGGGATGGAGCGAATATATTGTTTGTTGCCGACCAAAATGATAGAGAAACCTGAGCTAAGGGGTTCAAGAGACTTCACGGCTCGTAGTACATCGTCACTAAAAGTTGAGAGCTGCCGTTAGGCAATACATCCTTATAATCTGACGGGTTGGGTGGAGATGCGTACTCTGTTACTTCAAGTCCACTACCAATGGCCTTTCCCTTACCTACACGCTTCCGACACTCCTCGACGCCGAGTAAACCTCCATTCTCACTACGCGTTTCACGGCAGAGCTCGACAACTCGGACAGCGACCTCAAAGTAGAAGTCGTTCATGTCCCCACCCATAATCTGGGTCCAGAAGCTGGCTCCATCGCCGAGGCCTTTGCGTGCATTTTTACCTTTCACGTTGCTGGCCGCAAGAGGGTCGACGCCAATGACATTGCACATGCGCGCAAACTCCGCGCGGAAGGTCGGGTTCGATTTGATCGTTGAATTATGCTCCAACGCGAAGGCATGGAGTAAGTTCTGGAAGACAGAGAGCTGGGTCTGGAGCGAGGAGGTGTGCGTGGAGCGTAGGTTTGCGCCATGGTTAGCGTACGATTGTGAAGCTTGAGTGCGGTTTGCAAAGGCACCAAGCCCAACACCCCGACGAGAGGCCATGGCGAAGAGCAGTTATGGTCGAGAACCAGGTTGCGGGGCATGAGAGACAACGGCGTGATTATGGGGCAAGCAGATGAGGCTTATCGGTCGATATCAGCTGATAAGCATTGCCCTATACGATAAGGGCTGCTTGTTCCAAACTAGGAAGGAAATATTTTATTATCGGGCTAGCCGTATCTGGCTAGTGTACTATCGTCTACCCACACAACCTTTTCTCTTCAACTTTGAAATTTCTCTCTTGAATTCTTTCCAGTACGACAGCTTTCGACAACCGCCCAACTCGCGAACTCAACAGACCGTCGCAATGGCCTCAACTGCTGCGTATGTTACCTTTGAACACCCCCTTGTCGGCTGATTCGTCCTACGAGCCTGTGAGGTTCAGTTTATAGTCGTCCTTCTCGCTGGAGAGGCTCCGACCAGAAATGGTCGCGAGACACCAGCTCGATTCTTCCCGCCGCCTTTCTCACCATGCGTTCGCATCGACGGAAACGTTGGAGGCGGTACACTGGGCTCGAGAAAAGGCATGGGGTATTGAGGTTGAAAGCACAATGCCTTCTCCTTGAAAACGATTGTTGAGAGCTATCGTTGGCCCATCTCTACCCTTAGGGGGCTTGAGTGGATGCACGAACAGCGTCAACATTACCTTCCTGAGCGTTATGCTTGGGGTCTTGTCGGATGAGGCTTGCAATGTTCACGCTGGAACTGCGAACGTCGCGCTGAAAATGCACGATTAGTAGCAAACTCCGAGAAGGCGTGATACTTAGATCAACCTCACCGATTAAAATTATTCTGTCGGGTGTTATCTATTTCTTCTAGCCTTCAGCATGAGAATGTGGCGCTATAGCTGCAATTCTTACACTCGGCGAAATTGTTCAGTCTTTTGCGGACAGACTAAACTGACCTTAACAGCACCGTCCCCACCCAGGACCAGGTCCTCGTCCCCGAGACCCTCCTGAAGAAGCGCAAGAGCCAGGAGCAGGCTCGCGCCGCTACCCGCGAGGAGGCCCAGAAGAAGAAGGAGGTTAGTGAAAGTGTTTTTTTTTTTTTTTTTCTTTCTTTTTTCATACGGTGATGACACCAACCATCACGCGACTAGATTACCAGTCGATGCTGTCGCTTTTGTTAACCATCTTTCGGGGCTGAGATTATTGCTTCACGTTATTTATTATGTGGTTTTTTGTACTTGCATCACGCTAACTCAGAAACTTCAGGCCAACAAGCAAAAGCGCTCCGTCATCTTCAAGCGCGCTGAGTCCTACGTCAAGGAGTACCGCGATGCTGAGCGCGAGAAGATCCGTCTTGGCCGCGTCGCTCGCCAGGAGGGCAACTTCTACGTTGCTGACGAGCCTAAGCTTATCTTCGTTGTCCGTATCAAGGGGTAAGCTACTCTATTCAAGTTTCTCAACGGATTCATTTCTAACAAAATTCCAGTATCAACAAGATTCCTCCTCAGCCTCGCAAGATCCTTCAGCTCCTCCGTCTGCTCCAGATCAACAACGGCACTTTCGTCCGTCTCTCCAAGGCTACTCAGGAGATGCTTACCATCATCAACCCCTACGTTGCCTACGGTTACCCCAACCTCAAGTCCGTCCGTGAGCTCGTCTACAAGCGCGGTTACGGAAAGGTCGACAAGCAGCGCACTCCTCTCACCGACAACCAGATCATCGAGGAGCACCTCGGCAAGTACGGCATTGTCTGCATGGAGGATCTGATCCACGAGATCTACACCGTTGGCCCCAACTTCAAGCAGGCCAACAACTTCCTCTGGCCCTTCAAGCTCTCCAACCCCACTGGTGGCTTCCGCTCCCGCAAGTTCAAGCACTACATCCAGGGCGGTGACACTGGTAACCGTGAGGAGAACATCAACGCTCTCATCCGCCAGATGAACTAGATTTTTTCTGCGTGGGATTGGTGTTCGCGGGGTCTGGACTACCGGCTGGTTGTCGGTATAATGGTCTGAATTCCGAGTTGAAAAATACAAAAGCTTTCAGAAGTTTATGATTGTGCACGTTTATACCCTTGGGCTTAGTAACTGAATTGTAGTCATCTCTTGTTGACCCTGAATTCCCTTTACGAAGAATTGTAGTCGGAGCCCACAGAAAACTAAAGATAAAATGTAGCTGTATGCACCCATCAATCTATTAAGATTCACTTGTCGGGTGATTAAGTTTCCAGCTAGCTAAAGGCGAGGTTTAAGATCTGAGTAGGAGGATTTGAACCATCAAGAGATCCTCATGGTGATAAAAGACTCTACGTCTTCTACCAGCTACAGATACTGTTACCCAGTTACTGTCTACATTTCGTCCCAATCTGCTGCCTTGTCTATATCCAAAATGGAATTCCATTTCGGCATGCTTTCTCTCCTTGTTTTAGCCCCGCTTATCATCGCTACTCACACACATATATAAATTGAAACGTAACCACTTACGAGATTTCATGCAGAATCTGAGTATATACAGAAAAAAAAAATATCTATATTTTGATAACGTCCTGCACCTTTCTACCCTTGTCAACGATCAGTCTAAGCTGTTTACCTTCCCATCCGGATGGCGATGCGGATGCTGTGGTTGAATGAGGGACGGGCTTGAAGGCACCTTCGCGGAGAGTTTCGCTGTAGAGCTCGTAGGATGGGTAATCTAGTCAATCAGTACATTTGCTTCTTATAAGACGCAGTAGTAGCGTTGTGATAGATGGGCGATGGGGTGGACATACAGCCATCAACAAAGTTATTGACCTGCTCCTCGGTCATGCCGATACCCTTTGTAGCCCGAAGAGTTCGCTCTTGTTCTTGTCGCCACTCATAAACGTAGTGGTTATCCTTGGCGTCGCTATAGAGATATGGGTTAGCATCACTTAATACCAGTGCTTGCGTTGGAGGATCCAGGCACATACATATGTATCAGCGCATCCAGCTGGCTAGTAAGAAGAAAATGTATTAGTCCAAATCCAAAAAATAAATCATCCAACAGGGTCACAAACTTAGTCAAGCCATCATATCTCCTCAATAGATCATTAACCATCTTAACGTCCTCAAATCTCACATGGCCCAGGCGGCCCTTATAGTCAGATCCCTTGTCATCTTTCGTCCGGACCGCGGCTTCCCACTTGGCCCGGAGGACATCTTCGTTCCAAGCGCGGAACCCCACACTCCACCCTTCAAAGATAAGAACCTTGATCTGCTCCTGGCCCGACTCGTTAACCGTTTCCCATTGCGCCTGCGGGACCCGGTCGCCCTGCCCGCTGAACGCCGATTTATCGTACTGAGGGATCGCGGTGGGGCGGCCCGAGCGGAGAGATGCAAAGACGGACTCGGCGAGGGGAAGGTCGTGTGTACCTGGTTGGCCGCGGTGCTGGAGGAGTGGATTGGTCGGGTTGTTCTTTGCGAGTTGGACCTGGTCATCGTGGGTGAGGTAGAGGTCGTCGAGGGAGAGAGTGACGACGGGGAGAGAGTATGGCGGCGAGCGGAGGGTGGATTGCAGCGTGGACACCTAGAGCGGCACTGATTGCTTAGCTATCCTTATTCTTCTTCCTTCATTTGCCCGATCAATCAATGCCCGTTTTACGTACCAGCACTGTTTTCCCAGCGCCCTGGACACCGTTCAGCCCCAGGAAGAACGGCGGGGTCTTGGAGGGGTCGTCCCCGTACTGCGCCTGGTGGGCCTTGAGGCGCTCAAGCAGGAACGGAATGCAGTGCTCGGACTTGTCGTCGAAGATTTCAGGCATTTTGGATTTTTGTAAAAACGGTTCTAGAACGGCGAATTGCTCGCGAGATGCAGATCCAGCGATTCATATATCAGAGGGACTGTTGATCGGGGGATGTCCGACCGGACTTAATTCCTCCGGCTGGGGAACCGTTCGGCCTGTGTAGCTTCTCGTTGTGGAGAAGGTGGGCATGTAACGGCCGAGAGATCTTGATTACAGAGTAGAGAGGATCTTCTTAGTTTGTAGACTTTGCAAACTTTAGGTAACGTGCAGATATAGTTTATGGTAGATTGATAAATGTGGACTATATACCATTGCTGCAGGGCTTAGCTTAGGGCTGGGTGGCTATTCTTAATACTTCACAGGGCTTGGAAGTTGCCACACCTTAGGTAGAACTCTGGTACTAGAAGGTGCAGTGTAACAGACTATATCCCTGCGGCGTATGCTTAATGGTACAGGTGCACAGTACATCCATGTTTCGGCGGACCCAACCACCGGCCAACTGGAAGGGCGATAGCTTTTCACGGCAGGGATCAAAAATGGGATAGAGGAATGAGAACCGCAAAAAGCTGCTCAACGGGGTCTATAAACGCAGTCTGTAGAACATAAGAGAATGAAGTATTAAATGGGTCAGCTTGGGATCGAACGATGGGCCATAGACTTCTCCAGGTATCGGAGACGTCTGAGTACTATGTGATAAATTGAATCATGTGATTAAGACAGCGTTTTCCCACTGAGCTATTTCATTTGAAAGGTAGCCCGGCAGAATCGGGATCACCGCCCCCGGAGAGATCTAGCCCCACATCATACATCATTTGTGATTTGTGGACTCGTGAGAGAAGACCTCGGGCTTCGAATCACATGAGAGCGGCCAACCGTTTGTGGAAAACAGCATAGCAACGGGAGGGAAGCAAAGAGCCGGTGGACCCGAGAGAGAGAAGAGACCCCGAAGAGTAGTGAAGAGTGAAGGACTGAGTGACGGCAAAGGGATAAAGAACTGCAGGGGCTGGCGATGTAATCGGCATGTGAAGCCGTTCCATCTGCCATGAAGTGCATGACCCGTCGGCGCTTGTGGGTGCAGAAGCACCGAGCTTGGGGTCAGCAGAGATACCTCGGCCCAGACGTGCCAGCTTGCCGAGCACTGCGACCGTCGTCACTCTTCTCCCCAGATTATTATTATTCACCCTCATCCATGATTCTTGAACCCGCTTCTCCCCAGAATACTGCTTGTTCTCTCCTTCTTTCTCCCCATCCTTAAATAATTCATATCCCCTGTTTGACCCCCTCCCTCCGTCCTATATCCTCCCCCGTTACTCTCCTGTTTCCCCTCATTTTTTTGAATTTGGTTTATCAATATGTCTGAGCTGCGCTTTGACAACCAGACCGTTGTCGTCACGGGTGCTGGTGGTGGTTTGGGTAAGGCATATGCTCTGTTCTTTGCCTCAAGAGGAGCAAACGTTGTGGTCAACGACCTCGGTGGTTCTCACAAGGGCGAGGGTCAGTCAAGCAAGGTGAGCGCCGTTGATCATGATCACAATCACATGTTATTTACCGTCAGTTCTAACTGAGTTTTTGCTTTCTATAGGCTGCCGATGTGGTTGTTGAAGAGATCAAAGCTGCCGGCGGCAAGGCCGTGGCCAACTACGACAGCGTCGAGAACGGCGAAGCTATCATTGACACAGCCATTAAGAACTTTGGCCGAGTAGATGTTCTCCTCAACAACGCCGGTATCCTCCGGGATGTCAGCTTCAAGAACATGAAGGACCAGGACTGGGATCTCATCAACAGAGTCCACACATATGGTGCATACAAGGTAGGGGTTCCGGCTATTCCGTTTCTACGCGACGGAGACTGATTGTCTATAGTGCGCACGAGCTGCTTGGCCTCACTTCCGGAAACAAAAGTATGGCCGTGTCATCAACACGGCATCTGCCGCCGGTCTCTTCGGTAACTTCGGACAGGCCAACTACTCTGGTATGTTACGCAATGATAGAATTGAGCTGGACATCGGCTAACCGTTCTAGCTGCCAAACTCGGTCAGGTCGGATTCACCGAGACCCTTGCAAAGGAGGGTGCCAAGTACAACATCATCGCCAACGTCATCGCCCCCGTTGGTAAGTCGCGCGAAAACTGTAGTTAACGGATGTGTAACTGACCCCAACAGCTGCTAGCCGTATGACTGCTACCGTGATGCCCCCAGAGGTTCTGGACCTCCTCAAGCCCGAATGGGTTGTTCCCGTCGTCGCTACTCTGGTCCACTCATCTAACACAACGGAGTCCGGCTCGATTTTCGAGATCGGTGGTGGCCACGTGGCTAAGATTCGCTGGGAACGTGCCAAGGGTGCTCTACTGAAGACTGATGCATCCCTCACCCCCGGTGCCATCGCCAGAAGGTGGAACGACGTCAACGACTACTCCAAGCCCGATTATCCCACGGGGCCCGCCAACTTCATGGAACTCTTGGAAGACGGCCTCAAGCTGCCTTCCGCTCCTTCTGGGGCTGAGCCCGACTTCAAGGGCAAGGTTGCCCTTGTCACTGGTGGTGGTAACGGGTATGTTTCCAAACTATAGGCCTAAAGACATGCCCATGCTAACCGCATCTAGTCTTGGCCGTGCTTACTGCCTTCAGTTCGCCAAACTCGGCGCCAAGGTTGTGGTTAACGACCTGGTTGACCCTGAGCCTGTTGTTCAAGAGATCAAGAAGCTCGGCGGAGAGGCCGTGGGCAACAAGGCCTCTTGCGAAGATGGCCCGGCTGTCGTCAAGACCGCCATCGACACTTACGGTCGTATCGACATTCTGGTCAACAACGCTGGTATTCTGCGCGACAAGGCTTTCGCTAACATGACTGATGATCTGTGGAACCCTGTTATTAACATTCACTTGCGCGGAACCTACAAGGTCACCCAGGCTGCCTGGCCTCACATGCTGAAGAACAAGTATGGTCGCATTGTCAACACTGCAAGCACCAGTGGAATTTACGGCAACTTTGGACAGGCCAACTATGCTGCCGCGGTATGTTAAGCGTCCCTGTCGGTCCACTGGTGGACGAACTAACGGTTAATAGAAACTCGGTATCCTCGGATTCTCCCGAGCTCTTGCCTTGGAGGGAGCCAAGTACAACATCAAGGTTAACACCATTGCTCCCAACGCCGGTACCAACATGACTCGATCGATCATGCCCGAGGAGATGGTCCAGGCCTTCAAGCCCGACTACGTTGCACCTTTGGTGGTTCTTCTCTGCTCCGACGTTTGCCCTGAGCCCTACTCCACCAAGGGCCTGTTCGAGTGTGGCAGTGGTTGGTTCGGCAGCACTCGCTGGCAGCGCAGCGGTGGCCACGGCTTCCCTGTTGACGTCAAGTTGACTCCTGAGGCCGTTGCCAAGGAGCTTGCGAAGATCACCAACTTCGATGACGGCCGTGCAGACCACCCCGAGAATATCCAGGCTGCCAACGAGAAGGTGATGGAAAACTTCAGCAACCGTAGCGGCGGTGACGGTGGTAACGACATTCTGACCGCCATCGAAGAGGCGAAGAAGGCTACTACTGACGGAACCGCTTTCGACTACACTGAGCGCGATGTTATTCTCTACAACTTGAGCTTGGGCGCCAAGCGCACCGACCTTCCCCTCGTCTACGAGAACAACGACCACTTCCAGGCCCTCCCCTCATTCGGTGTTATTCCTTGGTTCAACACCACCACCCCCTGGGACATGGGCGACATCGTCAAGGACTTCTCCCCCATGATGCTTCTCCACGGTGAGCAATACATGGAGATCCGCAAGTTCCCCATCCCCACCGATGCCCGCACCAAGACCTACCCCAAGCTCATCGACGTTGTCGACAAGGGCGCCGCTGCTCTCGTCGTTGCCGGTTACACAACCAAGGACGCCTCCACAGGCGAGGACCTCTTCTACAACGAGTCCACCGTCTTCATCCGTGGCAGCGGTGGCTTCGGTGGCTCGCCCAAGCCCACTGCCGCCCGCCCCAAGGGTGCCGTCGCCGCATACAAGCCTCCTCAGCGCAAGGCCGACGCCGTCGTCGAGGAGAAGACCTCCGAGGACCAGGCTGCCCTCTACCGTCTTAACGGCGACCGCAACCCTCTTCACATCGACCCCGAGTTCAGCAAGGTCGGTGGCTTCAAGACCCCCATCCTCCACGGTCTCTGCTCGCTCGGTGTCTCGGGTAAGCACGTCTTCTCTAAATTCGGCCCCATCAAGAATCTCAAGGTCCGCTTCGCTGGTGTCGTTCTGCCCGGCCAGACCCTCAGGACGGAAATGTGGAAGGAGGGCAACACCGTTCTCTTCCAGACCACCGTTGTCGATACTGGCAAGCCTGCTATCACGGGTGCCGGTGCAGAGCTGCTTGATGGTGCTAAGGCTAAATTGTAAACTAAACTACGGATGTGAATTGTGATGAGATGCCACTATGACTATGGCTGGAAATTTTTTTTGGTTTGGTTCAGACTGTGTATATAAATAGTTCTGTTTGATAGCAATTTCCTTTCAGTTCTACTTTTTTGTGTCTTGTAGATGTGTATCATCCTAAATCTGGTACTTAAGCTGAGGTAGCTTACCGTATTATTTATACTCATGCTTTTCTGTGGTCGTTCTCCAGACCAGCAACAAAGGCTGAACACAGCTCTATGAAACAGCACAACAACCACCCAAAATGCCAGAACGTGCTGAACAACTTTTTCACCAGGGCATAATTCTCTCCCAGCAAAACCACCCATCTATGCGAGCTAACTAACTTATGATTGACGCTGGTCCTGTTCCTGCCTCTCAACCTCCTCCCCGCCCTTCCCTTTCTCTTTAATCTTCTTCTCCATAACCCTCCTCTTCCCCTCCTCTTTCAACTTCTCATCATCATCCCTCTTCAGCCCAACCTGTGGCATGAGCCCAAACGCGAGCACAAATGCCGCTGCTGACAGAGATGCCCCGATCACGAAAATAATCATGAAGCCACGCTTGTATGCGGGGATGAGAAGGTCCCGAGCACGTTGAGCTTCGGAGTCTGGGAGAGTAGAGAGGAAGCTTTGTGGGCTAGAGAGGAACGAGCGTTTGTCTTCGGCGCTTAGGTGCAGGGGAGCCATTGAAGATGTTATCAGGTTGTTTCTGGTTAGTGTTAGTTGGGCTTTGATGACTGGCCTAAACTAGCGAGGAAGGGGAGGGGCGTACATGATTGTTTGAGCGATTGCGAGACCTAGCGTACCACCTAGGTTTCGAACGAAGCTTGATGGGGGAAGGGAGGTTAGCTAGCTAGTCTTGTTAAGATCTGGATGTGTGTAGAGACATACTTTCGGAAGGAGGTTACGACCGCCATGTCTCGTCGCTCGACACCGGCCTGGATGGCAATAAGGGCACTATGTACTGTCAGTAATGGCTAATGTGGATGATGATTTGAACTGACGGTTGTAGTGTGTTTCCGACGCCCACACCAGTTAGGAGCCCGTATCCGATCTGTTTTCCAAGACCGGAGGACTCGTCGAGAGTCGAGAAGAGACCTAGCCCGACCGCCCATATCATCCATCCGAAAAGGATGCATTCCCTGTAGCGACCTACCCAGTGTACGATGAGCCCGGATACGGTGCTACTGACGGCTGTGTTTCGTTAGCATCTTCGCCGTTATGGAGGCGGGGGGGGAGCAAGCGCCGACGTACTCTGCATCAAGGTGATGGGCAGGAGCATTGCTCCAGATTTCACGGTGGAGTAATTAAACACAAGCTGGTAGAAGGTCGGAATGTAGTAGACCTGTACAAGAAAGTTCCACCCATTGATGAACATGGTGAGACAAGCTCCGTTGACGATACGTGACTTGAATATGTGCATCGGCACCAAAGGGTACCGGGCGCCCTTCCACTGCCATAACACGAAGCCTACACAGACAGCAAATCCTACAACGATGGTGGCGATGACATGGGCTGAGTCCCAGGGATATTCACCACCACCCCACGTAAGCCCCAGAAGAAGCACTGCGGTACCCGCAAGAGCTAGAGCCGCCCCCACGAAGTCGATAGCTTTGAGCTTAAGCTTCCAGTCCCCTGTAACTTTCCGCAATGGCATGAAGAAGAGAACACAGAGCGTGCAGATTGCAGTAAGTGGAAGATTAAGCCGGAAGATCCATCTCCAAGAGTCCTCGGATATAGCGGACAGGGCACCACCGATAACTGGACCGATTCCGTTAGCCAGTGCTACCACTGCACCTAAAATTCCCTGGTATTTCCCTCGCTCTCTAAGTGGTACAACGTCGCTGACTATCATCTGAGCCACCGTCATTAGCCCGCCGCCGCCGACACCAGTGAAGGCGCGGAAGACGATCAGCTGCGTGGCAGTCTGTGCGAGAGAAGCTGCCAGAGAGCCGAAAAAGAAGATCCCCAGGCCTACGAACAGCACAAATTTGCGGGACCAGATGTCCGAAAGACGACCGTATATGAGCTGGAAGCATGTTGAAGTGCTGGACGAATAATAAGCGAACCGAATGCATGCATGGATATATGTGGAGAGGCAGCTTACACAAAGTAGCCCCCGGATATCCAAGCTGATTTATCGCTGGCGTTCAGCGCGTTTCCAATAATTGACAAGCTGGCCGCCAGGGTAGTCTGGTCCATCAAAGCTATGAGGTCGACGGTCGAGCAGGCCAAAAATATCTGTAGCCGCGTTAGCCATGAGGATCCTCCAAGCGGTGGGGTCGGCGCATTACGGTGATAATGGTGCTTCTAGGTACGTAATTTGTCTGTTCATTGAAGACATGCTGCGCCTTAGGGGAGGCTGACTCCGAGCCCGAACTGGCCGAGCCGGGCGGGCTGGAGGGTTGAGGTTCCTGGAGGACAGCAGCACCCGACATCTTTCCTCTCGCTGGACATGCTGGCGAGCAAGCGAAAGGGGAATTGGCCGGGGGTTATATGGGTGTTAAGCACTGGGTCCCTCCTATTCCCTTCTCGGGCTGAGTGACACGGCACGAGCGAATCCGCCGGCGAACGACGAGCCCACCGCATTGAAGAATAGGGTGGAACAATTAGCTAATTGATGGGTCAGAAGTATATCCAGAAATCCGGGCCTGCCATTGTCTCGTGTCTGCAGGGCAGGATCACTGGGCTTTGAATTGCCGGGAAGATCAGGGAAGGGAAAGAGAGAGAGAGAGAAAGATCGCCGCAAATGTGCTCAAAACACCTCAAAGGTCCTCGCCGGCACGTGCCAAGCGTCTATCATATCGTCAGCCTGAGTACCTGCGGCGTCAACCCCCTGCCCGTTTCTGCGTCTCAAGGGACCTTGCGCTCTGTCGAATCTGCAGATCGTCTCGACCAGACTGATTCATTTGTCCATCCTGTTTTCAGCCCACAACACCCTGCGGGCAAACTTTCGTGATCTTCCAGCCCAGAGGCCTTGTTGGCTGTCTCGACCTTAAGCCCACTCGCCAATCAAGAAAATGGCCCGAATTCCCTGTAGGGCCTTGAGATTGATGCCTCTACCATTGGTTCTAGACACGAGCACCTCATGAAGCAAAGTGAATCGACAGCCTGCTTGGTGGGTCCCGACTCTCTGGCATCGGGTCTGCGCGCGGAAATGAGGAAAAGAGCAGCAGGGGACCAAGGCTGAAGAGGGGTGGAGGGATGCGCGTGGGGGGAAGCCATCTGTTGCACTCTGTGCGAGCATATTTGCTATATTATGGCGTTTCCCTCGTGGAACGTCCCCCTCACTTCCTCTCTCATCAACTGCAGAAGCCCGGTGCAGATACCCGAGTGGAACTTGCTCCTACTTGCATTGTATGCACCATGGTGAACTCTAATGAGCTCAATGTCTACTTCGGGCAGGATTCTCTCAAGAAGTACTTTGACCCGGATTCGCAGCCTCCATTGCCCTTGGTTGAGCTCCCAGAGTACCTCAACCCCTACCACCAGGATGGCGTGCGGATCTATGCAAAGATGATGACTATGCATCCTGCAAACAATGTTAAAGCGATGCCAGGTACGAAACTCTTATGATTTGATCATTGGTACCCTTAACTGACCAATTAGCAATGAATATGCTGCAGTCGGACGTGGCCCCCGGAAAGACAAACACAATCATCGAGTACAGCTCTGGGTCTACCGTCATTTCTATGTCGATGATTGCGCGGGTTATGCACGGCGTGCAGGACACCCGAGCCTATCTCAGCAACAAAACAAGCGAGGCAAAGCTCAGACTGATGCAGTTCTTCGGACTCAACGTCAGCCTGTTTGGTGGACCGTCCCAGCCGGAGCCCTATGATGAGCGAGGTGGTATCCAGAGTGCCCGCAGGATGGCAACAGAATCAGACGCAATCCTCAACCCGAATCAGTACGAAAATGACAAGAACTGGCAGTCACATATCCGCTGGACCGGACCGCAGATCTTCAAACAGCTTCCCGAGATCAACGTGCTCTGCGCGGGGATGGGAACCTCAGGAACGATGACCGGCCTGGGCACTTACTTTAAGCAAGCCAAGCCATCTGTTGTCCGCCTTGGGGTATGTACGGCACCCGGAGACCGAGTTCCTGGGCCAAGATCATTTGCATTGATGAGGCCCGTGGAGTTCCCGTGGAAGGAGGCAGTTGATACTATTGAAGAAGTCAACTCTTACGACTCCTTCTCCCTCTCTCTAGAGCTGTGTCGGGAAGGTATCGTCTGCGGACCGTCATCGGGGTTCAACTTGCAGGGCCTCTTTCAGATGATTGAGAAGCGCAAGAAGGCTGGTACGCTGTCCGAACTGGCTGGACCCGACGGCTCAATCCACTGCGTGTTCCTATGCTGCGACCTGCCGTATCAGTATATCGGTGAATACTTCCAGCGGCTAGGAGAAGACAAGTTCCACCCCATCCAGAACGAGGTTTGTTGTTTCCTGCCTGTTTTCCACGCTCTCAGATACTCATGCCTTACAGAACCTAACCAAGGTCGACCTATACCGCTACGACGAAAGCTGGGAGCGAAGCCCAGTAGTCCTATTCACTCACTTCTACGAGTCCCCTAAAACCTGCTCCCAAGATCTCCTTGCCACGTTGACCCTCCGCCCACAATGCTGCGTCGTGGACCTCAGAACCTCAACCGACTTCAACTCATGGCACCTCCCGGGGTCAGTCAACATCCCTCTGAAAAGCCTCGACTCGCACACCCCGAAGCCTTTTTTCAACCCTAGCATCCTAGAGGCGCAGTGGCTAGAGCTAGAGGCCCTCCTAAAACAACAGAGCGTCCTAACCCAGCTCCAAGATCAACATGTCCTTGTGATTTGTTATAACGGGGACACAGCGCGGGTAGCCACCAGTGTGCTCCGAGCGCAGAAGATCGAGGCTGACAGTCTCCGTGGAGGGTACCAGGCGCTGAAGGACCAGGGGCTATGGGGTGATGGTGGAGCCGAGTCGGTTGGGAATAAGTCATATACGCAGCCCTCAGTGTCTGTAACCCCAATCCCGCTGGAGAGCAATTGAATATGACTGTATGAGCATGCAAATGGTATAATGAAAAAAAAGATTGATTTGTTTTCGGATGTTCGTTTGATTAATTGGCCTAGATGGACGTGTGGCCGTGTCCGAAAGCGGAAGTCCCCGTCAGTCGGCGGGCTCGACTGGAGCGAAGGATCATCGTTGTTTCTTGGGTATCTTGATTAGTTATTTCCCCTCATGAGTTTTGAATAGACTGATAATGATGGTTTCATTTAAACGAGTCCAGTGTCATGCGTGGTCAGCCCTGCTGGCGCACGTCCACCTCTAGAAAAGTCAGTATGGATACCTGCAACAGCAAAAAGAGAATAAGCGAATGAAACCCGCGGAAATGTTAATATGACAGCTGTTAAACCCAAGGAAAAGGCAAGAAAAAGCAAGAGAGAAAAAGAAATAAAGCCCAATGCAAGCAGCCAGGAGACAAATCACGCTAACAGGAAATGTGCTCAATTGCTCGCAAACCAGCGCCGGCCGGCCAATCACAAGCCGGCGCACCCAAAGTATGGACCACAGCAACGCCCTCAACACACTCTGACTCTCCCCAGTGAAAGGAATGTGGTTGATTACGTTTAGTCGCCCGCCTATAAGTCAGAGGCTTGTGCTCTCTGCTGGCTCATGTCATGTGTAACATCTGTGTCAATCTGCCCACCCAGTTGCTCAGAGTCCTCTCAAGTTGCTGCTAGGCTCGGCTGTCTAACACTGGAAGCGGAGCCAGACGGCCAGACAGACAGGCCAACATGATGGACATGGACATGGAAATGGACCAGCCCGCGGGCGTGCCATGGCTTGATAGCCCGGTGATGCTACACTCTTCGCGCGCAGACACGTGCAAGTTGACGCCGGAGCAATGCGTTTATCGGTCTGGGTACTGGAGATACTGGTACGTTGCTGATCAGTTCCCTTCCTATATGCGTGTGCCTGGACTGTGGAGGATCCGGAGAATTATCTGCTTCGATAGACATGCCGATCGACAAGGCTAACGATGGTGTCATTTCTGTAGGTATCAGGCAGATCTTGTTTATGCTCTGAATACGGTCTACTTTCTCTGTGCCACGGTGGGCGTGTTCGCCATTCTGCATTTTGCGGGGCGATATGCGCCTGCCCGTGTGAGAGAGAACTCGCTGTGGAAGAAGGGTACTGCTGCTGCGCGGTTCCTTGCGTATAGGGGAGTGAGGATCCCCGTGCTGGGGTACTGGGCTGCTTCACTGGGTGTTGCGGTTTTGATATTAATTGGGACGGTGTTTTTTCTAGGTATGTTCAATCTATATTTCGATATCCACCCTCCAAATAGTATTGACCAGCCGTTCAGCTATGACTCTCGGCCCTAAACCGTACTACTGGCCTAATTCGGACACGGTCTCGTATGGAGGCAGCCCGCCGATTGCGACTAGGACGGGGTGGATGGCGGTGGCTCTGCTGCCTTTTGTTTTGTGTGTGAAGCCGTGATGTATACAGGTTAACAGTCTTGCTTACTCTGTATAGAGTCCTCGGTACCAAAGCCAACCTCATCTCAGCATTGACCGGCGTCCCACACGAAAAGCTGCAGGTCTTCCACCACTGGACCAGCTACGCCATGTTCGTCCTGGCCTTGATCCACACCTTTCCCTTCATCGTCTACAATATCCAACAAGGCGAGATGGTGTCCGAGTGGAACTCGAGTGTGGTATACTGGACAGGTGTTGCAGCGCTCATCCCCCAGGCATACTTGACCTTCATGTCGTTGCCTTGGATTCGGTTCGTGGCCCTATTTCAATGATCAAGTTTAGAGATCTAGATCTAACAGCTCCAGAAATCGCTACTACGAATTCTTCAAAGCAACCCACTTCCTTATTGCCCTACTCTTCATCTTATTCTTCTTCTTCCACTGTGACTTCAGACTAACCTCCTGGTAAGTCTCTCCTCCCGCCACCATCCCCTCCAACTACCACTAACAAACATCTTATAGGGACTACTTTATCGCCGGTGGCTCCCTCTACGTGTTCTCCCTCCTCACCTCCCTTATCCGCACACACCTAATCAACGGCCGCCACACCGCAACCCTGAGCCTCCTCCCCTGCGGCCTCCTCCAAATCAAAATCCCCACCATCATAAACTGGACACCAGGGCAACATGTCTTCATCCGCTTCTCATCTCCTAGAACCGGAATCGCTCTGCACAGCCTCACCTCCCACCCGTTTACAATCTGCTCGACGTCCCATGACGTCCAAGCCGCAAACAAGGCTAACGAGATGATCTTCTACGTTAAGCCCAAGCGCGGGATAACGGGGCGATTAGCGAATATTGCCTCCAAGTCGCCGGGCTCTGGTCATGGTGTATTGGTTGAAGGTCCGTATGGAGGCATCGAACCGAGTAACATCGCTAGGTCTGAATCGGCAGTTATCATCTCAGGTGGTTCCGGCGGTGGATTCTCGCTGGCCGTTTTCGAGGCTGCATTGCAGATGAATAAAACGAACTGCTGTGATCCAAACCAGAACATCGATGCTGCTGAGAAGCGAAAGACAATTAGGGTTGTGTTCGCGACACAGTCGGAGGATGTCGCGCGGTGGTACCGCGAGCAAATTGAGTCGTTGCTGGCGCTTCACGGCGTGGGCACTGAAGGTATCGACGTCTCTATCCATGTTACTGGCTCGTCATATTCCAGCCCGAATACCAACCACCACCTCGACATTGAGAGAAAGGAACAACAACCCGCAGTGAAGGAAGCAAGGACAGAAGAATCAATCGACCCGCTCTCCTCGTCGTCCGAGGCGCTTTCGGAGACGCACAACGCTGACGAGAACGCAAACACCAGCGCTAGTGTATTCGCCAAAGGACGGCCGGATCTTCCTCGGCTTGTTGCCAGTTCTGCAGAGTCTGGTGCCGGGAAACGTGTTGCGGTATTCGTCTGCGGCCCTGCATCTATGCTAAATGATGTGAGGAATGCGGCTGCGCGTGAGCAAGAGAGGATTTTACGGGGTGGTTCTGGGGGAGAGCTTTATTTGCATTCGGAGAGTTTTTCGTAAGTGTACCTTTCCTTACCCTTACCTGCGATTTCGTATGAATTTTGGCTAACCGAGTGGCCTTTAGATGGTGAGATCGGGTTGTAGGATCAATCATTTTGTATATTGAAGCGGAGAGGCATTGGGACTGAGAGTTGGTGTTATATGATACAGATTTCAGAGATACCTTATTTGATTTACTCTACTCCAATGAACTGTTAAAAACTTCTACTATCTGATACAACTTATCTATCATCGATCACATCCCCCAATATTCGAAAAAACAAAAAACATCTCACTCACCCTGCAGTGAAATCTACCAGTTACAAGTCTTCAATCCCATTCTAAATCTATCCAATTCTGCATTCCAACCCGGGCCCGCCAGATTAAATGCCTGAAGATAGTCGCGTCCCTGGTTCACTCTCGCTCCCCCAGCCTGACTGGTGCTGGTTGTTTCCCATCTTGCAACGCCCAAGTTCAGCTCCTGGAATCGACTTTCCGAACCGTCGTGCACGTTGAGAGATACACCCCCATCTGATTCATCCTCCGAGGTAGACTCGTGGTTTTCGTCCTGTTCCGGGATGGGCGTGAGCTTCCGAGGGATGTTGACTTTGGGCGGCGGTTTGACAGCATTTTTGTTTTTGGGGATAACCCTGTTTGGTGTCTTGACTGCGGATTTCCCTCTGGATCCGCCTCTGAATTTGGCTTTAGAAGAAGCTGGGATAGGAGGTTTGGCTGTGGGATGGGCAGGAGTCTTGACGGAAGCATGAGGCTTGACCTCATCTGCACCGTCAGCGACGCCAAGTTTGAGCTCGGAGGAATTCTCGGCGATAGGCAGCTCAGGTTGAGCATTCACTGTCACGCCAGCCTCTTCAGCAGTGAATCCAGAGGAGACTGTAGTAGGAGGCTCGGTCCCGATTTGAGCAGGAGTCTTGTTGGTAGAAGCTTCAGCATCCCCCGCTGTGTCTACTTCGACATCAGAGTAGACTTTGGGAGTAGATTTGACAGGATGTTCTGCCTTAGCGAGAACCCGAGTCTCTGTTTCAGTATACAGCCCAGGCCCAGGAGTAGGGTTGACAGTTGTTTCCTTGTCGACACCAGCTCCCTCAATACTGACGCCGATGTCGATATCAGAGTTGGCTTCAGCTTCAACTCTGATCTCGGCATTGGAAGTAGCTGTAGTAGAAGGTTCAACCTCAGCTCGACCAAGAGCTTCGTCACTGGCTGGAGTATCAGTAGTAACTTCATCCTTAGACTCAACGCCAACTTGCAAGTCTACCCCGGCATCAGGCTGCGAAGACTTAGGGCAGTCTGTGACACGAAAGCGAGGAAGACCCCGAAATCCAAAGCGCGAGCCGTGGTCTCGGAGCCCATCAAGCTTCGTTCTGGCCAGATTCAACACCGGCTCGACCTCAGCATTGAATATGGGAGAAGCGTTGCCTGGGGAATCAAGTTCGGGTTTAGATGAGGCTTTAGCATTGCCGACAGCTTCAGGTTTAACATCCAGTCCCGAAGTCTCTTCATTTAGGGCTTTAACATCACGCTCAGCTGTACCACTATCGACGCAAAAGCCATAGTCCGGAATACTGTTGAGCTTGGCTTTGGCAACCCTAAGCGCAGAGTCGATCTCAGCATCAACATTCTCAAGAGCAGTGCTGAGAGATTCATGTGCAGTTTCAACTAAGCATGGCCCTTCGCCATTGTCAAGGGCCTCAGCCTCAACAGGAATCCTTGTTTTGATATAGAACTCGTGGTCGATAACGATTGTCGTTTCCGAGTCAGTATCAGCATCAGCATCAGCATCGCCATCAGCATCATCATAAACAGGTTCGGCCTCGACAGAAGATATATCGTTAACCGTGGATTTACCGGCGGCCTTCGCACTGGCCTTCGCAACAGTTTTGGCGGAAGGCTGGGTGGCAGGTCTAGTAGATGGCCCCTTCATAGGTTTCACGCAGCACGGGCACACAGGAAGCCCCGTGGGCCCAAAGAACCCACGGGTTGGTTTATCCTTAGCCTTTTCAGCAGAAGGGTTAGTAGACCTTGCAGATTCAGTGGTCGACGCTGTTGTAAGTGAAGCATAGATGGACGGGTCTTGCGAAACCATGGGCCCAGATGCTGTCGTCTCAACGGGTCCGCATGTAGATTTGTACCACTCCTCAGCTTGCTCGCCGGTCATTGACAAGGAACCCGCTGTTTTCGTTTCGGTCATTTCAGTTGGTATTGGAGTCTTGGAAGTGGACGAGGGCTGCGCGTCGGCCTGATCGACAATATTGAACTTCTGGATATCTTCAATAGCAACATCCATAGGTCCCAAAACCCGCACATGGGGCCAGAAGCGGAGGATTTCCAAGCCAGAGAGCTCTCTTCTCTTTTCAACATTCTTCATGGATGGAATGAAGAGGTCTCTGTAGATCTCGTTAAGCTCCTCAGTCCAGAGCCCTTTCTTAGAGACAAACCGGTCGAACAAACGCATCCATTTCTTGCCTTCCTCCCAAGACCGGACCCGGTTCCCGTCTGCCATTATCCACTCGTCTAATCTGAATCCGCGTCGTTTGTAGGGGTTCCCCCAGGCCTGATAGAGACGCCACCCTTCACGGGCAACGCCAATGACGAAGCAGTGCTCGAAGGTTGGGTAGTCCTCTGTTCGGAGTCTCATCTTTGCAATCTGGACGAGCTCGACATCGACGAGGTGCACGGGCAGTATGGTTGTCTTGCCAATTTTACCGTCGATTGCGGCCTTTTTGGCTTGGTTGAAGAGGGCACTGAGGTTGGCAGAGGGCTGGTGTTTTATATCGTTCATTGTGAGGAAGATCCCAGGGGTTGGGGCGAGGAATCTAGTGGCGTCTATTAAGGACTGGGAATTACCTTTGCAGGCGATCAGGATGATGAGGTCTGTGTATACCCTGGCGGCATCGAGGACGTGGGTGGGCGAGAAGGTATTAAGCCATCTACTCAGATCGATCTTGACCTCATCTGGTGGCACCCAGGGATCCCCGTTGATGTCCGTTTCCCCCTTCACGGCGGCGTCGAACAAGGCGTTGAATACGAGGAAGACCTGGTTGGGACCTTTCTCGAAGCACCGGCTGATTCCGGCGTTTAAGACCTCGAGGGTTGTGCTTCTTATGTTCTGGGACTCTCGGGCTGCGAGGACTGCATCGTCGGGTTCAGGATAGTGAGTCTTGGTGAGCTTCGACATCCTGGCCCATAGCTGATCCGGACCATTGGGGAATCTGACGGGGTGAGGATCCAGTTCGAGCAAGGGTGCAAAGATGTTGGGGAAGAATGGACTAGTGACGATGCTGGGGGGCAGATGCCTGACGACAGCAGTTAGTTGTATGCATGTAGGATAACTCAGAAGAACAGACTTCTTTAGAGGCCTTGTGGGCAGATTGCTTTTTGCTGGCACCTTGTTGTACCTGTTTCGCTTGCCGTACATCATCTTGCCAGGCAGAGAAAAGAAGCTGGTGAATAAGGATAATATCAACGCTAAGTGGAAGCTGCAGGAGTATAAACTGTTATAGCCATCAGTGAGAGCCAAAAGGAGAGAGAGGAAAGGAAAGTTAATAGACGAGGGATATAACAAGCCTGATAACAGGGCCAAGAACACTTCATCATTCTCTTCACACAGTAGCAGCCTTCTGTATAGGAATGGTTTAGCGGCAAGCAGACTACAGCGCTCATTGGCTCTATTTCGATAGCAGTGAGCATAAAGAGAATCAAAAACGTAATATAATAAGGAGCTCCAGTGCACAGTTGTGAACATTCACTACTGCTGGAGAGATGCTCTTCCGGCTGTGAATTGTGAACATAAACAGGCAGCTACCTGACTGTGCAGCAGCCTATTATGACAGGCAAGACAGGTAAAGTAACACAAGCCCATTGGAAATAAAATTTAGTGTGTGCAGCCTGTCTTGTCGAAGAGAAGCTTGTTTTGACGTGCATCAAGGCTGTTCTTAGGGCTTGCATTCGAAGGCTTAGGGCTACCATTAGACGCAGTCTGACCCAATGATCAACCACCAGAAGAGCGTATGTTAAACTTGATATAACTCATACTTTAAAACAGTTGATCAGGTACTTGTACAAATCCATAAACATATCCAAACGCCGCATATCAAGCCATCAGTGCGAGGTAGAAACAACACTACTATAATACTCCCTCCCAGCCTTCTCTCCATCCAGCCCCTCCACCAACCCAAACATAAACCCGCCAACATCCTCCCTACAAATCGTATACCCAACAAACGGACAAGAGATCCCAACAGCTGTATTCTGTCCCTCCCCCTGGCCCTTCAACACGCGCACTTTCTCCCTCTGACTGACACCACTCGTCAAAAAGCTTGGCCGAATTACCACATGCTCCGAAATGACCTTCTCAGCATCGGATTTGCCAACTTCCTCAAAGATAAGCTCCTCCATGACTCTCTTGTCCGCGTGCGGGACCTTCAACATCCAGTTATACAGCGGCACCATGGCGAGCGGGATATCGCGTTCCTTCGTTAAGCCTGTGGAGGAGATAGCCACGAGAACGGGTTTGTGCTTCTGTTTGCTATTGTGGCTGCGCTCGCGCAGAACCTGGAGGATATTGCGGATAGTATCCTGGCAAATGGTCTTGCCGACGAACTTGGGCGAAAGAGGCTGAGAGAAGTCTGGGGCGCCGCCGACGCCGGAGATTATCATTGAGGCTGGGGGCAGGTTTGCTGGGAAGAGGACTTGGGAGATGGCGTTGAGGTCGGTTGCGGAGCCTTCGATTAGGGTTAGCTGTGTCGAGAGCGTTGTCGGTGGGATCCCGCGCGCGGTGAGGAGGTCGGTGAGTTTCTTGGGGGTGCGAGCCACTATATAGCGGTTAGTAATTGATACTGAATAATGGATTCTCTTGGTAAATGGCGGACGTACAGGCGACGCAGTTGTATCCCGCTTGGAGAGCGGGTGCAAGAGAGGCGAGGGTGCAGCCACCAGTGGCGCCGAAGAAAGCGACTGTTGGTTTATTATTCATTTTAGGGTTGATTAGATTGGACCTTTTTGGTGGATTGGAATTAAGACGTTGATACAGAATGGGGATCATTGTGCTGGCGTGTAGAGCCGTCTTATAGCAGGCCAACCATGATAGCTTCACTGCCCGCGCAAAATGCTCCCCTAACTGGTTAAGCTGCTTCTTTACTTGTCGAGCCTTTATGCAGCCTGATTGGTTCATTCGTTCGAAGGATCGAGCTCGGTGTGCCAGTTCCTCCGCACAGCCTCGTTGGCAGCACAACCCACTGTCACACCAGATATCGATCTATCCGAGTGCAAACTCGGCCCAAAATACAGCCTAATTCACTTTTTATGGAAGACTCAGCTCAGCTCTGTAACTTTCATCCGGTGGTGGTCTGACATTAGAATGGACTAGAATATAGATAAGCTTCTTAAGCAATCACCAAGCCACAAGCACAGACCCGGTATCAACCAATTGCCTTTTGCATATTTCTAACTAAAATATTTGTCCAAGAAGTGCATTTACTTCTCAGCATGTCTAACCGACCCCTCCGGTAACTTACGGGATCGGTTACGTCTTTCGCCTATCCTCCTTGATAGCATCAGCAACCCACTCGCCCACCGCGTAGATATTGGCCGTGGGATGACCACAAAGCTGAACAGGAAAGACAGAAGAGTCAACAACGCGCACATTGCGAGTCCCATAGACCTTTAAGCGAGCATCCAGCACCCCTCCCATCTCTCGGGGCAGCATAGACGTGGTTCCAATGGCGTGGTAATTCGGGGTATCTGTTCAGTCAGTCACCTCTGATCAAGAGTCTAGAAAGATTCCACATACACTGCTGTCCTATCCACTCCATCCACGTCTCATCTGATGCTTCATCTGGGATATGATCCAGCCCAGGTATTTTCTCGGTATCGATCAGCTGGCCCAGATCACCAGTCTGGAACATCCTGCGCAGGAACTTCGACATCGCGATCTGGACCTGAATGTCCCAGCCTAGCATGCCGTAGTTCGGATTAACCGTCGGTGATTCCAATGGATCCTTTGAGGAGATATGCACACTGCCCCTTGAAAAGGGGAGAAGACCCCAGTATCCTACGTGGAGTTGACTCGGGCCATCCAGGATAAAGACGAACTCCCCAACGGGAATGCCCTTGTTGAACATCAGATCGTGCTGGCTTTCGAAGAGCTGCTGTAAGCTCTCCTTCGTCATTGCTCCGTTTGTTTCGTTTGCGGTGGCTTCGGCGTATTCTGGGATTTGGGCGTGGATGGAGGCCGCGACGGATTCTGTCGAGGAGCCGAAGAGATCGCGTGCTGAGACGAAGGCGACTGTTCGGGTTCCTGTTATGGGGACTTTGGTGGTGAGAACAAATGAGGTGTTTAGTTGGTCCTGTAGATTCTCGCCCACGCTGGGCAGGTTGATCTGGACGGGGATTCCGTGTTTTTGGAGGATTCTATACCGGTGAGTAATGGATCTGTGGTTCGTATAGAAGGAAGATACAGACCTTGGATTTCCAACGCCAGACAGTTCCAGAATAGAAGACGACTTCATAGCGCCAGCGGCTAGAATGACCTCTTTCCGCGCATTCACCACTTGCTTTCTTCCATCTTTATCTGGCCTATAAACCTCTACACCCCTCGCAACCAGGCCTCTTTCCTGCCCGACTCGCTCACCCCATACGATCCTCCCAACAGATGCATTGAACATAACGTCTAGATTCTCCCTCTTCTCCGCAGGCAGATAATACGCCGTCGCAGCATCACTACGCACATTCCGCCCATCGACTGTATACGGATGCATCGAGAACCCACGCATAACACCCGAATTCAAGTCCCGATTCCACGGGACACCCATGGACGCCAGCGTACGGTTAAGAACCGACGGGAGATCATTGTCCTGCTTGCGCATATCCATAAACCCAACCTGCACAGGCCCGTCACGGCCATGGTAGGAAGGGATTACAGGCGCACCCGCATCGACCTGAGTCTCGTTCGGCGTGCGCAAGCCCTCACTCTTGATATAGTAAGGAAAGAGAGATTCCCACGTCCAATCGGCGATATTGAAGTCCACCAGAGCGTCAAGCTGGATGTTTTCTGCGCGGACATATGCGGCTCCTAGTGGTTTACACGGTTAATTGCGCCATACACACAGCAAGGAGATAGACGCACCATTCATAACGCTTGTCCCGCCTAGAGCTTTCCCGGCGCGCATTATCTGGCGTCGACCCCCGAAGGACTGCTCGGTGGTCTCGAAGGCCCAGTCGATTGGGCTGCCGTATGTATATGCGAGACGCGAGATGTCCGTGACGTCGGGGTTGTCGAATTCAGCTTGACCAGGTTCGATGACTAGAATTGAGACTGAAGGGTCTTCTGAGAGTCGGTTGGCGACTGTTAGTCCGGCTGTACCGCCGCCGACTATGATATAGTCATAGTCGCTGCTAGAGCTTGTGGTTGCTGCGGCTATAGTCCCCAGCAGGAACAAAACCCAGCGGAAGGTCATGGTGAAGTGCATGTATAGCTGACGGTGTCTCGCATGGATGGTGTTTTTGATTTCAAATATTTGGACGGAGTTGGCGAGATCTTTATAGTTTCACTCAGCAGGTTCCAGCCCGAGAGCAGAGACAACACTGGTGCGTGCAGTTTAACTCAAGTCTGTTGATCCCTTGCGGTAAAAGGAAGGCAAGTTCAAGCAGCGCATTGATGTCCAGCGGAGTTGGCAGAAAGTGTCGATCTCGACGCTGCAGGGTGCAACTAAGCCTGCATGATTGAGCCAACTGCCTATTCAAGTACAAATGCCAGCAGGAACTCCTTGCGCTCTCCAATATTCCGCCGATCCAGGGCCACTTCCCCGTCTCCTCTGGGACTCCCCGCAGTCATAGATGCATTCAACAGGTTTACCCGGAGTTCACCCGACTCAAGTACAGCGAGACTTAGAACAAGGATAATAGCTTTATTTTCATCCTCATGGCTAATATGAACTGCTGCCTGCTCATACTGCCACCTGGGAATGGGGGCCATCAGCACAGCGGAGCCCCAAGTAACTCTCACTTCCATTGGATTCTGGCCGCTGATATCCCGTCATCATTATCGTTCTCCTACAAACTACTTGGCTGTTGTCACTACTAAATGATAACATCTTAACCCACGTTTTCTCCCAGAGAGCGGATATCTCACCCGTTCTCGCCCGATGCCCGCGGGGAAGAACCACAGAACGGAACCGTGGAAAAGGCCCATTGACTCGGGGAGTGGCGAAGGCCAAGAAAGTCTGGGGAATCAAGGGATAGTTATGACTCAAAAACAGTGGCGAGATCGTAGAGTAGAATGTGAGATCCATGCTAGGTATTATTCCGTATAGCCAGAGTGGCATAATTAATTAAACAAGATCTAGATCTATCATTGCCCAGTGAGTGTCCAGTAAACCAAAACGCCCTGATCAGCCCAAAAACACCACCAAAACACCGTCTATGAGTGGAGTGTCGTCGTAAATAGTCAACCGATTAAAAACCCAAATGTCGTCAAATAAAGTAAAAAAAAAAGAAAGAGAAAAGAAAATGAAAGAGGCTTACGCCTCTAATCCCTCAAGATAACCCATCAACCCAGCCCTCATCCTAATATTAACAACACCACCAACTCCATAAGCAGGAACAATCTTCCCCATTCGCGCAAAACAGCTAGGCACGTAGTCCCTCCTTATCCGCAACGCTCGCTCCCGCCACCCGAGCCCACCGGGCGGTTGCCGGTTATACAGATCCAACCCAAGCAGATGCATCGGCGTACTAGCGAACTGCATGAGCGCCGGACAGCTGAATTGCGCAAGAGCGGCCTTCATCCCGGGCGTTGCAGCGACAGCGTCCGGTATTGACGGCGCAATTAAGGCGGGAATATTGAAGGAGGCGAAGATTGTGATGCTGTCGCGGAGACAGAACAGGGTGTATGAGATTTTCGGTACTTTGGGTGCTCCCATCGCGCCGGACGGATGACATGATGCTGGAGGTGTTGTTCTTGGTGGTATTGTTGGGGGGGACCCGTTCGTCGATGATGGGCCTTGAGGCTGGGGAGGTTGGGGGTTTGCGCCGAATAACCTTGCGAACCGCGCGTCTTTGTAGACGCATATACCCATATTCACGGCGGTGGTGGTGAGGAACTTCGCGGTGTCTGGAAACACTGTTGAGAAGGGCTTATCTTTCAGCGTTGAGGTAACTGTGTCAATTGTGTTGGCCGTCAGGTAGGTTGACGTGTATACGGCATAGATAAGGAGGAAGGGCGTTCCGAGAAAGAAGCCCGACGGTTTTGAGAGGATGGACCGAAAAGAGGATGTGATTGTTTGGCGAATTGGGACACCTTTTGATGCCTTTTCGATGATGGCTCTGTGAATTGACAGTTTATTAGCTGCTGTACCGGGTTGACTTGGATTCAGACTCGGCTTACCGATCAATCACTGTGATGACGGGACACGTCAGGACACCAGCTGTTGCTGCACTGACGACGTCGACTCCAAGTCGCGCTCCTAAGCGACTGGTATTCCATTTCCTATCCCGCGATGGAATGGGGAGAGCTGCATCTGGGGACAGGCTCCGCGACATGATTGCAGCTATCTGAGGATTGCAGACACAGTGAACAAAATAGACTTCCGGAATGCCGCCGGAGATCGAGACAAGGTCTAAAGAATGGAAACGGCAAATTGAGAAGAAACAGATTAATTAGCTGGGATTAAAGCTCTATAACATCGCGGAGGAAACGTGGGATGAACGAGGGATAAAGTACGACAAATAAATTGGAGTGATGAGGTGACTGACGACTGAATTGTTTTTGGCGTCGATTTCATTAGTTGACTCAACGACTATGCGGAGGAGACGGGGCCGGTCGGGTTCCAGGCTCCGATGCCGGCTTTACAAATACCCCGAGATCTCAGCCCGGTCTCGATTACCACCAGCCAATGGCTATATCAAGTTCAAGTTTTATGACACATACGCCCAACGCCACATGCCCGCCAAGTGTTCAATGAGTTTTAATCCGTATATCTACCCTCCAGTCCCCGGTCTATGTAGACGCCGCCTGTGGCGTGTTCGCTTCAATACCGTCCAGAGTGACGTTGACAGCGCCCGCTTGCACCAGCTGTAGAATAGATATTAGCAAATGCCAAGCAGTCCAGACCGTTTCAAAACTTACCGCTCGCTGCAGGTCATCAATGAGATCGTCTACATCTTCAATACCAACACACAGCCGGATCAAGTCCTCGGGCATCGCGCGCTCCGCTCGCGTCTTAGCATCGATACTGGCATGGCTCATCCGGCAGGGCAAGCTGATCAAGCTGTTTACACAGCCAAAGCTAACGCTGATAGCCCACAGCTTCGCGTTCGCAACAATGCGCTCGCTTACGGAGACATCACCGGTCTCGAACGAGAGCACGGCCCCGGATCCCCGGGACATAGAGTGGTGGAGGTTATATTGAGGGTGTGACCGCAGTCCGGGGTAGCGGACCTTGAATCCGTGCGATTCCAGAAACTCTGCGATTCGCTGTGCGTTAGATTGCTGCTGGTCCATGCGGACCTTGAGTGTTTTGACTCCGCGCATGAGCAGCCATGAGTCGAATGGCGATAGACCACATCCCGATGCATTGATGGGGAAGAAGAGCCGCTCGCCGAGGCTAGCGTCGTTGACTGCGATGACTCCCGCCATGACATCGTGGTGGCCGGACAGATACTTTGTTCCACTCTCATAAACGATATCCGCACCGAGATCGAGAGGGTTCAGCAGGAGTGGGGACATCATGGTGTTATCCACGATAACCAGAGCTCCGGGGTTGGCTTCGTGCGACGCAGTGGCAATTGTAGGGATATCAACGATCTTGATGAGAGGGTTTGTCGGCGTTTCCAGGAGCACCATGGCGGTCTTTTCAGACAGGACTTCCTTCACCTTGTCAGGGTTAGTGGTGTCAACGTGGTGAACGATAATGCCACCGTTGGTCGCGAGGTATTTGAGGAGTCGGTTAGTTCCGCCGTAAAGGTCATCACCAGTGACAACCTCGTCACCAGGGCGGAGAAGACGGGTAATCACATCCAAAGCCGCCATTCCAGAGGATACAACGAGGGCGCGCTGCGCCGACATGATCTTGGCGAGGTGTCGTTCGAGATGCGTGCGAGTTGGGTTGCCCGACCGGGTGTAGTCATACTCTCCTCCTCCCTCGTGGGATGACTGCTTGAAGGTTGCGCTCTAAATGCGGCAATTAGCTTTTATCGGCGAATTATTGGTATAGCAAGGGGGGTGGGTTGTACCTGGTAGATCGGGACACTGCTGGCATTGTACTGGTCATTGCTCTCTGTGAAGACGAGCTCCGTCGCAATATTGTAGCGTCTAGCTCCATGAGGGCTCGACGGAGCAGGAGAAGGGGGTAGGTTGTGGCCCTCAGCATCGACCTGAGGGAATGTCTTTTTCAACATATTGGAGGCCGACATCGCTGCGGGGGCGGGAAACGCGGAGGGGCGGAGGGAAGGACGGGATAATGAGAAAATATCGAGACAGGGGACGAGGTAGGTAGAAATTGAAATACTCGGGCAATTCTGGTAATAAAGCCCGGCAACTTAGTGAGCAAAAATATGCACAGAATCAGGAGAAGTGGTTGTGTTAATTGATATTTTGATCCAAAGAGTCATTCCCAGTCTCACCGAGTCGATTCGCCATGGATGGAATTTAGTCATACGCACTCGCAGTCGCTGATTGGCTTTTCGGCAAAGAGAGAGATGTCGTCATCCCGACTAAACTCGATATAGACAAACAGACACCTGGGGCAGCAACATGTGGTCGTACGGACTACTTGTGCATTTGAGCATTATTGTATTCAGCGCAGACACAGAAAGCTTTTCCTTCTATATACATAGTCATTGAGGATTGACTACCCTCATTTAATCTGCCATCAATTTTCATAATGCACATGACCTCGAACATCACGCCATCCGTACTCCCGGGCCGTACGCCTTCCCCACAGCGCTCGCTAGGACGAAACAAGAGACAGTGACACAGGGTGCTAATTTCGCAATGAACAATCGCCTCCTCTGCAACGAACGGATAGCAGTCTCGGGGCGAGGATCGGCAAGAATCGAAAACATCGTCCATTATAACCCAGTAATCATGACAAGACAAATCCCGTCGGAAAAGTCAAAGTCATTGTAGAAGCAATCACACAATAATATCATGTCCACCCTGGAAACAAAAAACAAGAACGCAAAAAATTGTCAAATTCAGATGTGTTGTACAGCTATAAACCAGCTAGCTCAAGCCGCCATTTCGCCGAAGCTGCCGTTGATACCGAAGAATTGGAACCTAGAAAGTAGTTGGTAAGCAAGTGTAGATTCCTCAAAGAGGCGGGGGTCGACGTACCAGTCTTCCACGTTTAGAGTCGTGGGGGCCGTTGGACCGCTGCGAGAGCTACTGCTCCAATTGTCGTCTTGACTTGCAGTATCCATTGCTGCGCTAGCAACAGTGGCATCTATTCCTTGTATCGGCCAGGGTTGCTGGGGGTCCATTCCGTACATCTGCTGTGGTTGCTGCTGTCCTTGTAGACCGATTGCAGAGGGCATACTGGACAACATTTCTGGGCTTCCCTGTGCACCAGACAGGGAGTTTCGGGGTTGCATTTGGTGGGGAACCATAGACCGCTGGTCCAAGCCATGGGCTTGCAATTGTGATTGCATTTGGAGCTGCGGATCAACAGCCGCATTCTGAGGGGAAGTAAGCTCTGGGAAGATGGCAGTGCCGTCAGGGAACAGCTGGTCTGGCTGGAAGTTCTCCCAGAGTGAGGGAGAAAGATTAGGTGAAGTACGTGTGACAAGGAATAAATCAGGAGGCGTTGCCGGAAGAGAGAATTGATTGCCGAATGGAGTTGTCGGCCGCGTATTCGCGCGAGAGTTACCGGTTCCAGGAAGCCCTTCCTTGGGCGCAGTAGGAGATCCTTGGGGTAGAGGCAAGGTAGACTGTCCCAGCTCTCTGGAAGGCGTAGCGGCAGGCGTCTGAGGGCGAGATCGCTCGTAAGAGACTGGAGGCGTAGGTCCCCCGTTGGGAATTCCTATGTCCATATCATCAAACTTGCGCTTCGGCGGAGGATCTGGCCTCCTCGAGGACACGTGTTGTTGGTTTGGTTGATTCGGATCGTGCTTAACCTTCTGGTGTCTTCTCCCTGCGGCTTTCTGTAGACGCTCTTCCAGAACCTTGTTGCCCAAAATAGACTCGAACAAGGTATGCACCATCTTCGCAACAAGCCAAACTTTGGAAACATCTTTGAGTGCTTGCATGCAAATGTTGATCCTCTCCTGGCAGGTAGCCACGATTGAAGGCACAGATGACCGCATCTGGTAGACGTGCATGATAAGCGCTGAGAAAAGACTGTAGACAATGAACGCCGGGGTATAACGGATCTCGTTATGAGTCGATAGGTTTTCAACGATCGAAGTAATCATTCCAGCAGCTTGGAATGCAATAGTGCGTGATGGATACGCCATCTCTTCGACACGATAGCTACTGGGGACCGACGACGCCGGTGGCATGTGGGCTCGGTGCAACAAACAGAGCGTCGTGTAGTAGTTTGCGTGAAGTAGAGCCGCCCAGAAGTGATGCCGCTGGCGTTGCCAGCACACCTCCTTGGGGCAGTTCTGGAGCCAGTCCGCAAGTGCCATATCGGAGTGGGTCAGGTCCATGGCATTCATACGCCGGGACTTGGACGCCACCGAGTATTGTTGCGAGAGGACCAACCCCATGATTTCGCAGAGTTTAACATACTGCAGGAAAAATTGCACGTGTACGGGGTCCGGCGGATACTCAGCAGCCATGTCAAGTTCGTCTTCAACGAAATCGTCTTCCGTCAACATCCCAACATCTGCGTCGTCCGTGTTGATACCGATGGGGCGCCCCAAAGCCACAGCTACAGACCGATCTCTGGTGAAGAGAGTCCACCAAATCCGTTTCCATAACCGCTTGTCCGGTTTGCTGAGCTGCGAGGATTCCACGCTGCGGTGCATTCCGGAGCCTTGTGCAACAACTATCGCCACTCTTGTCCAGTAGAAGACGTTCTTGGTAACATCTTCAGGACCCTCCCAGTACCAGCCCAGGAGCACCAATGCTTGGACAATAGTGACTCGGTCATCTTCATAATTAGCGTCATACAGAGCTTTAGCTCGCTTGTAGAAGGTCATGGCAGCCGGAGTGGTCGAGCCGTTGGCGTCCATCAGTTGCCCGTTGGTACAAACCCTTGATCCGGCTAGGAGAATGGCCTGCAAAAGGAGCAAGGATGGAGGGTTTTTAGGGTCTCTGTATTGGCGCATAAAACGGCTGTGGTTGACGATGGGCACAACCGGTGCGACCCATTTGAAGTAGGCGTCGACTAATTCATCACACAAGGGTTTCGGGGGGAGCAAGAAAGCGCCGCGTTGGTGAAGGATGTCTAATTCGAGGTTGTCCAAGTCGGTGATCCTCGCACGGGAGCCACGAATGTTGGGGGGCAGCGGGTAATGCACAACGTCGGTCGTTCCATGGCGGTCCTGAACCAGCAGGGAAAGATTCGATGACTCGCCCAGATACGCGACCCTTCCAGCGTCTTTGATCGGTGCGCGGGCGAACTTCGGCTTCATGAACTGGGCGTACGTTTCATTCTGAGAGGCCTCCCGAGCGGCTTGGCTCTCTGTTAGTGTCGTCGGGGGCATGCCTTCGACGGCAACTCCGCTGTTCTGATAACCAAACGCATCTTTGCCAGGAATAGGTAGGGACTCTTCGCGTTTGTCTTGACTTTGGGACTTGTCATCGGTATCTTCGTTACTATTGGTGGAAGGAGGGTCAGTTGGAGGTGAGGGAAGAGGGCGTTGGTGTTGTCCACATACTCGCCAGTATCCTTTGACTTTGTTTGGTTCTTCTTGCGTTTCGGTGTAGGGATCTTGCATTCGATAGAGAAAGCCACACAGTTGGTACAAGGCACACCTAAACTGGCAGCATCGCAACGGACCTGTTCATGGAGGAAGAGACGTGGTCAGGAACCTTCTTGGTAGGGAAGGGGGAGGGGGAAGTGGGTAGTCCCGGTCGCAGCGGGACAGGGGGCAAAACTCACTTTTCGGGCATGGCAAGTCTTCACGAGAAAAAGAAAACAAAAAAGTCAGCCAAAATTCAACAGTAAAACACCAGGGTTGAAATGTGCTTCCATCCAGCATCAGGCAGTGACCCAGCACTGGCAGGCTGGATGCTACACCCCCAAAGCTGCGATGAACCGAGGTGCCGAGGCTGCAAAAGCTTCGCGTCACCCAGCTCGGAACAGGTTGGCTTACCTCGCAAGCACGCGACGCACGTTGTCTGTATAAAAAAGCGTTAGAAAAGACTACTCTTTTTCCAACATTTTCTTCAACTTCCCCCGCCAGCAAATTGTTTCGAGTCCCAGGGGCTCGACTCGAGGCGCCTTGCACAAAGAGGAAAAAGGCTAGTGCCCCACGTACAAGACACCCTCCACGCTGGCAGGTGCCAAAAAAAAGGAAGAAGAAGAAAATATCGGAACTCACCTCCTAAAACTCATTTGACCGTTTGCTCCAGCTCGTACAGCTATCCCCGATGTTCCCGTTGAGCCCGCTGTACTAGGAGTCGGGCTGGGTCTGGGTGCTAATGGATCCTGGATGATTCTTTCGCCGGCTGTGCTCATGGCCAAAAGGTATCCATGCAGAGATAATCGCGACGGTTGTGAAAGGGAGTAATGGGAGGATTGAGGGAATCTCGCGGGAATTCCAAGTGGTCGGGTAGTGGGAGGTCAGGTAGCAGGGGAGAGGAGTCGAGAAGAAGAGAACAGGGTCGCACGGCGCAAGTAATAGAAGGCGAGAGCGTAAAATAAAAGAAGAGGTACGATTAAATGCAGGGGAGCGACGAAACCGCAGGACGGCTCTTGTGCGTTAGAAGTTGGATAGGGAAGGGCTGTTACAGGATGAAAAGGTGAGGACGAGGAGCAGCCTATGGCGCAGGAGGAGAAACACGGGGACTGCCTGAGGGTCGGCGGGACTGCCAGGACTGGATCACTGGGCCCGGCAGCAGGGATGCCACGAACCAGACGCCACCCGACCGTGGATGGCCTGTCAGCACTCGCGGACGGGCAGGCAACTGTTGTTCTTCTGGGGCTCGCGCGCTGCTGCAGGTGATGATGGAGGGGAGGCAGAGAAAATTCGGGAGCCAGCGGGATTGCAGGGATTGCGCGCGCGAATGGCTGTTGAGTGGCTGTTGTGGAGGGAATGCAAATAAATTATAACGCCAGTGATAGAACAGCAGTAAGTCGGTAGCAGTCACTCCACGACTCCAGGGGGGAACACGCCAACGTTCTCTGGTTATGGGCAGAAAGGGCGGGGAGTGGCAAGAATAATCAGGTCGACCTCTGGGAACAGAATTGGGAACTTGGGGGGATCATCCAGACTTCAACAATCCTCAGCTCCCAGGGTTTGTG